GGCGAAAAACTCTGATATTATACTAGACACCGGTTTTAAAAAAAGTGAATTAGTGATGAAGGAGTGAATTGACACGACATACACCATTCGAAAGCTAATCGCCTGAGATTTTAGCATGGCAAGTTTCAGCTCTTTTGCAATCAAACTAAGCCGACACTGGGCGAAAAACTCTGATATTATACTAGACACCGGTTTTAAAAAAAAGTGAATTAGTGATGACAGAGTGAATTGACAAGACATACACCATTCGAAAGCTAATCGCCTGAGATTTTAGCATGGCAAGTTTCAGCTCTTTTGCAATCAAATTACGCCGACACTGGGCGAAACACTCTGATATTATACTAGACACCAGTTTAAAAAAAAGTGAATTAGTGATGAAGGAGTGAATTGACACGACATACACCATTCGAAAGCTAATCGCCTGAGATTTTAGCATGGCAAGTTTCAGCTCTTTTGCAATCAAACTAAGCCGACACTGGGCGAAAAACTCTGATATTATACTAGACACCGGTTTTAAAAAAAAGTGAATTAGTGATGACAGAGTGAATTGACAAGACATACACCATTCGAAAGCTAATCGCCTGAGATTTTAGCATGGCAAGTTTCAGCTCTTTTGCAATCAAATTACGCCGACACTGGGCGAAACACTCTGATATTATACTAGACACCAGTTTAAAAAAAAGTGAATTTGTGATGTCGGAGTAAATCCTCACCAATCACATGTACAACTTCAATGTGGGCGTTTTGCTTCAATTTTTCGACAGGATCTTCGAAAAGAACCGGGCTGTCCGAAGAGGTTCAACAACAAGTCGCTAAATTACGAGCGTATCTTTCTCTCTTTATTCACAATTAGGTTTGCAAGATCGGTCTTCATGGACAGACTATGCATAACAATAGTAGCCAACTTCCGGGGCATATTTATCAGAAACTCTCAAATTTCCAGAAGGTTCTTGTGATCTCAACCGGAGAATGCAACCACCGCAATGACGTCACTTGTTACGCGTAGTCTTCAAGTGCCGTCGATTAATCCGCCATCCAATGAGCTCATAGTTGCCGCCTAACCGGCCGATATTGCTGATCCTCGGAACTGGTGCTGATCCTTGTCAAGAGATCCGAGATACAGCTGAGAAAGTGCTGAAGGATGCAAGGAGGCTTCATGAACTTGCCATGGGGCGCCGACGACTGAATGAAGCGATCGAATTTATGAGGAATACAATGGAAAAGGGGGAATGGGCCTACTTGAATAACGTCCATTTACTACCCGATTTCTTGCTCATGATTCACTCAGTAAGTTTTATTTTTAGATGTTATTTCTTTCTAGGTTTAAGCCACTACAGGGTGGGCCAAAAAAATGGACTTTTATTTTTCTTCGATTTTTCCTGCCATGAAACAGTTTTTGAAAAAAAGGTATATATGGCATGAAAGTACTGTGTTAAGGGAACAAAGTTATTGTAGAATTTTTGTTCTACAGTATGCGTCATAATTATAACCGCACTTTAAAAATGAGTGTAACGTTTGTGATTGCGAATAGAAATGCGTCATATTTGGCACCAATGTGCATCAGTGTACTAGAAATGATGTCCCAAAAAATTATTTTGAAAGCTTTCCGTATTTTAGAAAAAAGCTGCAAAAACCAAAATTTTGGTACTTTTCGGTGCGTCAAAATTATAACCGCACTTGCGAATTTTGGCTATTAGTCTAATGAAAACACAGAATATCAATAACTGATGTTTAGTTACGCTCCCAGAGGCCTCAATAACGCCCATCACACGATTCGGAATCCTCTGGGCAAATTTTTTTGGCGCATCTTGCCCCATCTTGTGCCTGAATTGGAAAACGGCAGATTTTCGCGCAGTAAGACCGTTGGGCCCAAGTTGTGAGGAACTTTCTGGTCGCCTCGGAAGCTTTTAACAATTCTAAATGTTATGGCAGACAAAAGTTTACCACTGCTTCCGGTTGAAAAGAAATAATCCGCCGGGCTTCTAACTCTGCCATCTCTGGGGTTCACTTAAATCAAGATCTGAGCTCCAGTAGCAACGGGAGCACCGTGCTGAGGGTCGGAAAACACAGCGACGTCATCACATGGCAGTATGTGACGTTGTGACCCCAGCTGACCGCAGTTTACGGCAACCTGCGGCCGAAATTTGCCAAGGATACATTCACAACAGAGGTTGACTAGTGACAGATCGCTGAAATCGACGTTTGACCGTTGCAGTACCATATTCCTTGTAGATTGGGTAGTAGCGTGATCGCCTTGACGGTCTTACATACCAATGGCATGAGATTAAAAACGAATAGCGTTACTTCTTATGCCGTAATTATAGAGGCCGCCGGATGATGATTTGGGGCGCCTTCAAAAAAGCCGGAGGCCTTCCGTTGACGGCCACAGCGACTCAAATGAAAGGCCTTGAGTACTACGAAGTCTTAGGCGAACATCTGGTACCGTACTGGCAATCTGGCTATACTTTTGTTGGAGAATGCCCACGTCCACCATAGCAGGTCGACATTCCAGTTCCTTTGACAGCAAGGCATTTGCCACCATAGACTCGCTCGCATATTCCTTGGGTTTAAATCCGATAGGAAACTTGTGGGGCCTCCTCCCCCGTTAATTGCATCGCTACAACCAGCGGTATTCTACCGTAACTGAGTGAAAATCTGCCGTTTTCCGATTCAGGCACAAGATGGGTCAGGATGCGCCAAAAAAAATTTGCGCAGAGGGTTCCGAGTCGTGTGATGGGCGTTATTGAGGCCTCAGGGAGCTTAACTAAACATCAGTTATTGATATTCTGTGTTTTCATTAGACTAATAGCCAAAATTCGCAAGTGCGGTTATAATTTTGACGCACCGAAAAGTACCAAAATTTTGGTTTTTGCAGCTTTTTTCTAAAATACGGAAAGCTTTCAAAATATTTTTTTGGGACATCATTTCTGGAACACTGATGCACATTGGTGCCAAATATGACAGATTTCTGTTCACAATCACAAAAGTTACACTCATTTTTAAAGTGCGGTTATAATTATGACGCATACTGTATCTGCAAAAGTTTCCAACAAACGGTTGCAGGAAAGTCACCAGGTCAGCGCGCCAATTCCCGCAGTAAAATTTTAAAAGTTCTTGCTCCTAAACTTTTTAGAGCCGCCATAAAGACATACCAAGCGGTCTATGTAAATCTAGGAGACTTGCCCCCTTAGGCTTTAAAAGGATTTAACCCAAGCTTTTCGGAAAACGAAGAACCAGTGACCAGAAGTTAGACACTCGGCCAGGGAAAATCGACCTTCATTTGGGCGCTTTCGGAAAAACGATGATCTACCAAACGTGGTGAACCTTTTGAAACTAATTACCCTCATACGGTGTTTACTACTCTATGATGAATATACTAAACGCATTTTTGACAATAGTACAACTCAATGAGCAATATGGCAAGCAAAAAATCGATTTTTTTGACTATTTGATGTGTCATCGCAATAATACTTGGATTCTGAAGGTTAGCTGCTTCCTCATTTTACGAAACTGACTTAACATGGACGAAAGGGGTCGTATAACCTTGATATATAGGTATCCCGTCATAGTTATGCGGACCGTTGAAGAACGCCAACAAAAAAGAAAAAAATTTCTGACCAAAAATATCGGCGTCTCTGCGTATAGCCGGCTAAACTTTTTTAAGTGTTGCGCACGGCTAGTGCAAGCTATTATCAAATCAACTGCTGGCTCATGTAAAGCAATGTCAGTCGTCTTACAGAGACCACTTTTTGCTATTTATAGCATGAGACAGGCTCCCCTGCGAGTCTTGAATGTCAATGATCTCAAAAATTTAGAATTATCTAGATGGACCTCTTGTGGATCACGTTGCAAACTGGGGGAGTGCTATTAATCGAACACTATCAGCTTTTTTGCTTCCCTGGGTTCCCCTTGGTATGTCCATAAACAGTCAACCCCCAATTTTCGGCTAGTTGTAGAAATTTAGGTCGGTAAAGATCTTTGGACCCACAAAATTTTTGAAAAACGTAGTCAGAATATGGGCTGGCCTAGAATTTTGGCTCGTATCAGCGATTCAGAAAAAGTATATACAAAATTTAAATAGTTGTGATAAAGCAGGATAGTTGACAATTACAAAACTATTTTTCTTTCCATTGATAACGGTATTCGTGCCGGGATACATCAACTTTTAATTTTGTCCATTTTTTTTGGCCCACCCTGTAAAAACACGTCTAATTTCGACTACCTTTGAAGCGAAATTTATATTGTACTTGATATTAAAGTCAAAAATTTTGATCTCAGGAGTCGCACAGCAGACCTCAAAGTCCGTCCTTCCGTCTATGGTTTAGTGCAGAGCCAGACAAGGAGGTGGACTGAAAGGTAGTTGTTTTTTCGGCCTATGTATTCTTGAAGATGATGGCTGGTTTGAGGGTAAGGATCTTAATTGGCCTTCTGCTGAGAATTTTTCTGACATTTTCGGCGTAGATTTGAATTCCTTCGAAGGTTTACTATTGTTGGAACCTATAGTGCGGGACATTTCACCTTCTAGAATTCGTTCGAACCTTTTCTTGGAGTAATTTTGATTAATCTTTCTTCTAACATTGTCCTGGTTATTATAACGTCTCATTTAGAACTCCTACGACGAAAAATCAATGTCAGACGCATAATGAATTTGAAGGGTCACTGCTCTCCGCTCCACATCAGGTGTAAATTCCATATTCTTTTGAATGATGCAGGTTGTGGAGAACTTCACAAAGAAATAAGATCATTATTTGCCACATTTATTCCTAAAACAATATAAGGTTGTCATCTAGTCCTTCTTGGCCCCTACAAACACTGGCTTCAGTTCCAAAGTCGCCTTCTTTGACTTTGACTCCAAGGGAGGGCTAACAAATCTGATAATCAGAGATGTTGGAGCGAATCGCTAAGAGTTACACCATCGGAAAGAGCACCAAATAATACGATTACTCTATGCACAATTTATTCGCAATAATATCCAATTTTATATCCAAAACTCTTAATTTTCAGATTGGATTCCTATCAGCATCGTAACATCGAAAATTCCGTTCAAGGACACTCCGAGGCTCGGTGTACGGGATTTCCTGCGGATTTTCGTAATGGGCCGCGATTGTGAAGGGCTCCACCCTGTGCAGAGGGAGGGGCTTGAAGCTGGGGAAGTGGTCATTGCGCTTGAAGATCTGTTGGGTGAGATGTTGGTCGATTTGCTTCGCAAACGAGATTTGGGAAGAGCCTCCAATCAGCTCGACCTCGGCAATATCCTGAAGATTCTGGAGTCTTGGAGCAGAGCGCTGAGGAGATTTCGGATTCTCTGGAACAAGGGCTCGGTCATTTGTTAGAATTCGGCTCTAAAGAAGGGAAAATAAGGAAAACAATATTATCCATGGTTAAATTTGGTCTAAATTTCCCTAAAATCAATCGCAATTCCCTTCAAATTGCCTCTAATTCTGTTTAAAACCTGATTTAAACCTATAAAACATCCAAAAATTAACTTTTTATACTGCACTAGGCCCCAACTTACCTCGGCAATTTCGCGCTCACATCCACATCATTCATGAAGCACTCAATGTTCAGCGGGATCTCAGCGCTATTGGCCGACATTTGCTTTTTAATTTTCTCGGCTTCATCCAAAAAACGCTCTCAGGCGCGCGGGTTAGTTTTCGCATCGATCTTGTACTAAAACAATACAAATTTTACTATCAAATCTCGAAACTGGCATCTCAACTAGTTCGTACAGCCCATAAACGGGACTGGGACAAGGAAACTTCAGCACATTCAACCCCTCGATTTGGCCAGCCTCCAACAACGCCAAGTGTTGGTCGTTGGACCAGGCCGGAGGCACTGAGATCACCACATCGCTGACTGTGCCTTCAATTTGACTCTCCGTAATTTGCTTTAGTTTGGTCAAATGGGCGGCAGTGATCTGCTGCGGGGTAACTTGTAACCGTTCTCCGAGATAGTTCTTCTTCATCGATAACTTCTAAATGCCCAAAGTTTCGGACAGTTTCATCCCCATCCGGATGAGGTTCCTCGTCCGATCTGCCCATGGAAACGTGCGCTTCCTCCTGTTCCTTAAGGTCCACAACATCCAGAATCTCCCCAGGGTGTTGTAGCTCATGGTTGATGTAGTAGCGAACACATTCTCTTTCGACTTCGTTCAGGCTAGACTTGGCTGCCGGGCTGGGCCGGCCCGGGCCGGTGTTCGGGCCGGGCCGGGCCGGGCCAAAGCAAAATTGAAACGGGCCGGGCCGGGCCGACCTGTTCCGGCCCGCGGGCCGGGCCGCAACTTTCGGCCCGGGCCGGCCCGGCAAAATTAAAATTCTGGATTTTAAAGCAAAAAGTTGGGTCGCCAATAAAATAAAAACGCAAAGCCAAGAATGGGGTCTATATTTTTCATACAGTAAGCATAATTTTATAAAAATAATGCACGGAAGTACTCAAAAATGGCTACTAATAAGTAGTTTTACTAGTAAAATCTATTAAGTACTAATGGATATTAGTGTTTTTAGTAATTTTTTGAACAAAAACTCAAAATAAACGTAACCGACATCCTTAAAAACACAATTAAGAAGTCGTGTGAAGCAACGCTATCATCTTGAAGTTGAAAACCTTGTTAAACGTGGTTCCACCTTTGCTGAATCTGTAAAATTGATCTTGGGGCAATTTTTAACAGTCTTAAAACGGATCTCGGGAATTTTTTGATTAATTTTAAAAAGGCAATGCGTTGGCAAGTAATTTTTTGCTTTAAAAATGTACTGTTAGTTGTTATAGTAAAGAAAAATACGTCACATCTAATAGCGAATTAAGGTTTTTTACTTCTACTCAATTTTCGGGCCGGCCCGGGCCGGGCCGCGGGCTGGGCCGGGCCGAAGAAAAATTGAAACGGGCCGGGCCGGGCCGACCTCATCCGGCCCGCGGGCCGGGCCGCGATTTTCGGCCCGGGCCGGCCCGAGAGCCAAGTCTAGTTCAGGCCGGAATCGAACATCTAAAATAAGGGGTTGAAATCGAGCTAATGTAATGAATTAAACGCCAAAAGCTCCGCTGACACAAGGCTAAATCAATGAAAATAAGTTTTATCGTAAAAACAAGGCAAAAATTGCGGTCTTCAACATAATTACCTAAAATGAGGTGTTCATGTCGAAAAAATAATTTTTTAATGCAAAAATCATCGAAAGTTAGAGTTTAAAGCCTGCAATCAGCTCAGACAGATCATAATCTGGCCAGAAATATCATTACCGACAAAAGAAACAACAGGAATATTCCAAAATTTCAATTTCTTCGAACACCTCCAAGTGCAACATCGAAATCAATAAAAAATCGATGTTTCATATTTTAAATCACGTAATAGACCATTCTAAATGATAGCCAAGCTAAATCCACCTTTAACCACAAAAATTAAACCTGTCTACCAGTAAAGTTCCACATCTTCACCTAAACCAAGAACAAAATCAAAAAAGTTCTCACCTTATCCACAAACTCCTCAAACATCCCCGGAGGAAGCTCACCATCCTTGTCCTTATGCCGACACAGCAAAAACGGCTTCCATGCACATTTCGCGGAGCAATTGAAGCTTCTCGGCTCCGATTTCATTTTCCACGGATTTCTCCAGCTCTTTGAATAAGTCGGTATTGACAAACTCTCGCAGTTCATTTACATCTTCAAGTTCGCACAGTGGATCCGCCATTCTATCCTTACGGAGGCCTTGTCCAATTCAACGGGAAAAATTAGATTTTTGCGGGTTTCGATCGACAAATTTCGAGATTCCAAAAAATCCGTCACTACGATTTTTTTCTTTGTGTTCGAAGCAAAAACTTGGGGTGAGGGGGGTTGCTAGTCTCTGAGGAGACGAGTCCGCACTGTCCAGCTCGGGAGAAGTATTCGGATTTTAAGGGCACGTCCCCAGGTCATTTATTGGTATAATATCATAGTGTTCGGCCCGGTACGGGCGTAGTTTTGCTCCGAAAAAGGCGAAACTTGCCGTGCTAAAATTTCATTCTGTTACATTTCGAATGGTATAGGTCTTGTCAATTTACTCCGACATCTCCTAGTATAATATCAGAGTGTTCGGTTTGGAAGGGGGATCCTTGGTCATCATTGAAATATGTTAAAGTAAAGTGAGCTGACAAGATTATTGCCATCATAAAGAGCATTGATTTATTTGAGGAGTTGTATCATTGAATAGGCCATTGAAGTTGCGACGAAAAGATCGCCAGATCGCAGAAAAAATACAGTAAGCAGAACATAAGTCAATGCAGATTTCTACCCTTATACAGCAACAGCTGATTTATTACCTTTATACAGCAACAGCTGAATTTTCTTGTGCTAATTGCCGTGAAATGGTTCTATTAAAAAGCTGGGTTTGAACAGCATCGACCTTCGCCAACGACGGGGAGATTCTGCGGCTTGCAAAGGAGCCTTCGGGGACGATCAATTTCCCATTCTCGGCGATTCAGAGCAGTAACTGAGTGAACTGAGTGGTTATGCATTCAGGGCTGAATTAATTTAAGAAGTCTCCGTGAATGATTGACTTCTCACTTTTTAACTTTGATACGTAATAATACCGGCAGAAATGGCGCTTTTACGGCCAAACATAGGATAAACAGCAAGAACGAAGACAACTTTCTTTACTGGAGCTATTCCAACCCCACCTATACATCCTCCCCCACTACAACGTCTAGGTCGAAAATGAATAATGTCCTCGGGGTATCAGTAGTTTTGATTATAAACCCGCAATAAACCATAATTCAGCGTCTTTCCCAGCCAATAACTAGAGGAATTCAGGGTATCCCTCACACCCAGACTAAACTTTAGAAAGCTTCCGAATTTGCCCCGTTCGTAGCCGAATAACCATTTCGTCACAAATCGTCCGACTAAACCATCGTTGGATCCTTGATAACACCGAAAATCTCGTCTTCTTGTAACTCACAAACTGGTATCTGTCCTCTTACTTTCATGGAAACTCATGGTAAAGTAGGGTATCCGACACGGTTGAAAAGAGCTGTACCATTCAAAAGACTATTGAATTTGTAATTCCTTTTTTCCAAAAATCGTGAAAACCCCCAAAAAACTGAAATTTTGTTTGAAGGTAGCCGGAAGTTAGGCAAAGTTGAGCATCGAAAGAGAAAAAATACGGCGATACCCCGAAAATTTTCCGTGCTTTATAGCTCAACCTGTCTGAGATGCCAGTCGTTTGCAAGAACCCACGGCCTAAAATAGACGTTCGGTTCCATGCCGATCTTCTTACACTTTCATGGAGAGTTCTGCAAAAAGCTGGTTCCGACCAGAAACTATTCAGAACACTTCCGCAAACGACGAGAAAATTCAGCGACATGCAAGCGTCCCGTTGCCCAATTTGCAATGGATCCGCAGCTAGCCGGATACGAAAAACAAAACCAGAGAATGCAGCACTGACGACGTGGAGGACCCGGCCAGCGGATTCCGGGAGCCTACCCACAAGTGGGAGCTTGGATTAGTCCTTCCGGAAAGTCGCTGGACTGTTTTTTGGCGTTTGCACGTGCCAAAAAAGAGCGAGCGACAACCCAAAAAAAAGCCATTATCATGGTGCAAAAAAGAAGAACTCGCACAGTGCAGAGAAAACGTTTGTTTCAACACGTGTCGCCGAGTCCGGTCCAGCGGCCTTCCAGACGGGCTAGTATGCGCCCGGGACTCAATTCCAGCAGTTTTCGCTGATGAATCCGCCATTTTCGGCTTCGATACACAACTCAAACAACACAATACCGACATAAATGGCGCTTTTACGGCCGAACACAAGATAAACAGCACTAATCCAACAGCCATTGCTGGAGTTATCCCCACCTCAAGCATACATCCAACCCTTCTAGAAAATCAATCCTCTAGGCCAAAAATTCCCAGTGCCCCCAAGGTATACGTAATTCGGTCGATAAACCCGTGATAACCCATTCAAAATTCAACGTTTTTCCCAGCCAAAACCTAAAGATATTCAGGGTACCCTCACTTTCGGACTAAACCATCAATATAACCATAAAATATGCTCTGTACGGAGCCCGAATAAAAAAATTGGACATAAATTTGCCTATAGAATCATTCGGACCAACTCTGATCACCTACCTTCTTCACACGACCCCTTTCTCCCATTTCCCCTTCCCCTTTCAAAGCAAACAAAAACAATAAAAAACACAACAACAAATAGATCAAATTAGATTTGTAGATTCTTCTTATTGGCTGGGAAGTGGCCTGGACTGTTTGAATCTTGGGGACTTGAGGGAATCTGAAAGGAAAGAAAGATTAGAAGGCGGAAAACTCAAAAATAAGGTTAACAATCTCATGAACAATACAGGGATCCCAAAAAAATTGTCATCATAGAGACTAAAATCCCTCTAAAATTAGTATTCACATCCTTCTATCGCAATTAAACTTGCTTCATCCCTTTTATTTTACATTATATTGAAGACCGAAACGTCAACCCAACAGACACCTGACGTAATGGATCATACCAAAAGGGGCAAAAATTGTCGTGACCCCATAATTATACACTAAATCGCCTGATCTTTGATCAGAACACCCTACAATACATATTTCGAGGGGCCCTTATCAAAATTTGTTGCAAATCCTGACTCGGATGGGATTCCTGACTGGGTCCATTTCTTTCAACAGTCAAGAATCGCGGGATTCTTGACTGTTCACGCAGACAAAAACTCTTTGACTGGGAGATACCAAAACATTTTTGACAACAGGCAGGATTCCCGTGATTCTTGACGGGGAGGCTCCGAGTCAGGATTTGCAACAAATTTCGACAAGGGCAACTCGAATTACTAACGCACAGGTCTTATATTAATAACCCATAACCCACTTGCCTTTTAATTTTCTGGCATTCTTCATCCTAAACGATGATGGTTTTGTTCTTCATATCCTGGGCTCCATGTACTCAAATTTTTTCTTTCGAAGATGAATTGTGGTTCGTAGCGAAACTATGCAACCTGAAAAAAATTCATTACAAATGAAAAAAATTGAAAACGGAACTGGATTACCTTACGAACAATATGAAAGTCCCCAAAGTCTTTCGCAAACAAGTACAAACCACTAAATCGTATACTTCTTGGAGTAAAAAGTGCCTTTTATCACCACTTACCCCTCAAAAGGATCAAACATTACACTACAGAGATTAAAACTTCACAAAGAAACGACTATTCCTACGCGCCGGATACTATATATGTATAATAAAATCCGTCTTGACGACGAATGTAGCGATCTACGTCTTTCGAATCCAAAATTCAAAATTTCCAGCCCTATATCAACCAAACCCCCTTTTTTTAACAAAGTTTCGCCTACCTCCAAACAATTGCACTGTGCATCGTCAAAGAATGGACGGTTTCCAGGGCTCGGCAAGCAACTTGTTCTTCATTTTCAATCTAGCTTTCTCTTCAACCATAAGGCAATTCTGAACGTACTTCTGAAAGAAAAATGTATTTGAACGCGAAAAATGAAACAGGAAAGTTAATCATCTCGTGAGCAATAAAAAATCCCAATACCGCCATGACCACGTTACTAACGACAAAAACTAGTCATTACTTCTTATAAAACCGTTTTTTACGGCATCTCACATCTTTTAATTCCCTCAAACCCCCCGAAAAAGTATAAAAAATCTAAAATTCTCCCGAAAGATCACAAGAAATGTAACCTCCTAAGTTGCCCGTCATGACGAGAACTTCATGTGTGTTTCTAATAATCAAAAACAGCACCTAGCTATATTTTTAAGCTTTTAAACCTGAGTGTAACCCGTCCACAATACAGTAGAAATCACAGTTTAGAAACCCTCATCTCTGCCGTAACCTTTCAAAAAATTTATCCTGATGACGGACTTCTTTCACAAAACTAAACTCTTATTCACTTAAGATGCTCGCAGTATCCCTTCTAGGCCTAGATTCCCTAATTTATCACTCCCAATCGACATACCTTTTCTCTTTTCGTGGTGCAAGCCTCCAGAATACCATTGATTTTCTCAACTTCTTCAGGGCTCCAAGAAACGGATTCTCGATGGTTTCCATGAAAATAAATAAGATTAAAAATAGAACGAGCAGTATCTGGCCTTATAACAAGAAATAAAGGCCTACAATTGGGAAAAAACAACTTACTTTAATCACCAAAGCAGGCTTTGATGATTGGGTGAAGGGGAGGGAGTGGGAGGGAAAGGGAAAGGAGGGTGGTGGGAGTGGTAGAGGAGGGCGAGTAATGGAAGTGGTGGGAGTGGAAGCGATGAGGCTTCTTCTTTTCTTTTTTTTTTTTCTTTTTTCCTTCCTTTTTCTTTCCTTTTTTCTTACCAATTTTGTTCTTTTTTTTCTTATTCTTTTTTTTCTTTTTTTTTTTTTTCATTTTCTTAATATTTTTTTAGTTTTTTTTTCCGTTAGCTTGGGGCTTGAAGATCTCTGCAAGTAATTCAATAAAAATCAGCCACAGCTCACTAAGGACGGAACGGCCCGCTAAAAGAAAGGAAAGAGGAGGTTTTCGATGGTGCTGATTTCAAAAATCGTATCTACTTCTTCTGAATTTTTGCCTTAATCTTCTTCAATTCTTCAAAATAGATGTTTTAATTGGTAAAAACTTAGTCAAACTCGTATGATCTTGTGAGAAAACTTCCGACACTGTTTTAGTCTTCACAATCAAACAGTAGACACTACTGCTTAAGCAAAATTGTAAAATTCAGAAAAAATGGATACGATTTTCGAAATCAGCGCCATCGAAAACCTCCCCCCCCCTCCCTCCTGTTTCCCTTTTTAGCGGATCTTTCCGTCCTCAATCGCCACAACTTACTTTTTCCATTTTATCCTTAAAATAGACCAATTCTTTGTCGAGGGGCTTGGAGGACTCCGCGATGGGCAAAAACTGCAACACCACAGTAGAGCAGACGAACTACTGATGGATCGGTGTCATCCTTGGGTCTGAAATAAAGCGGACGGCTCAGTAAGGCTTTCAGTAATCTTTGGAATGACTACAAGTGTAATTACGAGAAAAGTTTTCAAATTTTTCAAAAATTTTATATTATCCATGTGCAAAATTTACCTTAGGATGATTCCGAGGGCTTTGGCCAGCTGAAGAACTTGTGTTTTCGGGCGTAGAGGCAGGCCGGGGCAGTAATCTCGTCGTAGACATCCGCTGGGAACAACTGATTGGGTTTGCTGACTTGGCCGAATATGTTTTCAAGCAATGTTTACTTGAATTTCAGGTACAAATATACTTATAAAATTTTTTTACTTCTTTTTGCCTTTCTTTGGCTTTTTTCTTGTTTTTTTCAAAAAATACTAGTCGCGCCATAAAGTCCTGACACATTTGTCGCGGGTGTCGCGCGAGAAAAGTGGCAAGCTCGCGCGAAAGTGCATGTCGCTAGTGCAAAAGTGGGGAATTGCCGCGACGGGTACGAAAGAAAAACAAAAATGCACTGTGCAAATTTCTCAGGACTTTATGTCGCGACTAGTATATTTTTTTCTTGGCCTTTGATTTTTTGGCTCTTTTTTTTTGTCTTTTCTTTTTTGGCCTTTCAATTTTTTTGGCTTTTCTTTTTTTTTTTGGCCATTTTAAATTTTTTTTTTAACTTTTTTTACATTTTTTCTTTCTCTTATCCTTTCGGTAGCGGGCCTTGAAGAGCGAGGATCTCTGAAAAGTAAGAAAATTTATTGAAAACAACGTAAAAACAGCCCGCTCCTCCTGCAAAAAACTCAATCTACGCAATATTTCGTGTTTCGTCAAGAGAGGAAGACTTGACCAAGATGAGTCAACTCTTTCCCCGATCAAGAAAATTCTCCGTTATTACGAAAGTTTTAAAATTTCTGACGAGGAAAGTACTTCTATGGGGTATAGAGTTCCAGGTCGAGTCATATATCAAAAAAATCGCAAAGTTTTTCTGATTCAGAACATGTAAAAGTTAGCTGCCTAATTTTGGTGTGTAAGGGTGAAAAAATCCTCAGAAGTTTTCTCGCAACACCACACAAATTCCCCTTTTTTATATTGGAACGACTAATTAAGGTGTCGTATTAATTAAATTTGATATTATAAGGCTTGTCAAGATGCCAAGGTTCACTTTAGCCAAAAAAAGCTTTTGATTTGGTAAAAACTTTGTCAAAAAGGCATTTGCGTGGGGTTGCGAGAAAACTTCTGAATATTTTTTCACCTTTACAAACCAAAATTAGGCAGCTAACTTTTATATGTTTTGAATCAGAAAAACTTTGCGAATTTTTTGATATATGACTCGACCTGTAACTCCATACGCCATAGAAGTACTTTCCTTGTCAAAAATTTTATATTATCCATGGTAAAACTTACCTCGGGATGGGTTCCGAGGGCATTGGTCAGCTGAAGAGGTTGTGTTTTCGGGCGTAGAGGCAGGCCGGGGCAATAATCTCGTCGTAGACATCCGCTGGGAACAACTGGTTGGGTTTGCTGACTTGGCCGAATATGTTTTCAAACAATTTTTACTTGAATTTCAGGTAAAAATATTTTTATAATTTTTTTACTTCTTTTTGCCTTTTGGCTTTTTTCTCGTTTTTTCAAAAAATATATTTTTTCTTTTTTTTGGCCTTTGTTATTTTTTTGGCTCTTCTTTTTTTTGCCTTTTCTTTTTTGGCCTTTGCATATTTTTTTCTTTTTTTTTTATTTTTTCTTTTTTCCCTTTTCTTATTTTTTTCTGATTCTTTAAAATTTTTTTCTCGGGAAGAAGTGCATCAAACTTCATCTGAAAATAACTCATATTACATTACTTTCGTCTAGGGTCTAAAATGAAAAATATAAATTCAACACGAAAACTTACCTGATTTCCGTCCCAAATTGACCAAACAAGGGGAAGATGGCACCCTTTAATTCTTGCAAGGGCCCCCCGGGCTCATTCAGGGGGCCAGGGCGCCTTTCTTCCCTTGGACCGGTCTTCATCTGAAAATATAATGGAATTACATTACTTTATTCTAGGTTAAGATCAAAAACTCTAAAAAACAACAAAATCTTACATTTTGTGGTCCTGCCGAGCACCCGTTTATTTTCCAGAAGGCCCCCCGGATCAAGTGGGGGGCCGGGGTGCTCCGGCTTCGACCACAAACGGGGAAGAGCACCCTTTTGCGATCCAGAAGCCCCCCGGGCTCATTCAGGGGGCTAGGGTGCTCTCTCCCTCTCAGTTCAGTCTTGCTTGAACGAGATCTGCAAAAAATAAGATAAAAAATGTAAATACAACACGAAAACTTACCTAATTTCGGCCGCAAATTGACCAAAACAAGGGGAAGATGGCACCCTGTATTTGTTCCAAAGGCCCCCCGGGCTGATTCAGGGGGCTCGGGTGCCTTTCTTCCCTTTGGATCGATCTTCATCTGAAAATAATTAAATTATATTGCTTTAGTCTAAATTAAGACCAAAAACTCTTCAAACACCAAACTCTTACATTATTTGATCTCACCGAGCACCCGCAAGTATTCCAGAGGGCCCCCGGATGAAATGGGGGGCCGGGTGCTCCGGCTGTTCACGAATTGGGCATCTGAAAAAATCGATCGTTACGAGTCATTTTACCGCGAATGCTACGATTTTCTTCTACAATATGCCCCCAAAATCCAACAGTGTATAACAAAACGCAATTGTTATATCGGGCACAGCTCGCAAAAACAGTTTTGCAAAAAAACTTACATTTTTCTTGTTCCAGCCGGTCGAACTAAGGTTTGAGTGCATTTGGACGACACAGGATCTCGTGGTTGCTTGTCGTAAGTTTTAATTGGGCAAATTGCTAAAAGATTAGAATTATTGGGGGGACGCTGCGAAAAACTTACGTTATTAGGCATCGTTATTAGGCATGAATGACTGCGCCGAGTTGGGTTTCTGACCACTTAATAGGGATTTACTGCCCTTCGACCTGAAAAAATCTTGATGTTATTGATTAAGATTGCGATAGTAAATATAGCGTTTGAAAAAATGCGAAATTGATAATTTTTGAAGGGCGTTTTGGGTAAAAATGGTAAAGATATCGAAAAAATTGACTTACGAGGCAACCTGGACTCCTGTGAAGTCCGATACGATCGGCTCGACATGTCCACGATGAGCCGTGAAGGAGGTCTTCGTTCCCTTCGTGGACGTTGGTGTTCTTCTGGGCCATTGTCCTCTTCTTGAAGCACTGGGCCAAGTCCTTGAAGTTCCCTCGACCTTCGGTGGGGCCGAGGACGTTGAGGGTCGACTGAGGGCTGGAGGCAACAACGCCTTTTGCAGTTTGGCATCCTTCGTAAAGGCCCAGGAGCCTCGTGATTTTGTGCTTCTGTAGGTGGCGGCGAGTGTTGGGTCACTGGAGGCTGGGTGACGTCAATCCTTAGGATGTCCGCAGTTGTTGGCGTTATTGACCACGCTGTCGTCATCAGCGGGCTTCTGGACCTGGATCTTTCGGCCCTTGGTGGCCGGCCGTCGGCGACTGCTGTCCGAAGGTGTTCTCGATGGCGGGCTTGCAATTCGGAGACTTCTTTCTCTGCCTCTTCCTTCAGTGCCCTTTCTTCTTCGGCCTTTTTGATGGCGGCGGAGGCGGCTTCTTTGGCCTTCTTGGCCTCAAGTTCCGCCTCTTTCAGGGCTTCTTGGTAGAATTCAACTTTTCTTTCCAATGTGGCCTGCCGCTCCCAAATTATGCGGCACTGCTCCTTCCAGAAGTTTCTTTGCCATCGAATGCGGGCATTTTGATCTTCTAATGGCTCTTCAGAGGCTGCATTCTCATCGAAGGCTTCAAGGGACATTATTGATGGGACGCTGTGGAGCGTTGAGTGCTCCTCACTCGTACTGGAGCTGCCATCAAATCTTGATGTGGACGAGAAGTCCAAGAGGTCCACCATCGAGCCCTCAACCGCCTGGTCGGTTGGGGCAGGTTCTGGGCCGAAGCCCGAGGGGCCAGTGGTACTGCTTGACCCCTCTTTACCCTCCTCTGGGACGCCGGTTGGGTGCTGGCCAACCAGAGGAGGGGCCATTACCGCCGGCAGTTGTTCAGCCTGCGCGGAATGGGCTTGGCGCTCGGATGCTGGGCTCGAGCGGTGGCCGGAGGCCTGGCCGACGTTGTTTGGAGACACTGAAATCACCAAAATTAGACGAAAATTCAAAAAATATGGTTGAAACTGGTAACTCCATCGCTAAGGGCCCTAACATAGCCTATTCTCTCTATTTTCCCTATGTATTTTTTTGCTTTTAGGTGCAGATCCTGATGCTGGAGATCCATAATTTTGATTCTGAAGGCCACGGTGACCGAAAATTCCATATTTCACTCAAAGTCCTGTGAAGAATTGTCCATTTGTCCAGAAAACAGTCGAGTGATGTCGAAATTCCATCCAGCTTGAAGTGCAGCGACGAAAACCATATTACCAACACGAAACCCGAGCTGATTTTTTGTTGATGGCGACCGGAAGGCGTATTTATAGTGGTGATCAGGAAATCGACAGCAGAGCAGCTCAAAAGCTGTAGAACACTGAATGAACCGAAGATCGGATCAAACGACAACGTGGAACAAGGAGAACCTTCAAAAGGACCCCAGAAAATGAGATAAGAGCAAATTGATGGCGCTGATCCGGAGCAAAATGATGATTGCTCCTCGATGGAAGAAGATTAGGTGCGGATGGACAACCTTTGGATGATTTGTGGCGATGTCGACGTGAAGATCATGGAAAACGGGTAATGGATTGGATTCATGAAGAGAAAATGATCAGCTTGGTGTGCGGACGTTCGGATTGAGCTAAAATAAGGTGAGTCCAGGGGTCAAATGGGCGAAAACGTCTAAAAGTTTTTGTAATTTCGGTTTTTTCCTTGTATCCGTCTTTTTAATGTTCCATTCCAGATATCCATTGATTTTCGGTAATTTCCAAGACGACATTGATGTCATGAATAATCTTCAGGCCAAGGAAATCATTGCTGAGGCTCGTTACTCCAAAAATCGAGGCAAACATTGCGAATATTTCGGTGGAAATGGAGTCCTGATGTAAAAACAAATTTGATGGTGAAGATGTTGATGGAATGGAATGTTTGGGTGGTCGATGATCCTTCCCCTTTTCTTTACGAACGGTTTGAAGTCGTTTGAAGGTGGTAACTCCAAAGAATCCAGTCGAATGACGCTGAGTTCTGATGTTGGTCAGGTCGGTAAGTCTGTTTGATGGGTTTTTGATGTTGAGATTTGGCTAAGATGATGAACACGGTGTTCTAGCCGATGTTTAAAGTCTCTGAAAAAGTCCACGCGGCACGAAACCGTAAATTCGACGAGCCGGAACGACGAGAAATCACGTACGCCAGGAGAACAGCACTCAGAACACAGCAAGAGGTCTTTCAACAAGATTCTGACAAGAAAAACGAGGACAGGTAGCAAGAACACCATCAATAACGTCACTCCACGGACGAGACGAGCTCCCCACCCCTTGGAAGTTGTCTAATGCGAACCTGACCGTAAGTAATCATCGGAGACATGGTTCAGTAGATGTCGTTCTTCAACAGTTGTAAATTGGTCCAAATGAGAAGGTCCAGGTACTTCCTCGTGACATTAAGTGGTGTCTTACACGAAACCCCGGTTATAAGTCAAAATAAGTCAATGGATATAAAGAATATAAAGTAATGTAAGTATTTATTCAAATATTTTATAAATTACAATTTTAAAAAGATATGGATATCCATTTGTAATGGCTGATGTTTCAGGGCTCCAACGGGACCGCTGGACATGGATGGGAGAACATGACCCATCGAGATGTTGATCTTGGAATTACTGGAACAACGGAAACGGCTGGAAGAAGTCAAAAAAAGCCTTTACCTGGTCCAAGGAGCATATTAGAGATGGAAGTGGATGGCAATTGGATTAAAACACAAATGTAAGACCATTTCTGGCCATGAAAGTGAATAGTTTATTATTTGTTTGGGGATTCTTGGCTCCAAAAATATTCCAAAATACTATGTGTAATGATAATTTATGACAAATACAGTATGAAAACGACATTTATAATAAGAAGATAGAATTTTAGGTGGTTCCCTGGAGGACACAGTGCTGGAACTGCCAAAATTGTCAGAACTGATCCATCTTCGACTTGTTCTTGAGCCACTGAAGTGATGAGAGTCTGTTTGGATGAATCGGAGTTGATTCCGTCGGTATGCATTGTCCAGTCGAAGTTGATCATCATGGATAATATCCGATTTGACACCTCATTGATGAGAAGGATCTTCTTGATGTTGCATTTGGAGGCTTCGGTAAGATCTTTGAAGATTTCGGGACTGGGATATTGGTCATGAGACATGAAAGTTTTGGTGTGGGGCAAATTTTATGTTTTGGGCTTATGTTTTTTAGCAAAATTTTATGTTTTAAAATTTATATTAAAAATACGGTCAGAATTTATTAAGGGAGTGTAAAAAAGCTCAAGCTTGAAAGGCCGATCGTTTTTGGTCCGAAATTTGCTGATTTTTGTATAAAATACGGCAAAAATGACGAAAAATGCCCGAATTTTTTTCTTCCACCCACAATTTTTTTATGAACGGCGTTGCTGGTCCTAAACACTGTAAAACTCAAAAAATTAGACTTACAAGCTTCCAAGATTCAAATTTAGCGGAAATCGATCTATCGCGTTGTAACAAATGATATCAAGGCCAATTTCGGCTGTATTTCGAGAAAAGTGATACCCGGCGGGCTTTACAGTTATCCCCACCAGCCATGAAATTACTTTCTTTAGAAAGCTTTTTAGTCATATTCTCCTGGAATATTACACTCCGAGGCCTGCTGGTGTATTTTCAAGGCCATTAGGCCTAGTTTTTTTTATTTTTGGCGGGATTTACGGTAGAAACCCACCAGCCAAAAATGGATCGTCAAAATTTAGTATTTTTCTGATGAATTTCCAATATAAGGAAGTCTTGAGTTTCAAATCAAATACATGAGGCAATTAGAGCTCAAAGCCAGCTGGTTCGAGCCCTTTTTTTGAGTCTTTAACTCCAAAATTATGTTGTAGACATCAGATATCAGGACCAAGGGAAGTTTTAATATTTTTGCATATTACTGCCCCTAAGCTCAAAGTAAATCATCTCAAATCGGCTTAAAAATATTCTGCGGGTCTCAAAGCAGGGATTTCGTCATCAAAATACCCAAAAAAATCCAGTGTCATCATCTACTACAATATCATTATTTTAGGATTTTTTCGATCAAAGATGGTGCTATAAACAAGCCAAAAGATGTCAAAAGGAATGTCGAAATGGCTGTGGTAATTTGAATTTACCTCATGATGACGGATCTCCTGGAACTTTGATGACAAGATTCCAACTTTGAAATCTCCGCTTAGAATCCCCATAAAAACCCCGAAAAAACCCCAAAATCCCCCGGACTTACACGTCGACCGTTCCCCAACCCCAACCGCCGGGACGGCAGCGGCGGTTGGAGTTGGGGCCATCGCCGTAAAGGCGGAGACATCGCCGGAATGGCGGGAGGTGGAGTTGGTGTTGCTGGAGCTCATGGTGAACGTTTAGCGAAGACGATAACCAGATCCTTGAAGGAGTAACCGGTAAATGAGAAAAATGAAAACGAAAATTTGGTGAATTTCGAATATGCAAATTTTGTTTTTTTGTGAAAATTCGTGGCTGAATTTGATTTTTTTCTTCCAATTTTATTCAATTTATTGTTGGCAAAATTCTTGAAACATTGTGGTATTTCGGAGGATTTCATCGAATTTTGTGGGTATCTGGACGAGCATGGGCAAAATGTTTGGGATGAAAGCCACATTTTGGTGAGTTTTTGATGAATTCTGTTTGATTACTTTTGATTTTGATGCATTTTTAATGTTTATGGATTTTTAGATCGTTTTGTGCCCACAGTAATCCCCTATGCTCAGATTCAACACTGTATCAGCTGCTGGACGTGTGTCATCATTTGGTGATCAAAATCGTCGATGAAAACACATCTCACATCCCTTGAAGTTCTATAGCCTCAATTTGAATGGTGTTTGTGGAGATCTAACTTGAAACGAATCGATATGTAAGGAAACTTTGGTTTTATTACGAATAAATTGTGAATGAAGTAATTTTTTGGAGTGTATTCGCAATTTTTGAAGCTGAAAATTTCTGGGAAGGGACGACGCGGATATCTAATAGGATATAATTGGATATTAATGGATAGTAATGCATTTTTTTGGATGTATTTGAAAAAAGTGGGCATTGATTTATCTAGTATAATATGAACTGATTGAAACAATTAAGCTTGTTATTGATACAGAGGTCGACATTCGTTGAAATGCTCTTCATCTTTTGTGGAGCTCATTTGTACAATTTACAGCCTTCAAGCTTTGCCATTTCTCTCTTTATGTGTCATCAAATTCGATGTCAAGTCTAATATTAGAATTGCCGATTTCTCCTGATTTTCTAACATTTTGATGGAGTCGCATGATACTGGATGAATTTTTATCCTGTCCAGATGGTACGCAATAACACAACAGCTGAATATTGTTTCGTCGTTATTTTTTTATAAGGTCCAACATCTGACGTCTAGTGCAATACAAAGTTTCCTTTCAAAAATTTTTTTATTATAAAATTTTTCAAAGATGGCAGTAAAAAAGAATGTTAAAGAAGTATGACAGTTATATTCCGAGTTTAAAATCCTGACATTTTGGATGCAAAACGACTTTTCCCTCCAAATTCATGAGATCCGCGCCTCCCACAGTCAGCAGGCCTCTTCTCGCACATTCTCCAACATAATTGTGGATGGGCCGGCAGTAACAGGGCTCCTGGAGTCGGTGGTTCTGCCGTTTTCTTCGTCGATTCTTTTCCTCGCATTTGCAAACTTGCACTGTGCAGTCTTTTAGGAATTTCGAATAGGGAAAGGTGGAACGGCAGGACGAAAGGAGGGACATCTTCTTGATTTTCTTACAATTTCGAGAGTACTTCCGACGTTCTGCACGATGCGATGGCGAAATGAGTTTGGAACAGCTGAAAAACTGGGATTATTATGGGCAAGTGTCAAGTATAAGATAAATAAGCTGGTTTGAGAGGCGATGGTTGTAGAGCAAAGGTTTCGCGGCCATAATGTTTAATTATAGGCCATTTTAGACCATCTACAAAGCTTTTTGGCTTTCTGCACGTATCTAATAGAAAAATATTTGACCTAGTATAAGGTCAAGTACATCACGATGTAAGTCAAGTACACTTGATGAAATAAGGTTAGGGTTGTAAATTAGGATCTGACAGTTCTAAAAAAGCTCATAGTAAAAGGATTGAGAATCCCCGATAAAAATATGGATTTATCAACTAAGTCATCAATATCTAGCATTTATAAGGTCCGGACGTCGAAACTGGTGCTCTAAGCTGGGATTAATATTGCAAAATTTGCGTAAAATGACTCCTAGACGTTTTTAAAATACGACTCCTGCGGTTACGTCATAACCAACATGGAAATCTATAGTTATATTGTTATAAGTGCTACATCAATTTTAATCTCCAAAGTGTCGCCAAATACTACTCGCGGAAAAAAGTCCTTAGAATTTTCTGCGACTCTGCACTGTGCATGAACCCGAAAAGTGCTTTTGCACTGTGCAATTTTCTTGATTTTGCCTTATTGTCGCGCGCGATTCCCGCGACAAATCAACATTTCGGAGTGCGACGAGATTTGGGGGCCGCGAAAAATTCTAAGGACTTTTTTCCGCCACTAGTAAAGTCAAACCAATTTTAAAACCCCTCCCAATTTCTAGCAATCTCAAAAAATCAGATTTCCACTTTAACTTCCCAACGTACTGATCCTCAAGCTCCTCATCTTCTTCGGTTTCCATTTCCAAAACATCCCTTTCGCTTTGGCCGTATAAATCCTCCATCCCGCATTCAGAATCTGTTTTCCAGGACTCAATGAACTCAAAAGTGGAGGCAGCTGGGCCAAGCCCAAACTGTGGCCAATGGTCGTCGCTGGGATGCCCGTTGAAATTGCCGCAAAGACCGCAGAGGATGTGGGCGTTCGATTTGTCGGCCTGAAAACGGATTTTTAGTTGGAAAATTGGAGAGGGAGGTGGCAATTCACAAGCTTTTGGATAATTTTAGGGTGAAAAATTGAATTTTTATAAAAAATGGCGAGAAATTTGTGATTTTTGACTTGAAATTGATGCGCAAACAGATAAATAATAATTAAAAAAAATAAATTTCTTATGGCGCTTGAAACTCACGTCAATGCGAATATCACTGTGCGGTCCCCACTTCAAAGTAACACCAGTCCCATGCAACTTCACATTCAAATCATCGTTGGAATCGATAAAAGCGTTGAAACGATCCGATTCTCGAGGCAATTTGATCCGACGATTACGGTATTTTAGCTCCTAAACAAGTCATAGTTACTCTCTGAATGCGATTTATATTCTTCCTTACCTTTCCATGGAGCAAGTACATTTTTCCGAGCCGAAATCCATTCGGAACAGTTAATTCGATCCCAATTTTCTTCGGAGCCCCGTTGGCAGAGGTCTTGATGGTGATGATAAATGGCGAGGCATTGCTGAAAAATTATTTTTTAATTGCTAAAACAATGAAAGTTGACTTTATCTCAAAGGTTTGAATAAAGGTTTAGTTGCACAGTGCAACCAACGTTTAGATTTGCACTGTGCGAAAAATTTTGAAGAAATCGCACGGTGCGGAAAATTTGAAGGAAACTTTTCCGCACCGTGCAAGCGAGGCGATAGATGCATTGTGCGAAAGATTTTGAAGAAGCTTCGCACAGTGCGAAAAATTTGAAGGCATTTTTTTGCACCGTGCAAGCGGGGCGACAAATTCGAAAAAGGGAAAACTGCGCAGTGCGGAATCAAAAGAAGATGCACTGTGCGGAAAATTTCAAAACTTCTTCGCACGGTGCAAAAAACTTGAAAGAAATTTTGTCGCGTTGTGCAAGTGTGGCGACAAATTTGGGAAAGGAAAGAAATTGCACAGTGCGGAATCAAAAGAAGATGCACTGTGCGGAAAATTTCAAAACTTCTTCGCACGGTGCAAAAAACTTGAAAGAAATTTTGTCGCGTTGTGCAAGTGTGGCGACAAATTTGGGAAAGGAAAGAAATTGCACAGTGCGAAAATCAAAAGAAGATGCACTGTGCGGAAAATTTCAAGACTTCTTCGCACGGTGCAAAAAACTTGAAAGAAATTTTGTCGCATTGTGCAAGTGTGGCGACAAATTTGGGAAAAGGAAGAAATTGCACAGTGCGAAAATCAAAAGAAGATGCACTGTGCGGGTAATTTCAAAACTTCTTCGCACAGTGCGAAAAATTTGAAAGAACTTTTGTCGCATGGTGCGGATGCGCTTGAAAAATTGATGCACTGTGCAAAAAATCTCAAACCAAATTCGTAAGCATTGAAAATTTTTAATAAATCGAAGACCCTTACCCATCAAGAGCGCATCGTTGTGTCATCACGAATTCGCAAGATCCCGAGTCCAATTTGAAAGCCTCTCCATCAAATGACGTCATCATTCCCTTTTTGGTCAATCGACAGCCAGGTTCTCGGGGTTTTCGAACAATTGGGACCGAATCTTCACGTATTTTACAAACCGGACAGCATTTGTCCTTTGGGTTTTCGGTGAGTTCTTGACATTGAAGGGCCGGGCAAGTCTTGATGTGACAGGAAATCTCGCCGTTGTGACATTTGCAAATTGAACAGGGCTCCGGATTCCATTCATCCGATTCCTGAAGAGATTAGAGAAACGAGTTCTTGAAAACAAGGATAGGTTTCTGCATAACGCGGTCTTAAATTTGAGAATTTCATCAAAAAATCTAGTCTTAGAATTACCAAAATTTCTAAAAGTGAGATTTTTTGAGGCTAAAACGTCATGTTTTGAAAAATTCATAAGGAGTTCTGAAGGTCTCCAAAATACCGCCAAACTTGGTCGCAATCGATGACTCACACGGCAATTCTAAAACACAAAAAATATAATAAAATATCCCACCTTATACATGTTGATTTTCCCATTGATCTGAACATAGCACAACTTCTCTTCTCGGTCCTTTCGATGGTCACAGAAGGGACAGCAGACTTGTGGGAGATACTTGGGGTTCCTGCAGTTGGGTGGGCAAACGAACCTCTTGCAAACGATCCCCAAGGAAGAGCATTCACATCGAGAGCAAACGTCCGGACGAAACGCGTCGCCAAATTTGTAATATTGGCCGCGGAATTCGCAGGAGTTCTGGAATAATATCACATATTATGCAGGGCGGCAAAGAAATACTTGTAAAATACGTTGTAAGACTTCGGCAAAAAACGCGAGGTTCTACAAGCCAAGGCGCAAATAAGGAATGTTTCCGGGACCCAAAACGGATGGTCTCTTGATAGAAAATAAAAAATTCGTTTTTTTTGTTGCTATAAATGGAACAGAGGTGAAAGGTCAGTGGAGATGGCTGAAAAAGGTATGCTTTTTGTGTTTTCTTATTCGGAGCAGCTCGGCACAAAATTTCGCTGGTCCTATATTTTTTGCGGTTGAACGATTTTAGGTACCTTTTGACATAACGAAGTGTGGAAATGGATGTAGCTTCCCAAAGAAACGGCCAGGAGTGCTGATGGTTTTTGTCGAGTTACAGGCAAAATCTTCACCAAAACACCTAGTGAAACATAACATTTTCCAGGAATCCGAATCCAGATGCAAGAAGACTGCGAAACCTTGGCCACGAAGACTCGCTGAGGCCACAAACAAGGCACGAGACCGATGAGCTAGAACGAACATTGGACGTTTTGATTGGGTGCATCGGGATTGGGCTTCCTGGGGCCTGTTTCACGAACGCAAAATAAAGAAAATAGAAATATGAGTGAGCGAGGGAACAGAGGAAATGCATGCGAAACGGGAGAGACGGCAGGAAAATGAGGATTGCGCCAATTCTCAATCGGAGTGACTTTTTACGTCCAAAATTACGGACTGGTGGTAGTATTTGAGCCATAACTTTCCTCTACTTGGGCCTACAAGCACCCTCCAAAAATTCAAATAATGCTGAGACTTCGGGCTATGTAGATCTATAAAAATTTTTGCTCTACCGCCAATGACAAAGTTACCACAGGCGTTGTAGTGTTGAATTCTTCTACTTTATAACGCTAAAAGGCCTTTTTTCGCGTTAAAACACAATTTTTCTAAAAGTCAAGCGCAGGTAAACAACCCTGGCTACACGAAAAATCAAACTGCTTCAATTTCCTTTAAACTTGGAAAACTGTAGTTACGTACCATTCTAAGAAACTTTCCCGTTATCTTTTTTTCGAAATCTTACTTTACTTTGGGTTACTGTAAAATGACTCGTTTTGTCATAACTCGAGAACCAGATGTCGTAGCGAGACGGGGTCTTCACCAGTATGTTCAGCGTGCCGAAAGACGGCTTTTTGTTAGCTACACCAAGTTTCGAAGACGCCGGAAAGTGTCCGAGAACGGGCTGTTTGAAGTTGGGGCATCCAGTCATGAATGAGCAAAAAATCGGAGTAAACCGTATAAAATCATTGTTAAATGGCAAGAATGAAAAGTAAATTTTGCTATTACATCGTATCGGTCATAACAGAGGATTTTCCACATAATTTTCATAAATTTGCATGTTTTGGAATTACTTGCATTTATTGCGAAAACGTTGCAAAAATATATCTTGATGAGGGATTTGGGAAAAAATATTGTTCGCTTTTGCTTAGTACCTTCCAACGGTCATTTTAATGTAAAAAACTCAAAATCGATTTTTTCCCACGTCCACGCCTAACTGGCGGCTGATGCACCGAAAATGCAAGAAATTCCAAAATATGCAAATTTAAGAAAATTATGTGGAAACCCCTCTATTATGACCGATACGATGTAATAACAAAATTTACTTTCCATTCTTGCCATTTAACAATGATTTTATACGGTTTACTCCGATTTTTTGCCCATTTGTGACTGAGTGCACCAACTTCAAACAGCCCGTTCTCAGACAGCTCGGTTCGCACGTTCGAGTTTTTTACACCGTTGGAACCGCTATGACTTCTACTTTCGATCGATTAAATAAAAATGAGCATAATTTGGGTAAAATTTTTGAGAAATTTGCATATTTTTGAATTTTTATATAAATATTCAAATTTTTCGGACACTTTCCGGCGTCTTCGAAACTTGGTGTAGCTAACAAAAAGCCGTCTTTCGGCACGCTGAACATACTGGTGAAGACCCCGTCTCGCTACGACATCTGGTTCTTGAGTTATGACAAAACAAGTCATGTTACAGTAACCCAAAGTGCAGTAAGATTTCGAAAAAAAGTTAACGGGAAAGTTTCTTAGAATGGTACGTAGCTACAGTTTTCCAAGTTTAAAGAAAATTGAAGCAGTTTGATTTTTCGTGTAGCCAGGGCTCTCCAAGCTTAGAAAAAACTTGTTTTAAAAGACGATTTTTGGCTCGCTGCGTCAGCCAATACGAGGGGCCGGACATTCAAAAAAATTTTTTTTGAGTTTTTTGGCCTAAAATGTTGGTATAGGTCACTAAAACACATTCCCAAATTTTTTTGCCCAGTGATGCCCGGAAGCTAGAAATTTGCATACGGTTATATCCGTCCTTCTGAGCTCTGCTGTTGCCGTCGCAATAAAGACAACTTGACGAAACCGACACCGTATAGGTTTTGGTGGATGGCGAATTCAAAAATCGCAATTTCAAAGTAGTAGGATTACTGTAACATACAGTTTTTGACCTTCGGTCGATAAAAATCGACCGTATCTTCTTCAAATCAAAAATCCCACAAGATTTTATTGCAGATTTGGAATCAGCGTAAAATTCTGGTCTAGGGACATGTAATTTGCATCCTTGATTCCGTGGCAGGTAAATCATGGCGCAGTGGGTTTTGACGAAAACTAGTAATCTACCGACCCTGGTTCGATCCCCGCTGAAGACAAATATTGTAAAAAATGTGGAAATGACATTTAATGGAATTATGAGGGTTATATGAGCAACGCTGAGTATTTTTAGACATCAATGGAACATGAATTTGAGGCTAGAACAGGGTTTATATTATTTTAGCCTCGGAATCCGTGAAAAATAAAACTGCTTCAAACGGCCTGAAATTGATAACACCTATTCTGGGCCTAATTCTTAGAAACTTTTACGTTAACTTTTTTTTGTTAGATTACTGTATCGTGGATTTACTGTAAACCGCGGACTCAGGTCTACATGATTTTTTTTAAATGGTGTCGATCCGACAATTTTGGGCGATGTTATGAGGGAATTAAGCTAGAATTGCAAAAATTTTATAGAAAATAGAAATATGCGCATTACTACTGCTATTTTCGAGCGAGTTTTTGCAACAATGCAACGAAACTTGCATACATGACAGTCCAAACAGTTAGCATTATTCGAAATTTTGAAGGGTGATTCTACGCCCATGGAGGGAAAAGTTATGCCCGAAACACTGCCGCCAACCCTGATTTTGGACGTAAAAAGTCACTCCGATTGAGAAGTGGCGAAATCCTCATTTTTCTGCCGTCTCTCCCGTTTCACATGCATTTCCTTTGTTCCCTCGCTCACTCATATTTCTATTTTCTTTAGAAATATGGGTTTTTGCGTTCGTGAAACAGGCCCCTGGAAAATATTATGTTACACTAGGTACTTCGGTGTAGTTTTTGCCTCTAACTTGACAAAAACTCAACCATCAGCACTCCTGGCCAGTTCTTTGGGAAGCACATGCATTTCCACGCTTCGTTATGTCAAGAAGTACCTAAAATCATCCAAAACACAAAAAATATTGGACCAACTCTCGTAAAAAGCTTTTCCAAGCTCCTCTAAAATAGAAAAACACAAAAAGCATACCTTTTTCAGCCATCTCCACTGATCTTTCACCTCTGTTCCATTTATAACAACAAAAAAAAACGAATTTTTTATTTTCTAGCAAGAGACCACCCGTTTTGGGTACCGGGGACATCCCTTATTTGCGCCTTGGCTTGGAGAACCTCGCACTTTAAAACTAATAAAGGAAAGGAGTAAAAAAGTGGTTTAAACTGCTCTTTTGCCTGACATGGCAGCCAGGCTAGCAGGGCCGGGCCTTCTTTTCATCGGGATCCATGCCCTGATTTGCAAAAGCTCGGCCGATTTCCATGTCTGGGAAAAACACAAACTCCCGAAACAGAACGCCAAACATTTGAAAAAGAGTTGTCTCCAATTCTCTCCCTTCGGCTGCCAACTCACCTCCACTTTATAAACTCTTCTTTGCTTCGAACATTCGGGACAACATTGTCCATTCCGTTGAACCTGCTGATCTATTGGGCAGTTTAGAACAGGACAGGCCAGCTTGAAGCACTGCTCGAAAAGACCAACTAAAATTACAGCATGAAGTCCGGGTTCTTTATTTTTTGACCAAATAACGATTGTTTCGCCCTTGAAGAATTTTTTGGGGATGATAGTAAAGAGCCTTAACTTTTCATGCTTTTATAGCAACTTACAAATGACTTCGCATCTCACACATGGATCGAAATGTAATCTCCTCGATTTCTGAACGGGGCAGAGACGACAGCACGCCTTGGGCATTCTGACTGGGCTGTCGCAGTCGGAAATGCAATGCATCCGGCTGAGAGTTGTTATTCCTGTCTGTAAATGATGATATAATTTTTTGTTATTTTTGAAATTGTATTCTTATAAGTATATTACATACTGACAGGCAACTACTCCAAGCGCTACCAGATTTTTTTCAAAAATGTAACCTTTCTTGGCGAATTTTGGCATGAAGTTGGCTCAACGCCTCGTTCAACAAGTTAGACACGTTACCTGGCACATCTCTCTGGTGCATTTGTCCTCCTTGCTCGCCCAAATCGCTCCATGTTGTTTACTTTTCGCATTCTTCATCCTACATTTACTGCATTCCCCACAACACGAATCCGTTTCGCTGGGCTCAATCAGCGGGCATAATGAGCTGATGACCGGGCACTCCTTTCGAGAGCAGAGCAGATTTTTGTCCTGAAAGAGGGCGACTCTAGTAATAATTTTTGTCACAAATGATGTCATCAAAAGCCTACGGTTCTCTTCTTAACAACTACGGCTATTCATAGTAAAATAAATGATATTTTTGCTCTGATATGCATATAACAAGCACTCAATTATATATTTTTACGTAACAATCAAAAATTCACATCGATTAGTTAGGTCTCTCTCCGGCAGGCAAATGATTATGCAACCTAGCCAACCCAACAAGTGGTTCGTATGTCCAGGGCACGGTAATTGACCCGGCACACGTCAATTATTGTTGTTATAAGGTCAAAGGTTAGATAAGATGACATGAAAATTATTGATGGATTTTTGAGGTAATTTTATTAAAATCGAATCTCTGAGTTTGGGAAAACAGTCAATAAAAGGTATCAATTGTAAAGACCTTCTTACCTTGCAAATACACGTGTAACAATTGGCGTCAGTTCGGCCGCTGGAGGTCTGATCCAAGGTCAATCTTTCTCCTTCGTAAGAACATTTAAAGGCTAAAAGAGGAGTTTAAAATACGCTTCGTGCAAACACAAGGATATTTAATGCGGAAAAAAGTTATACTTATTACTACACCTGTTATATCGAAAAATATTAAAATTTTGATAAAAATAAGCCTTAAAATTAAAGTTAGGAAAAGTGATGTTTCGTACCACCCCCTCATTTCAATATGGGATGTTAAATTGTACGAAGGCTCCACATCATTCTCTTAAATCTTTTTTACTTACATTTTCGACTGTGATCGATTCCATTTGACAAGTTGTAGTAATTGTAATCATTGATCGTATATTCGATATTACTCGAATCTCCAGCAAATACAACACACAATATTGTCAGAAATATAATGTAGACACTACAGAGACGATCTACAGTCATTTTCAAAATCAGCAATCACTGTCATCAGAGTAAAAACAAATTTTCAAAAAGAAATTGACTTTTTTTAGATGTAGGCCAAAAGTTTAGAAATTACAAAGTTCAGGACAATTAAAGGGCAAAGTAATGTAAAAATAGACAAGCGGAGTTGCAATTTACTTTCCCCAGAGTTTCCAAAAAGTTTGGGGCATAATTAAATGAGAGGGATCGGAGATAAATGTTGAGGGAAATAGGCAAATCTCCGGGTTATGCAATGGAAATACGGCTAATTATAGTGGCTATAATTACGTAATGGATGTTTTAGGATACTGTAGACAGTGGTTGAGACATAAATTACGTAAAAACAGGGTAAAGTACGGGTTCTTAGACTTTTTGAAATTATATTTTTTTTAAACTTAAATTAAATTTACTTTTAAATTTTTGTAAAATACGGTTGTGGAGGTTAAAAAGTTCAAAACATCCTGAATTTTTCCCTAAAATCCGTGAAATGACCTAAGGGTGTTTCCGAGAGCCCGTCTAATGACTTCATAATTGATCGTGTTTAACCAGAAATGTTTGTTCTCGGATGATGTATCGGTTTTATATTCCAAACGGACTTGGCGAGCTCTTGAGGAGTTTAATACGTCCGAGTTTTATGTAAATAGATCAAAAAATGAGGGAAATGATGACGGAGGATAGGGCGAGTTAAAAAAAAATTAGCTAACAAGGGAAGTTCAGTCGTATTTTTAACATTTCATAGGCTAAAATAAAGTTTTTTCTGCAGTAGTCCACTGAAATCACTATAACTGCAAAAGAAGTAGTTACTATGCAATAAGATTACTATTCTTTACTCCATTAGCTCCAAATTTACTTCTCATTAAAATTGCATCCACTACTGATGTAATCCCGATATCCATCACAAATCTTCATGTCATCTTACCTAACCTTTGACCTTATAACATCATTAATTGACGTGTGCCGGGTCAATTACCATGCCCTGGACGTGCAATCCACTTGTTACGTGGGCTAAATTTGTTAATGGGACGGTTTGCCGGGGATGTGTCGATGTGGATTTTGGATTTATTATGTAAAAAGCAATAGGATTCCTTTTACAAAATGACCAATTAAAAACTTGAAAATAAAATTTTGCGTTGCAACTTTTTGATGATTACTTTCCAATATACTGAAAAAAATCTTTATGCTTCAAAATTTTCAATGAATTCAATATAGCGTCAATGTGACGCAATATCAGATTGAAAAAACCTGTTAAATTAACTATTAACACGCATTCCCCTCAATTCTTTCTGAATCACCAAAAACATAGCCGATTTCAAGCCACAATTCCCCAATCTACAGTCTTTTCCGTTCCCCGCAACAAAGATAAACTCATTGAAATTTAATGAGCCGAGTTCATTGCTCAATCCAACTGTAACATGACCTTCCACGACACTGCCGACCTCTCTGTCATAATATTAAAACCGCTGCATTTCACGTGTCAACGAGTCCAAAATTGGCCGCTCTTAGCAACAGACGATCAACCGGTTGCCTAAATTATGCGAATTGTTGAAATCCTTCTCAAACGATCTGGAAGTCGCAGAAATAAACATTTGGAAAGGTATCTATGAAGAAGGTATGTGTGCTATTTCTGCTCACAACTATTAATCTGATTGCCAAAATAGTTGCTGACTTTGCTCAAATCCCCGTCCGATACAACGTGGACTACGCGAATGCGGTGAGCTCCATGTCCGTCAGCGACCCCAATGATTGCGTGGCGCTGGGCGACGATGACACAATAAATGCTATCATTTATTATACGAATGGAACTTGTCTCGGGTTTCAGTGGATCGAAAGTTGGCTACCTTCTTCGGAAAGTGTACAGAGTAAGCCGAAGGCAGAGATGACCGCGTTTTGACGATAACAGATCGCTAGATTTTGCCCAAACTTGTTATTAGTAACAACACTTTGCATACAAGATACTTTTTTAACATTATATACGGAAAATAAAGTTGGACGAAAAGCAGCTCAAGTTTAGGGCACAACTTGAGATACCCGAGATTCCTTTCGCTTTTCAGAAACTACCTAGATTTTATAAGTAATCGAAAAATTTACGTTTTCAGCAACCTTCGGCCTTTGAAATTTAATTACGCTTTTTAAAGAAAAATTCAAAGTTTTCCTTTCCGGAACCAAAAAGTTATAGGAAGAAGCCGTGTTTACTCTTGCCAACTCTCCTCATTTTGCGTGCTCTCTTGCAACGAAGGCTGTTTTTAATCCAGATTGGCATCAAAAATTAGGAGCGGAATCTCTCAGCGAGCTGTTTCGTAAAAACTTAAAAATAATTTTGACATTACAAGTGCTCTAAGCTCTGTAAAGCGTCAACTAAATGTTGAAAGTATTGTAAGAATTCTAATCGACCGTATTCTTTAGGTAACGGTGTTCGAAACTTTGCAATATACCTCAGAACCTTCAAGAAGGCATGTGATTGTCTTCCCTCTCAAGCCGCCGAAATGGTCATTGTTGATTACAGTAAGCTCTTATTGAAAACTAAATATTTCAAACTCTCACCTGGATGACGAGAGTACCAAAAGTTTCTTGATTAATCGTGTCATCTTGATGGATTTTCTTTAAAAAGCTGCTTGTTACTCAAGTTTTTTTCAGCATATGGAGGTAAAATATGTCCCGACACGTACAAAATTACGTACAACGAAAGCAACAAATATTGTTCGGGAACAGTAAGTTACTTTTTTTCCATAATGCCAAAGGAGGTGCGACGCTCAGATTTTGCGCACAATTGCACTTATACCACCTATGAATTCCCGAAAATTTCAGCTCTCGCTTTGCAGAGGCAGCCGAGATATTCAATGATCTTAGTCGACGAGAGAGTGCGCCAAAAGCGGAGAGTGATCAGAGAAAAAAATTCTTTGGCGGTATCTCTGCAAACCTCGCGTGGAAAAAATTGATTTTTTTGGAGAGACGTTGCTCTCATCAAAAGAAATATGGCTATGGAAAAAATATTTCGAATATTTTGGGTGTCTTTGCAAAGAGCGAGCGAGCTGTGAATTACGCCTATCTTACAAGAATTTATCTAAAATTTTAATAGGTTCCGTTAAAATGTTACAATTAGCGTCGCACTTCGAGCCCTAGCGATTCCAATTTTCTGCTTATATTAATTTAGATAGCCAATCAGAACACTCCGTTTCCCTGGGGCCATCGATACCGTAACTTTCGAACAGGCGTCACTTCAGACAAACGATGGTATATGATGAACAGAGCACGTAAGTTTGCTTCCCAACTCAATTTTACAAATCTCAGAGGCCTCCGGAACGACGAAATACACTTGTGACCATCCCAATTGCTTTGTCTCCTATTTCAATGGCGAGTATACCGCCTACACGAAGCAATCGGTATATGTGAACACGACAACACCGCTGATTGCAAATGATTGTGACGGGTATATGGCGAACAGTTCGCCAGTCAAACTGGTGAATTGGTTGTCACGGGGATTCTTGTATGGTAAGTTTTGTGAAGTAAATTAGCTGTACCAGAGACTAGCAGGCCAAAGCTTTCAGGAATTACTTCGCATTGCATGACTTTTTTTCTAAACTTCAAGAAAGTCTTACTGTCGCACAATTAATGTCAATCTGTCGTGAAAATAGTGAGCACTTAGCCGCTGCTCCAATCACAATTGAAAAGCAATTTGATTTTGCCGCTACACAATTTGTTTTCTTCTTGCGGTGATGCTATTTTCGATGAGACAGATCTGTCGCGACATTATTTTCCAGACAGATTAATGTGTACTCAGCCGCGCACGTTAAGAAAAAATAAAAGAAAAACGGGCGCCCAATGAAAAAGCCTAGAATTTTTTTTGGCATTCTGCCCTGTGCAAATTCGTTTTTGTCCAAATGGTTTGCAATATTTTGACATAAAGATTATTAGTAAATCACAAGATATATTGATACAAATATAAAGCTCGAGAGTTGCTTAAGCTAATAGAACCAAAATATACCCATAATCATAGTGTTTTGACAGTCTTCCAAGGCGTAGAATACAACGTCTAAATAAAAGTTTGTATCGACGATACCGAGTCAGAGAGCACTGGAAGGAGATATACGCTCCACGTCAAAAAAAATCCTTAAACTGTTGTTCGAGTATCTACACCGGTCTCGTCCCGCTTGATGGGACAGTTTTTTTGATATTCGGCCTTGAAATTTGCGCTATTTTTAGCCTAGCTCGAACCATGTTCAGAAAATTCGTCACGATGACACCCATTTAGAATGCAACAGCGGTATAAAAAACAGTTGTATACGACTAGTAGTACTCCCTAGAGTTCCCATAAAAAAATTAGGTTAAAAATTGCTGTTATGTGCAATTTGGATGACAGATTTTATGAATTTTTTTTCGCTGTGAGAACCTTTGCAATGCCCGAAATTTCTTGACGTGCCGTGCAACAATTTCGTCCAACAATCTCTTTCTTTTTCCAGTATTCACTTCCGGCGGTCCTCTTGTTGGAATGTATCGAAAAAGTGGGACTACATACGTAAACTGGGACAACACAACGGCCAACAGTTCGGAGGTGATCTGGAAGAGCGGCTATCCGGACAGCAGCCAAGGAGACCTTATCTTTGTGGACATAGACGCACTGGAGTTGGTCAATGTGAAGAACAACTCGGGATACAACTTTCTTCCCTGTATGGGAACCCCCATTACTCGGTGAATGGTTGTATAAAATTTAGATCCTCTGGCATGGCTGTGATAAGGAATTTGTCTGATATGGCTTTTATTCAAAAGAATTACGTAGGAATTCAAAGTTTTGTGGCGTGTGCTATGCATGGGAAAACGTTATCCACGTTTTCGGGGCCGTTGAATAAACTCAGGCCCTGCACTCCGACCATGACGATGTCACCGTCGTCTAGTGGATATCCATCTTGCCAGAATAGTTGATCCGTGGGGATGGTGGTGTTGTCCCAGTACATCCAACCGGTCCCGTTTCGAACTATACCAACTACCGGCCAGCCGTAGTTGTTTACTGAAACGGTAAAAGTTCTAATTGTGTGTATGGTATGCTGGAAATTTGGTCGGAACTTGGAAATGAACTTTCAGAGAAATTTCGGGGATTTTGAGCTGGCGCTTTGCAATCGTTGAGAATGTCAAATAAAAGGTTTCGAGATTTTCGTAGAGAAAAAACTAACATGAAAAACTGAAGTCTAAGTATAGAGTATAACTTGGTTATAAAAAAATTTATAAAATCTAATTGTAAAACACGTCGTAGAACCCCCCTTTGCATCCAATCAAGGTGCTAAATTGTAGCCAGGATGATTTTTGTTTTGCGTAAAAAACCTTATTTTCTGCGAAAGAAGTGCATGTCGCTTGGGGTAAAAGTATGAAATTATATCGACAAAGGCAAAAAGTCATAGAAAATAAAAAGTATCTGAAGGTTTTTGGCTTTAACCGAGTTCCGATTTAACAACTGGAATACCAGTCTGTCGGAAAAAAAATATCCAAAATCGCATCGCCGCTGAGAAAATGACTTGTAATGTGGCTAAATCATATTGCTTTTCCCAATTCAGCGTTGCGATCGGCGCAGTAATATTGCGTTCATTATTTTCCCGACAGACTGAAATGTGCAAAAATTGGAAGCAGTAGGGCTACAAGGAGCTCAGACTTCCTAGTTCATGCTTCGCAGAAATAAAACATCCTTTCATTCCGAGGGTTGGTGACAATTTGGCACTTCTCTTCGGAGTTAATCCACGAAACATTCACTTATGAATACCAAAGGAATCAACGGTTCTAACAATAAGAAAAAAATAATTTCTTTCAAAAAGATTTTCTCTCCGCTCTCTGCATTTCCCATATACTCTTTCGTCGACAAAGATTGTTTTTTTTTAACTTTAAAATACCTCGGCTGCCTTTGCAAAGCGAGAGCTAAAGCTTTTAGGAATTGATTTGTGGTCTAGACTTAAATTTTGTACAAATTTAAAAGAAAACACCAACGTCGTATGTTCAGCACCTCTCAATTATTAAATTAAAGAAAACGAACTTACTGTAAAGAAATCCCCGAATGAGGTTGTTGAAAAGTTTGACCGGAGTGCCACCAGTCAAATAATCTTTGCATCGATTTTCGATCAACGGAGTCGACGAGTTGATGTAGAGCTCCACTAGACGATGGCAGTAATATCCATCCATGAGAAATACAACAAATGCTTGTTCAGTGCTGCAAGTGTATTTTGACGTTGTTGTGGCTTCTAAAACAAGTTTTCACAGTGCTTATAAAATAGGTTTATTGTCCACTTACGAGCTCTGTTCATAACGTAATTGTTCACTCTGAAAATTGAGATTTTATTATGAGAATTTTACCATAATTGAATACAAGTCAAAAATTTCACATATCTTAAAAAAATAGTCTAAATTTGTGCCAAGTTTCATTGAAGTTTAAACATCACACCCTAAGCACTTTGCTTGTAAAACAAAACTGCAAATCTCTCACTGGCTTTGTTCCGGATATCCTGTCGTATTCGTTGTGACACCAACCCTGTACGTGTTGAATTTGTGGCCATATGGATCGGAGCTGCCTCCTAAATCGGCTACCTAAAATATGACAAACTTTCGCAAAGAACCTACCGTATCGCCGCATAGAAACGACATTGTCGTATCGACTGCGTAATTGTAGCCCGGCGGGCAAATGTTTTCGCCATATGCTGAAATAAGAAAAAACATGAATAAAAGTGCAAAAGAGGTTTAAAAAAGGTTTATTTTCAAATGTTCCGACTTACTTAGATCGATAATGGAAAGTTGCGCCTGGACCGAGCCCATGTCGCTGCAGTCGCAGCCACTTCGAGCAGTCGCCACATAGACGGTGTAATTCCTGGTCTTAGAGTCTGAAAAAGCACCTATCAATCTGTCGGGAAAATAGTGAGCACTTTGTCTAGATATTTAGATATTTTTCCCCGAACTTCAGGCAGTTATATCGGAGATTAATCAAGGGAAATCTGGCCAGTTCTTGTTGATTATTTCAAAAACAAGTTCTACTCTATCTTTACAAATCAAATTTTATCCAATTACGTTGTGATTTCCGCTCAATTTTTAGCGTTCTTTGAGAGTAGTTATTCTATACCTAAATGATCAATTTTGAGACAGTTTGCAGTCGGATTTGGAATATCGCCTCCATTTCACCTTCGGACGTACGTCTTCTGTAAAATAAACGTAGGTAACTATGAATCTGGTCGTACGTCGTTTAGTTATTAAAGATTTTGTTTAATACTAGGTGTTTTTGAAGGTTTTAGTTGAGATTTGCCAAGTTTTCTGCCTGGATTTGATTATTTAGCGTAATATTGGCCTCTAGTGTCTATAAAAACGTAACTGGGCAGGTTTCTCCTTCTCTTGTAGACTTTTTCTTCATGTCCAAACTTGATGCAGATTTTAGGTAGAGATGAAATTCAACGCCCAAACTATGCGAACTATTTGTAAAAATGAAGTAAAATACTTTGACGGATCATCAAGCGAAGAGAAAATGTGTTTGAGACCAATCTAGCGTGTTTTTCAGCCAAATCCCGCACAAAATTTTCTAAATAACCTAGTATAATATACAAAATCTTTAATAACTAAAAATGTACAACCAGATTAACAGATACTTACATTTATTAGTCAGAGAAGGTACGTCCAAAGGTGAAATAGAAGCCATACTTTAAATCCGGCTAAAAAACCTCTGGGAATTGATCATTTAGGCATAAAATAACTACTCCCAAAGGATGCTAAAATTTGAGTGAAAATAACAACGTAATTGAATCCAGTTTGATTTGTAAAGATAGAGTAGGACTTGTTCTTGAAATAACAGACAAGAACTGGCTAGATCTCACTTGATTCACCTCCGATATAACTATCTGAAGTTCGGGAAAAAATAATATCGGGGGAGGGGGAAGACTTGACCACCCCATGAGAAAAACATGACCCGACCCGCAGCGCGACGTGTGTGAAAAATTTAGAGAAAATCTGAGTGTCGCACTTGAGGTACTTCGCTTGTAAGATGTTCTACGACCTTTGCGAAACTGGACAAGACAGGAGAGCGGTCCGAATTTGCTTGTCAACTCGTTGAGGATCAATTTCTTGCTTCTAATTACCTAGCACATCGCTCGTTTCGATCGTATAGCTGACCACACTGCGAATGGCAATACAACTTCCATTCGTGTAGTAATAAAACACTAGAACCTCGTTCTTTGCACAGTAATCCGAGCATTCGTAGACATCGTCAGTCGTCGTCTCCACCGATTTATCATAGCTGACGCGGTATTTCATCGGCAACTGAATATACTGGTAATGTTTGGCAGCGATTCCTGTTAGGACGAATAGAAAAACAACGGCCAGAATCATTGTGGCCGCTGGGTGCTGAATGAAGTTCTTGAGTTTTGTCGCTAGGCACTGGCTCGGCGATCGTTTGCAGCTTATTTATGGCGTTTTTATTCTTCTCGGAATTGTGGTTTTTTGGGGGCAGAGGTCGTAGTCTTATAAATAATGCCTTTCGACGTGTGAGTGTTTGAATTCGAACCTTGCTCAAAATTGGAATACTGTGGTCCTGCCCTATTTCGCATACGTTAATAAAAACGGATGACTTTTTTATTATTTCATGGATATGTTGTGTCCAGGCAGCATTCCAAGTTTTGAAAATTTTGCGGACGCCCCAAATACTGAAATGTTTTATAAGGGAAAGATTCTGAAGAGCGAACCTTATACCCATAGGGCACCTTGGCGAAGAGGCATCCAACTTTTTCATTTGCCAAAAAATGTACCCCTTAGCACGCTATTTAAAAAAAAAAACAGTTCTTTAAAAAAACTTCTTTGAGACCCTTTTACCACATTGCAAACAAAAATATCGCTTAAGAAATATGCCTTGTCCCCACCCCGGGGCTATACCATTTCTTCTCAAGATACGCTCTTTCCTTACTAGCCCTGCCCGAAGAGTCGCCGGGCTGATTTTTGGCGAAAACCTTTGTCTTCTCGCAATGCGATTTCAGTCCGGCAACGTGCTACTCGCGCCATAAAAACTGTAGAATCTTTCACAGTTCCTCGGTTTCTCTTTTTATTTGAACTCCATCACCATGTCTTGAGTGGTACCTTCCTTGATTAGTTGGAAGGGAGGATTTTATGACGTATTTTACACTTTCTCGTTTTTTGACATTAAAAATTTGTTACTCATACGTTACTATGTAGTTAAAATTTGTATTTACTCTAAATTAATTTTCAGTGATCTCTGCCCAGTTCGTACTTATGAAAGAATCTTCAGCAAGTTGAACACCCGAATGAAAGACCTTCAAAGTCCACATCTTCAACTTCCAGCATTAGAAATCCTTTATTTTATCTACAAACACAGCGATATGGTTTACATTTTTAACGAAGTGGATGCTAGGATTTTGGTGGGTTAGCTCTTGGTAGCACTAGCCATACAAGGGAACTGATTCTGCACATTTTCGGGCCCATTGAACATACTAAGGCCTTGAACTCCGATCATCGCAATATCACCATCTCCAGGGTATCCCGATTGCCAGACAATATCATTCCCAACGGTCGTATTGTCCCAATACATCCAGCCTGTGCCATTCGGGACAATTCCGACCACCGGCCAGCCTGCGTGATTTACTGGAAAAGATGGCGAAATATAATATATTATGTATCATGTGTAATATGGTGACGATTGAAAGTAAAATGTAAGAGAGTTTGACAGAGGAAGTGGTCAAAGTGCGAGGCTCGGATATTAACGAGAATTGGGCCAATTGAGATTATTTTTTGTAAGCCATTTGTGAAATTGCTAGTTTGCGCTTTGATGAAAAAAATCGAGGTTTTCTTGCACGGAAGTCGGAAAAATATGACATGTTTCGCAAATTTAGGCATTACAAAGGCTCATGGTTTTTCCCACGGTCGCAGAAATGGCTAGGGGTGGCAATGGCGCCGAGCCGGGTCGATTTTTGGGGGGCCGAAGTGGTCAGGCCGGCCCGGGGCTTTTCTCAGGCCCTGTCCCGGTCTTCTAGCCATGCCTCCACCGTATAACATAACGTTTTTACAAAAAAATCATTTTTTTCGTGCAAAGTTGACAAAGAGATAAAAAACGCTTTTTTCTCTGGCCGCTCTCCTCATATCACGCACTATCTATCCGTCAAAGATGGCTGAATAACGTGTCTGGCCTTGCAAAGCGCGACCGAAAAATTTCAGAAATTGACATGGTCTGTCGTGTGAATAGATGGTAAAAAAATCATAACACTGAACTTCGAACACTTCCCCTAATGAGTAAAATCTTACTGTATAAAAAGCCTCGAATCATCTCGTTGAACAATTTAACCGGAGTTCCTCCGGTTAGATAGTGCTTGCAATGATTTTGAACCAATGGAACTGTCGTGTTAATATACAAATCCACTTGCAGATGACAGTAATATCCATCCAATAAGAACACAACAAACGCTTGATCATTGCTGCATGTGTATTTCACGGTCTCTGTGGCTTCTAAATTTATGGTTTGCTTTATTTTTATACCACTTACGAGCTCTGTTCATCACGTAGTTGTTGACTCTGGAATCAAAGATTTTAAAATTTAGATTGTTATAGAAATTATGTAAGTTTGTTATTAAAATTGCACTTACTGACTTTGCTCCGGATACCCTGTGACATTCGTTGTAACGCCGACTCGAAAGTTGTCGAATTTATGGCCATACGGATCTGAACCATCGTCCAAATCAGCCACCTGAAATATGTCAAAAATGAGCCATTTTTTTTTTATTTTTTGACAGTGAAACCATGAGGCAGATTTTTTGAGCTAGGCCACTTTTGACAATTGTTAAAGAAAATTGCATACATAATCAATCGCCGATTCTGGATGTTCGAAAAAAGCGCCCTTATCTATGACAACGAGCGATGATTTCATAATGTGCAGAATTTCATTCTCTACAACAAATCCGAGACGACAAATTTACATTTACACAAATTTTGCGACAAATGCGAAATTCTTTTCTGGCGCTTTGCAGAAACGCCAAAAAAAAATTTTAAAAAAAATTATAAAAACGTATGGCCAAAAAATTGCTTTTTCCTCTGTCTGACTCCCCTCATTTTCCCAAAGGCAAGAATTCAGAACATCCCGGCTGCGCCGGTAAAGCGCGAGGTAAAATTTTCAAGAATTGATAAACTCCACTCGTAAGCAGAAGACCGCAGAATAACTTACCGTATTTACACACAGATAAGACATCGCCTTGTCGAGGGCGTAATTAAAGCCCTGCGGACAAATGTTCTCGCCATATGCTGAAAAAAAGTTTCGGATTACTTTAAATAAGGAGATGCGCAGTAGAAGCCACAATTTGCAGAATACGTGAAATTAAATAGGCACCCGGGTCACGGATAGTGAGATCGGAAGTCTGTCGACGCGGTAAACTCAACCACTATAGACTTCACGTCAATTCAGGATGATTATCCTGTCCCTTTTCGGGTCCCATAATAATAATGGTCATCTGACCCTTTGCCGCAGCCTGTCGACCAATCCGGCATGTTCTCATTGACTCGGATCGGATACTAATCTCTAGAGATCTTGTAACTTTCATAGAACACTATTGTTTGTTGCGTGTTATTAGGAGCTTATAAAGTTACAGACTATATTCTCCGCGGGTGTTTTATTCGACTACAAGCCATCATTGTGCTATCTTGCGGCTTCATTACTTACAATTAGAAGCAAGTCCACCGACAGTCTAAGTAAAGCAGCCCATACGGCTTTTTCCTAACCTAATTACTCGGACCGCCACTACAAAAGTAACTAGTAAGAACCTGAAAAATCTCACATGGCTAGCCAAAAATTGAATCCGGTCCGGAATAGCTTCAACGGCTAGCCAATGCGTTAGGTGGGCTTTGAGCTTCCATGAATGTTTAGTCAAACTTATGGGTATTTTGATAATTTTGAGGCCCTTTTAAAGTTTTGGCTAGACGTTCCAACTTCTGGGCTAGCCGCTGAGACAAATCCTCTCCATTTCTTTCACTTTCTATTTCCGGTATTTCGAGGTTCTTCCTTATTTTCCTTTAGTCTGGCGGTCCGCGTTGCCCGGCGCCCAAAGTGATGTTTTGCTTATCTTTCTTTGCAAACAAACTCATCATCTATGCCACTTACTGAGACTGATAATCGATATCTGCGCATTTTCCGAGTCCATGTCACTGCAGGTGCATCCCTTCCGCGCCGACGCCACATACACGGTGAAATTGCGGGTTTTGGAATCTGAAATCATCAGTTTTCGAGGAATCAAGATGCAAAAAATATTTTTAAGAAAATTTCCTACCTATGACCGCACTTGTTTCTATCGTATAGCTCGCCACACGGCTGATCGCAACACAAGTTCCGTTTGTGTAGTAATAAAACACCTTCACACCCTTGTTCCCGCAGTACTCCGCACATGCGTAGACATCGTCGACAGTCACTGAAGTAGATTTATCGTAGCTGATGAGGTATTTCATTGGCACCTGAATGTAGATGTAGCCCTGGGCAGTTGCAATTGAAACAACAAACACAAAAAGTAGAATCATTTTGGCGGACGACGAGGCCGAATGGGCACAAAAGTTTGGGATTCCGTCGCTAGGCGCGAAACATGTGGGTGCATTAAATCGCGATGGTGTACTGTAACGGAAGTCGTTGATTTTTTGATTACACGTGGAATTTGGCGAATACGAGAGTCGTTGGCTTCGGGCAGACAAAACAAAACAACACGAAAATGAGAAAGAAACGAATGCGCTACATAGTTCCCACAAAGAAGTACTGGTCCTGGCGTCGCGACACTTGCGGGCAAAATTTAGGGGGTCACATTTGCGGGCAGCCTGGGACATTTGCGGGCAACCGGCACCTGAGGGTAACAGGGTAGAGGTGGAAATATTACTGCGATATTTTGGAAATTTGCCGACATTTGCGGGCAACAGGAAAAAACAATCACACAGATTGTATTGGAACTTTTGGAACTGTTGCCCGCAAATGTCGGCTTCCCGCAAGTATTGCCTGCCCGCAAATGTCGGAAAACTTCCAAAATACCGCCGTAATTTTTCCATCTCCACCTTGTTATCCTCAAGCGCCGGTTGCCCGCAAATGTTCCAGGCTCCCACAAATGTCGACCCTGCCCGCACATGTCCCAGGCTGCTCGCAAAGTGGCTACCCGCAAAAATTTGCCCGCAAAGGGGTTGCCCGCAAGTGTGCGCCCGCTCTGGTCCTATCGCAATGCCGCTGGAGTTACGTTTGCCTTTTGCATTGTAAAGGTCAACATTCAATCGACAGCCCAAAAAAGTCCATGCAAGAAGCCACAAATTGCACAGTGTAAAGAGAACTTTTGTTTTCTCGCAATACATGTCCCAACTCCGGCGATTTTACGAACAGACTAGTATCAGGCAAACTAAATTTGTAAGTTGACTCAAAAATACTGTATAATTTTCTAACAAGAGATTCCTAGCTCGTGCTTTCCAGAAATCTCCAAGATTTTTGGATCAGAAGATATCACAAGATCTTCGATTTTCTGCGACAAATTTCAGATTCGTTTACTACTGTATGATTTTTCCATACAAAATGAAAATTTTCCCTGCGGATGCCAAAACGTTATGAGCAAAAACTGTTTCTCGTCTGGGCAGCTCTCCTAATACCGCGTGCCCTCCCGAAAACCCGATTGTTGAGTATTCAGCATCTGCTGGAGAGCGTAAGCTTACATTGAAACCCGATAAGTTTTGAACCCGCATGACCTAAAAGTCTCCTTTATCAGAATTTCTTACAAAATTTTAATAGCAAGAAGAAGTGTTCTCGTTTCTCAGGATTTTCCATACGTGCCCTAAGCCAGCTACAGATCAACCGCTGAAAATTCAGCTTTAAGTTGTCAGCGGCAGCCGAGATATCAACAGTCAGCTTTCGAGAGAGAAGGCAAATTGAGGAGAACAGCCAGACAAAAAACGGTTTTTGGTTATAACTTTTTTGCTAATAAGAAAACTTTATATTTTTGTGATACTATACTGGTTGACAAAATTTTCTTTCCACCTCGTATCTCGGGAACTGCTGGGCCTAGAACCTCAAAATTCGGCATAGAAACATCATGGGACAATCTAACACCATACCCAAAAAATCATACCATTTGATGCACTTTCAGTGCACTTTTTATGCAATCGGCAAAAAAAGAGGTGACAAAATTTTCTTTCCACTTTGGAAGAACGTTTGTAAATTAAAAGCCAAAGGCATGATTGTGGTATCGTTGTGATCGCGAAGAAGTCCTCTTTCTATCCGTGTCACAATTTTACAGGGGTTTTCGTTTGTTCGCCCTTGGGCGTCTGCTCATCATTGCGTTGTCCGTTTTCGGCCAAATTGGTGGACAGAGAAGCTCGCAGAAGGCCCAATGAGATGAAACTGCCCTTAAAAAATCTGGTATTTATATCTGCAACATTTTTTACACCGGCATTAAAATTAGATTCAATTTAAGTGTGTTGCATGGGAAAATGTGCACTTCCAAGCCTCTCGTTGCCAGAAAATTACGTTATTATGGGAATACTGCAGATAATTCAAATAACTTTTCCTGCTGATATATTTTCTATGATACTGCAGACTTTAAAAATACCGAAGATTTTAGTATCTGATGTCGCGCTTAGTTGTGAGCAGAAGAATGGTTCCCCATGCCCCATGTGCAAGATTTGCAACCCTAAGCTTCCCGCGCAAATTATTTGTCGTAGCAAAAACGCTAAAGGCGGGTCAATCTCAATGTATTAAAGTAGTCTGGTAGTCAAATTTCCCAATATATCAATTTTAAGTTATGGTAATGCCTCTCCGTCATGTAGTGCAACAACCTGTATTACCTAAGACGACATAGACCACAGGGGGTAAGGTAAGACGGTAGGCTTCAACACATACGGTCGTATAATACCTAAAATACGCCATATGTACTGCAAAGGCATGTCATTTCGACGTTTCCATTCTGTACATAAGCAATTTCCCGGTTTCGCGCACTCTAAAGGTGGCGCTTTTTCCCACGCAACACACTTAAATTAAATCTAATTTTAATGCTGGTGTAAACAATGTTGCAGACATAAATGCCAGATTTTTTAAGGGCAGTTTCATCTCATTGGGCCTTCTGCGAGCTTCTCTGTCCACCAATTTGGCCGAAAACGGACAACGCAATGATGAGCAGACGCCCAAGGGCGAACAAACGAAAACTCCTGTAAAATTGTGACACGGATAGAAAGAGGACTTCTTCGCGATCACAACGATACCACAATCATGCCTTTGGCTTTTAATTTACAAACGTTCTTCCAAAGTGGAAAGAAAATTTTGTCACCTCTTTTTTTGCCGATTGCATGAAAAGTGCACTGAAAGTGCATCAAATGGTATGATTTTTTGGGTATGGTGTTAGATTGTCCCATGATGTTTCTATGCCGAATTTTGAGGTTCTAGGCCCAGCAGTTCCCGAGATACGAGGTGGAAAGAAAATTTTGTCAACCAGTATAGTCCGTTCGCAAAGTCGCTGGAGTGATTTCGGCGACATGAACTGTGACAAAAGAAAAGTGCATCCTTGCACTGTGCAATTTGTTAATTTTTTCGCCGTGCAACAGGCTTTTTTTTACGTGACGCTCGCACCCTGACTTTTCTGCCCAATGCTAAAAATCACTCCAGCGGCAGACGGACTATCAATCGGGCATGAAATTTACAAACCTAAAACCGCAAAAGAAGCATCAAGGGATTCAATTTGAAATTTTTCGCTCTTTATATCCATTAAATTTATCAAAACTTGCAAATAAAAATCTATCAGCCAAAGTGAGGTCCTCAGACATTAAAATTTTCGCAATTTTTCCTTTTGTTTCCGTATCTTCCGAGAAACGCACTTTGCTCGCACTCATATTATAAATATTCAAGGTCTCATTCCATGGCGATTTTTCGGCGCTACATGGCATTTTAATATACGATGAATTCGGGGATGATAGAGCCTTAGATGTAGTCTAGTTTATTCCTTTCTTTCAAGAACTTGCAATTTCTAACAACAACTTCAAATGGAAGTGCTGTTTGTGTCTACAGAGATATCATCGATCAGGTCTTGAGAAGTTCGTTTTATCGTCGACCCAATGCAAGGGATCGTCTTGTATTGCTCATTACTGTCTGAATTATAGAGCCAAAGACCTCGGCTGGCCACCAGAACCAACGGCCCATTGGCGGCGTATGGCGCACCTGGCTGCCAGTCCAGAACGCTCGAGGGAACGGGCTTCCCATCCCAGTAGACCCATTTGTTGTTCTTTTGATACATCCCCACAAGAGGCCAGCCAGCGTTGTTGACTGAAACCATACAAATAAAGAACGATTGCGAGGGATGTACGCAATAGCGCGACGCCGAAATCTTATCAGTCTGTCGGGAAAATAATGGCACAACGTCTCTGCGCCAATCGCGTGGATGAGGTTAAAATCATTTTGATTTTGACACGAATCATTTTCTCGGCGGCGATACAATTTTGGATGCAACGTTGCGCTCATTACTTTCCCGATAGACAGGTAATGAAACTTGGCACAAATTTTTATTTACTTTTTGCAAGACATGCACAATTCTGGTCTTTAAAGCCACCAGAAACAAACAAGATTTTTAGCCCAAAGCTTGGCATGACAAAAAATCAATTTTTCCCGTACAAAACTGGCGAAGATGTCGCTAAAGAGTTTTTTCCCTGACCGTCCTTTTTATAAACTTCGAGCACTACATTGTGGGCAAAGATTGTTCACCATCTCAGCTTTGCCTGCAAAGGACAAGCAAAAAAAATTTCGCGGTTTTCGTTTTTCTGAACAAAAAAAAAATAAACGACGAGCTCAGACGTATTTTAAAAACATTTTGAGCGCCTTAAGCAATTTTCTACAGAAACCAGCAAATCCAAGTATGAATTTTAAAAGATCTCGTTATCGAATATATTTAAATAAATTTATATAGAAAATTTTTTTTATAATCTTCCTTGCGGATTTCGAAATTTTGAGTCCAGAAATGAAAGAAGCACACAAAGATACGACCACTTCAATTTCAAAAAATTAAAAAAGCCTAGAAACTCACTATAGAGAAATCCCTTGATCAGCTTGTGAAACAGTTTGACTGGAGTTCCATTCTTCAGTGCCGTTTTACACACATTGTTTACTAATGGGGTGACTGAGGTCACCGAATAGGGTTTGCTCACGTAGCAGTAATAAGTGTTCCCAAAGAAAGTAACGTATCCTTGAGTGGAGTTACAAGTGTATTTTACTGTCTGCGTGGCCTCTGAAAAATTAAATTAGTAAGTCAAATTTTTAAGCAATTTCAACTCACGACTCCGATTCATGACGTAGTTGGCGATCCGGTTTTGAGGAGGCACTTTGTCCATGTTGTAGTAGTCGGTAGTCACGCCCAGACGATACTTGTAAAATATACTCCCATAGAGCGTGGACTCTTTCAAATCACTGATCTGGAACAAGTTTAGACGGTAGGGACAAAAGGAAAGTCGTATTAGAAATTACCAACTCACCTTGTTCTGGCAAATCCTCATTTTGGAATTCAACACGAAATTGTAATGTGGAGGACATGTCGCTTCACCATACGCTATAAACAGTCCGTAATGTGAGAGTAAACTCACTCAGATCCACCAGAACTTGTTCTGCATCCTGCGACTTCAAATTTCCGCAACCATCGCGGTCGCTTTTCACGTAAATCACGAAATTTCGTCGGCCGGACCCTAAAATTGCGTTTGTTTTTGGGTAAATTTGAGCCGAATTTCATCGAGGACGTTCACCGCTAGTTAGCGGCCGCTAGCCACGTAAAAATTCTTCAAAGTTTGAGGCGCAGCTTGTAGGGACTGCCGAATAATTTTTTCAAAAGTATATGCGAGAATCTTAGGAAAACTATCCTTTTTCTGGCCCCGCGCTTCGCAGCTTGCGCCCCGATTTCCCTGCACACTGCGAATAAAAGTAGGAAACAGCCTAAGCCTGAGGCTAAGCCTAAGCTGCCTAAGCCCCTGAGGCTAAGCCTGAGGCTAAGCTAAGCCTGAAATTCCTACGTGTTTCGCAAATTCCTAACCGTGTTTCGCAGTCAGCAAAAGTTGTGGGCGCGAACCGGAAATTCTTGCTTTTCGGCGGGGCCAGAAAAAGGATAGTTTGATCCCGAATCTTATCTCGCGCTTTGAAGAAACAACCGAGATTTTTAGATCGAAAATCCTCGAAAAGTTGACACGTTTTGCCGAATTTCGGCACGAAAAGTTTCATGTTTGCAGTTTGCAGACAAGTCAGGGCGCAGCTGCAAACGTTTGGGCTAGAAAAAGGAAAATTTTCCAAAATCTTCAAATTTCTGCAAATTCTCAGCCCATGCAGCACTAAAATTCCTCAACTTACGCTGAACAGAATCCACTGCAAGGCTGTATCCAACAATCCTGTTCACCAGTTCGCAGGTCCCATTACTCTTGTAGAACACAAAAACTTTGTAGTTATTATTCGCCGCGTATGTTCCGCAATCATTTACTGTCTCTACGGTTAACTTCTTGTCCGGTTTGACGTATTGTGCCACGTATCTGACCGGGACTTGTCTATAATCCACCTTTCTGGCCAGATTTAGAAAAATTGGGAAAAATAAAAGTATTGAGATCCACATTGTAACAAATGTATGCTCCAAATGAACCCAAGGTTGTCAAAAACCAGACATTGGATGCCTTGGTTACTATGAAGACGATAACGTCAGAAGAAAGTTATAAAAGGAGATTTTTAGAGGAAGTAGCTATGGAGGAGAGGGAAATATATCAAATAAAATGACCTAAAGGGCCGAGGATATGGTAACACAAAGATGAAAAAAGATTTGTTACACCATTTGCAATGTAGGCAACCTCATAAGATGTTCAAAAATCACAACAAACGACTTTTGTAGATATGCCGGCGAATTCAACAAGAGAGCACGCAAAAAGCGGAGGGTTGGACCAGAAAACGGGGTTTTTTCGTCCTCAGAATAGCATAAAGATTTCATCAAATTTAGAACATTGCTTCCTTACACGCTGTATACTACGTATACAGCGAAATTCACAGCTTGCTTTTCCAAAAAACGCCGAGATTTTTTGTCCTAAATTTGATGCCTTTTTCGATTTTTGGTTTCAAACTTGCAGGAAAATTTACAAGTGGGGGTGTAATGTTTTTACAAAAATCCAAACTTTTCCACGCACAAAAATAAAAAAGTTACGCGCCAAAACAATTTTCTGCCGGACCGACACTCTTCATTTTGAGTCGTCCTTCGAAAAGAAACCTCTTGAAGATTTTGGCTGCCGAAAGTGGGAGCTAACCTTTCAGGGAGCGATTTGTTGCTGATGCTGAAGCCATAGGCAAACTGTGAAGCAAATCAGAACATATTACTCTCTAATTATTCCCTTGGTAAGAAATTTAAATTTATTTTCTAAAAAAGTGACATGGATTTAATAAAAAAATAAGAAGACTAACCAAATCGTATTTTAAAATCTTTTAAATAATTTTTTTCAATAAAACAGCCAGATTCACACAACGGATTTGCTGTATTCCTCTTTGCTGAGAGCCAACGCCGGTGCAATGCAAGGGAAATAATTCTCCACATTTTCGGGGCCATTGAACAAAGTCAGGCCTTGAACTCCGATCATCGCAATATCACCAGGTCCTGGAAATCCACTTTGCCACACTAGTTCGCCCTCTGTAATCGGTGTGTAGTCCCAGTAAACCCAGTCGGAGCCGCTTCGAATTATCCCAGCTACCGGCCAGCCACCGTTGTTCACTGAAAAATATATTTTTTTTGTTAGAGATAACGAATCACTGGCTGAAAAAAAAACAAAATAAAAAAGAATTTTTACGACAGATAAAATCGAAATTTGAATCTGCATAACGCGGTTTAAAAATTTTTTTTTCGAAACTTACCGTACAAAAATCCCCGAATCATGCGATTGAAAAGTTTGACCGGAGTACCCCCAGTCATATAATATTTGCATTGATTTTGAATCAACGGTGTGGACGAATTAATATACAAATATAGGGACATTGAACAGTAATATCCATTCAATAAAAAGATGACATAAGCAAAACTGTTGTCACAGTAATACATCGCTGTTCTTGTCGCTTCTAAAATTCATACAGAAGTTTCAACCAAAAATGGGTGTAAAACATACGGGCTCGATTCATAATGAAGTTGTTTACTCTGAAAACAAGATTTATTTCACTATTTTTTAGCTTTCTTAATTTGAGATTTTATTTCTGGTTGTCCTACCTCACAATTTACAGGCCATCAATTTGTTGCCGGGCAAAAATTTTCGTTTTTGTTTCAAATTAAAATTAATGGGGTTTCGACAGAAAATTGAAAAAAATTCTTGGAAATTACTGTGCTACATAACACGCAAAAGAATTATCTCATTTCTGTCACTTCCAAAGAAAATAGTTGGAAACAACAGCGTATTTTACTTACTGACTCTGCGTCGGATACCCGGTCGCATCCGTAGTAACACCAACACGGTAATTGTCATATTTATGGCCGTATGGCCCACTATTAGGTTCGTTCAGTTGGTCAACCTTAAAGTATCACATAAGACAACTGCCAAAACGGCATACTGTGTTTTTGCAAACATAGGAGTTGGACAGATCGAGTTCAAAGCCGTTGCCGGGCGGACAGGTGTTCTCTCCGTACGCTGAAATTTGTGTTTACAATTAATAGGAGATGTGCTCAAAGTGGGGTGCTTAGATTGTAATGAACCTCAGCCCAAATTCAGCCTGAGTTTTGGTCATGACATATGCGAGATTCTGAGACTGCGCTTTGCAAAAACAACAAAGGTTTTTAGTCCGAAAGTTGAATATAATGTGCTGCTTTTTTACGAATTTTCGAACCTAAAGTTTCGTACTTATTTCTAACGTGTAGGGGAATGTTTTCACAAAAAAGAATATTTTTTCTCGCAAAACTGGCAGAGATATCACCTAAAAGCCTTTTTCTCTGATCACTCTCCCAATCTTGCTTATAAAAAACCTTTTCTGAAATTGATATGTAGCCCAGCCCCAACTGAGAGGAGAGTTGATCAAATTCAATTTAACTGTCATTACTAGTAACCCACTTAATGCAACGATCCATCGCTGCGCTCTGACGGAAGGCATGTCCTTACAAGTGCACCCATATCGGTTATTGATGACGTAAATTGCGTAATCCCGGACTCCGGTTCCTGGAAAAACAAATTGTAAAAAAACGATAGACTTGAAACACAGCCATCATAGCTATGCAAAATTAATTGTAACACCATTACAGTACAACCTACTTTGAACACTCGGAGCCTCGTTTTGAAAGCTGATCACGCCCAAACTCCCGATACAAGTCCCGTTTTTACAGTAATAGAACGATTTTAATCCCGAATTCATACAATATTCAGCGCATTCCTGCGCCGTCGAAGCCTTATAAGTAATGGATTTGTCGTATTTTAAGAAATATTTTACTGGCAGTTGAATGTAACCATAATCTTTTGGGAATATGGGTGAAAAATTTAGAAAAATTAGGAGAAAGGAGAGGAAATCCATGGAGAAATTGAATTAAAATAAAGAAAAGACCGGTAAGATTGCACCTTTTGTCGCTAGGGAGCTGTAACCAAGTGCGGAGCCGGTGATTAATGGATAATTACAGTAGGAATGTTGCAAAGAGTTGAGGAGAAAAACAGTTATTTATTTATTTTTGGAGGTTCTAGAGCTTCTTCAATTGTTTTTCAGAGATTCCTACTTGCATTTATTGAGCTGGAAATACTCCAAACGACATATTACAAAAGACATATATATTATATTTATTTTCACAAACTCTTATTCCTTCAGGATGGCAAAAAAAACAAAATCTACAACTTCAAATTTCGTGCAAGTCCCACTCTTTTGTTCGCAATATCAAATACATGACAGTACTGTCTCAGCAACGGCTCTCCAATAATTAGATCCGCTCCATCAAAGCCGGCGTCGGAGTTGGCAATCAACGTTAGAGCGCACAAACCACCTCCATAGTCAAGCTAAAAATACGAGTCAGTTTTTTCGGTTGGGACAGCTGAACCTACGAATAGTGCACCTGAAAATATAATATGGCGAAAGGGGACCAAGGCCGCCTTTTTAGATATGATGCGGCAAGGGGAGGCCAATGCGAATTTTGGTGAAAATTATAAAATGAACCAGCAATAAAGTTTTGGGGATTGATGTCAAAGAGTAACATTCGGATAGTTCGCGCGGTTGCGGTAGGATCAAAAGATGACCCACGTCAGAATGAAAATAGAAGAAAAACGAAATTTCGTGAGGGGCCGCAGCGAAAAGCAACGGCCGATTTTTTTATTCTTTCTCTGACCGCTCTCTTCATTTTTGTGCGTGCGCCCTCTTCCTCTCGCCAATCGCAAATCGTTATTTCGCGGATCGCCACGGCTTTGACGAAATTCCCTTTTTATTTTGACGTGTGACCCGTCAATGAATTTCTGGTGTCAAACGATATCCTGGGGTCATACAACCCGCAATTACCTCCAGCTCTCATCAATGAGGACTCTGAAAAAAGAAGGAAAAGCCTCAGAGGTTATGCAACATGGATGATATTCCCTTGTACGATGAACTGGCCATAGAAAACCAACAATCTTGGGATTCGGTGGCTTCAGAGGACGAGATGTCCCCGTTTACGTGGTATCAGATCTGCTTTGAAGGCACGCGTGCGATACGGAAATTTTTTTTATTTGTTCAAATGAAGCGATAGGATATAGCGCCTGCCATAAACTTTTGGGATTGGGGATGCCCAAGACATCACAAAGCCATAAAAGGTCTTTTAATTGCACAATCAAAAAAGCTGATTTTTTCTGCGTCTAACGCGCCTTCTATCAATTTTTTCTGCGAAGTTAGCGTTGTTGGTTGCGCAACGGACATCGGTATAAAAGGAACTCGCGATCTGCATTCGGAGAGATTTTGGAAAGGGAGTAAGAATGGATGCCTACTTTTGGAGACAATCAAGGCAACGTAAGATATTCGGGGTTGTTCTAGGATGCGAGGATCAAAACCCACGCTCTACAAAATATTCAGGCAAAGCCATTAATGGAGCGATTGCACCCCGAAATGAGGTTTTGTTTTTTTAGTTTTTATAATATAAAGCGGGAGATAAAAGATTTTCTGAAAAATTTTTGAAATTTTTCTGTTTTTACTTTTTTTTTAAAAAAAAAGTAAATTTTGAAAAATTTCCGGAAATTTTCGATTTCGGAGAGTCAAAAAACATTCTTACTCCGAACGACAAATTTTTGGAAAGTTGGATCAAAAATGGCTCGCCAAAAGGTCGATCCGCAAAGTTGAAACAAAAATGGCTCGCCCATTTTGGCTGGTGAGTAGGATGCCGTTTTTACTCACCTGCACGCCAATTTATTTTCTTCAAAACTATTTTTGCGAGCTGCGCCCGGGAATTCCAGATGTGTCAAATTTCTCTCTCCCGGAAGAAACGTTTTGATTTTTTTGAAGTTGTGAATCTATTTTCTCCACGAAGATGGGCTGAAAAGTGATCAAGTAAGTTAGCATTAGCAAGAGGAGATGTACTTTTTTCAGTTGACACCAAAAATTTTCCTTTTATTTCAGAGAAAGGTACAAATTTTTTCCAATTCGTAAAGCTTCATGACCATGGATAATGTAAGTGCGCTTATCGCGTTTTTTGTTCCGTTATTGGAGTTAACAGTTCTAGGCTGGCGAGTTCTAGAGGACACCTCACTTTAGTTTTGTTATATACTCTATCTATCAAACGCCACCAATTTCGATTTCTAGGTGTCATGTACAATATCGAAATCCGCTCAGATCTGCCGGATTTTTGCCACGAATGCGTTCTAAACTGAGGTAATAACGTAATAAGGCTCAAATAACGTTGTTACAATAACTTGAAGATAGTTTGCATAGGTTTTACTTTAGTATAACATACTTTTGGAAAGTTAGTATAGTATTTGAAACTTTTACGTCGTTATTCCTCAAAATTTATGGGGTTTCATACATGGAGAATATACATGAGAGTGGGGTCTCCTCTAAACGTTTCCCGACTTAGAATCTTGACGTCGTAGCAAAAAAGGAGATAATCTCACTTACATTATCCATGGTCATGAAGCTTTACGAATTGGAAAAATTTTGTACCTTTCTCTGAAATAAAATGGAAATTTTTGATGTCAAATGAAAAACGTACATCTCCTCTTGCCAATGCTAACTTACTTGATCACTTTCCAGCCCATCTTCGTGGAGAACATAGCTTCACAACGTCGCACAAACGTAAAAATAATTTTTTCGGAAGAGAAAAACTTGACACATCAGGGAAAGACTTGGCATCAACCTTGCAACCTGCAGTGCGGGGCCAAAAAGAGGAATAAAGTAAAAACAAGCTCTGACTTTCGGCGACTCCGAGAGGGGAGTAAGATCCGGTCCTACTCCCGACCTTGAAGTCGGAAAGCCAGAAACAAAATTGACTTTTTTTTGCATTTTCCTTGAAGTAAACTGAAAATTTACTTTTTTTTAAAAAAAAAGTAAAAACAGAAAAATTTCAAAAATTTTTCAGAAAATCTTTTATCTCCCGCTTTATATTTATGTTTATTTTTTATTTTTATTTTTTTATTTTTTAGATGGAACTGAAGAGTTCTTAAAGCACTATGAAGACCCTCAGGCAACTAGGATCTGGAGTGAATGCTGCCTTAGCCCAAAACTGGCCCACCAACCAAGGAGCCAGTCGACCTTCGGGAGGGCAATTATTTTCTCAACCCAACAATTATCCGGTGAGCTCTTATCGGAATGTTCGTTGTTTCTTCTGCCAATCACTTGGACATGTCAAGAGAGAATGCCGAAACGTAAAAACTCGGGTCCTCAACAGAGCTCGAACAGACCAAATGGTGCTCTATGACAGCGCAACAACTACGGACAACCTCGAAATGCACAATACAGTCAAATGATGAAACAACTACCGGGATCCCGAGCCTCAAAATCGTCTGCTGTCTCACAGCCTCAAGCTTCCCATGTCTCTGCGAAGACGTCCACCCTCGCCAATCCTCCAGCGACCAAGAGAGTGAACAACGACACTCTTGAATTTAAACCACCACTTGTCATGGCGGTAATCCAGTCAACTTCAACGATGGCCGTGGCTGTCGCAGATGTCAGGGCAGTCCACGCCAAACAGAGCCTGCCGGGTCCCGTTGTATTCAGAAACCCACCAATGGAATGCAACTTGCCGGCGAATATCCGGGTGTCCAGCATCTCCAAGCTGCCAAACCGCCCACATACCTCCCTTGGTGAAGAAATCAAACTGTCCGCCACCACAATATCCTACTTATACGTGGCTGAGAAGTACGAACTCATCGAGCAAGACCGCCAAGTCAAGACTGTTCTGGGTCTTCTGTCAGAGGTCCCCGGCCACACGGTAGCTGTATCCTCCAAGGGACAACGGAAACTAAAGCGTAAGCCAGTTCAGTTCGTGATTCCGAATCCGGCCAAGACAATCACCATTCAAAACGGATTTGTGACCTCGGATATCCAGCTCACATCTGAAGTTGGAACCCCGGCCAAAGTGGAAATAATCCAGATTCAGCCAGAGATGTCACAAACTGATCGGGACAGAAACAAGAGGAGCAAGAAGATTAGTAGAAGGAGGATCGGTGGCCTACATAGTGGTTTATCTAACGGGGTATTTTCTTTGGGAGCCACGAAGTACGAGCAGTATGCAAACACGCCAGAATTTATTCAATTTGGAACCAGGGAGTCGAATGGCCACATTTCGATGCCAGTGGGCACGATCATCGAAGTCTATGAGTATATTCATGTAATTAACTCTGAGAGTAATGCCACCATCCTTCGCGGGATGGCCGGGTGTCGAGTTCAAGGGATGGCTGGAGTTCCCCATCCTTATGGTATCACTACACACTTTCACGTCAATTTCCGTAAATAACTCTTGATGGTATCAAGAGTTATTTATATGTAAGATTACCGAGACAGGGAAATTCCGAATGATGCCCACTACCGCATGGTCGTAAATAGGTAAGAAGGAAAACAGCTAATGTTAACTCGTATTGTGTTTAGATTTGCCAGATTCTGTTCGTATTTTTGTGGTAACCGCTCGCCTGACACTCGGCAGCAAAAGCAAAGAGAAGCCGTGACGCCACAGGTGACGAAAATTAGAACAACAACTACGACGACAACCCAGACGACATACCTGATATTCGCGAAATCAGGAGGAATGATTGCTGGGGGCGTGAATTTGTCGTTTGAGGAGACGATATGATCACTATGGGAATCAGAACAAATGATGAAAGGAGACCAGAAAAAAACGTTAAAAATTGCTCTATCGCTCAATACTAGTCATTTTTTTATGAATATTGTACAACTTTTTTTTGTAAAAAATTATGCTGCCCTTCAATTCATTCACCTAAAACAAATACAAAAAACAGCTTACCAAAGGTTTCCAATCATTTTTCAACAAACTTGTAATTTTCAAAAAAATCGGGAAAAATTGCATTGGTCCCCTTACCACGTCGTAATTTTCAGAAAAATCCACCTGCTTGCTATATCATAATTTGCAGGTACACTTGTCGTACGTGCACTATTCGTTCAGCTGCCCTTTTCGCACAAAATCTCTTTCTACATGTCACTTACATCAAGAATGTAGTTTTTGCTCTCAATCTCCAGCTCGATTCCATTCACATTTATAAAAATGGACGGCGTCTCCGGGATCTTATCACATTCCATTACATAGCCCCAATACGACATATGAATCGGCTTGATGACGTTGTAAATGGCATTGACAAGGTCGTTGGGAGCTTGGATGAAGACGCTAGCTGGGTCCAATGCAACTCTTCCTAAAAGTCTGCTGTAATGAATGTGCTCAATGTCGGTCGATTTTGACAAGACAAGGAGCAATTTAAATAGATTTTTTGTAGCCCACGTTTTGCAGAAACGGTCGTGATTTCTAGTCCAAAACTTCGTCGACATTCGGCAATCATTAGCGAGCTTATTCTTTAAAAAATTCCACTACCATCCATGGGTAGATAATATGTATAACCTAACGTTACAATTTCCATCGCAAATGTTAACTTTTTAAAAAAAACTGCTCATATAGACAACTCCCCTAATCGAGTAGCCCAACTTACCATTAAATGCAACCTCAACATCTGAAACTCGAATCCCATCCAGCCTTAATTTCCATGAATTCTCATCAATTGACTCTATAAACTCAATCTTTCCGCTACAAACTTCTTTGTCCACTTGGCCAAAGTTAATTTCCCCAACCAATTGTCTATGTCCGGCTTCAGATAATTGTAAAGAATAGATCTTATCCTTGTTGGCTAACAAGGAATCTATTGGAAGCTCCCAATTTGACTTGGCTCCGGGCTTGATCGCTTCAAATCCTAGGCCCAAGACACCATCAGCGGGCTCATAGCCAAAGAAAAGCTGAATATTCGAAGCGGCGGCGACTTCTCGATTGGAAAGAGTTATATCACCGACCTGGAAAGATTAGGTAATTCGTTGATATTAAAGGAAATTGTAATGAAAAATCGTACTTACAGTAACTTGGTCTCTAATCCCCATGCCGGAAACGAAGCCTTGGCCGAAACCAAGGCCAAATTTTTGAGTTGTCGGCCGGGCTGAGGACGAAGTTCTGAAATGAAGTTTATTTTTTAATTTGGCATTGGAATAACGCCAGCATTCCAAGGTTTGGTTGAAAATTTGTTGAAAAAATTAAAAGAATTTTTAAAAATTTCTGCAAAGCGCGAGCTAAAATTTCATTTAATATTTTTTAATGAATAATTAAAACAAGTTTAGGAGTTTTTAAGTAAATTAAAACCCCTTTAATAAAAATGTGGCCTACAGTCTGTCGGGAAAATAATGTGGATTGGTTGCAGCAAATTCTCTCGCCTCGTTGCAATCGCATACCAAATCTCCAGCCGCGCCCAGCCATTGCAAATCAATGATAGATGATTCCAAGGCGCGACAAATCCACATTATTTTACCGACAGACTGATAAAGGTTCAAAAAACAAATTCCTCAAACTCACGTTGCATCATACTGTTGTTTGTTTCTGAACGGATACATATGCCCCTTCAATCCTCTGCATTGCACAGCTTTACATTCTTTGGAGATCACCCAAAACTCGTCAGTATTTACATCAATTTTCAGCTGTAATTCTTGAGCTGAAAGCAAGACTAACTTTAAAATTTTGATTTTGTAAAATTTACCCGGATTTCCAATAGTAATATTGGCCAAAAGATAGTTGTCTGTGGAGTCCAAATAAGGCAAATTTGAGGTTTCGAAGCCTTCTTTGGCCGATAGTAGGGAAGGTTGAGTAAATTTATTATTTTTTACGACATTAAATTGGATTTTAGTGGACAAACAAATAGAAAATAGAGTAAAACTTAGTATTTTATAGAGCATGTTCAATATAAATGAAAGTGTCTCCAAAAAAATGGAGAGGAAAGAGTAAAGAACTTTTATTTTTTATTTTTCTTATCAGTTGTAACAATTAATCTTAGAAACCTTAATGAAATTTTTTAACAAAGAAGATTGAATACTCACGATATAGTCACTTAGGAACAGTAAGATGTTGATTAAAAGTGTTCAGCCAAAGTATAATATTAGAGATGCAATACTAAGATCAAATTCCTTCCGTTCACACCGCGGTGAGCGGTTGGGTTTCCTGCCGACGATGCCGTTGCTGGCAACAACCCCTCCGGAGGACGGCAGAAGCTCAACCCGTGGCAGGACCTTCTTGAGGATTGGCACACTGGAGAACCGACGTGACATCCCCATCTTGGCCCCGAATCGTGGCCCGTTTCTCTACTTTTGGTAGATGATCAGCGGAAATAAATTGAAATTGAATACTAAGATTGCGTGTTTGCCAGGCGTCGCAACGCTTGAGGGCAACCGCTTTTCGGGCAGCCGGCATTCGCCGATCAGAATTGCGAATTAGATTGACGTAATCTAGGCAATGTGATAGAAATTTTTCATTGACAACCCCCTGGTACTGAGGTATACAAATCCAAAAATTTCATTTGAATTCATCCACCGCTTCCAAGTTCTGGGAGTTTCCTTTCGAAAAATGGTTTCTGAACCTTTGGAAATGCCTGATTAGCCCTACGGTAACTATATATTCAAGCCATTTGTACGCCTCGCATCATGTAACGGCCAAGTCCATATCTATAATCTCTTGTTGTAAGCAAATGTTGGCTAGTTTCCGAATGCAACATTTCAGCCAAAATAAAAATTTGTACAACGAAGCCTTTCTATAACGAGCAAAAGCTTTGACTCTATGCAATTCCTTATACAAAGTTTTGACTTTATTATGCAATTTTTTGTCCCCATAGAAAAAAGAACCATTTTTTGGCGGGTAAAATCCCCTTTGCTCTGGAAAAAGATCTCTTGAATAAGTTCCGCGGCTGAATAAAGAGAAAGTGAGTGTTATTCGAGAGATCAAGCGGAAACAAGAGACCGCGAAAGAAGGAACTTTTGCGCTGGGGAAGTGACCACGTTGGTCAGTCCAGCTTTATTTTAAATTCGCTAATTTATTTACTGACTTTTATCAAATTTCACTTGTTCTTATCAAAGATTTCGGCAGTAAAGTTTGCGATGAGAAAGCGGCGGGATGTCTCGGCCAATTATGAAAGCAGCGAAGGATCTTCTCTGGAGGCAAAAGAAGGCGAGTTTTTTATACTTTTTTTATTTTGTTTTCTTATTGAGCTTCGAATATAATGAAAGTCAAAGTTCAAAGTCTAAGTGTCTTCAAACTATGAGCTTCTTTTTGCAATTTAACGCGATGGATAACAAATTCAGCGGTTCAAATTAAAGCCTTTTACGCAAAAAATCTTTCCTTGTCTTTGCATGGCCATGTCTTCAAAAAGGAATGATTTTATTTGTGCCTTCGATTTTATGAAGCCATCGAGCTATACTAATCAATAAAGACAAGAACTAAACGTATTTTACCATCAAGCTAGACTTTTGTAAAAGTTTAGAACTATGTATTAATTTGTGGTATAAACTACAGTGGAACTCTGTACAACTAATTGCAAACGACCAAAAAAGTTTATTCGTTACAGAAAGCTGTCATTTTAAGGTTCATGTCCTGGAAAGACAGCATTTTGGGACCTTTGAAAACGCCGTTGATCTAATAATATCGGTTGTTCCTATAAAACGCGAGTTAGAAGCATTTGTCTTAAAAATACTCTAAATTTGTCCCAAGTTTCATCAAAATCTGAGCGTCGGACTTGCGTTTCTTCCCCTGTAAACTATAAGCCCAATATCTTTCGTGTGGCAAAGCAAGAAGCAAATGAAACGCTATGCCACTGAGTCTCAATTCGTTATACAGAGTCGCCACTATAAGCCAATATAATCTCGAAACTATAAACTCGATGTTTCCCCTCTATTTTGGGTATTTCCCTGAATTGCGGCGACGCGGATTCTGTTTGTTTTGGGAAAAGCGAGCGCAGAAAACGCTTCTGGAGCCCAGAAGCGACGGAGATGAGGGGGAAAAGAAGAACATCTTTGTCTTTGTAGGCTACGAGGCCAGCAGGAAATGGGTGAATCAGAAGAGAGAACTGCTCCGTTTCCGCGAGCAAAAATACGGTCGCTATTTTTAGGAGCAACGTATATTTTGGGGCTTCAGTTAAGATTACTGTAGTTTTAAGGTTGTTATAGTAATGCTGCTTTTTCAAACAGATGATAATCGATTTTAATGCCTAGTCTAAAAAAAAATACAAGTATTCGTAGGGTTTGTGGTTATACTTTTGTTTTGCCCCGATTGACTTGATTTTTGGCATGGTGGTTCTTTTAGATCCTCTATTTGAGTATTTGAAAAAAAATTTCGAAATTTTCAATTTTGAGTGACCTATGACGTCATGAAAAGTCGAAACTTTGAGCTGTCATATCTCGCTTCGTTTTATAGGTATGGGCTTGATTTTTGGTTTCGTCGCGTATGGTACATAATGGGACAATCACTGTCGAAATTTTTTCGAAATTTCAAAATTTACGAAAAAAATCTCAAAAAAAGACCTTTTTTCGTATCTTTTAATTAGACCGGGGAATATTGAAATGCAAGCTTCTACAGGTCCATATCGGGAAAGCAAATTGATAACTAAGAGATAACTCCATGTATGTGTAGATACGGCCATGTACAAACTTACACTTACACAAAACCCCGTCATGATGACGGAATTTCTGGATTTTTTCGATTCCATTGAATTCTACGTACCCGACTTCCTATTAGTGCGTGTCTTTCTTTTTTGTAGTGCACTTCGTATTTTAGCTATGGCTTACTGTAAAAAATACGATTTGCACAGTGCGAATTTCAAAAAATTCGTTCTCGGCTCCCAGGTCGAAATTCGAAAAAACGGCTCGCTGATCGATTTCTTTTTGCTCGAAGATTGTCACAAAATTTTTTCAGAACATTCTACGTAGCCATGTCCTCAATAGAATCTCCCGACGGAAAACGAAATTTTTCGAAATTTTCAACATTTTGACTTTTTCAAATTTCTCGCTCTGATGTACAACAACGATGTCAAAAATGTCCAACTATAGATTGTAGAGCTCGAAGAGCTCTACAAATTACCCGCTTACATCGTCTTCGTATCTTTGAAATTACGGCCGCCAGAGCGGCCGGAAATTTCGGTCGATTTTTGGTGCACCGTGCGAAAAAAATCGCCCTCAGGGCAGTTAGCGGGGTTGAACAAATTGATCATATGGGTGCTATAGGACACAAAATGGACTACCATCGTGCCAAGTTTCAGCTTTCTACTTGCAATATTCTGTGCGCACCGTGCGGTCGAAAAAAAAATTCGAAATTTCGGCCAAAATTCGGCCCTGAGGGCTTGGAATCGAACTTTTTCGGATTTTAATTTTGTCCATCGTATTCAGCACATTGAACTGCTACAGAAACAGATGTCGATTCCTAAAACACGCACAGGTTGAAAAAGCAGTATTCGAATTTCCGAATTTTTCGATTTTACTTACTTTCACGAAAGTTACTATAGCTCGGGAACAAGTTCGAAATTCAAAAATCCCGCCCGTTACATGATAGACAATTTAGTAAGGATTCTACAACCAGAAGCTGGGATACGATTCCGAGAGATATGATCAGAAATCGTGTTTGAAGCGGCGGTCCCAAAAAATCCCGAATCGGAAAAGTCGTCAAATCCCAAAAATTTCCAACTAAAATTAGTCTAAAAGTTACATATTCGGAACCTCTATGTCATTTCGGACATAGTCGTATCTTTTTCCCCGGTACTTTTAGTGGAACAAGTGCCAGTTTTGAAAAAACGCCCACTTCCACGGACGAAAACACAAAAAAAGAGCGCGGGGAAGAGAGAGAGCGGGCAGAGAACCGCTTCCTTCTTCGTTTGGCGGGAGAAAAGAGAGAGTGGGAAAGGGGTGGAGGGTGGTTAGACAAAGGTTTTCTCTTTCGATTCCGGTCAGAGATAAGACGGAGAGAGAGCTGAGAATGAGGAGGGTGGTGAGGAACCGGTCATCATGACGGGGTTTTCTGGATTTTTTCGAGAAATTTTTGTAAAATTTTTTTTTGGTCCTGGATTCTCGGGATTTGGCCGTTTTAGGGCCAAATTTGACGGCGATTTCGGGAAAAATATTGGCTTTGGATAATTTTGAGTGCTGAGTCTATTTTTTCGAGTTTTTTAGTTGATTTTTCCTTATTGTATGAGCTTCTGATCAAGTTTGGGTGGAAGGGAGATTATTTTAGGTAACAAAATGTAGTCTCGCGGCGGCCGTAGGCCGTCGCCTCATGCCGGCGGGCTCTTTAACCCGGCTTAGCAATCTGGGACTGGCCTGAGCTTAGCGATTAGGGAAAGCTTAGCGATCCTAACTTTTGGGTCTAAAAAACGCTACAACTTTCTACTAGGCTCAGTCTAACGCGTAGCGTTTCTCTGCCGCGGCCGGAGGCCGTCGGCAAAGCTTTAGCGAGCGTTTATGTTGTTTTCGACGTTGAACAGGTCCAAATCGCGCGAAAAGCAGCGATACCGGGCGCAAAGTTGCCTTTGTCCGCAGGACTGCCCGAGAGACGTGAGCAGCCGCAGGCTGCGAAGTCTCGAGCCCTAGTCTGATGATATTTTATTTTTTTCGTAAAATATGTCATCATGACCGATTTTTTGGAATTCTTTAATTTCGGGGTCTTGTATGGGATACTGTAGTTTTTGAGATGGTTACGGTAAATCTAAAGCTGCCAGAATGCAATACAAGATTTATCGGTAATATTTATCCGCTAATTTTGCTAGTTAACAATCAACTTTATCGTTTCTAAAAAACCTGTCATCGTGACGGACTTTTGGAATTTTTTGATTTTTTTCGAATTTCAGCTAGATTGTTGATTAAAATTAAAAAATGTATACTTCGAAGTTTACAGAATAGCCAAAAATTGTCACAAAGTTTCTTTTCAGGGGCTTCAAGGGTTAAAATTTACATAAAGAAAAGGCCCTCTTTGCCAAATATTACTGTAATGGTCATCTTTTTGTAGCACAGATCAACTTTCTCTTCCCACTACAATACAAATGGCCGTCCCCTTTGTCCCGCAGACTCGTTCTCTTGTCCCTTTGACCATTGTCCTCATTGTCAGCAACTCCTTTTTAGGTGTTAAAACATTTTCTATTTTTCCTTTTCTTACGGTAATTATTACCGGAGCTAACTAGTAATGAACTAGTATTCATAGAAGCGTACTCTAACTATAACTTCGCTTCAAACTCAGCAGAGCGAAATTTGATCGGGTTTCGGGAGTTTAAATCTCGCTTAATTCGGATCGCACGCCCCTGAAGAAACGGAAGATTTGCTTTGGTTTCTACTCTGAAAAGTTTTTTTTTGTTTTTTACTTGTTGAATATACTTATGGGAGCGATTTTGGAGGGAAAATGGATATTAGGATTTTTTGAATGTGGGATTTTTTTAAATAAAAATTTGAAAAAATATGGGGTCGTAAAATACGCTAAGTTTTCCTTGGTGATGACTGAAATGAGCCTTAAAAAATCTCAGAGTATTTTTGACCATCTTCGGATTTTCCCGGACCCAAATTTTTACTTACGACTAAATTATGCGCTTTAAAAGTCCAAAAAATCCGTTTCGAGGTAAAAAAAGGTTTAAAAAATCATCTAAAAACGAATTTTATCCACTACGTATTTCAACACACTTTTTATTCCCCAATCTTCGACATGTTTTCCTCTTATTTCTCATTTATCTCGTCCAATTAGCCTCGGGCGATTTCTTTGATTTTCGCTCCAGACCTTCACGCCTGTTCCAAATGTTTTTTCTCGAATCTAAATTTATCCCTCACGTTTATCCGTCTTTTATTTAGCAACATTTTCAGGGAGAATGAAGGAAAATGAGCGGCCCTCGTACGGGAGGGAGATTAATTTGAATACCCATCCCGAATTGAGCTCCAAGAGCTCCAGTAGACGGTATTGTTGCATTGCGGTGGGGATCTTTGTGGCTGTTGGTGAGTTTTTTTTAATTTTTTTGGGGAAATTTGGAAAAAAATTGTTATCGTCACTGATTTTTTGGAAAGTTTCGAAGAAAAAATCGGTCATCGAAACATCCGAACTTGCTAAATAATAGTAAACCTCAAATTCTGACATCATAAAAAACATTTTTAAAAAATTTGGTGGTATGACGTCATCTTTGAAAATTTCCAAAAAATCCGTCATCATGACATGTTTACTTACGAAGAGGTTTGGATTTTCGTTTTTAATGAAAAATAAAGTTCAAAAATCACCGCTGAGAAAAAAAGTTTTTTGGAGATGACGTTATTTTTTATGGAAATCTCCAAAAAAATCCGTCATCTCGATTCGAAAATACCAGAACTTAAAATTTCGACACCTGAAAAAATTTATGCAGCGCTCATAGAACTTCAGAACAACTCTTAAAATTTTTGGGACTTTTAATTTTTCAAAAAAAACATGTCATCATGACGGATTTTTTTTGGAATTTCTAAGCATATAAAAATTTTTTTTTTGATAATTCGAGAGAAGAACGTATTTTACAACTCTCATTTTCCAGTAATAATCCTCCTGGGCATCTGTGGAATGACCTATTACCGACAGCAGATCCGAAAACAAGAGCTGAAGGACCTCCATTCTTATATGAAAAACCTGGTGGATACTGTAAATAACTCTCCGAAAAGTCGATGGAAGGTACTGTAAATACATTTATCTTACTCTATACACTACATAATTTTGATTTCAATTGTTTTCAGGCCAAATTCAACCCATTTGGAATGAAAAATAAGGATTACAACTACAAAACTCTGAAGAATATCACCGCCGTAAAGGAATATGTGAAACATTTGGAGGATTTCTTTGTCTCCGACAAAATGAAGGCTCATTTAGCGTAGGTTTTGCGACTTTATATGTAAATTTTTGATTTTCGGAAATATGGCCCATCAAGGGTAATATATTAAAGTTGCTAAAATTCGGCGAAAATAAAAAAATTAGATTTGCCTGAGACTTTTTGGAAATTTTTAGTCCGCGTTATGCAGAAATAATCGCGTTATAACACTTTTAAATTCAAGAAATCTAAATTTTTTGTCTCAAACTTGGTCTCATGGATAACATCGAGCTTATTTTCATGTCCTTAAAAATTGTTCATTTTGTGTTTCAGCGAGATCGAGGCGTTCCCAGCCTCTCAATTGCCCAGTCGATTCGACGCGAGAGAGAAATGGCCTCTCTGCCCGACTTTACACCACGTCATGAATCAAGGAGGATGTGGATCTTGTTTTGTAAGTACTAATTCAGTATCCTACAACTTCGTTTAGGCAGTATCATCAATTACGGTGGCGTCGGATAGGGCTTGCATTCACAGTAATGCCACTTTCAAGAGCAGTCTTTCGGTTGAAGATGTGCTGGGATGCTGTAAAGTAAGCTATTTTCTACTGCGTATTTCGATTTTTATGTGTACAGGGTGTCCAGAGAAATGTGCCGGAAAGTTTTTGTCGATTTCTTGGCGCTCAATCAAGATATCCGAAAAATTCTTTTTGCAGGATAAAGAAGAATATGGGCGGTTTTTTGTGCAAAAGAATCATTTTCTCCGCCAGCGCGGAAGGCAGTGTATTCGGCGGAGACTTTTGATCGCTTTTTTGATCATCGCACCAACTTTAAACGCTTTATTATGAAGTTTGATGGTTGAAGCAAAGATATTTGCATATTTTCATGTTTACCAAGTGTTCGGCGAAGGTATGGCGGACGCTCGCCGAATCGGCGGAGGCCATAACTCAGCTGCGGACAAGACATGGTCCAACACAATTTTTATGGCCTGGCTAGAACACCCTGCTGGCTTCGTATGCCTTCGAAAATTTTGTCACCAAGCTTTGGCAGAAGCTAAGCCATCGGAAAACCACTTGGTGCACCAGAAAACAACAAAATATTTTTTGTTCAAGTTTCCTTTTGCCTTGCTGTTTCAAACCTCCGCACGGTGCACTCGAACTTTATCGGTGTTGCAGCGACAGGCTGCACCGTGCAGTCGCTATATGGGATCGCATTGCGATGTCGCTGTCTGTGTGATTTATTGCGTCAAAAATTTGAAGACTTTCCGGAAGTTTCAGCATCATAATAAAGCGTTTAAAATTGGTGTGATGGCCGAAAAAGCGATCAAAAGTCTCCGCCGAATACACTTCTTTCCGCGCTGGCGGAAAAAATGTTTCTTTCGGACAAAAAACCGCCCAAATTCTTCTTTATCCTGCAAAAAGAATTTTTCGGATATCTTTATTGAGCGCCAAGAAATCGACAAAAACTTTCCGGCACATTTCTCTGGACACCCTGTAGTTAGAGTTCCCGTATTTTACATCTAAAAATAGGTATCGTCACACTTAGAAAATTGATTTTTTGGTACAAAAATTTGGGATTTTTTTAAATTCAAACCTCAATATTTCGGATGTTTCTGCATAGCGCGATCTCAGATTTTCAGAAATGCCTTTGAAATAACTTATTTGGCACGTAATTTTTTCCAATTCGAACCGAAATTTTTGTGGGTGTTTCTGCATAACGCGATTCGGAAATTTCAGAAATCCATCAAAAAAATCAATTTCCCTTTTCACAAGATTTTGCCGTGATAAAAAATTAATTTCCACCACCAAAACTTCACTCAAATTTCAGGTCTGTGGAAATTGTTATGGCGGCGATCCCCTGAAAGCGTTGGCTTATTGGGTTCTGGAGGGAATTGTGACCGGCGCCAAGGACGGCTGTCGTCCCTACACTCAAAATAAAGACTGTGGAACTCCCTGTTTGCCAGATGAATATCCAGGAGGCGAGCAGAAACGACAATGCCTCAGGCAATGCCAGTCCACGTATTACAAAAACAGTTACACAGAAGACAAAAATTTCGGTGAGGAATTGAATTTTTGAGATTTTTTGAAGTTAAAATTTTGATCTTTAAAATTTAAAATTTAATTTTTCTGCCAAAACTTATCAAAAATCGTATTTTAGGATCCCTGGCCTACACTTTATACCCCCGCAAAATGACAGTGGATCAGAGTGGGAAGGAGAAGGTGATGATGTCATCGGTTATTGGGCACTTCAACAAAACTGCGGAAAAACCGCTGAGTCCGGATCAGGTAAGACTTTCACATTATCCTTGGAATTTAATTTTGACCAAAATTCAATTCTTAGAAAATTATTTAAATTTCCAAAAAATCCGTCATCATGAGTCAGTTCAGGATTTTTAAAGTATATTTTAGCTTTAAAAGCTTTTGATTGTAAAGACAACACGTAGCAAATACCATATCAAAAACAAAAATTTCGTTTTTACCAAAATTAAAGATGCCATGATAACGGATTTTCTGGAATTTCCTCAATATTCGTAAATTTTTGAAAGTCACATGTATTTTCGAGATTATAAAATTTTTCTACAATATTTTTACAACCTCTTTCCACTGCTCATCACCAATTTTCAGATCCATGACATAATAAAAAAGGAGCTTTACCTTTTCGGTCCCACGACGATGGCATTCCCCGTGACCGAAGAGTTCCTTCACTATGATTCCGGGATTTTCCATCCAATTCCGGAAGAGAAGTTCGAAAAACGAATCATTTATTGGCATGTGGTTCGACTGATCGGATGGGGAAGGGACAAGGATGACAAGTTGTATTGGACTGCCATCAATAGTTTTGGCTCTCAGTGGGGAGAAAATGGTAAGATTACTGGTTATTTTTCGTTGTTTGGGCTTTCTAAGGGCTCAGTCGTCCATTATCTATCAATCCGAGCAAAAATTTCATAATTCAAGTTTTCGCGGCGGGACCCAGTTTTGTTTTTGAACGAGTTAAAGTAAGGAAAAAATGTCTTTGGCAGGTATTTCAGCATGTCTAAAGAATATTTTTTAATGAATACTTACTAAGAATGCCCGTATTTTACCGTTATGTATTTCAATAAACCATCTCATTTGATGTCAAGCGTAATATAATTACACTAAATTTTAGGCCTGTTCCGAATCGACACCTCAATGTTGGAGAAGTTTGGGCTGGAATACGAAACGGGAATGCCTTTATAAACCAGTAGTTGTGACGTTTAAAACTTTGTAATTACAGTATTTATTAATTGTAAATTTTGAGATAAACTTTTAAATTTACCTTGGGCTTCCATTTTAATGCCGTATTTTAAATTTAAACACATTTCTAGAAATCTATCGCAAAAAATTTTTATAACAAAATTCTAATTATTATTCCATTGAAATATGTCATGATGACATATTTTTCAGAATTTGTGAAAATCCCAAAGTTCGGCAAAATTACCCAAATTTATTAGTTAATTTATTATTACAGTGCAAAGCTGTGATTTTGTAACATAATGCCTCAGGCGATGAAACCTTGCCCCAGGCAAAAACCCCTCAAAATCGCTTAGGAGAAGGCCTGGACCGAGTGGACCTTGAAGCCGTCCTCGATCTCCACGGTGTCGATCTCATAAAGCCGGGTCCGCAGTCTGAAGTCGGTGAAATGTTGGCCGTTCAGGAAGACGGCAACCGAATCGTTGTGGCTCTGAGGAATGAACTCCAAAGTGTAGATCTGATCCCGCTCGAAGGGGAAGCCGCCGTCGCGCTCCTCCCCTCCCCAGTTACCGTTAATCTTCGCGTTTCGAACCGTGGATCGTTCGGCGAAACGGAGATTGAAATGAAGGGCAATGTCACCGCCGCCGCGGAGGTTGATGGTACACCAATCATTCACCGGGACCACGACCAAACGCAGGACCTTGGACTGGCTGAATCGGACGGGCAAGGAGGTGGGGGTACGCTGCAAAATTTGAGGGGGTATATAATTATGGGAGAAAACATTTAATTTTGAATTTTTACAGAGCAAGTTTACATTGCCAGAATAAAATTCAGCATTTTCAAAGAAATTCGAAGAAATTTTAGACCGCGTTTTGCAGAAATATTCGAAATTTGCGCTCTCTTTCTAAAACTTTATTACAAAGCTTGCCGTTTAGATAGAGCTTTGCAGAAATAACAATTACCATTTTGCAAGATAAAGTTTTAAGACCGCGTTATGCAGAACTGACTGAAATTTTAAGTAAAAAAAATTTTTATTTTGTTATAAAATTTTGCAAAAAAAAGTTTGCGATTTAGTTATTAATCCATCAAAATTTTATCCGCGTTATGCAGAATTGATTATTTAGGCATTTTTTGACAAAAAAGAATATATTTTTTAATGGCAAGAGTGTTTTTTGACATTTCTTTTGACCTACCACATTGTAGACGCCTCTTTCGACCGTTGGATTGATCTCGTTGCCTCCTCCAATGCCAAAGTATTGAATCCCGGCTCCCTGACCGATCCCACCGCCAAATCCACCGCCGAATCCTTGACCAATAGACATGATTTACACTAAAATTATCAAAATTTGAAGTTTTTACTATTACACCTCAAGTATGATATAAAAATTCGCGGAAAATTGTTGGAAAACCCGTCTCTATAGGTGAAATTGATAAAATAAAAATGGTTTTGTTGATTTCCCCGCCTTTGTTTAATGATGACTCAACCCTTTTTTCCAGTTTTTAATCCGAAATTTGTAGGCTTATAGATTTATGGGCCTGCAAGTTTCAAGGAGTGGCTTTTTTCGTAGTCTTTTTTTAGATGGCTAAACAAATATTTGGCAAAAAAAGAGGATTGGGATGAAAAATGGAACGGATAATGAGAAAAAAAGGTAAATCAAGATGATTTTCGATATTATTTTAGATGTTTGGAGGCTAATATAAGCTGACAGGAAAATTTTGAAGCCTTCAAAAAAGGTTTTACGAGGAACCCCAGCAAAAAAAGAGGGTCTAAAACAAAATTTTTACTCTTTTAAATTTCCAAAAAAAGAGATTTTTCATCATTTATTTGAAAAATTATACTTTTTTTGAACTTATTTTCAGGTTTTTTTTGTATAAGCTCCCTATAAATGACCTTTCTAACATTGAAACATCTTTTTGAATAGCATGACGCACCTTGTTGATTTAAAGAGACTTGTTTTTTTGTAGGTTTAGTCAGTGATATAAGCCCCATATCAGAAACAGAATCATAAACATGATGTAATCCGCAAGTATCATAGCTTGATAATTGTTTTTTATCGTTCAGCAAGTCTAGCCAAACAAGTACAAACCGATTATTGCCCTAAGGGCATTTCAATACAAAAGACGGTCATTTCTTTTGATCAGCGTTTCTTGCGGCTTGGAAGAGGAAATGCCAAAGAAATGCCGTCAAAGAGAAACCTAATGAAAATTTCAAATAGTATAGTGTTTGAAATATCGCAATGAATTTTTTGGCTGAAGCAAGAAGATTGCAACGATGATAGTGATAGGTTATTTATCTCCAAAGGCGCAACTTTTTGACTCAAAAGCCCCAGTTTTTTCGGCCTAAAAATTGTGGGTTGCTTCTGAAAAGCACAAGCGAAATTTACAAGGGAAGTGCACGAAGTGTCATGCACATATTATAATGAAAATTGGTATAATTTTGATTGAATTTTTCTAATTAAAACGTGCAAGATTTCTATGCACTGGCTTTCCAGAAACGACCGAGTTTTTTATGTCTAAAGTTGGCAAAAATGCGACATTTTTTCCGCACTTTAGCATGAAAAGATTTTCACCCATTTTTACCACAAAGGGTAACGTTTCCACAAAAAAAATAAAATTTTTCCAAGCGAAACAGGCAAAAATATGGCCAAAAAGCGTCTTTTTCTATGACCGCTCTCCGCATTTCGAGTACTTCTCCATTGTCGCCTAAATTCCCGTTCACAATCTACAGTACCCCCAATACTAAATTCCCGAGTCATACTCCAAATTAATACCCAACTTATCTACCTCTCCCTCTCGGTATTTACAACTCGTCCATGTCCGTAAACAATGGAGATCATGGAGCAGAAAAAGGGGAGAAATGAACGCCGCCATTCGCAGAGCCCTCCCTTTTAGGGAGATTTCTGTTTGTTTGGGATAGGCGCGGCTTATCAGCACTCTTTGTCCTTGAAAAGTATTAGAAACAATCAAATAAATACTTTTCCCTTCTTGATTACTCGCTTTTTATGTGGATGGAGATGAGTCAGGAAGGGAGAGAAAGATGATGTAACCTTTGGTTGTGAAGGGATCAGTCCTGAAGCGGATGGATCGGATTGAGTGTTGTAAAGGCGGAGATAACGCAATGGACAGTGAGCCAGACAACGCGGAAATTAGTGTAGTCTTGGCTGAGACGATTAAAATTGATAATTTTGTTCTCGAAAACAAAATTTTGAAATTTCGAAAAATCGCACTGTGCAGTTGGAAATGGAAATTTTGCACAGTGCAGTGGAAATCTTGAAAATTAGAATGCACTGTGCAGTCAATCAGAGAATTAGAAAAACAGTGGAGCCTTGGCTAAGGACCAAAAATTATATCTCTTATGACCCAATAAAATTTTTTGAGCCTCCGAAGAATCGCACAGTGCCACCGGAAAAGTAAAGTTTTGCACTGTGCGATAAAAATTTTTTGGTTTGCACAGTGCAACGTTCCAGTGTCGCAAAGAAATAGCATAGTGCAGTTGGAAGAAGTTTTTTTTCTGCCCTAAATCGCATAGTGCTATCATTTTTGGAGTTTTACGACGGCATTTTACTGAAAACAATAATTTCCGCACAGTGCAATGAAAAATTCTTTCTCTTTCCGCAATGCAACTATAAAATAATGAAAAATATCTCCAGAAATTGATGCGGAATACTAAAAATTATCTTGGTCTTTTATTCTGGTTATAATTACACATCAAGAATTTAAAACTACGGCACGTTGAGCAGATCGGGGAAAGTCTTATATTACACAATATTTACACATCAACCTCCTTGCAAACCGCCTTGTTCACCGGGTTTTTGCACATTGTCTTTGCTTGCGCGATGACGGGGTTCCATAGTTCTGAAAATGTCACAAATATTGTTTTGGTATATCAAAAAAAAAAATAAAATTTTTTGTTAATCATCAATATGGGAGATGCTCAAGGTCCATTGCTCCTAATTTGTTTGAATTTTTGTAAAGATTCTCTGTCTAGGCTACGTGTTAATTTTTGAAAATTTTAGCTTGCGTCTTGCCAGGAGGGCCGATATTTTCAAAAATCTTTGCCGGCGAGAGAGAATAGAAAGTGAGGAGACGGCAGAGAACTTTTTGTGAGGTCTTTGCGAATTTTTGACAGAAAAAAAATATGAAATTTTGTCATTCTCCTCGAACAAAAAGTCGCTTTCATTTCAAATAAAAACTTTAGAAAATTTTGAAACAAAAGTTCTATAAATTCTGGAAAATGCGATGCAAAATCTTGTTTTTCTCTCGAAAAAAATCAGGCCTAAACTTTGTCCCAGTCCCCACTAGACCTAAACCTTGGATTTCAGGGACTCTCCCTGACAACTAAAACTATTTTTAAGTCCGTAGATAACAAAAATATAAGCCCTTTGTTCCACGTCAACAAACCGTTGACTAAACCGCTAATCCGCCTTGGAAACTATCCTGGAAATTGTGTTTTTTTCGATGTTTAATCGCCCGAACAAAAACAATTCCCAAGCCTTGATAATCGGTGATTAAAAGTAACGATAAAAAAGTTAAAATTACTTTCTAATTTCTCCATGGTCTGGTCGTAATTGACCAGATATTCCCTCTCTTCCATGTCCAACAAACGGTATTTCTCGAGGGTTTTGCGGAATCCTTTGTAAACGGTGGCGACTCGCTGAGCTGGAGGGAATTGGGAGGCAACTTCCAGACGATGGGTAATGTCAAGGTACTGAAGAATAAAAAATATATCAATGCTCAAAAATAGAATTATTTTTCCGACAATTTTTCAATTGTTAAAAGGAATCATTCCCATCTCATAAAACGAGAAATTCAATTTTGCGAAAATTCCGTAAAAGTCCGCCATTATGACAGCCCAAGATGAAAAAAATGTCGGTTCAAAACAGTGTAAATTGAATGTAATATACATCGGTGTAAAAACTAAACACTCTAATTTTTTAGAGACTAAAAATTCCAAAAAAACTTTTCGTGATGACCTTTTTTAACCTCAAAAAATCTCAAAAATTATTTCGAAAATTGGATCTATGGACCAGCACTAACTTAAAAAATCAGGCTAAAAATCATTGTGCTGTCTTGTCCACGACATCATCAAAATTTCTCCCAAAATTCTATTCTTCAAAACAAACCCCGTCAGAAGTAAGCTTACCTCTTCAAAAAAGTTAAGTACGCCCTCAGGCACATCATGAGATTCGAGTAATTCCCTGACCTTCTTGATCAACTTGACTAATAATTTTTCGTTATCCACGAGTTGGCGTAAGTCTGATTTTTCATAATGCCCTCGAAGGGAGACTAATTGAAGGAAGAGGGCTTTGTGCTCTGGCGAGATGCCATTATCTGCGGCCAGGAACTCGTCTGAAATGAATTGTAAAATCACGGCTATGTTTAAGAGCATTGGTCATCATGGCAATAAAATTTGAGTAATTGTTTTTTCTGTGGACATGAATGGCTTGGCTATAAAACAGACTGGGATCAAACCTGGGTTGGAGACAAAAAGATCGGATATCAGTCTGTCGGGAAAGTAGTGAGCACTCTGTCGCATCGAAAATTTCATCGCCGCTTAGACATGGCTCTAGGGCCGGGCTGGGCCGAAAATCGCAGCCAGAGCCATGTCTACTCAGAAAATAAATTGTATCGCGGCCAAATCAAATTTCCTTTCACTTCAGCGATGCGATTGGCACAGCGACATTACGCTCACGTTTTTCCCGGAAAACTGATAAAAAACGAGCTCAATGAATTTATTATAAATGCCCAAAAAATAAATTCCGACTCACCATCGAACCCCGGCACCATACTCTCAAACTTGGAACTTCCCTGAATCAGCATCATCCTCAGCATCAACAGCCCGAAACCCAGCAGCAGATACCCGAACATGATGAGCTCCTGGAAGAAGGTGTTTTGCTCACACTGCGATCGCTCCTTCTCGGCTCATGACGGCCGGGTTTAAACCAACCCCCGAATCAGGGAACAGGTATGTTGACTTACATTATATTGTAGTAAACTATCTCCGCGTCAATTATGGAAGCCGGCCAGGCGCCGCAGATCGGGTTGTAAAGTGCGAAATGAGTCGAATTTTTTTCACTTGCCACCTTTTCGGGTGAAACCCGTGGCTTGTTGTAGTTTCGGCGGAAAGGTGAGAAATCACTTAATCGACCGAAAACACGGGTTCCTTGACGTGCGTTACAGTAAGAGGGGGTGTTTTTTGGCTCGAGACAGACGGAAAATCCCATTAGCGGATGGGTCTCTAATTTATGATGTTTGCTCTGCCGCATGTCATATTAGAGTTGAGTTGAGTTGACTGTAAGAATTTAAAAAAGTTTTTAAGGAAAGGATTGAAACACCTTCGGGAAAAAATGAGCGTGAAATAAGCTGTGTAATGCACCCGGTCATTTCACGTTGTCATCGCAAGCATTTGATTTTTGATGTTATTTTATAGAGGTATCAAATATAATATCAACAAGAAAAATATAAAAAAATCGAGGGAAATCGGTTAAAATGACGTCATCAGACATGTGACTAGTAATTATGATCTTACCATGAGCTTTCCAATCACTCTACAACGTTTCCCTGCAATGCCAAAATTTCTTGGCGTTCTGTCTCACATGCGAAGAAAAAGCCAAATTTACGAAATATTTGTGCGGAAAATCGAGACTTTTGGTTCTTCACCGTTAAAAGATGGACAATCTGCTCGGTTATGCGTCAAGTTCTTCAGATGAATCGGACTCTACACCTTCGAAGGTATGTTATACTTGTTTTTTTGTTTAAAAATGTTTATATTTTTATTTCTAGAAGCAGAAACTAGATTCACCTGCGCCCTCTAACAGCAGTACGCCCCTAGAGTCACGGCAAGACGAGCCTGCACCAAGATATGTAGAGCCAGAAGCGCCAACAAGAAAATCTTTTTCTGAAACTCCTCAAAATAAATCACCTTCCGGTAAGTTATGCTTTTTATTATTGTCCATTCCGTTTTTAGATGAGGAAGAAGAAGCTGAGGAGAATCGTTTGATCGCAGAGGGAGGTGCCCTACTAGCCGTTACCAGCACAGGCGGATCAAATTGTCCAACACCGTCAAGAGAGTCGGAGGGAGAAAATGAAGAAATAAATGAGGAGATAACACAATTGCCGCCTGAACCCGAAGGTGAAGTCGATCCGGATGTCGAGGTAGGTCTTTTCACAACTTTTGAGCTATGCTTGGATTGTTTTTGCATCAAGTTTTCGCTTGATACTAGTCTTGGCCATGTGTAATATAAAAAACTTCGTTTTTCTTCAGGCGAACTTCCATCGCTTTTTCAAATACAAGGAGCAACGAAAATGCGACATGAACAAGCTACTCACTGAACGCAAAGACTTCAAAAACCCATCAATGTACGAAAAATTAAAGGAACAGTTCGATATTGATGAATATGGAAGCAACTTTGATAAAAGAAAACATGAATTTATACAATTCGAGGACGAAGACTACTACGATGCTCTCTGTAGGTCATTTCCACATTTATATTGTTGCATTTTTAGCGGAAACACAAGCCAAAATCACGGAGAAGGAGCAAAGTCGGCGGAAGAAGGTGTAGGTCTCGAAGATACTGTTATTTTTGATGGAAAATGGTCTTGAAGATACTTGTTACAGACATAAACTTATTTCACGTTATTTACAGACTCGATTTGAACTATTTTTACAGTGATTAAAATAGAAAAATTTTGAGTTTTTTTTTGAATTTTACGTAGAAATTATGCAAATTTCCCAACGCTCGAGCCAAATTTGGTCCTTTTTCTGTATGGAGTCATTTCATAGTTGAAAGCAATGGAGCTGGGGCTGGACCCGGCTAACCAAAGAAACCAGCGCAGCTGCTCCTTCGATGCGTCCATCGTTAATGAGTCGTATTATCATGGTAAGTGAGGCCGGGGTTGTATTGTAGTAGGCAGACATGGTCGATTTTGGGCTGAAGATGAAGAGCAATGTGGGTTTTGAGATGTGGGTTTGCATCTGCAGTGGGTTTTGAGATCCTATGGGGAGTGTTTAGACAGCAAGCCGCCTTCCGTCGCGAGCATATTCGATAGTTATATTGCGGTATGTAGAGATGGTCGATTTTCGAGTTTTTTTGGGTTGAAGATGGAGGTGCTGCTAGATTAGCTTTTGTAGGAGCGTCCCTGATTCTCTATTTTGGCCGTATCAACCGTTATTTTCAGGGCTCTTACCTCGCGAGGACATCAGACTTATGTTACACTCAAACGGGGACTTCTTGATTCGAACCACCGAACCCAATTCCGAAGAAGGTAAACGCTCGTACGTCCTGTCCATTATGGTTTATCAAGAGAAGGAAGAAAATGGTGTAAGTTTTTGGAAATCCGAGAACTTTTATATTATATTACCCAGCATTGGTCATCATTTTTTCCAGATCAAGCACTATGTAATTCACCGGCACGGAACAAAGTGGGTCATCGAGAAGTACGGGTTCGATAGCATCAAAGCGATGGTCGACCATCACCGGAGCAAGAACGAGTCCATCTCCAAGAACGAGCTGGTTCTGTTGAAGCACCCGATCCCGAGACAGCCCTGGGAATTGAGTCACGATGACATTGTTTGTACCAAGAAGTTGGGGGAAGGCGCGTTCGGCGAGGTCTACAAAGGAACGTTGAAGCTGAAGGGCGGCGCGCATGCGAATGTGGCCATCAAATTGGCCAAGCTGGAAAACCTGACCAAGGAACAGATCAAGGAGGTCATGGGAGAGGTAAAGAATGAAAATATTTTTTGTAAAACCATTTCTCATAACCGAATACGGTCTGAAATTTCATAATTTCCATTTTAAACTACTCTGTCGACATTTTGTCACGCCATTTTTTCAGGCGCGGCTCATGCGAAGGTTTGATCATCCGAATGTCGTCAAGTTTTATGGAGTCGCCGCAGGTCAAGAGCCGCTGATGGTGCTGATGGAACTGGTCGATTATGGAGCGTTGGACTCGTTCCTGAAGAAGATGGAGCAACCTCCGGCCAAGAAGACGGTTATGTGTGTTCAAGCCGCTTGGGGCATCGAATACCTGCATCTGAAGAACGTGATCCATCGCGATATTGCGGCCAGAAATTGTTTGTATGGAGGTGGACAGGTCAAGATTAGCGACTTTGGACTGAGTGTCGAGGGAACGGTGTATCAAATGGATCCCCAAAAAAGAGTGCCGGTTAGATGGTAGGTGTATAATATGGGAAAATTTTGGGGGAAATTTTTTGGAAGTGATATGGAAAATAAACAGGAGTGTGTGGAGGGAATGTTAGATTGATTGGGAAGTAATTTACAACCTTCAGGTTGGCTCCGGAGACCCTGCGGACCTTCATTTACACCCAGAAAACTGATGTCTGGGCCTTTGGAATCTTGTGTTGGGAGATCTTCTCCAATGGCCAAGAACCCTATCCCGGTCTGAGTCCTGGAGAGACTTTTGTTAAGGTAAGTTTGCAACATATTGTAGTCTACTTTTTTAATTATTTTATCAGCCTTATGTAATGTTTTTTTCAGGTCAAAGAAGGCTACCGCATGCCGATGCCCGCTTGCGCTCCAGCCGAACTGGCCGACCTCGTCGTGAACAAGACGTGGTCCGAGAGTCCGAACGATCGGCTGTCCATGAAAGAGCTGGCGCACAAGCTGGAGCTGTTCGCCAAAATCAGACGCCCTCAGGCTCCTTCACATTCTGACGTCCCCTCAGTCCCACAGCATGATTTTTATTATCATGAGGGGATCCCACCCCCAGTGAAAGCCAGAAGAGCGAAGAAGAATCAACATCGAAAAAAGCATTAATTCGTCTTTTTTTGAGTAAAAGTTGTACTTGGTGATATAGATAATTATTCGATTTACATACCTGTCTAAAACACTGTAACATATCCAGGACTTGGTTGGTTTCTGCGCCACTCATTCATTTTACCAAAAGAATTTTCAATTAATAATTTATCTTGTATTAAACTTGCTGTATCTACCCAGATATCAGACTGGTAAACCGATTACCTAGATTCCTCTAACAGATATTAAACTTGATTTCAAATGCCCTCTGTTATATCACACTGCTGTTTACTCATTAATTTTATTCAATTTCAGTTAGAAACATGTACAAAAAGAGTACCAATATTATAAACAGCATGTATTCATCCAATTTTAATCAAAATAAGTAGTAAATAGAGCTCGGGGTTTAGTTTACATAATCGTGACTCAGCGGGTCTTTCTGACGTTATCCCGGACCTGGGTGAGCACTTGGTGGATATGTCCGAGGTGGTCTCTGATGTCGGGTCCCATGCCCTGTAGACGCAGTTTGAGGTTCTCCTTGTTCTTCTTGAAGAACTCTTCGCCGCTCATCAGGGCTAGCCTCAGTTGTCGGGCGTCTTCGAGGAGTTGCTGCTGTCCGGGGCCTTCTGGTTCGGACTTCAACTTTTTGACAAGAACTTTGGCCATGAATACCAAACCGTCAAAATAGTTGAAGAATTCCTTGGAACTGTCGATTTTAAGGGGGTCCGTCCGAACTGGGGACATTTGGCCCAGATCCAGTTCTACTCCATGTCGGGCGGCTCTAAAAACGGCATCAAAACGTGTAAAATAATGTGAAACACATCCCGAAAACATTATAAATCAAAAATTTTGCTTTCAACTAACCAATCAGGCTCCATTTTGCCTAAACCAACTAATTTCACACCTCAAAATGCCCAAAAACATCAAAAGTTATACTTTAACTTACCCGAGTTCAATCTTTTTCCTCAAAATTTGATTTCCTTTCTTCATGGTCTCATGGAGTTCATCCAGATCCTTCTTGTCCTTGACTGACTTCTCAATGTAGCCCTTGATCTTTCCCACAATGTCCGCAATTCCATCTGCGGCCGGTCTAAACCAATTTTATATTACTTTAGGTCACCAACTCATGCAAAACCTCACAAAACATTCAAAACCGCCTCTTACCGAATTCCCATGTCCTCGGGCACCTTCTCTGCGATCTTGATTACCCATTCATTGTACTTTCTGACCTTTTCATTCGCTACGTCAAGTTGTTTCTGGACTAAAGCCAGCTGTTGCAGGGCCTCCGGAGACTCGTGTTTGACCTGTTGTAACGCCCGATTCTGGGACTCAAGTTGTTGCAGCTTCATTTTCAACTCATCAACTTCCTTCATGGCCTCGTTAGCCTTCTCCAGCTCCACTTGGAGCTCATTTATCATCTGCCCTCGGCTCCCACATTCATCGAAAACTTTGTCGTAAGCAGTCTAAACAATCCAAAAAAATCTTCAACCACTTACCAAAGCATTATCAAGTTTTTCAACGCACTCCTGAAGTTCAACCTGTAGTTCTTCCACCTGCCGATTCAACTTGTCATTCTGCATTCTCTGCTTGTGAACTTCATTCTGAGAGGCTTCCAAGGCGGCACGGAGTTCCGACAGATCGATTAGAGCCTCCTTTCCTTCCTCGGCTTCCTAAACATCAAAAATCAACAACAATTTTCTTATTATAAAAAATCAACACCCATCTATATTATACCAAAACCAGATGTCAAAACCACCTAAAACAATATAAAAATCTCCCCCAAAGCTCTTCAAATCTCTCTTACATTTCTATTTCTGACCAAACTGGTCTCCAAAAGTTCCACATTCTTTTTGTAATCAGTTCCTTTGGCCTGGATTTCATTTGCATATGCATCTTGTTTCTGTTCCAATTCCCTGTAAAGCTCTTCAATTTTCGCTCGTTCTTCTTGGAGTTCCTTCTCAAGACGTTGGGTCTTCTCTCTTTGTGCCGCCAACTCATTATGAGCGTCCACAACGTCCTTGTTGAGGTCAATTTCACGTTCATTTTGAGCAATAGTCTGTCCCTCCAAAATAGACATAGATCGCCTGAAAATGTAAAATAAATATGACATTAAAACTCGTAGTAGGTTTATAAATACCAAAACCTTTAATTATAATAAGATATCTGACTTTTCACACAAAAATTTTCTTGATCAGATGGCAAGTGTAATATAGTTTTCCTCATTATTGACCTGCCAAAATACTCCAAACGTCATATAAACCCCTAATAAAGTCAAATAACTACCAAAATTCCAGCAAAAATCTTGAATTTTCAGTACATTGATCTTCACACCTACTACAATATAAAAAACCTCCAATCCATACCTCAACGAGTCGTCGATGACATTGCTGAGCTCAGCCAAGCTCTCCTCCATTCCCTTTGCCCCCTCCATGATCTCTCTAGTCTGATCCAGGCTCGCGTTTAGGGTGAAATTCATCCCATTGATCTTGGCCAAGATCCTTTCAATAGTCTCCTTATGTTCTGAATCCCTGCCCATCTGAGTTGCCATTTCACCGAGGAAATTGGCAGTGCTTCTAACTTGATCGAAGAGAATATGAATGTTCGACTTCCACGTGTGGAGGACCTTTTTGTAATTCCTGACATTCGACTGGGCAGCATTGGTCAAATTCAGAATTTCTCGGAACCCGGAGCCATTTACCATCTAAACCAGTAACAATCAAAAGAAAAACAACTTACTGAGAGTTCGGCATCGATGGATAGGTGAACTCTGCTTTCGCTGGCAACACTCTCCGAGCAAACCGAGTCCATGTCGAGGCACTGCTTGCGGAAGAAATCGGGATTTTCGTTCCTATAATCGGACACTGCGGACTTTGGCTGAGAATTAGAGATGAATGGGATCTTCTGCGAGCCCGATTGGAACCTCTCTTGAGGTGGCGCAGGATGGACTAGAAATCAAAAAATTTTTTTTTCAAATATGAAACCTAGATTATAAACATAGCAAGTTCCGAGTCCCCTAAGATTTTTTAACCGTCTACAGAACCATTAAATGGACCAATATTTTCTTTAATTTACCTTGTTCATTGACTCCTGGACCCCTGGCCGAATTCGAGTGATTCAGCAGATTTCGGTAAATCCTCGACTCATCGTCGCTCTTGGCCGCCTCCATCTCCATTTTCTCTTGTTTCAACTCCGCATTCTCATCCCGTAACCTGACAAGATCAGTTCTGAGAGCAGTGATTTCTTTATCCTTCAGCCTCTTGGTCTTTCGATAATGCTCTTCCTTTTCCTCCAATTGTTTCCTCAGACTCTCAATCTCCTCATTCTGCCGATTCAACTTGACAGAAAGAGTGCGAATCTACAATTTTTACGTGTTTATATTACCCATGAGACCTAAACTCCGAAAGAATAAAGAAAACTAACTTTGTCGACATTCTCTACGTCTTTCATGTCCATAACTTGAGCCAATTGAGCATTCAGATTGTAATTCTCACTCTCCAAGTGTTGAATCCGATTCTGAGCAGTAATGGGGATCGATTCATCTAAAATTAGAATAAAAACGTGGAGTTTTTCCAGTATAATATAAATACTCAAAAAACTTACAAGTCCGGGCCGTGGAAATACCACTGCAGAAGCTGGTCTCGTCCATCTCTAACCAGACTCCAGGGATCCTATCTGAAAAGAATAAAAGTATTTAAAAAAGGCAAGTGCAATGTAAAACACGGCAAATTGTCGGAAACTTGCAAAAAATTAGGGAAATATATAAATTGAAAGGTAATTCGGCACTCCTTCCTCCTCTTAACCGCATAAATTTTGCCAAATACCTTAAAAACCAGCATGAATAAAGGCCTCGTATCTTAAATGTCAAGTACAATATAAACCCAAAGAAACCAAATAAATTTTACAGCTTAACACACCTGCTGAGTAGAACCTCCCTCCTCGAAAGCCTCGAAAGGAGGTACGAAACGGCGAAAACGATGAAAAGAAAAAAGAAAAAAATATTTTTTCTTTTTTGAACGCATTTTTTCGCGCCGAAAGAAAGACAAAACGACACTATTGACTGATTTTATGGAAGAAGTGCATCAATAAAATCTTGTTCCACTTGTTTCATGACTATTGTAGAGCAGAAATATATCTATTAAGCCTTAAAATTCAAAAATTTTATTTCCAGCAACATCAAGTGTAATATCTGATAATTTTCTAGATGTAAATAGCTCAAAAGCATGCCAGATTCATGATCAATGAACACTTTGAAGTTGAAAGAGTATCATGATGACTGTTTTAACCGGATACAACTCTGTTGGATACCAAATTTTTGACAATATTATACTTGATGACCTATCGATTGAAAAATACCGATAAAAATAAATGTAACGTTCGTACGCCGTCAGTAGGCGTTTCAAACGCTCAAAAAAGTGATTCTTGTAAAATACACAAAAAAAAACGAATTGTTTTACTTGATACTACATGGAACTCAAAATTCTCATAAAACCCGGCTTCCCCAAGTTTCAAAAGTTTTTGTCCAAAAATCAAAAAGATGGCAAAGTTCATGTCAAATCGAAACAAAATCAAATTTGCGACCGACTTCTTGCAAACCTCATTTCATCAACTTTTTTCATCGTGGACGGTCGCTCTTCTGGAAAAGGATGGCAAAACCAGGGGATGTGCTCAAGATCTTCGCATCCAAACCGTATTACCTTGGGATCTTGCCAGCAAGTCGGGCTGAGGTCAGTTCAATCTAATTCTATCTGATTTGGGAGCTTTTTGGATTATTTTTTGAAGAATAGTATCAGACTTGCCTACTGCAATATAAAAAATGGTTGAAAAATCCAATTTCTTGATCTAACTTGACGAGTTTTTTGTATCATCTAAAATCTTAGGTCTCAACAACCAATAATTTCGTATTTTAGACGTGCATGACAAATCCGGGCGACTTTGCGATCCGTTTGGATACGAAGCAACCCATCAAGATTATAGCCATGTTGAAGGGCGAGAAGGTCTATCATCAGCAACTCGGATACGATGGAGCCCATTTCTGGCCGGTCCGAAAGACGAGTCAGAAGTTCAGCACATTCCCAGAGTTCATCGATTTTTATCACACGAATCCCTTGTTCTTCGAGGAGGATCAACTGTTCATAAAGAATATCAATGTCCGCCCGGCATGGCTGTTGCCTCCAGGGGACGTGAAACTCAGCAAGGACAGACTGGGTAAGATTTTTGGCAATTTTATCCAATTATTTTGGATAAAATAATTGGAGTTTTTTGAAAATTTTGATGACTATTGTCAAGTGTAATATAATTTTTTATTTTATTGGGGGTTAGTAAAAACTTTACTATTTAATATCAAAACATATAATGATGACGGATTTTTTCGAAAAATCATATTTTCAGGCAGTGGAAATTTTTGCGACGTCTACGCCGGCACGTACAAGAAGAAAGTGGTTGCCATCAAGGTTTGCCATACGGGAATAGGTAAGTGAAATAGTCCTATTTTAAAAATTATTTTTTAATTTTAGATACCACCGAAGTCGCCGAAGCCAATGTTGCCATGGTCAGTGAGGCCGCCGTTATGAGGGGGATTCGGCATGAGAATGTCGTTACTGTAAGTCATGTTCTATATCATCAAATGTTCGAGTTTGAAAAAAAACTTTTTTTTTGATTATAGTGTAATTGGATTTACCTTTCAGTTCTATGGAATCTCCTGCGACGAGCCCCCGATCATGATCGTAATGGAAAGTTGCTCAGGCGGAGCGCTGGGAAGTCATCTGGTAAAGGAGGGCGAGAAGATCAAAGTGGCCGAACGAAAGAGATATATAATGGAAGCCGCGGCCGGAATGTGTTTTCTGCACAGCAAGTAGGTTCTGTTTAGCTGTGCTTTGCATCACTGGCGTATTTTGTACATTGGGTATTTATTTTTGAGGTTTTCGAAATTTTTAGTCATCTACAGTAAGATAATGTGAAAAATAGCCAAAATAGGTCCTAACATAAGGAGAAAAAAGTTTCATAGGTCTGAAAATGATGGTAGTTTCGAGGAGTGAGTTAGTTTTGCCCAGGAAAATTGCACACTCGCAATAATTTCCATTTCCAGAGATGTGATTCATCGAGACTTGGCGGCGAGAAACTGCCTCCTGAACAGTGCCGGAGTGGTCAAGATCAGCGACTTTGGGCTGAGCAAGGTGGTTAATTCCATTTCGGGCGAGAATCTGGCAAAACAACACCTTCCCGTGAGATGGATGGCGCCGGAAACGTTGAGGAAAGTTGGGACTTTCACCAAGGCCAGTGATGTCTGGTCGTACGGAGTCCTCTGCTTCGAGGTCTTCAACGGCGGAGTGAAGCCCTGGCCTGATTGGGAGGTACAGAAAGTGGCGACATGCATCCGAAATGGCGACATGCCCGAATTCCCGTCAATCACGCCGGACGAGATCAAGACGATGATCCGGGAGCACGTCTGGGTGATCGACACGCGGAAAAGGTGGTCCTTTGAGAAGATTATGAAGTTTTGGAGGAGTCAAACTCCAAAAATGCCTGCTCCTACTCCTGCCACTCAGGTGGTAAGTGGATTTTGACAATTGTGGAGTTTTGTCAGGGCGCAGTTTGCGGAAATTGAATTTTTGGACTTTGATAAAAAAAATTTTATTCCGATTTTAGACAGATTCGAAGGAGGTCTCTTTCTGCGATGATAGCGACTCTAAAGACAGTGACGTCAACCTCGTAGTGGGACCAACTCAAGAACCATTAAGCGAAAAAGAGGAAAAGGTGGAAAAGGTCCCGGCGAAACCACATGGATCCAATGCTTCGATGACTGGTCAAGGGTCTGGAAAAACGACCACCGGTGGCGATAGATCGAAACGTCGAAAGAAAAGCAAACGGAATAACGATAAGGAACCGAAGCCCGTATGTTTATTTTTGATGCAATGTTGCGATTTTTAGGTTGGGAATGCCTGATCATGATGTTAGATTGTGTCAAAGTCATTAGAGTTTAGTTTCGGGTTTGGTATAGGCGTAAATCACATTAGGAACAGACTTTTTATGACGTTATAGTAGATTTTAGGTAACAACTTTCGGATTTTTGATAATAAGAGATTTTTAGAAGAACTGTGACCAACCAAAAGAATCCACTCCCCACTCCAAAGATACCAAGGCTGCGAAGGCGGGTACTCCTCCAGAGACGACCTCCAAGCCTCCTCCAGAGACGATCTCCAAGCCTCCAGATGATCATAGCGCCAATTTGATCGTCTCTGAACTCCAGAGAGACATGGCCAGAAAACGAGGATCTTTCAGAAGGAAGGGAAGCCGCGAACGCGAACCACATCCAAGGCATCGCAAATCCAAAGGAACGCTTCGGAAGGTTTCGATTAAGCTCGCATCCGACGTGAACCCAGAAGAAGATCCCAAGCAATCGCATGTGAAGTCCAAGAAAGGAAGTATGCGGAGATCGAAGCAAACCAAGACTGCTGAACAACAGTGATTATCAGTAAAATTTTGTAACTTTGGCAGTTTTTGGTCTTTTGTCCATCTAACCAAGTGCAATATAATTTTTTTTGTCGAAACATGCCAAATCTTGAATGATTTTGGTCCTTCAGATTTCGCGATGAATCTGTGGAGAATTCAACTGTTATTTTACGATATCCAAACATGTTCCGACTTCGTTTTTCTTGTTGGACTTTATACAGAAAAATTCACAGTTAATGGCAGTAAATCACAGTAGTAACAGTTAGAATGTAAACAAAACAACAGTAAAACTCTAAATGGCAAGACTGAGTTCTTGAATTCGAGTAAGACCAAGGAATGAACGGGTTCGGACGTTATTTTAGACGGTTTAGATATCACTTGGAGGTTATATCAATGCTCTTCGACGTAGTTGGCGGGAAACAGCCCCATTTTCGGGCCAATCCTGCCTTGCCACCATCCTGAATCATCTGAAATCAAGAGTTTAGTGATTTTGAAGACAATATTATATTGCACTAGAGGCAAAAACTGAACAAAATTTGGTGGATAATTTTTGAAGTAAGGTCCGAAACAGTTCGGAGTTGGACGATTGAGGAAAAAGACGATTGGGGAAACCGAAAAGTATTAAATAATACTTTCCGGTTTCCCAATCGTCCCACTCCAAACAGTTAGTACTCACCTTTCTTGATGAGCTCAATGATTTGACCCTCGCAGAACGACAATTCATCGGTGTCTTGGGCGTCATACGGATACATTGCTCGTACCGTGGGACCTCGCGGTTTGACCATCGGTTTGGGTTTGGGGACTGGCCGCGATGCCGGCACCTGATCCGCCATCGGATGGACCTTCTGGTTGGAGCTCATAGCATTCGCCAGAATCGCTGCGGGATTGTGTTGATGCTCTTCGATGGTGTTTCGGAACAATTGAGGGGGTTTGTGTTGGCTGAGGATGTTCGGATGATGGTCGACTCTGGCGGCAGACTGTCTCGACGCCCATGTCGACTTCTGAACCGAGACTGGACGATTGGTCGGCTCTGAAAATAAGATTTATCATTAAAATTCTGCAAAAACCCTCAAAAAAGTATCATAATAAAAAAACCTAGACTTACTAGTGGTTGCGGGTAAACCTGGCGGAACTTTGACGACCAAAACCTTCTTCTCGGGTTGCGCCACAACTCTGAGGGTCGATGTGTCCTCAACAAACTTGAAATCTCGGACTCCGGGCGATCCGATTATATTATACTTGAGTTTCTTCAAAATCGCTGTATGGGAGTTCGCAAAGCGAAGAGGCAGATCGCGACCCGGCACCACCTCTCGATAGCGCTTGTTCATCGCCGTCAACATCTCGGTTTTCAATGGGGACTCCAGCACACTTGTGTATTCGTCTTTTACTTGGAGGAAGATATAGTCATCCTGGAGGGTGGAGAGACCAATTTCAGTGATATTCTCCAGCGGGATCTTCCTGAAATCAATATATAGACTATCAAAAGGGATATTTTACCATGGAGGCTCAGTATTAGATACAAACAGTGATAAAACCGACTAAATTTATTACAGTGCGGACCTGATCCAGTGGCAAAAAAACGTACCATTTTGCATTCGGGAAGTATGAAAGATGTGGCAAAATGCTTCCCTCTCCAAGCGAAAAAACTTCGTTTTGAAGGGCGCTTTTCCCACACAAAAAGAGCGGGCGCGCTTTTGAAACCTGAGTTTTTTCACTTGGAGAGGGATGTATCTTGCCACATTTTTGATATTTCCTGGATGCAAAATGGTACGTTTTTTTGCCACTGGATCAGGTCCTCCACTGTACTTCAGACCCACCTCTTCACAACATCGATGACCTTTCCCTTGTTCACTCCATTCTTCTCGATTGCTCGTCCAATTAGCCACAGGTACTTGGCAGTTAATAGTACGTCCACTTTTGAACTCTAAAAAGGAAATTTTATTTATTATAGGCGCCAACTTTCATTTTAACCAGGAGCAATAAAATTTCTGGAATTTACGCTCTTTTCAGCCAACTTTTTTCTAAAACAATATCAAAAAATCCGATTATAAGTTAACTCGTAGTTAATTAAAGGTGCCGAGGATCTCCAAATCCTCTTATATTTAATATTGAGTACATTTCCTTATAAACCAAACGTTCCTTTACTAAATTTCTTCCAGATTTCCACCTTTTCATCGATTTTTCGTCTAAAGTAATATCCAAAAGTCTCAAAACTCACGCTCAAAACTCCCCATCCTACTTTAAAATCTCCGTTGACCCCCTATCTCACCTTAAACCTCCTATCAATCTTTGTCATTGCATGTGCAAAGTCGATTCTCTCCCTCCTTCCGACCAATGCCTGCAGAGCTGGTCGATTCTCGATTCCAATATAATCGCCCACAAAGTTCCTATTGATCGAGTGTTTTCGTCGTTGTTTCTTGCCGTAGACCAACTGAGACGCTTCTTCCTTCTGCTTTACCAGCCTCTTTGCAGCCACAAACTTCTTGAAGGCCTTCTGCAGGACCCGAGCGAAGGCGTCGTACTTCCGCTCTCTGGCCTCTTCCAGCATGAACAACGACTCCGGGTTCTTGATGAAGATTTTGGTCTTCCCCAGCTGGAATTGGTCTTCGGCCAGTCCCATTCGTCGGCAGATTACTTCGCATCCATTTCGGACGGTTCCATTGAAGGTGGGCCACGTTTCTTCGGTCAAAATCGCATATCGCCAGAGGAATTTGTCGAAGGGACGACGGTACGCGTAACCGGCACGCCGTACGCGCACGTTCTCTTTGAGGCCGAGATAACGGACTTGATGTTTTACCCTAAAATTTCGAAAATTATTTTAGTCATCCTCTGACCTAGAGTAATATAAAAAAACGGTCTCCAGAAAAGTTCTAAACAAAAATCAAGACCCCAAAATTGCAGTAAATCTTCTTCGAGGTTTAATCTATCTAAATCATTCAACAGGCTGCTCAATTTCACTAATTTTTTCTGAGAAAAATCATCGTTTTTGGCTTACTGCAGTCAAAAATACATTTTCCAATTTTCTTACCGTTCTTCGTCAAATTCCAACGCCTTTTTCCTTTCATTCGGCTTGATACATCGCACATAATGAGGAGAACATTTCATTAACGAATCGACCAGATGATTTGCTTGAGTTCGGATCTTAGTTGCAGCACTTGAAGGCTTGGCTTTGGCTCCAAAAGTGGTGCTCTCGGGGAACATTGACCTTATGAAGTTGCTGAAAATACATTCCGCATGAGCTTCGGATCTCAAATTTCTTATTTTAGCCTGTCAGAGGTTCAAAATACGAGCTAAAATTTTCTTATTTTACACTTGACCAAGCTCATGGACAACATAATATTCCTTCACTAAATCTACCAGAAATGAACGCAAATAACAGCCATTAGCCTCAAATCGACTTATTTCAGCAGAATTAAAACTTTCACTGCACCAAATATATTATCCACGACCTTGAACTTGATCATGTATAATATAATTTTTCGCTCAAAATCCCAATAAACGCCTCTCAAAACCAACCTTTCGCTCGTCTGCATCAATTGAATGAGATCCTGATATAGAACATCCCTATTTTTGTCGCAAAATCCATCAATGTCATACTTTACATCGCCCGCGTAATGGGTGATCAAGAAGCTGCTGGCGCCCGGCTTGTAATGCGGGTTCTGTCCCACATTCTGGTTCATTTTGACCAGGAACTTCTGGTCGCATCCCTCGCTCTGTCCGTGAATTTGGGCGCAAATATCGTCCAAATGGCACATGATGCCCGGCGGGCGTTTGGCTTCAATTAAATCGCAGACAATTTTGTTGTTGAAGTAATCGACGGGCTGCCAATGGATTCCCTCACTGATGTACTCCTCCTGTTCGGCCTTGAGGGTCAGCTCGATGAAGATTTGTTGGAGTTTTTCGTTGACAAAGTTGATACAGAACTGCTCGAAGCCGTTGTTATCGAAAATTTCGAATCCGTAGATGTCCAGGATGCCGATTGAGAGGTTGGAGTCGTGTTTTACTGTCGACTTGAGTGCTGCGTTTACGGAATTTACTAAAAATATTTACTTTATATCGAAATCAACGAAAATTTATGGGGTTTCTGCGAAAAGAAGACTTGACTCAAAAATGTGTCAAGTCTTCGTCTCATAAAAAAAACGTTTAAAATTTCATTTTCATTCAATAAAAAACCATATTTCCAAAAAGTACCCCATTCAACCAAACTTTTTTTCCGAAGAAAAGACTTGACTCAAAAATGTGTCAAGTCTTTCTCTCATAAAAAAAACGTGTAAAATTTCATTTTCATTCAATAAAAAACCATATTTCCAAAAAGTACCCCATTCAACCAAACTTTTTTTCCGAAGAAAAGACTTGACCCAAAAATGTGTCAAGTCTTTCTCTCATTAAAAAATGACTTACCGAGATAATCGAACAACCTTGTGTACATTCCTTTGACCCACGCGTCTCTGTTGTAGATGGCTTGTTCCACATTTAGCTGAACATCGATCTGTTCGGTCTCTTTTCCCCATTTCGATTCCAATTTTCTGCTGGTCAACTTGGATTTTATGGCTTCAGTGGTCAATCCGAGTAGGTAGGCGGGGAACTGGAGGTCTGAAAATATTTTTTGGATTATAAAATACGCTTGTTAATCCTTTGAGATGATTTATTTTTTCGTTTTTACCAAATCATAGGCAAAATTCAGCTTTTTTGATTAAAAATTTTTAAAATTTATAAAAAAATGCATAAAAAAACGAAAATAGCCTAAAAAGTCACTCACATTCATCACTCATAATCTTGGCGTAGTTTCCGTCCTCTGCGAACGTGATATTTCCAATGTGTAATATCGCGGAGACCATCTGCAGGATCTGTAATTGATCCTGTTCGCTGATTCCGACCGTCTCCATGGCCTCCAAAGTGGCTCCAAATTCCTTTCTGTCCTCGGTCCCTTCCGCCTCATAGCATCCACTTTGTGCCAGATACCCGTAATAATCCGGATTGCTGATCCCCAAATTCTCTCGCATATTTTTGTCAGCGCCCGCCAAGAGTTGATAAAAGATGTGGAAGTTGCGTTCGCCTTTGCCCAAATTGCAAACTCGCGACTTTTCCAGCAAGAAGTTGGAGATTTTACCACCAATCGGCTCGCCGCCTGAAAAAATTATATTATTTTAGGTATCAAAAGATGAATTTTTGGTCCAAATCTGCCTCAAGCGATGTTTGAGTATTAACAGTAGCACTTTATTCCGCCAAAAAAGTTTTTGTTTGACAAGTCTCATTAAATTTTTCATAAAACAAGGTGATTTTTCGAAAATTTTTGTCATAACAAAAAAAATCGATAAATTTTGAAAGCCAACCTGGTTTAAAAAATAAAAATAAAGATCTTTTCGACCATCTCACAATCAAAAAAAGGAAGTCCGACACCAAAAATATTGGTTTAGAGGCAAAAATTATATTACACTAGGCAAGTTTGAGCTTCATTTAGTCAAAACAGCTCAAAATCAAAAGTTTCCACAACAAAAAGCCGCATCACCTCTTCCCTTACTATCTATCGCATCTAAAAAGTCCCAATTACACCCTTCCACATACCTCTTCCAAACTGAATTTCCACGTATTTCCCAAATCTGGACGAGTTCCAATTCCTCAGCGTTGCCGCATTCCCAAAAGCCTCGAGCAGCGGGTTCGACTTGATGATCACATCCTTTACATGTTGGACCCTGGATCCACCGCCCGATATCCGCGCCACGTACGTCATGATATATTTGGCGGCCACAGTTTTGCCGGCGCCTGACTCGCCGCTGATGATCACACATTGGGATTCGGTGTCGATCATCATGTTGCGGTACATATTGTCGGCGAGGGCGTAAATGTGCGGGGGGTTCTCGTACTGGGTGGCTCCTTGGTACTGTTCCATGTCCTTTTCGGTGAAGTAGGACATCTCTTTGAAGGGGTTCACTGAGATCAAAACCGGCCCAATGTAGGTCTGAAACCGAGGGAATGGAAGGTAAATTGAAGGTTGAAATAGGCTTGTGTTACTTTCGTCTTTAATTCTAATCATAAAAACATTTACGTTTTTTACACCTAAAATTTACGTTTCCTGTCCATAAATCGTCCAAAATGGTGTTTGGAGACGGAAAAAGCAAGATAGGGTTACAAAAAAGGTCAAAAAGTAGATAAAACATTACAATAAAAAAATTCAAGAATAGCAGCTTTCCAGAAATGACGCCATTTATCCATAAAATGGTCAAAAAATCAGGGGTTTCGGTCATATCAGTCTGTCTGAAAAATAACGGCGGATCGTCGCACCAAAATGTCTCGCCTCGCCGCTATCGCGCACCAAATCCCCAGCCGCGGCTTGCAGTCGCAAAGCGATGATGAGCGATTCCGAGGCGCGACGATCCGCCGTTATTTTCCCGACAGACTGATAAAAAAGGCAAAATACGTTCTTCTAACTCGGGCGTTTTTCATTTAAAACCCGAAAAATCGAATATAAAACCGGTTTTTTCTTGGTCATAAAAGGGTAAAATACGACGTTTCTAAAAGGGTAAAATACGACGTTTCAATCTATAAAATTCCACGCTTTCTCTCAAATCCCTTCTAAACCCAGAAGATCGCCCGAAATTCAAACGAAACTCACAAAGATGGCCTTGGCCGCCAACCGTTTCTTCAGATTGTCCACAATGGCGTTGTCGTTCAAGGAGCGGAGCAGGACCATGTCCTCCACGCCCACATTCTGCACATTCACATTGGATTGCCAATGGAATGGAGCCATTTTTCTCGCTTATCGACTGGTCGGCATATATGTCAAAAACGAAAGAACAAGGTGAAATACGATATGTTGGTGGGGGAAATGCGGCTGAAAATGGTGAAATTAGTAAGGAAGTGACATAATTTTGTATAAAATAAAATAAAAAACCTCCAAAATATCTAAAAAAAATGATGTCATACTATTAAAACTCGCGTGAAATTCCAGGAAAATGAGAGAAATTTTGTTTACAGCAAATTTTATCAATGGGTAATCAAAAAAAGACTGGAAAATATTAAAAATGACTTGATAAGTGGTGTAAAAAGTGGGACGGAATTGAAGATCGGGATAGGCAGAAGGGTCAAATGACTCATTAGTGGGTATAATTAAGTTTGTAATGGTTAAACCGACCATAAAATTCGGTTTTAGGGGAGAAAAGGCAAAATTCCAGAAAATACGTCATCGTGACATCATTTTTACTCGATCTTACGGATAAATAAAAGAATCCTTGCGCGATTTGGATAAAACCAGGTGTATTTTAGGTCATAAAATTTTCGAAGGCATCATTAAACAAGACTGACGTCGTCAGGATGACGGATTTTTTGGAATTTCCGGAAAAAATCGATAAAAAATTAAAATTATTGTAAAAAATAAAAATATGATTACGTAATAAGATGAGAAATGACATAAAAGGACTCTACAAATTATTTCCGAATATTCTAAAAAGCAATAAACAGTAAAAAATTCGAAAATTATGTTACACTACACTCCCAGCCCATTCTCCGAATACAAAAGTGGAGGAAACTGCGCCGAGGGAGCGTAATAGCGACCCTCCAGGAGTTCCGTAGAAATATAAGTGACCTTTCAGCCGCTTTTCAGATCCATGAGTCATTGTGGTGGCTCGTTTAAGAACCCTCGCTCGGGAATTTCTCATACTTTTTAAAACTTCAACTCAATTGACATGGCGTAATTAATGAGGGAAATTTGGTGGGAAACGGGCGTTCGAAAATTTGCGAGCGATTTTAGAGATCAAAAATTAGATTTTGAATATTTTCGAGGCGTTTTTTAAAATACGTTTCCATCCATAATTGATTCATAAAATTTGACGTTTTTATCCATAAAATCGCCAGAGGATCTAATTAGCCGTAAAAACAAAATGACAACCCAAAATTTGATATAGTCCTAGCAGTAATTTGAAAATCCACAAAAAATTATATTGTACATGACATTTCTGGTAAAAGTCATCAAAATTTGGCCATATTTCGTTGGAAATAAACGCTATTTTTGACAAAAAACTTTAATTTTACATCATTTCCAACAATCTATAATCAAATTCAATACAATCTCAACAATTTTTTTTATAAATTTCTCTAAAAACATTGATTTAGACCCCAAAAACAATAAGAAACTCCCCAAACCCAAGCCGATTAATATCCCACAACAATATGGGGCCAAAAGAAATAAAATGGACGGCATAACCGACTCCAAAATCAATCACAGTCGGGGTTTCCGTTCCGCACAGCTGGCCTCTCCCGAAATTACAAATCAGGGGGTAATAAAACAATCGGCGGAGCTTTTTTCGGCTGCAAAACGGTGAATTCAAATTGCGCGAATGGTAACAATATAGAGTCGGGTTTGTTCTGTGGTCGGGAAATGGGACATTAACGGGGTTTTTGGGGGTCGGGAAGGCAAGGACGACATCTGATATTGTTTTAGATAAAATTGCGGTTTGAGACATGATTACTATATATAAAAATTGTAATTTGACACAAGTTAGATGTGAGGTGTCATAATAAACTACTCGACTGCAATTTCAGCAGCCTAAAATTCGATTGTCATATTTTTTTTTACTTTTTTCTCTTATGTCTAGTATAATATAAAAATGGCCTGAAATCAAACTAAATCAATATCTGCTGACCTAAATTTAAACTCCAATAATTTTGAAGTAATTTACAGTTAAAAATAGTTTAGTAACTCCTTGAGCTACCATCCGCGCACCCGGAAGAAAATTAAGAATTCGCGCGGTCTTTATAAACTCGACGAATATCTCTCTTCCTCGCGTTCATTTCGAACCATTGGAGCTCAAATTCAAATGACTGTTCGTTGGGATCAAAAACTTTGTTGATGATTCAAAAAATTAAAACAATGAGTCATGTGTTCCGTTTTTGAGTCAACTCTTTCTCTGAGTGTAAAATACGTCGTATTGTCTTCAAGGAGTAGTGGCGTAAATATTTTTGGGCGCCTTGCATGATATTACGCCAGAGACAATACAAAAACCCAGACTATTGGGTCATAGTCGTCATGAAAAATATAGAAATACCTAGTGTAATATAAATTTCCCAATGTTATCCCAAAAAATGGAGTCAAGTAGGTGCGAAACCCCGTCTCAATGCCCAATGGGCCCCACAAACGCTCAACTTCTTAATCGATTGTTCAAATATCACAACAATTTGACTGAACAAGGCTAGTCGATTGCTGATTCACCAATCTTTTTGGTGGAAAATAAAACACTTTTTTGTGGGGAAGAACTGTTTTCTCCCCAACAAAAAGAGCGGAGAAACGTTTTTTGTGTCCGTCTAAACGGATGGACAAATAAAAGCCGAAAACCCCCAAAAATTCGAGCGTAAAATTGCTACCTTTTTAATACCGTCAAAATAAATTTATGACTTCCGATGAGTCAACATTAATTACCGAGTCGGATGGCAACTGCAGAAAATATTACTAATCAATTCGGCAATTTATGAGCGAAAATTTTTCAGTTTGGAGTAGAATTTCACAGTTCGGCCGCGGCCTTTTTTGGGCCAAAAATGGAAAATACGGGAGATTTCGAAACGCGTGGTGGGGAAATCTATGTGTTTCCCTAAGGCTATGTACACATATTTAGTCATAAAGTGAGTCATAAGCTAACAAATACAAGAAAGGGGTAAAAAAAGGGTAAAATACGAAAACCGACATGGGAAAAATGTTAAAAAATCAAGAGAAAGTAAAATTTTAGACAATGCTCTATACAGAAAATAAAAAGGAGCCTAATTTCTATCCGATGAAAAAAAATTTTTTTGAAAGTGCAATTGTCTAAAATAAGGTGATTTCTTGGCTCGAGTCCAATATCGTCTTCACATTTTGTCCAAAAAATCTATCTAGTCCACAAATCAACCACTGAAATTTATTTTTAGCTCATGCTTTTCAAGCGCAGCCGAGGTACTCAACATGTTTTTCTGAAGCGAAAGAACGAAAAATAAGGAGAGACGGTCAGAGAAAAAGATATTTTTTGTCCAAATCTCGATGAATTTCGCGGGGACACATTTTAAAAAAAACCGTTTTTTGTAGAAAATTTTTTTCCTTAACGCTGGACATAGTATTTTTTATCCAAACATCAGAAAAAATCGTATTTTTCTAAAATTTCGGTCTAAAAATCTCGATAATTTTGGCAAAGCGCAACCCAAAAACCTGGACCAAGTTATTTATCCTTATCTATCATCTTCATTAACACTGAACGTTCTGAGACACCGTATTTCGCCTTACTAATCCCCAAAATTCCCAAAAATTTTGTTCCTCCCCCTTCCGAACGGTCATTGCTCAAATCTCGCGCAATTTTCGCCTTTCCCCATAACCCAATTCGTTAATAACCATGAAGCCTTTTTTCGGGATATTAGGAGCGAACAAAGACTCCGTTCTTCCGCCCAGAGAAGAAATCCCATTTTTGGCGATTTCCCTTCAAAACATCGTACGTTATAATCGAGGAGGATTTGAGGCAAGGGAACAACGGGGATCGGAGGGGTTTCGGAGCGGAAAAGACGGGGAGGATTGGGAGGGGGGATCGTCTTTCCAAACAGGTAGAAGGAAAGAGAGAAGAGAGGGACAAGTGCGCGAGCCCATTGTAATGGACGTTGTAACGGCTCTTCAGCTGAAGAGAAACACTCCACGCTAATAGTGTACGATCATATCCGTCGACATTTCAACTTTTTTAGCAAAAAATTTCATTATGACAAATGCTTAGAAAGGTCATAAAATACGTCATCATGACAAAATTTTGGCCTAATTAGCCTTTCAAATGCTGTAAAATACATTTTTAAACCAATTTCCCTCAATATTATCACAAACTCCTGTCAAAAATCCCAAAAATTAAATTATCCACGGCATCCAACCCAAAGATGAATGCAAATTTCTTTATTCCTCGCAATTTTCCCACCGACAGTATAAATTAAGGTTAGAAAATATATCTCTATCAAGTTTTGGTAATTGAAAAATGACAATTCAGACTAAGATTTACTGGTTTTTACAAAAAAATACTAATTTCCACTTCAAAAATCGACAAGTTCAATTTAAAAATAAATTCCAAAAAATCGTAAAATAATGGCAAAATAAGATGGTACTAAAGACATTCTGAGAGTAAGTGACACAATTGGCTCATTTATATTACTTTAGGTCTACCATAACATCAAGAAAAAATTAAAAATCTATGAAATGGGAGAAAAACCTTATGAAATAAGACTCGACAAAGCAGTAAATGATTTATTTTGTCAGTTACAGTATTCTACAGTAATCCAGGGCCAGGGAAAATGTTGTGGGAACCGACCAGACGAGCAGATTTACATAATTTAGTGAGAAAAAGGCGAGAAATCAGTGAAAAAATTGCACGGGGGTGTTGTTAAGATTAGATGGGAATAATAGGGCTACTGAGTAAGTTTTCGTGCTGTAGGATTACCGAACGTACTTAATTTTTGCGAAAAAATCAAATTTTTTCGTCAGTTTGGATCAAAAATATCCAAAAATCGCGAAAAATCATAAAAAATCCTTGTTACAGTACCCCAAAAGGTAGAGTAGGCCCTATTACAACCTTATACATGCTATTTCGTGACTTCTTCTTCGGCGCGAGTTTCGGCGAGGATCTTTTCGAAAGAGAACGGAGCAAATGCATAGCCGGTTCCTTGGTAAAATTTCGATTGGAATTCCACCCAATGGAGCCTGAGGGCGTGGAGGAAGGCGGACAGTCCCTCCATTAGGACTAGAATGGCCAAGGTCAGCGAAGCGAAGACAAAGAAGAAGGCGTAGGTCGCCGCGGCTCCGACGTATCCGTCATAACCGAAGGACCGGCGAAAAACCATGCCCCACAGGACGTCGGAGAGCTCTGAAACCAAAAAATAGTGATATATGCTACACTCGAGATTCAACGCCACTCATTATCAAAAATTCAGACCAAAAAACAAAATTTTAATTTCAGGTAACAAACTGGTGTCAGTCTGGCCGAAAAAGAATTTCACCATCGCCGCACAAAAACCGCAACCCGAAAAATGAGCGAAATCCAAACCTGCACGCGACATCGAAGATTTTCCGCGATGAAAGCAAAAAATCGCTAAAGTTTGGTGAATGCACAGTGCAAATGAACAAAAACAACCGTCTGCACTGTGCAAAACAGGCGACAAACCCCGATTTCGGGCTTGCGACACGTCGCTTTCTTCGTTTTTTCGGCGACATACTCCAAATTTCTCCGCGATGCAAATTGGGGTTTCGTGAGAATGCGACGGAGGGGTTCGGGGTGCGAAATTCTTTTCCGGCCACACTATCTAAGTCATTTCCCGGCCAATAAAACGTGGCTTTAATCAAAATACCACCCAGTATGACAATTATAATTCATTTACTACCCCAAGAACATTGTTGTCACACCAACAATCAAAAAAGATCAAAACTTACGAGCATGAGCCAAACTCAAAGCCCAAAGTCGAAGATACGAAGCTGTGTGGGAGATACAACCCAGCGCGAATTCAATGGTATGAATGGCGGAATAGACGAACGTGTCCCCGAGATCAAACTGAAACAAAAAAATAAAGATATTCCTCATGAAGTCATCATGTACAACATTCACAAAATCTCTTTAACATCTCCCTTACCGGTCCATCGCCATGTCCATGCCCTCCTCCACCTTCCGCTTTGTGGTTCTGTCCATCATCATGATGATTTATATGCACCTGATCATCATCTACATCAGCTCTGACGCTCTAGAAAAAAAGACGATTATTCAAATCAAAAACGTATCACAGAGGACGAAACAAACAAAAAACAAGGAGGAAGAGGTTACTGCTGCTCGCTTTGGTATGTTGTCGCTGTAAATGAATGGAAACTGACAAGAGACTCGACATTTTACATATTACACATGATGAACATGGACAATCACAAAAAATGGATAGGGACTACACTACGCCGTAAAAATTTGTATTCTATCAGGCTTAATAAGATCTAATTAAACAACAATAGCAAAAATTACTTCAAATTCTTCAACTCGTGTCATAAACTAGCAAAAATTTTAAATTCTCATCAAAAATAAGGTCAGGAATGGCTAAAAACCTTTCTAAAAAGCATTGAGCTTCCTCCAAATCAAAACATGACAGTTTCAACGTAAATTTTCTTCCACTCTGTATACTACACTTGACAAAAACAGCACAAAACATCAAAAAATCGCAGAAAAAGACCAAATCCATTGTGTTGATCCAAAAACCGACCGAAGAGTGGCTTCCATTGATCAAGGGTCGTCTCGATTCGCTTCTGAGTCTCCGTTGTTCGGCCTTCCACAAGAGAAACGGCTTCACCAACAGCATTACGGGGACGGAGCACAAAGCGAGCAGCAGTAGGACCGTCTCCACCGAGGACTGAAACACACCACAACGAATTAAACCCTCACCAGATTGTTGACGTTGAAGCCCGCCTGGCGACGCTCTTTGTCCGCCTTCCACAGGAAATAGGGCTTGGCCAGCAGCATGACCGGCACGCAGACTACTGCGGCCAGCAGGAAAACGGTCTCGAAAAAGCCCTTAAAATCAAGCAGACCGTTATTTTACCATATGCCCGCCGCACTATCACAACAAGTATGTGGCTGTTTGTCGCCTTCGAAGGCAAAATAATTCAATTCTCATCAAAATTTGACCAAAATTCATATTGTTTTAGGTAAAACTTCAAATTTTCGGCCAAAACTTTTTTCCCTCAATTTTTTCACAACAAAAAATAAATCATCATCCCATACAAGGCTTTAATTCATCTACCTTCTCCCTTTTTTCATCTAAAAAATCAAAAAATTTCCAAAAAATCCCGATTCCCTTCAAAAAGTCCGCTAAATTCCCACTTTTCCAAAAAATAATCAAATTCCAACCTGTCCTGGATACCAGTAGCTGAGATGGCACATTGGCAGAGTCCTTCCACCTTCCTCATTTCCCTCCGTGTATCCCTTGGCGCGGCTCTTCATCATGAACATGTTGATCAAGCCGACCAGGAGTGACGGGGCGCAATTTGAGCCGGGATAGTAATACCCGAGGACCCATCCTTTTTCGGCCGAGAAGTAGAGCCATTTAGAGATGACTTGAAGGCAGAGATAGACGAAAATCGAGCACAGGAAGATCATCTGTGGAATGAAAACATAGATAATGTCGAGTCGGGACTTGAAGAATTTGTGGTTGTGGTATGAGAGGATGAGGCCGAACGCCATTTGGGCGATGCCGATGATGATCGAGGCCTTCATTTTCATCGAGTTCAGGAAGACGAGCTTGTTCGCTTCGGCCAAATTCCACACCGGATCCACGCCGATCGGATAGGGGGCTGTGAGATCTTGGTTCTCCGGGATCAGCATGTGTTTATTCTCCCATAGCTCCTCATTTTTGGTGATTTTCTCCAGCGTTTCTTTCGTATAATCGTTCATAAACGAGCTCCCAAAGATATTAAAGGACTTGCTGAAGGCGTCATTGTAGATGAAGCCAGTGTAAATTGAGAACAATCCCATCAGGAATATGACGTATCGGCCTCCAAAGAAGGTCTGGAAGATTTCGTCGCGGATTCTGGCCGCCTCCAGCTGTTTCTCCTTTCTGACCAAGAACAATGCGAATAGGAACATGACAAGTCCATGGCCCATATCCCCGAACATCAGAGCGAAGAGGAAGGGGAAGGTGATCATTGTGTAGGGGGCTGGGTTGATCTCGCGGTACGCAGCTATTCCATACGCATCCACAATATTCTGGAAGCCCCGGGTGAACTTGTTGACCCTGTTGAAAGTCGGGGGTTGTTCTTTAGTGTCCATGCGTTGGAGAATCGAGGGGACTGTGGATCCACTTTCTTCCTGCAATCAGCACATTACCTTATGGTATGTAATAAATTTGAGTCATCTAAATTCCAAAAAAATATGATAAAAATCTTACCGATCCTCTCTTTAATGCGATTTGAATTTGATCCAGATCGGCTTCAGGGCACCAAACCTCAGCAATCAGGCATTTTTGAGTGACATCCACATTGAACAAGTTCAAGGTGTGGTAGATGGCCTTGATTTTGCATGCCTTGGACATCCACATTCGAACATTCTTCGCGGCTGCCACTAATACGCGATGTTTGTGATCTTGGGTCTGCCCGAGGACTGTTTTGAGGTCCTCAATGCGGGTCATCACTCCTATGGACATCTCTCTTCGTTCTTGGCTGGTCTCTGGACATGGGTAAATTGTGGCGCGGAACCCTTCGCAAATCTTCTTAACTCTGGCTTTGAGTTGGTCACCTTGGAAGAAGATGATGAACACACTCTTGTTTACGGCAATTCCCTGCAAAATTCGTATTGCACATCGGACAAATCATCAATTTTTATATTATCCATGCCAACAAAAGTTAAAATCGCATAACCTTTCGATTCATTCCCTAAAACCAAAAACAAAAAATAAGCAAAAAAACTCACAGTAGTTGAGTCAGTAAGACTTTCAGTGATCTCGGATTGCCTCAAAAATACATTTCCTCTGCAAGCCCTCCAAAGAAGGCGTTCGAACGCCGGGAGACGTTCTCTTTGGATAACACCGGCCACGAATCTGCAAATAAGCTTCATTATATAGTCCGTTACACTTCAATCTTCACTGAACTCCATGATTATTCCACGTTGTGCCTGCTTTTCAAACTTTTTTATATTATCCATGATGGTCACTATTAGTAGTCGAAAAAATGGCTTATCCGCTGAAAACTCACTTCAAATTGGGCTTGTGGGCGACTCCCGATTCTTGTTCGGGGATGAGTCTAGCCCCATCCGAGGTGTTCAAGGGGGATCCATCTTCGCCGGCGAGTACATCCATGGCTTGTCTTTCGCCCTCACTCTTCAAAAGTTAACTCATCAAAAAGACCATTTCATTAAAAAATAAGCGTCAATATACCCCTGATTACCTTTTTGGACTAAAATTTCCCAAAAATTTAGCAAAAAATTTCAAGTGTAACATCGGAAATTCGAAAAATCTCAAAAATTATATCACAAAGCAATAGAAATAGTGCGTTGAAAGATAGACAAGCTTGTGCGTTAGTTATGTTAGAAAAATAAAATGGAAAAAAGAAAAAATCAGGCTATTAAAGACTTCCACAACACCTGTACCCCCGCCACAACATCCAATAAAAACTTCTCTTTTTCAAAACTTTTACAAACACAACGTGGAATAACTCCTCGGAATCGCGAGTCTAAAACAATTTCGTGCAAGATTTACCCAAAATTAACTCTTTGCGCGTGTGATTGATGTTCCATACTCTGGAGAAGAGGTTGATGATCATCCACATCAATGAGACGCTGGGGAGACGGAGCAACGCGGCCAAATAATCCATCATCTCGTTGCACCTAGGGATCAGGAAGGTTTATAAACACAAAAAACGCTTCTCTTGGGATAAAATTACCAAGTGTAATATAAAAAATGGTCAAAGCCGCAAAAGGATTGACATGTGTAAAATCCAGAGGTTAGCAGTGCAAACAACAAAAACACAAATGGCATCAGGGTGCTAGGTAACATCAAGTGGGGGAAACGAATGGGAGAAGACATTAATTTATATTAACTAAGGACCCAGAAGTCAATTGCGACAGAATTTTAGACAAAGACCTTATTCAGACTGGACATTACACTAGAAAACCCAACAGCTAGCCACTTGAGGCTTTACTGACCTAAACACATAACAAATAGTCAAATACTTACCTCCTCGAAGAACTGTTGAGTTTTTCTGAGAACATGTTTTAGTTCGGTGAGCTCGGCAAAGTTCTTCTTCAAGGCTTCTTCGTTTTGATTGACCTCTCTGAGTTCATTTTCGAGCTTCTCGAAAGTCGCTTCCAGGTCGAACATCTCTCTTGGCTGGGGAGTTTCGGGATTTTCCCCAGTGTCAAACATCGGAATGGAGTCCTTCTTGATCTCGCGTTCAAGGTAACCTAAAAATTAAAGTCATAATCCCTTAGTTAGGACTATTTAGACGTCACACTGGCTATCAACAAACTGTTTGATATCTAAAAACCAACAAAATAATATTAACTATGACTTACGGAGTTTCCTCTCCATTTCATCGCAACGACGAATCTCCTTGACATATTTCCGTTGGAATGGATTCACATCGGGGTTCATGTCTCTGAACTGCACTACACCCAGCTCTCCCAGCTCCGAAACACAGGTGTAGGCGGCCTCATTCTGGAGATAGAGCTGTGCCAGGCACATCTCCTCACTCCGATGGATGGCGTCCATCTTGCCGGTCTTTGTTGGAGCCTTCCGTTAGAGAATAGGTCGGTCCACTGTCGAGACTGTTCTTGGTGGAATCAGTAGTCTATAAATTCAACTTTATAGCAAAATTCCTATTATGTTAGATAAAAAATATCTTCAAAAAGCGCCGAGAGCCGCGAAAAACAGTCGTAGAGAATCAAAAAATAAGAGAAAAGCTCCGACTGACCTATAATGCTATTTGGAACATGGAAAAAAACATCTACAATATTCAAAAAATATCGGAAAACGTCAAACCCAGAGTCTAAGCCACGTATAATCGCCCAGGAAAAAGCAAACTCTGAAAGTTCATCAATCAAGGTGACCAGAGCCCCGCGGTCCGTTTCGAAAAAGAGAAGGCTTGTCGCGACGTGTCGCCCCTGAGGAGAAACAGCCCTCTAACGACGTCTCTGTTTTTTCTCTAATTCCGCGTTCTTTTTCGCGAATGACTAATATAAAGCGGGAGATAAAAGATTTTCTGAAAAATTTTTGAAATTTTTCTGTTTTTACTTTTTTTTTAAAAAAAAAGTAAATTTTCAGTTTACTTCAAGGAAAATGCAAAAGAAAGTCAATTTTGTTTCTGGCTTTCCGACTTCAAGGTCGGGTGTAGGACCGGATCTTACTCCCCGCTCGGAGTCGCGGAAAGTCAGAGCTTGTTTTTACTTTATTCCTCTTTTTGGCCCCGCACTGCAGGTTGCAAGGTTGATGCCAAGTCTTTCCCTGATGTGTCAAGTTTTTCTCTTCCGAAAAAATTATTTTTACGTTTGTGCGACGTTGTGAAGGTATGTTCTCCACGAAGATGGGCTGGAAAGTGATCAAGTAAGTTAGCATTGGCAAGAGGAGATGTACGTTTTTCATTTGACATCAAAAATTTCCATTTTATTTCAGAGAAAGGTACAAAATTTTTCCAATTCGTAAAGCTTCATGACCATGGATAATGTAAGTGAGATTATCTCATTTTTTGCTACGACGTCAAGATTCTAAGTCGGGAAACGTTTAGAGGAGACCCCACTCTCATGTATATTCTCCATGTATGAAACCCCATAAATTTTGAGGAATAACGACGTAAAAATTTCAAATACTATACTAACTTTCCAAAAGTATGTTATACTAAAGTAAAACCTATGCAAACTATGTTCAAGTTATTGTAACAACGTTATTTGAGCCTTATTACGTTATTACCTCAGTTTAGAACGCATTCGTGGCAAAAATCCGGCAGATCTGAGCGGATTTCGATATTGTACATGACACCTAGAAATCGAAATTGGTGGCGTTTGATAGATAGAGTATATAACAAAACTAAAGTGAGGTGTCCTCTAGAACTCGCCAGCCTAGAACTGTTAACTCCAATAACGGAACAAAAAACGCGATAAGCGCACTTACATTATCCATGGTCATGAAGCTTTACGAATTGGAAAAAATTTGTACCTTTCTCTGAAATAAAAGGAAAATTTTTGGTGTCAAATGAAAAAAGTACATCTCCTCTTGCTAATGCTAACTTACTTGATCACTTTTCAGCCCATCTTCGTGGAGAAAATAGATTCACAACTTCAAAAAAAATCAAAACGTTTCTTCCGGGAGAGAGAAATTTGACACATCTGGAATTCCCGGGCGCAGCTCGCAAAAATAGTTTTGAAGAAAATAAATTGGCGTGCAGGTGAGTAAAAACGGCATCCTACTCACCAGCCAAAATGGGCGAGCCATTTTTGTTTCAACTTTGCGGATCGACCTTTTGGCGAGCCATTTTTGATCCAACTTTCCAAAAATTTGTCGTTCGGAGTAAGAATGTTTTTTGACTCTCCGAAATCGAAAATTTCCGGAAATTTTTCAAAATTTACTTTTTTTTTAAAAAAAAAGTAAAAACAGAAAAATTTCAAAAATTTTTCAGAAAATCTTTTATCTCCCGCTTTATATTAAAAAGAGTGGGAGACGCAGGACTTTACCCGTAGATGGGAAAGAACATAGACCATCGATTTTTTGATAAGATTATTGACCAGTTCGTGCATAAATTAGCGGGAAACATCCGATTTTGAGTGAGGGCGAGACAAAGTGATCAAGTGTAATATTTTTATGAATTCCCCGGATATCCGGTGACGCTATAAAGCTCTAATTTTAACCAACAGTTTAATGGGCTGTCAAACCAATCCTACAAGAACATTACAGGTAATTTCACTTCAAAAAATTTACTTAGGAATTAGACAAGGTCAAGAATAACATAATGTCAGAAACCCCGTAAACTTTTCGATTCTCCTAACGAATATGATTTCGTAAGCCCGATTACGCATCCTACTTTCATTTTCCATCACATTTAACGAAACAAGGCAGCGCAGAATTTTCAATCATAAAGATTCAGAGTTCACGAGTCTAAAACGATGTTTTCGCTTTCTTCCAGCGTTAAATCCTTTTCATCGCTGATTCACCGCACCAAACACAATTGATTACTATACGTATCCAAGGGACACATCACAGAATTCCGTCTTTTGCATCGAAATAAACAAAGATTTACCTAAAACAGCAGGAAAAGCGAACTCCAATTATCTTATCGAATTTACTCGCAAAATTCTGTCTTCTTCTCGAGGAAACCTTATCAATCCAGACGACCAGGGAAATTACTGATAAGAATTCAACAAAAAAATCGCCAAGTTCTTTCGGAATTGATCACCTCCAAAAGGTTTTCAGATAACAAACCTAAAATAATTGGAAATCCAATAAATTCGATAAAAACAAATGGTTTTTGGACTCGGAAAGGACCAACCGAGATAGAAAAGAGCAAAAAGAGAGAGAGAGGAAGAATATCGATGCCATTGGCCAAAAAAGTCTGGCCAGAAGACCTACGTCTCGACACGAAAAGACGAAAGATTTCTTCTTATTGGCATTCTGTCTTTTTGAAGCCGTTTCGGTTGCGATTTGATGATACTGGATTGTACTGTGAGAAAAGAAAAAACACGATTGGAAAATGATACTATATACTCTTTACTATACAATCACGTGCGTTTTTTGTATTTGGATCTCGGGACTCTGCTTTGAGGTCCATGTCCTGTTGGAGCTGGTGGAGGAGGTGGAGGTGGTGGTGGAGGAGGTGGTGGAGGCGGCGCAGTGCCAGGGCGGGGCACTCTGAACATGAGCTCCAGCTTGTGAGCGATTTCGGCCATACTGTAGCGATCATTCGGGCTTTCGGCCCAGGTCCTCTTCGTTATGAGCTCGGCCAGATCGGGTGGGGTGTCGGCGGGCATGAACATACGGTAACCCTCCTTAACCTAAAGAAAAAAGAGTAACATACCAGAAGAAAGGTTGAAAATGAAAAATCGGTAATTATTTTTCATCAAAACCCAAAAACAAGACTAAACCTTACAAAGCTAGCGTAAATGGCGATAAATTATAATACTTCAAAATGCATTAAAAATGGTAAAAACTTACTTTCTGGAAGGTTTCGGCTGGACTCAGACCTGGATAGGGTTCTTGGCCATTGGAGAAGATCTCCCAACACAAGATTCCAAAGGCCCAGACATCAGTCTTCTGGGTGTAAATGAAGGTCTGAAGGGTCTCTGGAGCCAGCCTTAAAGTTGCATGTTAACTTTAAAATTGCTCTAAAACCCTCTACACCCTCTATTTTCATCAAACATCATCTACAAACATATTTCCCCATAATTTTCCTATATTATATTTACTATTATATGTAGAGACTTACCATCTAATCGGTACTCTTCGATGTGGATCCATTTGATATACCGTCCCCTCTACACTCAGGCCAAAATCGCTAATCTTGACTTGACCATCTCCGTATAAACAATTTCTAGCGGCAATATCACGATGAATCACATTCTTGACATGCAGATATTCGATGCCAAATGAGGCCTGAACACACATGATCGCCTTCCGGGCCGGGGGTTGTTCCCCTTTCTGGAGATACGAGTCCAATGCTCCGCAGTCGACCAGCTCCATCAGCACCATCAGTGGTTCTTGGCCTGCGGCGACTCCGTAGAACTTGACGATATTTATATGATCAAAGTTCCGCATGAGTCGAGCCTAAAATTCGATGACGTTAGAGGTCACAAAAAGTAATGAAAATTCAAGAATTTTTCTACTCGGAGACCCCAATTCACATCAAAATGTTTTCGTTTCTTACCTCTTGCATGATCTCCTTGATCTGCTCCTTGGTCAGGTTGTCCAATTTGGCCAATTTAACGGCCACATTGGCTATACCCCCTCCTTTCAGCTTCAGCGTGCCTTTACGGACCTCTCCAAAGGCGCCTTCTCCCAGCTTCTTTGTTAAAGTAATGTCACTATGGCTCAGTTCCCAGGCCTGCCGACCAATCGGAGTCCTCAAAATAACCTCCGGGATGCTCTTGGAGATGGACTCGACTCTGTGCACGTGATATTCGACCATTGCCTTGATGCTATCAAAGCCATATTTCTCGATTGTCCAACGGTTGCTCGAGTTCTGGATGACGTAATGTTTGATCTGGAAGTCGAAGGGAGAGATAGGCAAAGATAGTGTCACAAGTTGGTCTAGTTAATAGGGGGACTTACACCACTCTCCTCTTTGTCCTGGTAGACCATAACCGAGAGGATGTAGGAGCGGACTCCGTCTTTGGCATTGGGCTCGGAAGTTCGGATGAGAAAGTCGCCATTGTTGTGCAACATCATCCGAATGTCTTCTCGGGGCAAAAGGCCTAAAAATAAAAAGTCGTTTGGGATTTATAGGGGCGAAACTAACTGTCAAGGCGTTAGGAGACAAGCTACGGGCGAGACATCAAACTTTCGGCTTTAAAAATTAGAAATATCCACGATAATCAGCACGGATGACCCCTAAGGTCCCTAAAGTCGTTGAATCTGTATCCTAGGTGGGACTTACCGTGATAGTACGGCTCATTCACGATTGATGGATCATGAGGACCACGTTGATGTGCCATGACAGAGCCTCCCGGAAAAACCGGTTGTGGTCCGACCATTTTCGACATGGCCAGAGCTATGGAATGGATTTGAAAAAACGAAAGGAGGAAAGCAAAGGCTCGGAATTTGCATAATTTTAGGACAAAATTTCAGACAAATTAGTTATTAATATTTTTTTAATCAACGATTCCGACATCCAAGTCAAAGAAATTACCGATTGAGAATGCTTCGATACGATCAGGATGATGGTGAATATCTCGAATACAAGACCGTACATCTTCTTTAAAGGTTATTCTGAAGACTCTGATCAGTTGACAGTCCTGGGAATTAAGTCATGGTGACATTATTTTACACAAAAAAATGAGTTGAAAATCCAAGAAACAGGTCAAGGAGAAGTGGAAGGTAAAAAAAGGCAAAATTTTGGTTAAATACGTCTCCAAATTTCTGATGTAATCTTTAGAAAAGGTTAGATTAGAGCTCTCAATATATAGTAGCTTCGCATAATCTTTCAATTGTCTCTGCTTTATTCCAGTATAACCTCAATTTTGAACGCAAAAAGTCTCGAATGATGACTATTTCTTAAAGTCAGCTTTTGTATTCGGCAACAAATTTTCCAATATCATTATCTCCCCTTTACTGTACTCTCAACCATATTGCACATTCAATATTACTCATCTGTAACAAAAGAATCAATGAAAATCCATGTAAAACGGGTACTTTGGCTGATATTCCGGCGGTGGCTCCGATGAATCCGTGGCCGTCGAAAATCGCTTCTCATTGACGCTGGAGTCGGCTACACAAAGTTGGGCGGCATCGTAGTCTGGAGGCGGCGCTGTGGGAAGAATTGGATATAATCCATTAGGATTGATCTCGACTTCGTTACTGGAAGACGGCTGTTCTGGAATCGGCGGGGGAATGGGGTTGTAGGCAAGTTGTGGAGGTGGAAGAGACGCCTCCAGGGTCTGAGGTTGGGTGGGAATTGTTCCGATGATGATGGAAAGTTGAAGAGCTATCGGGTCTTGATTTTTGATGACAATAAATACCTGAAAAACAAGATTGAAAAACTTTTGTTTGATGACTTTTTGGCCAAAAATTGCCAAGCACATATTCAAAGCGAAATTTTTTCATCATTTTTAAATTTTCGACACAAGCTGAGCTTAGATCACGTATCAATTCCGGAAATTTTTAGATCGCCCTTTGAAAGAACAGCCGAGATTTTCACTATCTTCTTCGCGCAAAAAAATCCAAATTTTCGCTAGTTTTCGATCTAAAAACCTCACTTCTTTCTGCATAACCCAATTTAAAAATCTATATATACACTATTTTGAAAGTCCTGACCTAAATTTGCGCCAAGTTTCGCCTAACTCTGAGCTTCGCCCAGCATTATTCTTGGACATTTTTTAATAACCTTGTGTAACTATAATGAGGTAAAATACCGATTAATTAGACTTCCATACCTTTAAAGAGTAGTTAACGTTGATAATGGGGCAATTGTTGAAAGACGGCACAACTGGTGGGATTGGGACGAGATGTTTGTAAGTGAAATTCCCTTTCATCGAATGCTCAAAGTCGTGTCGAGCATTTCCAATGATTGTCTCCGTCGACGTGACTTGACTTACTCCGCCGACTTGCGACAAGCTCAAGGGATTCCCCTTGTAATCTGAGATGGAAGTCCCGGTGTAATGGGCGTGCTGGATCAACTGAAATTTTAAGATTTTTTAGCAAGAGGTCATTCTTATCTGGATGTAAATGGCGCTTCCAAAGCTTAATAAATGCCTCTAGAAACCATGAGATAATTACTTACCTGACATTCAATTGCATTGACCTTCTTTTCAGTTACATTCAGAATCTCCACGTTCAGCTCGATCTTTTCTCCAGGCACATAACCCCTTTTATTCGTCGCAACAACCGCCTTGACATGGCCGGTACGTCCTAATAAGGCCGTAAACGCCTTCTGAGCTTCGGCTTTTACCGGCTCTGTGCTCGAGGGAAAAAGTTTGAGATCAATGTAGGGCAATACTGTAAATCCGATCTGCTGTTTGCAATCCAGAAACCAAGGGCGATCAATGACCGCTTTCAGAGTGTACCTGATATGACCGTGGGTTCCTGAAAATGTTTTTGATTACATTTTTTTGAAATTCATTTAAAAAATTTTCAAGGGTTTATCATAGATGACTTGAAATAATGTAAATTGCCACATTACCTTCAAAAGTCGGCGGGGCATTCAATGGAATCACAAAATTGAAAGGAAATATCGTCTCATTTAGCGGTCTGTTTTTTCTCTAATTCCGCGTTCTTTTTCGCGAATGACTAATATTAAAAAGAGTGGGAGACGCAGGACTTTACCCCGTAGATGGGAAAGAACATAGACCATCGATTTTCTGATAAGATTATTGACCAGTTCGTGCATAAATTAGCGGGAAACATCCGATTTTGAGTGAGGGCGAGACAAAGTGATCAAGTGTAATATTTTTGTGAATTCCCCGGATATCCGGTGACGTTATAAAGCTCTAATTTTAACCAACAGTTTAATGGGCTGTCAAACCAATCCTACAAGAACATTACAGGTAATTTCACTTCAAAAAATTTACTTAGGAATTAGACAAGGTCAAGAATAACATAATGTCAGAAACCCCGTAAACTTTTCGATTCTCCTAACGAATATGATTTCGTAAGCCCGATTACGCATCCTACTTTCATTTTCCATCACATTTAACGAAACAAGGCAGCGCAGAATTTTCAATCATAAAGATTCAGAGTTCACGAGTCTAAAACGATGTTTTCGCTTTCTTCCAGCGTTAAATCCTTTTCATCGCTGATTCACCGCACCAATCACAATAGATTAGTATACGTATCCAAGGGGCAAATCACAGAATTCAGTCTTTTGCATCGAAATAAACAAAGATTTACCTAAAACAGCAGGAAAGGCGAACTCCAATTATCTTATCGAATTTACTCGCAAAATTCTGTCTTCTTCTCGAGGAAACCTTATCAATCCAGACGACCAGGGAAATTACTGATAAGAATTCAACAAAAAAATCGCCAAGTTCTTTCGGAATTGATCACCTCCAAAAGGTTTTCAGATAACAAACCTAAAATAATTGGAAATCCAATAAATTCGATAAAAACAAATGGTTTTTGGACTCGGAAAGGGCCAACCGAGATAGAAAAGAGCAAAAAGAGAGAGAGAGGAAGAATATCGATGCCATTGGCCAAAAAAGTCTGGCCAGAAGACCTACGTCTCGACACGAAAAGACGAAAGATTTCTTCTTATTGGCATTCTGTCTTTTTGAAGCCGTTTCGGTTGCGATTTGATGATACTGGATTGTACTGTGAGAAAAGAAAAAACACGATTGGAAAATGATACTATATACTCTTTACTATACAATCACGTGCGTTTTTTGTATTTGGATCTCGGGACTCTGCTTTGAGGTCCATGTCCTGTTGGAGCTGGTGGAGGAGGTGGAGGTGGTGGTGGAGGAGGTGGTGGAGGCGGCGCAGCGCCAGGGCGGGGCACTCTGAACATGAGCTCCAGCTTGTGAGCGATTTCGGCCATACTGTAGCGATCATTCGGGCTTTCGGCCCAGGTCCTCTTCGTTATGAGCTCGGCCAGATCGGGTGGGGTGTCGGCGGGCATGAACATACGGTAACCCTCCTTAACCTAAAGAAAAAAGATTAAAATACCAGAATAAAGGTTGAAAATGAAAAAGCGGTAATTGTCTTTCATCAAAACACCAAAAACAAGGCTAAACCTTACAAACCTAGCGTAAAATGGCGATAAATCACTTTAAAACGTATTAAAAATGTTAAAGACTTACTTTCTGGAAGGTTTCGGCTGGACTCAGACCGGGATAGGGTTCTTGGCCATTGGAGAAGATCTCCCAACACAAGATTCCAAAGGCCCAGACATCAGTTTTCTGGGTGTAAATGAAGGTCTGAAGGGTTTCTGGAGCCAGCCTTAAAGTTGCATGTTAACTTCAAAATCGCTCTAAAACCCTCTACACCCTCTATTTTCATCAAACATCATCTACAAACATATTTCCCCATAATTTTCCTATATTATATTTACTATTATATGTAGAGACTTACCATCTAATCGGAACTCTTCGATGTGGATCCATTTGATATACCGTCCCCTCTACACTCAGGCCAAAATCGCTAATCTTGACTTGACCATCTCCGTACAAACAATTTCTAGCGGCAATATCACGATGAATCACATTCTTGACATGCAGATATTCGATGCCAAATGAGGCCTGAACACACATGATCGCCTTCCGGGCCGGGGGTTGTTCCCCTTTCTGGAGATACGAGTCCAATGCTCCGCAGTCGACCAGCTCCATCAGCACCATCAGCGGTTCTTGGCCTGCGGCGACTCCGTAGAACTTGACGATATTTATATGATCAAAGTTCCGCATAAGTCGAGCCTAAAATTCGATGACGTTAGAGGTCACAAAAAGTAAAAAAATTCAAGTCTTTTTCTACTCGGAGACCCCAATTCACGTCAAAATGTTTTCATTTCTTACCTCTTGCATGATCTCCTTGATCTGCTCCTTGGTCAGGTTGTCCAATTTGGCCAATTTAACGGCCACATTGGCTATACCCCCTCCTTTCAGCTTCAGCGTGCCTTTACGGACCTCTCCAAAGGCGCCTTCTCCCAGCTTCTTTGTTAAAGTAATGTCACTATGGCTCAGTTCCCAGGCCTGTCGACCAATCGGAGTCCTCAAAATAACCTCCGGGATGCTCTTGGAGATGGACTCGACTCTGTGCACGTGATATTCGACCATTGCCTTGATGCTATCAAAGCCATATTTCTCGATTGTCCAACGGTTGCTCGAGTTCTGGATGACGTAATGTTTGATCTGGAAGTCGAAGGGAGAGATAGGCAAAGATAGTGTCACAAGTTGGTCTAGTTAATAGGGGGACTTACACCACTCTCCTCTTTGTCCTGGTAGACCATAACCGAGAGGATGTAGGAGCGGACTCCGTCTTTGGCATTGGGCTCGGAAGTTCGGATGAGAAAGTCGCCATTGTTGTGCAACATCATCCGAATGTCTTCTCGGGGCAAAAGGCCTAAAAATAAAAAGTCGTTTGGGATTTATAGGGACGGAAATAACTGTCAAGGCGTTAGGAGACAAGCTACGGGCGAGACATCAAACTTTAGGCTTTAAAAACTGGAACTATCCGCGGTAATCAGCACGGATCACCCCGAAGGTCCCTAGAGTCGTTACATCTGTATCCTAGGTGGGACCTACCGTGATAGTACGGCTCATTCACGATTGATGGATCATAAGGACCACGTTGATGCGCCATGACAGAGCCTCCCGGAAAAACCGGTTGTGGTCCGACCATTTTCGACATGGCCAGAGCTATGGAATGGATTTGAAAAAAAGGAAGGAAGAAAACAAAAGCTCGGAATTTGCATAATTTTAGGACAAAATTTCAGAAAAATTATTTATTCAGATTTTTTAAATCAAGAATTCCGACATCCAATTCAAAGAAATTATCGATTGAGAATGCTTCGATACGATCAGGATGATGGTGAATATCTTGAATACAAGACCGTACATCTTCAAGACCATCTTAAAGGTTATTTTGAAGACTCTGGTCGGTTGACAGTCCCGGGAATTAAGTCATGGTGACATTATTTTACACAAAAAATTGAGTTGAAAATCCAAGAAACAGGTCAAGGAGAAGTGGAAGGTAAAAACGCAGAGTTTTGGTAAAATACGTCAAAAATATTATATATTCTTTTCTTTTTAGAATAGGCTAGATTAGAGCTCTCATTAGTCGTTGACAGAATTTTTCAATTGCCTTGACTTTATTCCAGCATAACATCAATTTCGAACACAAAGAGTCTCGAATTATGATTATTTCTTAAAGTCACCTTTCATATTCGGCAAGAAATTTTCCAATATCATCATATCCCCTTTACTGTACTCTCAACCGTATTGCACATTCAATATTATTCATCAAGCAACAAAAGAATCAATGAAAATCCATATAAAACGGGTACTTTGGCTGATATTCCGGCGGTGGCTCCGATGAATCCGTGGCCGTCGAAAATCGCTTCACATTGACGCTGGAGTCGGCTACACAAAGTTGGGCGGCATCGTAGTCTGGAGGCGGCGCTGTGGGAAGAATTGGATATAATCCATTAGGATTGATCTCGACTTCGTTACTGGAAGACGGCTGTTCTGGAATCGGCGGGGGAATGGGGTTGTAGGCAAGTTGTGGAGGTGGAAGAGACGCCTCCAGGGTCTCAGGTTGGGTGGGAATTGTTCCGATGATGATGGAAAGTTGAAGAGCTATCGGGTCTTGATTTTTGATGACAATAAATACCTGAAAAAAAGATTGAAAAACTTTTGTTTGATGACATTTTGGCCAAAAATTGCCATTTTTTAAACTTTCGACACAAACTGGGCTTAGATCACATGTCAATTCCAGAAATTTTTAGATCGCTCTTTGAAAGAACAGCCGAGATTTTCACTATCTTCTGCGCGCAAAAAAGTCTAAATTTTCGCTAGTTTTCAATCTAAAAATCTCGCTTATTTCTGCATAATGCAATTTAAAAATCTCGTATACTATTTTGAAAGTCCTAATCTAACTTGCGTCAAATTTTGCCCAACTCTGAGCTTTGCCCTTTGAGCATTATTCCTGGGCATTTTTTGGTATCCTTGGGTAACTATAATGAGGTAAAAGACCGATGAATTAGCCTTCCATACCTTTAAAGAGTAGTTAACGTTGATAATGGGGCAATTGTTGAAAGACGGCACAACTGGTGGGATTGGGACGAGATGTTTGTAAGTGAAATTCCCTTTCATCGAATGCTCAAAGTCGTGTCGAGCATTTCCAATGATTGTCTCCGTCGACGTGACTTGACTGACTCCGCCGACTTGCGACAAACTCAAGGGATTCCCCTTGTAATCGGAGATGGAAGTCCCGGTGTAATGGGCGTGCTGGATCAACTGAAATTTTAAGATTTTTTTCGAAATAAATAAAAGCCCCTAAAACCATTGGAACCCCCTGCTTACCTGACATTCAATTGCATTGACCTTCTTTTCAGTTACATTCAGAATCTGCACATTCAGTTCGATCTTTTCTCCAGGCACATAGCCCCTTTTATTCGTCGCAACAATCGCCTTGACATGGCCGGTACGTCCTAATAAGGCCGTAAACGCCTTCTGAGCTTCGGCTTTTACCGGCTCAGTGCTCGAGGGAAAAAGTTTGAGATCAATGTAGGGCAATACTGTAAATCCGATCTGCTGTTTGCAATCCAGAAACCAAGGGCGATCGATGACCGCTTTCAGAGTGTACCTGATATGACCGTGGGTCCCTGAAAAATTTTTGATTACATTTTTTTGAAATTCATTTAAAAATTTTCAAGGGTTTATCATAGACGACTTGAAATAATGTAAATTGCCACATTACCTTCAAAAGTCGGCGGGGCATTCAATGGAATCACAAAATTGAAAGGAAATATCGTCTCATTTAGCGGTAAATGTTTGTCGGAACTTTGGGGTTTCCATACACATAGCTCTTCGTTCGCGTACATAATCTCTCCATTACGGCGGACTTGCCTTTTCATTTGTCTGTGGCCTCTGAAATTGAAAATTTGCTAAGGAAAACGATTGTAAATTGCTCTAAACAGTCTTCTTCTAGATGACAACAGCCGTTACCGTGATTTTATGACGGTTTTTCAAAATTTCAAAAAATACGTCATCATGACGAATTCTCCCGAAAAATGGTATCTACACTTTGAAAATTTTTTAATAGCCTCTTCATTGCCAGTAGATTTCGTTTTCAGTTTAAAACTCCTCAATAAATCAACTTAAAATCCGTCATGATGACGGATTTTTTGGAATTCCCGAACTCACTCTCCAACAGTCTCCGTGGTTCCCCAACTAGCCTTGGCCGCTCCTTTGAAATGAATATGAACTCCATTTGATTTGACGGCCTCTTTGGTTCGTATAACAACTCTTCCGGTTACTTGCCCTCCGGCAAAATACCATCCATTGGGATTGTCGAGAATGATTCGAAGCAAATCATTGGGTTGCACACTTTGAAGCAACTTCTTGGCCTCTAACAAGGCTGTCATAGCTGAAATTAATCGAACTTAGAGCGGAAAGGTAGCTTTTTATGAACTAATATAAGGTCATGGTCATGGTCAAATGCAAATATAAATTTAGAGTCTAAAAGAAATTTTAATTACGAAAATTGGCGATTTCTTGCCTCTGGATGACATTTTAAGTTTGAAAAACCAAAAAAAAAATGAAATTTTAAAAATCTTGACCGTAACGCTAAGTTGTAATCAAAAAATTTTTAACTGCAATTACTATTTAGCCCCAAAATTTAACAGCTATCTATCCCATTACCCCATAAAATATCCAGAAATGGAGGTCAAACCATTCCCAAACGCTGTTTAGTAGAAATCGAATACAAAAAAGCCCATGAATTTGTGAAAAAATGGAAAAAGGTGCGTCGCTTTTTTTTGAATCACAGCTTATCTTATAGACTTTTTTTACTCCAGCTCGGACGTGATTTTGTAATTCGTAAGGGTTCAACAGTAAACATCAATAACATGGAAGTGATCTGTGGTGCTTTCTGAGAAATTTTTACATTATCCATGACAAAACTCGGTAATTTTTTAAAATTTATTTGATTAGTCAAAAAGCAAGCAGCAAGACATATTTTTAATCTTATTTTAGGGAAAATTAAGGTTGTATTTGAACAAAAAGGAACGAAATTTTTACCCAAAACATTTCAAAATGGTTTAAAAAAGTTGCAAAAAGCCTTTAAAAGTCGAGCAAAAATATTCCAAAAGACTCTTTTTCTCCCCTTTCCTTGACGTGCATATTGATAATGAATAGTTCTTTTGTAATAATTCCCATGAATCATCCATTTTTAGGCGTGGAATGTATAAATACTGCGCTATTTCGTCTAAAAAGTTTTGTTTTTAATCTTTAAGTTGATGATTACTAAATTTAATAATATTTATGATAAATTTGTAACATCAATTCAAGTTTTGAGCAAATTAATACCAGAAAAGCTTAGATCATATCTAGCAAGCGGAGCAGCGATAATTACCGGTCTTTTTTGCGAGAGAGCACGCAAAATGAGGAGAGCCAACCAGATGGAAGACGGTTTTGGCTCATAACTTTTTTGTTTCTGCATGGAACAACTTGATTTTTTGTAGGTTTATTTTACGCCAGGCTAGTAACAGTGCATCGAATTTTGAAACCGAAAATCGCAAAAAACGTTCAATTTTCTATCGAATGTCGATCCAAAAATCCCGTTTGTTTCTGGAAAGCGCGGGTTGAAAATCTCGCATATTTCATTGCAAATCTTCGTGATAAATTGTGGGGGATTTCAGAAGAAACGAGATGTCGCAGTTATCATGTTGAGATACTGCGATTTCCCTGTTCGCTATACTTTTTTACGCTACACAAGCAACTTTCAGAGATTTTCCACCAACTTTCATGCTTTTATTACCTTCCCACCCCCGTCCGCATTCCATTCTGAAGCCAACTTTTTAACTGCCAAACCGTTTGACGGCCCTCTGACCTTAGGGTACACCCAAACTGTAAACTCGGAGATCGTCTTTTGATTACGGAAACCGGTTCCGTTCCGAAAAAGGCCATTTGAGGAATGTTTTGGAAAGAAAATGAAAAAATAACTCTGGGAAAGCGGAGAGTCCGGGCGATTCATTACCAAACCGTTGACGGAAAGGGCTTTAAAAGGGGCCGCGGGTCGTTGGAACCCTTGATTTTGTGCAAATTACATTGCTCCGAGTAAGTTCTTTACTACGTTACTAGGATTTTTATTTAATAATAAGTTTCTCTCAACCATTTTTGTACGGAAATTCCTTGATTTTGACCTAAACTTATATTAATTCAGCTCTTTTGTCTAGTATAATATAATTTCTTCTCCAGATCACCATGAAGACCGATTATATAGTCGGTGTGGCCTCCATCGGGAGTGCTCTTGTCATTGTGAGCTCCCTTCTCGTGGTGGGCACCCTTTTCCAAGACATCAACTCCCTCTACGATGACTTTATGGTGGAGATGGTGGAGTTCCGCGACATCGCCGACGAGACCTGGATGGGCATCATGGCCGCTCAGCGTCACTCAGCCAAGCCCGCCAGCCGTCTTGTGCGTTCGCCCAGCTTCAAAGAGACTGTGGGCGTCATAATGGGAAGGAATAAGAGGAATGCGGAGTGTGCCTGTCAAAAGCCGGTCAACAATAACTGCCCTGCTGGACCACCTGGCCCACCCGGTCAGCCCGGTCCGGATGGAGTGCCCGGAGTTCCTGGACCTGACGGACAAAATGGTCCAAGTGGAGCTGAATGGTTCGTGCAAGATGCCACCAAAGAGTGTATCAAATGCCCCGCCGGAGAGCCCGGCCCAGCCGGAATTCCCGGACCCGTGGGACCTCCCGGCCCTGCCGGTGCCCCAGGACAACCAGGAGCGCCAGGAAAATCGCAACCACCCGGACCACCAGGACCTGAAGGAGCGCCAGGACCAGCCGGATATCCAGGACAGCCCGGAGAAAGAGGTCAACCCGGAGAGAACGGGAAGAGAGGACACGGACCCCCAGGCCCTAAGGGACCGGTCGGACCAGCTGGTGAGGCCGGATATCCAGGAGTTAATGGGGTGCCCGGACGTGATGGAGCGCCCGGTGCAGCCGGTCAGCCCGGCCCTCAAGGAGAGAGTGGTGCGCCTGGTGCACCCGGGGTTGATGGATTCGAAGGAGGCCCTGGAGTCCCCGGCCCTGATGCTGCTTATTGTCCATGCCCTGGCCGCACTCTTCCAGTGGCCAGCCCGGCCGTGGAACGTCAGCCACCAGCTCAGCAGCCCAAGCAGACCTACAGACGGTACTAAATCATTTCGCTCTGAGGCAATTTGAATTCAAAGAATGGTTTGAATACCCGACTTATGGATTTTCAGATCTGCCCAGAGTCTGTTTCATTGAAAAATAAATCTGTTTCACAGAAAATTTCGATTTATTTATCCTATTATAGCTATTTACCTTACAAACGTTCCATTTTCCTTGACTTTTTCCTCAATTTCTCCCAAAACCCTGAGGGCACATTCTTCCTTGTATGGTGGGACGACAATCTGAATCCCCACTGGGAGTCCGACGGTGTCTGCGGCGGAGTTTCTGGCCGCTTTGTACCAAGAATCAGTCGTTGGGTAGTCCTTGAGCTTATCACAATCTTGTTGAGTTACCCTGGTCACTGGGACCGTTCCGCCCGCATAATCGAGGCCATTGTAGAGGATTGTGTAGGAAACTGTTGAGAAGAGTTTATACGGCTCTTTGTGACGCATGGCGGGACACACCTGCAAAAAATTATTTTAATGCCATATTTTATTACCTAAAATAAGGTCAGAAGGTCGTCAAAAGGCATCCAATAAAAGATTTTGATATCCAGAATTCAAAAAAGGCCACTTACATTAATAGGACACAACAAACAGTCCAAACCATTGTTAATCCACCTCTGGGCAAACTCTTTTTGATATTGTTCTACTCCACAATTGGTTTGACGAAGATCGCTGAGGTCGGTGTGACAAGCTCCGGCTACATTGGCAAGTCTGGGCGAGATATTGCCCAATAAGAAGCTGACGGACTTTCTGAACCACACAGGGAGACTGGATTGACGGACCATTGGGCCGTAGCCATCAACTGGGAGATCCTGAAAATGCATGTTCTCATACGTGTAAATAACGATCTGTTTTATACAAAACCAGAGTTTTCGGCGGATTAAAGGGTAATAAAGATATTTTCAACCTATTCATATCAATTAGAAACCTCAATCTATAATTTTAGACAAAATTTATATTATCCATGGCAGAGTTGGTCAAAAATTGCTGAGTTTCCCAAAACACAAAGTCCTAAGCGCCCCAAACTCTCTATACTGCCCTCAAGTCCCTATCCAACCCATCTTACCTTCAAAATAGCGTCATGAAGGTACTTTCCATTATCAAAAGTAGTCGCTTTGAAAACCAATTGAAGTGCCTTGTAAATATCATGTGGTTTCCATTCCACAACAGTATGTCCCAATTGTCTCAAGCTCTCCACAGTTTCTAGAACCGCTCTTTCCACCGCCGGCGTTGCTTTGAACCATCCATCATCCACATAATATCCAATTTTCAGGGGTTTTTTGGATAGATACATTTCGTTGTTGAAATTGATTGGTGGAACATACGGATCGTGTTTGTGGAACCAATCATTGGACCATACAGCTTGAAGCAGTCTAGCACAATCTTTGATATTTGTGGCCATGGGGCCAATCGAGGCGTAAGTGTGGGATCGGCCGGGGACTGAACCGGGGCTGCTGAACTTGGAGAAACGGCGGTGGCTGGGCTAAAAAATCGATGGAATAAATATTGTGATAACTTTTATCTACTGCAACAACAATTGCCTCAATTTTTTCCACGAAAAAGGGATTCGGGCAAAAGTTTTTTTCTGACTGCAATTCAAGAATTGAACTTGTTCATTACCACTCACCTTGATCCCGGCAATTCCACAAAAGGCTGAGGGAATTCGAATAGACCCTCCCACATCACTCCCAATTCCAATTATCGATCCTTTAGCTGCAATTAAGGCCGCTTCCCCGCCTGAAGATCCTCCACAAGTCCGATCTGCTCGTTCTGGATGCTTTGTTGTGCCATAGACTGGGTTTTCACAAGAGAAGGTGAGTAGCGAAAGGGGCACTGTTGTGGTGACGAACGGAATGGAACCGAGTTCTTGGAGTTCCTGGACGAGCAGGGAGTCTTCGGCTTGCGGTTTCTCCAAATTATCCGCATATCCGGAGAATAAATCGTGGCCCTGTACCTAAAATAAGAGAAATTTATATTGCACTCGAATTTGCTAGGAAATATATGGCTCGGGACTTCTAAATCTCCCCGCAAGGGTCCACACGAACCCTGCAAATTTAGTCCAAAGCTAAAAGTTGACAAAAAAAAGAGGAGGCGGCAGAAATTCTTACAAATGTAGAAATTGCGCAATGTTATGTCAGATTGCGCAAGTCGTACTAAATTTGCAGGGTTCGGATGGAGAGATTTCCAAATCCCGAGCTATATATTCGAAAATATAAATAAAACTTGCCGCTATACAAGATTTAATACTAATTGGCAAACCAAAGAGTTGGGGTTTCTTGTATTCCGGGTCGGATCCAGCAGCATCTAGAGCCTCAGCGCGTTTATCTGCCTCCTGAAAATACAAATTTTTTTTTGGAAGAGAATACATACAGCAATCAAACAAAAACTAAACGGTCAAAAACGATGTAAACGACGAGTCTTCCTTCATAAAATATTATTCATGCCATAAAAAACAAAAATACGAAAACGAGGCAAAACAATATTTTCTTCAAATGTCTCGTGCCTTGTTGTTGGCTTTTATCAGGCGACATAGTATTGTAACAAGTTATGAACGGATATAATTTTTTCCGCTTGTACTAGCCCCTCCGGTGAGTCCCTCCACGAAAAAATCAGAACGCCAAGGGTTTCACAGTAACATCGATGATCATTTGCATAAACGTGGACAAATTTCGCGTTGGCGTTGCCGTTCTTGCCGTCCGTTCCACGATTTTCGTGTTGTATTGTGCGGCAGCCGACTTTTTGACGTCGGATTTTTTTTTCAATAATCCACGATGACCGTCCTTCTCTTCTCGTTGGATCCAATTAACTCATCACTTCTCGGAGATTTATATACGGTAAGAGTTTGAATTTCCTCTTGTTTTAGATTATTATAATATAAAATTTGCTCAAGTTTATGATGTTTTTGATTTCAGAGCTTCCAATCAGTCTCCTCTGAATACTGAATTCGTTCATTTCTCCACAGAGCTCTGTTCCATCATCACCAGTTCGTATCGTTTCAATGCATCATACTTCACTATCTTCGAATTTTCTGGCCGTCGCTCAGGAGAATCACAAAAGCATCAGAAATTCTTGTAAGTTTTTTTTGTTTGTTGCTTCGATATTTAGGTAAAAAGTCGAATTTCGAAGAAAGTGCTGGGGCAGAGGGCGCAGCTTGGAAACCTTTGTTTTGTTTTTGCCGAGCTGCGTCCACAGCACTTGTTACTTATTTATGGGTGGTTTTACCCTCTTAAGAGCTTCATATTGTTGTAGACGTTAATTTTATTGTCTATTTACAGGTTCCATCGCATCGTCACATCAGCACTTCAAGTTCCTCTCCTCTTCAACTTCTCGTCAAATGTCAACCAATTATGGACCTCAACTGCAACAGCAACATACCGACCACAAAGGACCTCCATTTACAACAAGTGAAACTGAAGTTTGGACAACATCGCCAATAATGAACTGGTAATTTGTTTATTGGTTGTGGAATACATTATTGTATAGGATAACTTTGTTCTTTATTGTAAAGTAGTCAGTACTAGTAATCGGAGAATTTTTTCTGCTCTATCAAGGCCAAAAGCCTTTATAAAAAACGAGAAGTGGGGTTCTAGTTTCGGGGTATCAAAATTGTGACCACAGTAGAGGGGGAGTCGGGGGTCTCGGAGCTGTTCGGCCTTGGGTGTCGGGAGAGTTGAACTCCCTCTTATACTTGGGACTAGTACCGGAGGTGACCAAGGGCTGGTAATCGGAGTACCCCGGGTTCCGTTGACCCGGAACTGGTACCCAAGGCGGATCAGCGGCTCTGCTTTCACTAGTCCTTGTGAAAATGCTGGGAAAAGTGGGACGAACGCTGGGCTATCGGTTATAACAACCAAAAAGGTTTAAAGTATATTGCGAATTGCCATCTTCCGAAACGAGCGGAGGCTGTTGATGTGGAAGATCGGTCGACCGATTGGATGCATGTTCAAGGCCTTTGGCCAAACCTTTAAAAATCGACCTAACCCTGTGATGACGGCTGTTTTGGATAAACCAAGCTGGAGCCACCGGTACGCCGCAGAGTTCGGTAATCGGTGGTGCCGAGACCTGGGGCGCTCGGCCGAGAGTCCTCTTTCCCCTCCAAGCAGCCATGAGCGGGGGCCCGTGTGCTGGTCCGAAGTTAAGGCGGGTGAACGAGGTCCCCAACGTGGGTAATGTAGCGAAAGCTCGCCTCTATACCGCGGTCGGCACTATGGTTCCGGCTTAAAACGTCCCACGAGACGTAGCCCGGGTTATGAGGTCAAAACCACTTTGAAATTTCAGCTTCACTATGTAAGTTTGCGGAGGATCGTAGAGGTAAGTTTTGAGCAGTGCGCTCAAAGTAGGGGGATGGCAAAATCGCATCAAATATACAGTTTTTATTTTGTTTTTTTTTTGTTATAACCGATACTCCCAGAAAGTCATCCCACTTTTCCCAGCATTTTCGATCAACAAGGAGTAGTGAAAGGAGAATCGCGGTGAAGCAGATATAAGCCACGACCGGCTAGGCGGCAATACCGGCCGAAACGAGAAGTCCGCCGCTTGAACCGACGGGAAACATCCCAAGATAGGTGGGGATAGACCCTCCTTGACATCCCTGGCTCGGACAGTAAACCAGACCATGGGGCCTACACCACAAAAAGTGGTGTAGATACTGGGGCCAAACTGGCTTTAGGGGAGTGCTCCCTCCCTACTGTGGCCACAACGACGATGCCCAATGAAACCTAGAGTCCTAGAAATTTTATATATATTACCTTATATCATAAGGCATTAGAGAAGAAAATTTATTCCGAAATACTATTACTACTGCTAGCAAGACTTTGAATTGTGATTTACTATATTATATTCCGATATTGTTATGATTCGTGCGATATATTACTATACTTTTGATATTTGATTAATTTTCGAATTGTTTGTATATTTTAAAATGAATTTCTCTCTCTTCGTATCTTGTTCTTTTGGATTTCATAAGTTTATCGTGTTTTGGTTTCTTTTCTTTTCCGTTTTTCCTCGGATTTGGGCTTGATCGTGATGGATAATATAGTATAATACGAAATCTATACCCTTTTTCCCCTATCCTCCTTACCTCCAGGAACTCCACGATACAATTTGTTTTTTCCTGCGCTCTCAACGCAGCTTTTTGGAAGACCCGCAAAATTTGAAGACATTTCCATTCGCCCGCTCGAAGTCCGTCTGAAAAGAGAAGTGAAATGAATAGGAAGGGAAGTGTGCATTGGTGGTTCAGTGGTAGAATGCTCGCCTGCCACGCGGGCGACCCGGGTTCGATTCCCGGCCAATGCAATTTCCTTTTCGACTTTTTTATGAAGTCGTATCACTTTATGGGATACTGTAACATACCAAGAATTTCTTCCATTGTTTTGTTCAAAATTTCGTCCACAAAGTCGTCGGGAATGTCGGCTGTAAGTTGCCGAATTCGATCGAATTCTTTTTCTCTCTTCAGAAGGCGCCGTTTCACCCTGGATTTGAGCTCATTTGTCCTCTAAAGAAAGGGAAATCACATCACAAAAAGTAATCATCAATTTACACAAAGACTTTTCGCGGTTTTGATGACTCCTCCAACCAAAATTGCTCCCAAAATTGCAGCAGTTGCCGTTAAATGCGCTGATTTCGAGCTGACATTTGGAAAAATTTCATTGAAACACCGCATGTTTGATGTTGATGAAGTTTTCAATCTAAAATAAAGACTGTCAAATTATTTTCACTCCCAATAATTCCTGGAAATCCACCCAGACCAAGTCATTTTCTAATAAAAAATCTCGATTTCATTTCATTACAGACAAAAATTATTTACAAGCAATAAAAATTGGAAAAGTAACAGAATGAACATAAAGTCCTTTTCAAAAAAAAACAAACTTTTCCACCAATCGTCTCTCAAAATGAACGTTTTTTCTTACCCGAAAGGAACGTGAATAACACCAAAGCGGCAAAACAAACCCGAAAAAATAGACTTTCCGTAGTTATGATAAAAGAAATAGACATGATCTTTAAGCGATGTCTAGCTATAAAAAGACTTTGTGAAATAAAATTAGAAAATACAAACTCAAAGATTAACAGTTATAATTTTTAGTATTCTAAATACTCGGATGATCCCGAATTCCTCGTGTTTCTTGCAGATTGTCCGTTGTTTTTGACGCTATTCATAAATTTCTTGACAGTTGGGACTGAGACTTCATTCCTCCAATCTCCATTGACCTTGAAATGAGATCCGATTATGAATCCGTCGGCATGCGAATAACTCCTCCAATTCTCCAATGTAACGCCTGAACCGATGAGTACTGGCAATTTTGAGACTCTCTGGACTTCTGAAATTATTTTCATCAGAACTGTCGCAGTAAAAACTGATAGCGGAACAATTGACTCAAAATGGTCAAATCTTCCTTTCATTGAAACCAGCTGGTCAAAACATGGAAACAAAAGAAAAGTACATACCCTCAAGGTCGGATGGGACCGCAGCTTCTCCTGTGGCATGCCCAGTAACAATAAAACCATCGGCTTGAAAGAATTCTCCAGCTTTCGCGCTATCGGCAAGTGTAATGTCCGCGGTTACCGCATGAGAACTATGCTTCTTTTTGAGATCTGTGAAAATTGCAATGTCTTCAGCTCCAATATTACGCCGATAGCGCAATAGTTCACCAGCACATCCGTCCATCCAACCTTCATCTGCCACATGAGAAAAGATGAAACATTCGGCTCGAATAAAGTCTAGGCCTGAAAAGACGGATCAGTATTTCTTTTATCGGCGCAAGAAGACATAGAATACAGATTTGAGCTCTTTTGGTTGGAGCTCAACCAAAAAAAAATTTTGTCAATTTTTTTGTATTACACTTGCCTACCTGCACTTTGAGCGACAGCCAGCCCTTCTTTATTCCCCTGCGCCAAAATCTGGACTCCCAAAAGGAACTTTGACCTGTCTTCTCCCAATTCATTCACTCCATCAACACATAATCTTGTAGCGGACGCCACAATCTCCGGTCCGATCAAATTGGACCTAACATAAGGTAAATCATGCATATTCTCGAAGATGATCCCGTCCACTCCCGCTTCCGCATATTGCCTGACTTCTTTTCGAACTACATTAGATATCTGGGCGATTGAGAGTTTGTTTAGCGGAGTTCTAAAAGCAAAACGACATTAATTTAGACAAAAATAGGTAACACTTACCCGGGAAGGGCTGGGAAATGGACCATTCCAAAGACTTGAGGCCGTTTTGATGCCGATAACACTTTAGAAGCCTTCTTTAACATTTTTCCAACGGTTTCAACCTGCTTCGCTCTAGGATTCCGTCTTATTTTATTGTTATCAAGAAGTCAGAAAAATTTTTATTTTTTTTTTTCAAAAATATTTTATTCCCCGCCAAATTGGCAATTCTTGGCATTCCGCCCCGAGCTTGAATTTCCCGCAAATTTCGCAAGAAATCTTCTTCTTTGGCGTTCTGTTGAAAGAGAAGTTGAGAAATTTTTGTCTGCCACTTACTTGTGGAATATAGTCTTCCGTTCTCACGTACCTTTAACGGAATCTGGAGACATGGGAGCCGACGGAGGAACAATTCCGAAGAGGTGCGAGTTGGTGAAGAAGAAGAAAAAGGCCGAGAAGGTGGAAAGAGATGTTGCCAATGCTGCTAAATGGAAGAGCTGTCAACTCTCGAACGAACCTTTGAAGAAACCAGTGGTTGCTTGTCGTTATGGCCGGTATGTTTGTGCTTTATTTTGATTTATCTTGATTTAGACATCTGGAATTGCGGAAAGAAATATTTTAATTTCTTTGGATATTGATTTTGTATTTTTGTAGATTGTTCAACAAGGAAGCCATCTTGGAGGCTATGTTGGAAAAGAAGCTCGGCCAGAACGAGGTTACTAAGCACATCAAGAACCGAAATGATTTCAAGGAGCTGAAGTTGACCGATAACAAGGATTTTAAGGATGGGCCAGACAGAGTAAGTTTTTATCTTTTTGGTTTTCGATTTTAGGTGGCACAACGGGAATTTTTGACTATAAAGAGATCAGTACTGACGTTAATTGTTCCCTGTATTAATAAGTTTATTCTTTAGGGAATGGTCTACAAAGATCATAATGATACCCAATGGATTTGCCCTGTAACTGCCCTCCCAATGAACGGAATCAATGTGTTCAAGGTGAATTGGATTTGCGGGTGTGTTGTTTCCGAAAAGGCTATGATTGAATCTAAATCTGAGACTTGTTTGGGATGTGACGGACCAGTGGATAACGATAAATTGGTCCAACTTTATCCTTCAGAAGATGTCTTGGAACAATATAAACAGAAGCATGCCGAAGAGATTGCCGCTAAGAAGGCCAAGAAAGCCGAGAAGACGAAGGGTAAGAAGGATTTTTCAATAGATTTTTTCTTAATTTTAGAGAAGGAATCCGCCGTTGAGGCTTCGACCTCCCTTCCTGAGGAGGAACCCTCCGACTTGATTGCTTTCAAGATGCCCGGAGGTGTTAAGTCAACCAATCACAACAAGTTTAAGCCATCGGCGACTGCTGGAGTCTCGGAAATTAATGAGCGAAAAAGGAAATTGCTGTTGTCAAAGGGCTCAATCCAAGACGATCCTAATGTCTCCAAGGCCGTGAAATCGTTGTTCACAACCAGTGAAGAAGCGAAGAAGCAGAAGACCGCACATTGGGTTACCCATAATCCTTTATACTTTTGAAATTGTGAGTTCTTGGTAATGGTATTTGTAAATAGATCAAATGTTAATAAAATTTCCAAAACCAAATTGGATCGAAAATCTTGAATGCAGCCAGTGTTTACATCGAAATACGAAAAATAGGGAAGTCTCGGTTTGTTTACAGCTGCTGTTTATAACACATATATTAATCATTGGATCGGCTTTTTTGCTGGAACAATGGAGCCGACGTTAAAAAATCTGCTGTCTTATGCCCTAACCTACTTTTCATTGCTCTTCCATGGGCCGAAAATTCATCGTAAGGATTTCTCTAAAATTTCTACATTGATTTTTTTATTTTTCAAATTTTTTTAGCCTTCCATTACCAATTATTGGCCCCATCTTCGCCAGAAATCCTAAATCAGGATGTGTTTTCGGATAAGTTTGAGAGCACTGTGGTTTTAATGAATGCTACAATTTATCCCGACACTTTGAAGAAGGATCAAACTCAGGAACAGATGTCAGAGAAATTGCGAAAACTTTTTGAGGAAGAGGTGCTGATGTGGAAGGCAAAGACCGGAAATCGGACCGAAGATATTGTATTCATGCCGGTGATCACGGTCAATAAGACCAAATTCGATACTGAACAGGTGGGTTTCAGTGTGGGGAATACGTCGACAGTACTGGTCAACACAAAATCGATCGAAAAAGGGGGGGGGGCAGGTGGTCACACAAAAAAAGGTGGTAGGAAGTCTTGTGAGGCCTGTAAAGGCCGTTTGATGGTCGGCGAAAGCTCGGCGAAGACTTGGCGAAAGCTTGAAAGATGTCCACTTTTTCTCATTCTAGTTATTGCTAACGTTAGTTTTTGCTTTATCCTGAGCTATTTTAACATCTAAAACACCAAAATTTACGGCAAAAAACGAAGATCCATGACATTTATCTAGGTGTTATTGATGTGATCTCATATAAAATCCCTCAAAATAGGTGATAAGCTATCCTAGAACCCGATCGATCTTATTATTTCTACCAACTAAGCCTTCTCCTAGCCTCCCCATGCATACAACGGCAAACCGACACGATTATATTATAGTATCGTTGACCCAAAATGTCGCTAATCCGAAAACCCGTAGCGCCTGGGAATACTGTAACGGGACTGTAAAAAGGAAGTAATTTCTGTTCAAAATATCTGGATCATCGCTTTTTGAGAGGGATTTTCTTCAATAATGGCTTAAAATTTTGTCTTTTTTCGTTTGTAGACCATATTAGGAACGTCGTATTTTAAAAATTTTTCGATTTTTTCAAATTCAAGCTCATGTTTTAGCTTCTCCAACAAATCCGCGCGGACTACAACACCGTCAAAGCGTTTGTTCGCCAATTTCTGGAGGAATCCCGGAAGCATAAAATCCCAGTCTCCAATGTCATCATCTCCATATACGGCTGGAATAATGAGTGTGGAATCAAGGGAATGGAGTCGTGTCGTCAACGAGAGATCATGACTAGAAAGATCTTCAACGACTTGGAAATCAAGACTCAACGAGCAAACGGGACCATTTATTTCGTGGGCGACCAGCTCTGGAACGACATCAGCCTGAGGACATTGATCCATTTGAAGGGCGGAAATGACCCTTCTACCGTAATATAAACTGTGAAAAGGCTTTATTTTTTCAAATATTTTAATGCATTTCGAGTAGTAAAAATTTCTTTTTTTTGAAGGTTAATGTCTGGTATAATATAAAAAAAAATATAAATACAAGTAAAAACAGTGCATTACACTCTCTGTGGACCCGTGATTTTCTCGTCGTAAAGACGACCCTGATCATTCAACATGTAATCCTCAACGATCGCTGCGAATTGATCCGCACTCAGATGACCGTTGGCGGAGACGTCCAGTTCTTGGAAAATATTCTCCGCCAACTCGTCCGTGAAGCCGCCAATCTCTTTGGCGATGTACTGAAAGTAAAATAGATTAATGAAACAACAGTAATTTCTGAAGATAAAACCGCAGAAGATCTCTTCCGTACTTTTTTTTGATAGGAAATTGCCAAAAAATAATAATTTTTTAAAAGATTTTAGAGTTAGAAATTAATGGTTCAATTACTAGCAGGGTGTATAATGTTTCTACAAAAAATCAAAATATTTGCCTGCAGAAGCAAAAAAGTTATAGGCAAGAATCACTTTTCGTCTAGTCGACTCTCCTAATTTTGCGTGCTCACTCGCAAAGAAGGCCGCTGAAAATTTCGTGTCCCATCGAAAAGTGAGGAAGATGTATAAAATCTAATGCAAATCTGAACACTCCAACCCTATAACAAGACTCTAATTCATCGTTAAATTAAGATCAAGTTTAAAATTCTGCCCTACATACAGTGGCGGACCTGATCCAGCGGTAAAAAACGTACCATTTTGCATCCGGGAAGTATCAAAAACCTTGAAAAATACCTCCTTCTCCAAGCGAAAAAACTCCGATTTCGTAAAAAGTTCGCCTGCCTTTTTTGTGAGGAGAAGACTGCGCCCTTAAAAAAGGAGTCTTTTTAGTTGGAGAGGGATGCATTTTGCCACATTTTGTGATACTTCCCGGATGCAAAATGGTACGTTTTTTGCCACAGGACAAGATCCGTCACTGTATTTCAGAGCCCGTATGATAAAAATTATCAGTTTTCTACCCCAGTAACTCCTCAAGAACCTACTTTGAATTCATTTTTCGTAATGACTCCATTCCCATCCTGATCGAACACACTAAAGCACTGTTTCACGAACTCCTCATTACTCGCCAGCTTCATTCTCTGTGATTTCCTCATGCAGCGACAGAATTCGTCAAAGTCAATCTCACCGTTACCGTCTTCGTCCACCTGAAAGTTGATTAATACAGTAAGATCAATCCTCAACAAAGAATAGCCAAAATTAAGCGAGAACAAATAGCCCAGTCCCAATTCTGAAGATTAATAATGGGAATTTGAAAGCTTTACAGCTTCAAAATTTTGGAAATGGATCCAACACGCTCTCAAAACGTTCTAAAAATACGAAGAATGGGCATGCGAGCATTAATTTCGCGCATTTTTTATTCACATTATCTTATTCTAGGGGATTACTAAACAATTGTTGGAATGCCTTCCGATTGACGTAAATTCACTTGATCCCTTTCATTTCTTATGTATTTCAGACTACAATAATGCGTAATTAAATGTTTACGGAGAATTTTGAAACGGAAAAAAATGGGATTTTTTTGGGTGGTATTAGTATTTACTATCTATTCTGTAGTAATTGTAAAGTGGGAAAAGCTCAAATTTTCTTCCAATTCTGCATACATGATCTATCCAGGGCATAAATTAATTTCTGAAAATTTTAGCTCGCGCTTTGCAGGCGCAACCGAGAGAGTACACAAAAGGCGGAGTGCGGCTAGAGAGAAACCCGTTTCTTACCCTTTTCTTTGCAAATTTTGCGCGGCAAAAATTGATTTTTTGTAGGAATCTTTTTGAACAGAACACATAAGAAACAGAGTCCCATTAAACGTACAAAAAATTTTCGAATTTTTGCCAATTTTTGATCCAAAAAAATCTCGATTATTTCTGCAAAATGCTGGCGAGAAATCTCGCGTATGTTTCAGAAATACTTAACCTAAATATGAGCAATTTTCATCGCAATCTAAGTGTATTACGAGTATTTCCGAGTATTCGGCGGCCTGGCAAAAGAGTACCACTCTCTCTGTTCACGCTCCTCAATTCGCGCACTCTTTTGTTCGTAAAGATCGTTGAATATCTTAGCTGCATTTGGAAAGCTGAAGCTAAAAATTTGTTGGCTAGTTGATTTTTCTACTAGACAGATCATGCGTGTAAAATTCGAGGGAAATCGGAGCTTATCGCTTCGAGCAATTCACCCTTTTTGTCATTGTCATTGAATGAAAGACTGCGCAAATTTCGTACCAACTCACCTCTTTAATCAAATCCTCAATCTCCTGATCCGAAATGTTCTGTCCCAGGCTCATAATGGCCTCTTTTAATTCCTCGTTTCCAATGGCTCCACTTCCATCCGCATCGAACATATCAAATAATTGCCGAAACTCGTCCATTTCGGCGTCGTAAAGATGACTTTCCGGAGGAGGCAGATCCTTAACTTCTTCCCCGCTGACGGAGCCATTCGTGAGGGGAGCGGTGGTCAAAGCCGACACCCGCGCTTTCCGCCGCATGTTCTTGGAAGCCGAGTCGATGATTGGGAAAATTGTGGCCGAGGAATGAGAAGTTGCGGCTGAAATTGTCGCGAAATTTAGTGATTTAATGATGCCCGATGCGAGAGGAACGCGTCAAGAGGTCAGGTTATAAAAAATTTTTGTTAAAATTTTTGATGACAATTGGGGGTGAAGTTTGTGAAGCGTATTTTACTTTACTTTAGGACTAATTGAGGCCATTGTTTGCCTGAAAATCTTCAAAAAAATTGGCCTAAGAAGTCGTCGAAATGCATCTTTCTATATTTTTGGGAGAAACATTGCTAAAGAACGCTTCTTTCTCTGCCACTCTCCGCACCTTTGGCGTACTCATTCGCCGAAAAAAATCGTTGAATTTCTTGACTGCCTTTGCAAGATGCGAAATAAAATTTACAAGAATTGACGTGTGGCCCAGACACAAGCAGCAAGCAAGTTTTATTTCTAGAAAATATCCGTAATAAAGCACTTACATTGTGAGCAAAAAACCTGAAGATTTATGCACTTTTGCCAAATTTAGACAAGAAACTTTCAAAAAAATCTACCTAAGAAGTCCACTTTAAATTTTCAAGCACTTTTAGGCACTTCCTTAAAGGCAAAAAACTTAAAACTTGCGATTTCCACCATTTCTAACTGTTTCCCGGCCACTTATTTGAAAACATATGTGAATATATTTCGAATTGAAGATAAGGCACAAAAAATATTTAATAAAAAGTATTACCATCCATCAAGAATGTAAAATTTTTTATTGTGAGATTTTTGAATTCGGAAATCCTCGAACGCTTGTTTATGTCTGTGAGCTCAAAAATAAGAGATTGTAATAAATAATAAATCCGGGTTCAAAGTAGCCTAAGCCAAGGTCAATGGAAAGGGCCTTTGAGGATATAAGTAAGTGCAAGAAAAAGTCTGACGACTCAGACGGAGTCGTTCTCTAACGGTAATTTAGAGAACGTAGAGAAAGAAAAGAAGCAAGTTCGAGTCTCAAAAAATTAAGATTTTTTTGGAAACTGCGAAAATTTTTAAACGGAATATCTCAGAGTGTGACCATATTCTCCACATTTTGCACATAAATTGCCTCTAGACCAAGTATCAGTTCCTAAAAATTCCAGCTTACCTTTTGCGGGGGCTGCGGAAATATTCAACCATCTTTTCCGACAAGAGTTCAAAACATCCGGTGAGCGGTCAGATAGACATTTTTTGATCATACCTCTGCCAATTTTGAGTGGAAAAAATTGATTTTTGGCACAAATGAAGCTTACACCGTGAGAAATAAGACATCAATTTTTCACCTTCCTACGAGCAAAGAATTGACGATTTTTTTGAAACTTTCTACAGAATAATCTCGGTTGTTTCTTGGGATAAAAATCTGAAATATGCCTTCGAAAAGTCTAATCTAAATTTATGCCAAGTTTTACCAAAATCTACGGCCATTTCGCACGAAAACTGTCGTTGGTCCAGATGACAAGAATGATCTAAACTTGGCCAAAACAACGGTTACTTCCCGTTCCTCTCATCCTCACTACCCTCCTGTCGCCAAGGAATGCTCATAACTGTTGGGAAACCTGAAAACCACAAGTTCCTCGGCTTTCTAACAAGTCAGGAAGCATCCTGAGTAATATTTTGAAACTTTGCGGGCGGAAGAAAAAGGATTAGTGGGCTTTCGGCCGCTCTTCCCTCAGGCGTTTGTTTCGAATCGAGTGTCACTAAACACCTTTTTTTAGGACTTACGATTTGCAGAATGGTTTGGGGTGATGAGTGTCTGAGCTTGGTTTACTGATCGGGTCATGTGGGATAACAGGGTGAAAGGGGAGTTACGGTAACAATTGAAGTTATGATCACTGGTGTGTTGGTTTGATGGGCCGTACTTTGCAAAAGATTTTACAAAATCACGACGTTGAGGTTCTGATGCAGCCTGATACAGAATTGAATAAATTTTTCCGAAGAAACATTAGAGATTTTTAGGCCAAGTTGACGAAAATTCGACAAAACATTGTATAGTTTGATCGCGCTGGGTGGAAAAATACCATTCTGTTTCTCATGTAGTAAACAACAAATTTTCATAAAATCAATTTTCTTCAAGCAAGATAGCCACAAAACTTTTTTCTCTTACCGCTCTCCGCATTTTCGCCTTCTCTCGTCGGCAATGACCGTCAAAAATCTCGGCTAATCCATAAAATTATGAGCTAACATTTCGAGGAATTGTTATGTGGCCTAGGTGCGACGCGTGTGGAAGGTTGAAAGACGATACTCAAGCAAGTACAAGACTTAGGTCAAACTATGTCAAGAGCGCTGAAATTTTCAAGTTGAAGGTTGGCAACTCATCAAAACAAAGCTTTTTCTACTCTGATCTCCTCAATTCTCTTGTCTCAAGGGCGCTTGAATATAAAAAACATACAATTATAAGGACTATTCCAATATTTATATGGCATAAAAATACCCAAAGAGTCCCTACAACCCACATTTTTCTTTTCTCGGACCTCCCATGTGTTGGCCATTAGGACAACTGGCTTTAAAAAGCGGAAATCAAAAGCCCAATGGATCCATGGACGTTAATAAATAATCTTTTCTTAGACTACATGTGTTTGGGATATTTGAAATTGGTAATGGTTACGGGATAATTACGGTGTTATAGGCACATAAAGAGGATTTCTAAAGATAAAAGAGAGAAATAATAGCAATTTTATTTTGTTTAAGATGAAAAATGCTGACTAAAGGTTTAAGAAAAAGCTTTTTTGAGCCTAAGGGCTCCCGATTTTAATTAAAAATTTCCGCTGACCCCTAAAGTATTTCAAAATTTATCCAAAATACGGTATGGTTTCCAGGTATACATAGGTCAATATTAGTCTTAAATGGCAGCGGAACCCCCTTTTGGCAGACGTATCTTGTCCCTCGCATCCGGTTTGACTTATTAATCCTGTTATTTACCGCATGTTGCGTCAAAAAAAGATTAAGTTTTGGTCCCGGCAATAATGAAATATTGATGGTTGTTTACAAAGTCGGCTGCATCTTGGGGAATCAGCAAAAACGTACGAAAATACGCTTCTAGAGACTTCTATAGTACTTTGAATTCGAATAAGGAGAAGAAGGATGTTTCGAAAGGATTTTTGCTGCGTTGGTGGTCTAAAACGTTGTTTTAAGCAAAAAATTGCTTTAAGTGTCCGAATTTTTTTCAAATTTAGCGTATAAATTCTGCGCAAGACGCAAATCAAGCGGGAAAAATTTGACCGTGCTGCTTGCAAAAGCGGCGGGAATACCCAACGGTTTTTGTCGGCGAGAGAGTATGCAAAATTTGGAGAGCGGTCAAAGATTTTTGATGACAAAAAGTTTACTTCCAAACCTTTTGTTTACACTTACATCAATTTTAATCAACATCTAAGGACAAAATGTCGATAAAAGTGTCAAAAGGTATCAAAAGGTATCAAAAAATTATAAAATGATTACAAATCCTTAGAACGCACTAAAATGTCACCTGATTAAATGCTGAATAATTTGAAATCACAAACAGTTTATTTATAATATTATATTATTAAAAACAGGAAACCGGGGAAAATCATAAACATAATACCGTATGATCATCAATATTAAACTTTCTTGGCATCCTTCATCCCCGCATAAAGCGCGATCAGCTTCTTGTCCAGCTTCTCTTCCTTCCTTCGGGCCTTCTCTTCCTTTCTTCGGGCTTTCACAGTCTTCCTCAACTTCTCCCACGCTTCAGCTTTCCTCGCTTCATTCCACGCTTTCTTGTTGGCCTTCAAAACAAGTCGTGGCCTCGAGCCTGAACTTCTCATCGATGGGACAGTTCTAACAACCACTTCCCTTTCATCGCTTGGAGCACCATTGGATCGGGCAAAAGGGTTTCTTGGAGCCATTGTAAGGGATACTTGAGCTGAAAACAGAAGACATTAGTCATGGATAACATAAAAAGGTTCGGCAAAAAATATAAATCGCAAGATTATAGGCGTTAAGCAAATCAAACTTGCTGTTGACACGGTCACGACACCTCTGGCGGACTAAAAATATCCCAGCATCAGCAAATTACATCTTTCTGCGTGACCTTTGAATTTTTTTCTGCAATTATTGTGTGGTGTAATTTTCTGCATTTAGGCTGGCAGTACAGTTGCGTCATTGCATGGAGTCTTTTCTGCTAACTGGAAGTTAGTGTTTCAAAAAATTTCTGCGATGAGGAAGAGAAAACTTCGATTACATTATACTTGATGCTGATATTTAAAGATGATATTTAAAAGTTAATTTTTCTTGTACTGGACTTGAAAGAAGAGACTTTTAAAGTGATGTGACAATTATCTATTCCATATTAATTTTTTCATTAACTTCTGGCTCTGATAACACAGTAAATTACCGTTTCCGATAAATCTTTGACACTTCGTCACAATCGAAAAAATTGTGACATTTCGTCGCGCGCTTTTTTTTCTTTCTGCCCATCTTTCTCTCAACTCCGGACTCGTTAGTTTCAGCGTGTAATTGAGGAAGGACCTATCAAACATGGCTCAACTCTCTGGTGCCGAGTATCTGGCCTCCATTTATGGTACCGAGAAGGATAAGGTTTGTTAATTTAGGTGTTTTCTCTGGCCGAGAACGGCTTGGATCTCGATCCTCCCGCATTTTAGATACGTACTGCACGTACAAATGGTGCTCATTTGGAGTTGCTCAGAAATTTTATGGGATTTTGCGTTTTTTATATTACTTTAGAGAATTTCAGCGTTTTCAGATGGTTTTAGGTTTTTGCCACGGATTTTTTTAGATTTTAGGGCGACTTGGTCTAAATTAGACAACACAGAGATCTGTCCTTGTGTGTAAGTGCTCAAGGGACTGCAGGGTGGGGGAAATTTCAGGGTCAAGTCGGTTGTTTGCATACAGGTTATAACTTCTTATTATTTTAGGTAAATTGCTCGTTTTACTTTAAAATTGGAGCCTGCCGACATGGAGATAAGTGCTCGAGAACTCACAACATGCCTACCTTCTCCCAAACGGTTCTTCTGAAGAACCTGTACCACAATCCGGTCATTGACATGAGACAAGCTGATGCCTTTTCTAAAGTAAGCTAATTTTATTAATTTTTATTCTGTTTTTAGGTTGGTCAAGCTAACACGGAGGAGCAAAAGTTCTTTGATGATTTCTTTGAAGAAATCTTTATGGAGATTGATGAAAAGTACGGAAGAATTGAAGAAATGAATGTCTGTGATAACATTGGAGAACATATGATTGGTAATGTCTATGTCAAGTTTTATAGAGAAGAAGATGCCGAGAAGTGTGTCAAGGGGCTGGAGAATAGATGGTGGGTTATTTTCCTTATTTTTGTTTTGAAATTTAGACAGGTTTCCAAACATTATACATGATGAAGCAGAAAAAACGATAATATTTTTCTTTTAGGTTTAATGGAGAACCAATCTATGCCGAACTTTCTCCGGTTACCGACTTCCGAGAAGCCTGCTGTCGTCAGTACGAGTTGGGTGGTTGCCAGAAGGGAGCTTTCTGCAATTTCATGCATCTGAAACCCATTTCTCGCGACCTCAGAAGGCGCCTTTATGGTAACCGTGCTCGTTCTCCACCCCGCGGAGGTGGTGGTGGCGGTCGCCGGGGCGGCGGTGGACCTCCAAGACGTGACGACTATGGCGGCGGTGGTGGCCGCAGACGTTCCAGATCTCCTCGGCGGCGATATTAATGTTATATAATCCTTGGGGAAACCCGATCTTAATTTTTATTAACTCAATGAACTGAAATTCCGGATATGACTTTTGTTTTTCGAATTTTATTTTATTCTTTGGTTGGATTATGCAAATTTATGAAATCTTTGGAAAGACTCGAGATTTCGAAGCCATTCCGGCTTCGGCACGCGCGGCGAACGGTCGCTCCCCTCCTCCACTGATCCCAACTGATGCTGAGCCAAGTGTGCCAACTTGTTAATCCATTCATCCCCACTACAAGGTAAAATTTTGTATGGTAGATGTGTAAAACAAGGTTTTTCTTGGGGTTGGGAATATGTTTCGGTTATATTGCGGTAAATCATAGGTTCTCTCCCATTTCCAGTCCTTCCGCCATGCCTTCGATCCGCTCCCTGGCCCAGACCACCACCGGTCTCCCGAATCTGGAGAGAATTCTTCAGACCGTCCCCACCACCACCCCATCCCCTCAAAAGGTCCTGGATTCGGCGATCAAGGAGGGTGTGAAGCAGGCCGTCGGTGGGGGAATGGGCCCTGTGGGATGGGTGCTGATGTTCCTGCTCTCGGTCCTCGCCATTTTCTGCCTGTTGATCGGGGCGTACGCTCTTTACGATGAGAAGTGCAGGAGTAATGAAGTGATGAGTAAGTTGGAGCATTTTACGGTTGTACTGCTCTTAATTTTAGAGCAGAATGTTTGCATCCAGACCACCACTGACTCGGGTCCTTTCCGCAATCTCCACGCCTTGAACCGTCGCCGGCGTCTGGACAGCAGTCATGTCTAAAGTTTCAAATACTGACAATAAATTTTTTACCAACAAGAATTGATCGTAATTTGAGAAAAGGGAGGGTCTATAATGTGTGTATTGCCTTGGCAAAGGTAGGGCAAGAGGGGATAAATGAAGAACTTTTTCTGGGGAAAAATTGTCAAAATGTTACAGTACACTGAAAATTAAAAATATTGTCGGTTTTTTGGCATCCCTTTTTCAAAAATGGCGCCTAGCCACAATTTCTTTGATTTTTGTCAACAAAAATTGTCAGCATTATATTACACTAGGCGAAAAAACCTCCAAAGAAAGTTGAGGAAACCACTGCTTTTTGCTCAGCTGATCCTCTGAGCCTAATAAATTATCCGAAAAAAACAATTGTTTATTATTCGGTGATATCAGAAATTTCCTCAGGCCGATAAAGAGATAAATATTTTGAGCCAATTTCCGTTTTTTGCTTCTTTTTTCTGCAGTTCTTATAATGCCCAAGGCGCTATTTGTATTTTTATTGCTTTGTAATTGCATTCTGGGAAAGGATTTGCTTGTTTGTAAGTAAATTTTGATTCTAATGTCTATTACAATATAATTTTTTCTTAGATTTCGAAAATCTCGAGGTGGGATGCTTTCCTCCGAGTTTGGAAGACAAGAAGAAACATTTTCTGATGCTTGCGAATCCAAGATTACAATGGAAACCTAATGCAAATGTTGCTGATGGGACCTTTACCTTCAGATTCAATCCGAATAACGGAGAACTCACGGAGAGCACAGAAATTGAGTATAAAATTGCTGTGGAGAAGTTGAAGAAGGCCTTGCCCAATCTTCGAATCATCAACTTTCAAGGCGTTTTGATTCAAGGAGGAATGGGGGCGGATGATGTGAGATTTTCGTTACAGTAATCTGAGCTGGCACTTACCGTGAGACTTCATAAACAGTGACACCCTTGCTTTAATAAAAGGCCAAACAGAAGTAAAAAGTTATTTTATCCACGCGAATTTGGCAGAGATACAGACAAAACGCGATTTTCTCTTTGAACGCTCTCCTCATTTGGCGTACTCTTTCGGTGAAAAGACCGATGAATATCCCGGCTGTCCCCGTAGATTGCAAGCTAAAATTTTCAGAAGTTAATATATGGTCTATGCCCAATTCGTATGCAAAATTTAGAGACTATCTGATCATTGGTCTCCGAGCATTACCTTGTTAATTTACAAACGAGGTCTTCAAAGTCCAAAGCTCAGATCTCTCCAATTTTGCAAACATCGTCATTGAATATTTTTACCGCCAATTTAAACGCGTTGAAAATAAAATAAGAGCCGAAATCTATATTTTTTTCAGTTTGTGAAATGGTCCCACCGAACATACCATCAGGTCTTCAACCACGCCCAAAATCTTGTCCCTCTCTGCCAAACTCGTGGCTACACTGTTCCTCGTTTCTTTTTCACTGTAATAATTCCTCGCCAAATGTGCGAAGCCCACAGTACGCCAAGCACAGACGGTTGCCAATGGCTTTACCAGCGATTACTCCCTGAATTTCACGACGAACGACGTTATGTCATCCCAGAAGAAGAGACCTTATTTACGATCAGTCAGCATCTGAATGGAAGTAATATTCAGTTTATGATTGCGTTCTGAATAAAGCAGTTTTTACAAAGCTTTGTTCGAATGATAAGCACCACTTGGAGGATTAATCATCATAGCCAATTGGGGCAACATCAAAGTGAATTTGTTCAGTCACAGTCAGAGGGGAGCGCAAGAACTTGGAGATCAGTGAGTGCCTAAAAGTTTCATGTTTTGTCATAAAGAGTAGTCGTGATCGGAGAAATACGGTTTGAGGAGGGCATGTTTCTAGGGTCGGGCCAAGGAATCGAACACAAAAGTGACGCTCAGATTTTCTTAACATTCTGCACACATGTAGGTCGTCTTGATGGCTAAAAGTTTTATCTTGCGCTTTGCAGGCATAGCCGAGATTTTGGACGATCCTTACGGCCGGAAGAGTACACAAAACGCGAGGACGGGCTGATTCTCTCCGGTAAAAAGAGGCATTGAACGTTCCATGACAAAATTCTCAAAAAAACGGTATTTTTTGGCCAGCTTTTGACCTAAAAATATGGGTCATTGTTGCATAACGCGTTATTGCATCACATATGCATTAGAAAAACATTGTTTTAAATTTGCACCAAGTTCCATTCAAATCCGATCGTCGAACTTGGAGTAATTCCCCTCTCAGCCAAAGAAACCACTTACCCCGCCGATTCGGTCAAATAAAATTTGATTTCGTCGGTTGAAACCTTGGTCTGGGCGGGATGAACTGCCGTGAAACCAAAGAAAAAGTTTATATAGGGTTTTGACGACCTTAGGACGGGAAACAACGGTACGTCATTCAAGTATTTTGCTTGGAGCAGTTCACTGAAAGAATCTTTCAAATTTGATGACTAAAAATTAAAAAAAAAATATAATAAAATAAAAGTGACTTGCGTTCCATCCAATCGCCGCTTCACCTTCATGGGCGATCTTTCTTTATCGTTCCTTCCGACTGGACTTCGAAACTCAGCCGACATAAAATATTTTCCTTGAGCTATGCCATTGCCGGAGTAGATATAAAAATGATTTCCGTCGGAGTATGAGGTGGATTTAAGTGGTTCTCTCCGGTCGTCCAATAGCAGTATCTGTGTAATGTTCATTTCCGTCCCTTTAATAAGTCCGATCGTACGGCAATCAGTTTCAACGTTGAAAAAATATGAAACCACTCCAGTGTAAATGTCGGCGTATTTGCCTGAAATTTCAGTTACAGTGAATTCTCTATACAACGAAGGCTAAATATAACGAAAAATTTCAGAGGTAGCGGTCCATTTTTAGGGCAAAATGGATGTCCGTACGACGAAGCCCTTCTATTGCAAACACATTTTTTAGAACCTTGGTATTTTTTGTCGAATAAACTTACTCTCGCCAGCACCTGGATTCGCATTGACCGGGTTGACAAACAGCTGAATATAGTACAATTTGTAATCTAAGAGAGGATAAAAAACGGATTACAATCTACCGCAGTCGTCGGATCTTGATGGGGCTCTATTGGGCAAACCGGCACAAAGTAAGTCAGCCGAGCAGCAGAGAAGAACGGCTATTATGAATGGAAGGACCATTTTTAAAACTAATCACCATAACTGTTGGAAGGCGCTTCTATTTCAACGAAGGTTCTAAAAAAAGCTCCCAGGCAGATTTTGTCGGGTAAAACAAAGTTTAAACAATGAATCAGGCAATGTGAAACAGAGATAGAATGGGAAAGAGTTGTCCCAAGCTTTTTGTTGTTCTTGGAAACATTTTTCAGCTTCAGGAAGGCTAGGCAACGAAAACTACGCTAAAAATAATTAAAATGTGAATACGACCGTTAAGATTTCCTAAGCGCATAAACAAGCCTAATGCCTAATCCTAACTCTGAGCTATACCTCATTGTGTTGTGCTATGCAGCACCCAAATGTTTAGTAGTTTAGTCATTTGAAGGTTGAGTCTCTATACCCGTATAAAAGAAGTCTTTGACGTGGGGGCAAATTACAAAATTTAGGCTCAAGGAGATGTGAGATCCAATAGAAGTTAATTAAATAAATAGTTTATTCGATCCTACGTTCTTCTTGATTACTATACAAGGAAATGATAGATCGGCGCGGTTTCTGAGCGGGTTCGAAGATCTCGGCTTCCGATTCTAGCGACGGCTGCCGGCTGGAGTTGACGCGGAGTTCAGGTTGTAAGTACGGTTTCGGGTCACTGAAAACAGTGGTTTTATTCTGGGAGATTTACCAGGAAAAGTCGTCAAAATTGAGTATATATTTTGTACTAACTCTGAGTTAAAAAAATGTAAAAAGTTTTAAAAAACGGCATGTAAAGCGAAAGATGAGAATTGGCAAAAACGCTGGTGTATCTGCTTATAAAGCAAGCAAAATAAGCGCCGAAAATTTTCTACAAACACTGCTCACGGTTGGGAAAAGACATCACGAGTGAAATAAGTGCAATGTGCTGGGGAAGAGTCCGACGAACTACCTGGCAATTTGTCCTTATACCATAGGACCACGAATATCAACAGTCCAATCAAAACGGTGGCTCTGAAGATGGGTTGTTTCGAGTTGAAATGTCTAAAATGCAGCGACTTACGTTGCAATCAGGCTTATAATCAACAGCTTATTGCTGGCAAATACGAACAAATTATTGACCTCTTCAGAAGATTCAATGTGGTATGTGGCGTCGGGGTCCTAAATAGGCTATTTCTCTGAGATTTAGTAGAGATTGGGACATAGATTCACTACTCAGTAAAATTTCTTAAGTGCAATGCTCAGATTTTCTTCAAATTTTGCCTGATTATCGGGGCTAGGTCAAATATCAAGTGCTAAAAATAGTAGCTCGCTCCTGCAAGCGCAGCCGAGATATTCAAACATCTTTCCCGCTGAGAGAGTGCGCGGGATTCGGAGAGCGGCCATTAAAACGCGTTTCGGGGTTCCCCACGCCAATCTCGCGCGGAGAAAATTCATTTTTTTGTAGAATTTGCTTAATATACGGGTCATTTTTCATATCTATAAACTCACGTTAAAATTACAAATTTTCGCCAGCTGTTAAGCCAAGGATTTCACCTTTTTTCGGGCTAGAAAATCTCGCTTTTGACATAGAAAAAATAAACTCAAATCTGATCAACGCACTTCAAGCGCCTTCCCTGCTAACCTGTAACCAATTTGACCGGCAAAGTTCAAATCTTTTCCAATTTCTAACTACCGAAAAAATCACAAATTGATCTTACCAATAAAACCTTGACATTGCATCCATTCTTGCTGTTGATCATTCGAATTTTTGCCTTGGGCTCTTCTTGAGTATCTGCCGCTGCCAGAACGCAACTTGAATTTTGCTGGAATCCCTTGCTTCCTCCCTTTATCTTCAAAGTTTTATTTCTCAATTCCAGTTCCACTTTGTTTCCAGAGATCACGTTGTTCACATCTAAGAAACTATGAAGACAAAGAGAACTATCATTTACCTTTGTTTACAACCAGCACAACTCCGCCGGGAATGTCGGCCTTGGCTATGTCGGCTATCGTACAGTTGTCTAATTGAAGCTGGAAACTAAAAACATATGGATAAGATATGTTTCTCGTCATTGTACAGTCACAGGAGATGCTAAGACTGCGGAGTTCTGATTTGAATCAACTACGCACAGATTTCAAAAAATTGCTTTTTGTGGTACATCTAGAGACTTCTAACTCCTAAATTTACTGCGACGCTCAGATTTTCCTCAAATTTTGCACACACGTTAGGAATAGGCTAGATGAAAATTTCTGAAAGTTTTAGGTTCCGCTTAGCGGATGCAGCTGAGATATTGAACTCTCCTTGCCACCGAGAGAGAATGCAAAATGCGGAGTGCGGTTGGAGAGAAGAACACTTTTCAACCATATTTTTGCCAGTTTTGTGCCGATAAACTAATTTTTTGTGGAAACACTACCTGCTATGGAAATAATAGAGGCATGAGACTTCGCATGAAAAAAATCGAAAGAGATTGTCACCTTTTTTCCAAACTTTCGACCTAAAAATCTTGGTCGTTTCTAAAAAACGCGAGCAAGGAGTCCGCACATGCCCTAGAGAAAAGCATCTTACAAGGGAAGTCACTTTTTTGTTGCTTCCCTTGATTTTGTTCCTATTTTTATCAAAATCCGAGTCGCACTTGGAGTGCTTCCTCTTTAAGTTCGAAATTTTGAAAAAATCTGCTATGGAGTCATCCGAAATTTATTGGCAATGCTTACTTTACGTCTCCCTTGCATTTCTCATCAATCCCAAAGTCCAATGAGGTATAAAAGTTCTCCATGGAATTAAATTTCACATTGAAAGAAGTATCTGAGCAGGCAGCATTGATTTCACTGAAAATTGAGTAATCACACATTCCGAAAACATCTATGCTTTCAATCAACCAGTGTAAAACTCACATCGGATGGACCGAAAAGTTCTTCGGCGCACAATCTTCATTATCCTCCGCTGCAGTGCAAAAATAACTCAAAGAAGCGATAAAAATGGCGTAGAACAAAGGGAAGTGCATATTCGGAGGAATGGCAGGAACAAAATCAAGCTGAAAACAAAGGAGTTTTGTAGATTGTAACCTCCGACCTGAGCCGAATTCAAATATTTCAATTTGATGAATCCATTGTTTTGGGGAGATCAAACAAAGCCGCTAAATAAACATTGGGAGATAGCGGAAGAGAGGGTACATCTGCGCTTACAATCGCGGCTTCTAGACAGAGATATGACAATTTTTATAAAAGTTTAACAAGAATGTAAAATACGCTTCAATATGAGTTTGTTGTCAACTTTTTACAATGACTTTTTTTAGCAAAATTTTGATGAAAAACAAGAAAATTGTAAAAAAAATTAAAAGATCAGTCGCAAAATAAATTAAAGCTTTACAAAACCCAAACGCAACGGCCAAAAAATTTGTTATAGAAAGGTTTTGTTGTACGGTGTTTTATTTTGCCCTAAAATTTACTCTTACGACCGTTGCAACTGTTTGTTATAGACAAGGTTCGATGTTTTTGGACTTGAATACATTCTATTCTAATCTTCCCCAAATAAAAATATTTCGAAAACCCGAAGTCAAACTGGTGACTATTCTTCCCATCTGACCCATCATGAATATTTCCCCTAATTTTATTATGGCCAGGTCGTTTTGAATATCAATGAAAACCTCTTAGCAAGCCTCAAAGGGGTAGAACATATGTTTCCAAAAATAATGCAGAATTACGCGTATTTTACATTGGTGGGTTTTTTCAGCCTGCCGAAACATGGCAACAGTACATGTAAAATTTCTACCACTTTATGAGCGCTTTATGTTAACGTAAATTTCAGACTTTTTAAAAATTTTGCAAGCTTTGAACTTACTGCTATGCATGGCCTAAATGTTGTTGCTTGCAACTTGATTTTCAACGGTCTTTTGTAGCGAGAAATCACGCAAATAAGGAGACTCGATGAGCCGAAATGTTTTGTTTTGAGACACACATAATTTTCTCTGATGATCTTCCCGAAATTTCCGAAACAAAAACATTTTTTGCATATTTATTTTACAGCTTGACTAAAATCTTTGCTGGACTGTATCCCATGTTATACTGATCTCATTTTGGTCCCGTCCACGCTTTCACCATCAGCATTAGACACAGGGATCACTAATCATTTTGCCCCAAACATATTCAGAGATTAACGCAGCAACTATATGTGGTTTGTAAATACGTTTTGGTATGAGTAATCACTGCATTCGAGATCATTTCACAAGTTTCGGGGGCTGTATTTACCATGTAAATAGCTCGAGTATTTAAAGTGCGGATTGTTTGTAGATTTGGCAGATCATTTCTGTTCTTTTTTTCTGAAATTCGATGGAGAAATGAGTTGGAAACTTGTGATTGTACTTGTCTTTGTAAACACGGCAGCTCAAAACATCACTGAAGAAGAGAATATAGTCGTCTTTGGCAATGGATGCACGGTGATTGTAAGTTTAAAACGTGCCGGAAAGATTGATTACATATGTAGAATGACGTCGTTCATGAGTGCGATGGCTCCAATCATACGCTGACTGATAAGGAAAGGAAGGATATTGAAAAATGGAACAATGGGTTTCAGGACTATATCCAGAAACTGGTAAGCAATCACGGGTATTGAACAACCTTATTAAAAGTCCTAAAGCTTTTGATGTCATACATTATACATACTAATGAGGTGAATAATTTGTATTATTTACTAAAAGGGCAGTCTTTTTCAGTCGGGCCATTTCGACTCTCCCAAAGTTTTGAATACATGTTTTTCAAAGTTCAAAGAATGTTCCCTACAATTATTAACTCGCGCTTTCCCACAGCCACCGGGATATTCAACGACATGATTTCGGAGAGCATGCGAAGTGCGCTCGTCCCGACTTTCCGGGTCGACCACAGTTCGGGCCAACACAAAACCGATTGGTACGGGGCGTAGGCAGGCGGATACCCAAAAAGGGTTTAGGAAGTGCCTACGAGGCCTGGTAAAGCCGTTGGATCGTCTGCGAAAGCTCAGCAAAGGCTCGACGAAAGCTTGGCAAAGGCTTCCAATATCACCACTTTTTCTAATTTTAGTTATTGCTAACGTTAGTTTTGTTTATCCTGAGTTATTGTAACGTATTAAAGGTCAAAATTTGCGGCAAAAAACAAAGCTCTGTAGCTTTTATCTAGCTATTATCGATGTGGGTAAATGTCAAACACCTCAAAATAGGTGATAAGCTATCCTAGGACCAGATGAATCTTGTTATTTCTACTAACTGAGCCTTTTCCTAGCCTCCCCTTGCATACAACGACGAACCGGCGCGATCCATATATTGTTGAGCCGAACTGTCGCTGACTCGGAAAGTCGTAGCGTATTTTTTTCGTTTTTGATTGAAATTTTAGATGAAGTATTATTTTCCGCTACGAACCGGCTATTTTCAAACCAAAAGTTAAAAAAACAAAACTTTTTTTAAAAACAGCAAATGTTTTTTATCGGACAAAGCAAAGCGCCTTTCTTTATTTTTCCTTAGGATTCCCGGTTTCGAAAGGTCAGGCACAGTTACGGTATATTTTGTTTGCAAAAATAAAATTTTTCCGAGCAGAAGAAAAAACATATGGCGGAAAGCCTCTTACATCTAGCTGATTCACCTAATTCGTGCGTTCTCTTGCAAGGAAGACCTTAAATAGTATGGTATTATCCTGCTTGCAAAAAAATTGTTTGTGCCTCGAATTTGGATCTCTTGCAAAAAAATTTGGAGAATACAAATACCCTGCCTTAAAGATCTCGTCGTTAGACAATTCAAAATTTCAGTTTCCTCCTGGCTTTCCCTTCGCACCGCCTCAGAATCCCGGCACACCGCCGACTCCAGTAACTCCGTGCAAAATAACTTGCCCCGCTTCGAAAACCGCCCATAAATTGAACGGCGATCAGGCCAATTTTAGCATTCCGGATGTTTTTGGTGACGATTTTCTAGAATGAATGTTGTAATAAATTCTGCTTTATATCTGAGACTTTTGCTGTTACAAACTCCACGTGAAGAGGCGTAAAATGCTGTGCCGACACGTTCAATGCGGTGACATTCCAATTCAAATGTTTTTTTGTCTGTCGCCTTGGAAACAGATGAAACATTTGGCCGCATAAACAAAAACATGTCTGAAAACGTTGGACGAAAAGATTTGCATAAAAAGGGCAGGCCGCAACGACTTCAGACCAAAATTTTTGTACAGGGAAGTTGTTATAAAGCAAATTTTTTTGTCTTTTTCTTCGTATTTGTGAAAAGTCTGTTAACCGAAGGCAATGTTCTAGATAAACAAATTCGAAATTGAAGCTTTGAAGTTACAGTATGCCCGATCTTCTAAGGTTTTTGCAATTTGCTTGCAAATGTAAAGTTTTAAGATATATTTTAATGCCATATATCATCACAGTGCTTGATACTTTTTTTTGTGTCTCATAAACAATAATCGTCATTTTTTGAGTTATGGCATTAGTTTATAACGACTTCAAGGAGACCGATAAGGTCCTATCAAGAGTTGTAAAACTCTGAAGTTAATCAGTTATGTTCGAAAAGCGAAAGTTCCTGAGATTCTCGTCGAACGTTGAGGTTTTTGACCAAAAAATCATTCATAATTTGTTTAGAAAAGTAAAAATTGTTGTCAATTTACAAATATATTACAAATCCGTGTCTGGAAAATTTTGTCCATCTATTCGTTTTGTGGTTAAAAACATCATATGCCGTCGGAAGGCCTTTACTTTTGTGACAGGTAACATTACCGGCGCAAATTTCAACCCAAAAGCCATCTAAATAAGTCAACAACTTCTACTTTCGTTTTTCTAAACGATCTATAAAAAATTTTTGGCCAGAACTCACGTCATTCGTGAAGAAACTCAAGAAATTTTACTTCCTTTCTGAGCTCGACCGATTTACCAACTGACTTGATCGGTCCGTGCGCTCAAATTTTGGATTCACGCCGGCTAAACAAGCAATAGAAATAAAATATTTACATTGGTTTCAAACACTCTCGGCTTAATGGTCATTGACCTCTACCGGCTGGATATGAACTTTTCGGAGTCTTTGAAGTCGCTAGAAATTGATGACATAACTCAAAGTTTTGTCATAAATTTTTGACATAACTCAAAAATCATGAGCTCGTTTCTCGAAATACCCAATAAAAAACAAATGTTTTTGGATGGCCAAGGTGTTCCATCATAAAATGAAAAAAATATTTTGCCCTTCTTCCGCCCAAAACTATCATAAATTTTAATTTTTTCCTCTATTTTCGACAATTTCCCCCTTAAATTATACATATACGTACTTTCCTTGCTTCACGCTTCAGTTCAGCTCTTCTTGTTTTGCCCCTCGCTTCTTTTAAAGTTTTCCCCCCACTGTTTTTGAATATATTTCCCCTGCGGTCCGCTCTCTTTTTCCGTTCACGAGGTCAGAGCTTTCTCTTCTCTTTCGCGTTTCGCGGGGGCATCACTCTTTATAAGCGCACATTTCCCCCCGATTCCACTTTTTTCGCTCTTTTTCTATGCAAAAAACAAATTTGACGTGAATGGAGAGCGCTGTGGCCCTCGCTGTGTTCCTAGTTTGTTGTTTACAACTGATTTTTTCTGACAATACTTTTATTTTTTACTTTTTTTAATGAAAATCCGCTAGAGTTGACGGCTTTTTGAGGGCTTATTAGGGGTTGTTTTACAGCCCCATGCTCCGGAATTTACTCGTTTCTTGTCCAAGAGCGCTTGTGGCATGTTTATTACTCATTTTACGCTTTCGCCTCGAGGGGTTTAGAGCGTTTGACTTAATATTTGAGGAATTTATATATTTTTTGGACGGAAAATCAAGTCAACTGCAATGACAGGCATTTTCCGGCTAAAACAAGTTTTGAAATCAATTCGCAAATTAAATTTTTGTCTTAAGTATCCATATTAATCTCGATTTTGGCCCGTTTTGGCACTTTTTAATCACATTTTGAAGTAAAAAAACTTAAAATAAGGCTAACATGTACCCATCAATATAATTTTTAGTTGGTTTGTGGTCCCGAGAGTTCATCTTTCAGCAGCATTTCTTGCAGACTTGCCCATTATAAGAGTTCATTTCTCTATTTTCCCCAACAAAAACTTGCAAAGAATGGGCAAGAAAGTGCATTTCCAATGGTGATAACAACACTTTTGAGGCTCATAAATCTTTCTCGGGTTCATCCGAACCAAATTATGACACATCGGGAATTCATTTTTTTCTTTGATGACACATGGGTCATGTGCAATATAATTATTTTTTACAAATAAGCCTTCATAATAGACCGATTCCTCCGTAAGACGGAGCTCATTAGGCCCGCCAGGCGTTGAAAAAGATACAATTTCCTATCTTTGATGACAAAAATTATATTGTTCTTGACTATTCGGTCCGTTTCAATAAAAATTGCATATAATACGCCATGTCATCGGTTTATAATGGGATTAGCCGTTTTAAAATAAAGTGAGGGGATTTGTCAAACGTTTTAATTTCCCTGTTCGACTTTGTAATTGGCCTTTTGGACTGATTTTTTATGCACTGTGCAGTGATGAGAAGAGAAATTTGGGAATTTCTTGATGTTAGACAACCGGAATTTGATGAAGGCTCAGTGTATATGGATTATTTTTAAGACATCTGCGAGATCTCCAGCCCGAACTTTCTGTCTGTATCACCTATAGGTTCCCTGACAAAAAATTGTCAACATTTTTTTTGCAATTTAGGCTTGATAAATGTAGGCTTAATTACTATGAGGTGTATAATCTTACTGCAGAAAAATCAGTTTTTCAAAAAGAGATATAGGCGAAACACGTGTTTTGTCTGACCGACTCTCTTCATTTCGCGCGCTCTCTCGCAAAAAAGCCAATATATTAGCTGCAGCGGAAAAAGGCGAGCTGCAATTTTCAGCGATTTATTTATGGCAACTCCAGAAGCTGTAGGCAAATTTTTGAGCAAATATAATGGAATTTTTGTTTTATATTACACTTGACACTAATGAAAATCCGCATCAAAACAAGCAACAAATTCGGTGAACTGCCGGGGGAAACATTCCTTTCTGTTCATGATTCGAATTACATTCTTAATAGCGCTGATAAATTCAATGAATTTCAGCAAAAAAATGTTTTTTCTCGAGGCCAAAAACAATTTCCCCTATTGTTTGAGCTGTTTTTATCCCGGAAAAAGTACTTTTTCGCTACGTAAGCAGGAAAGAGAAACCAGAAGTGGTTGTTTTTGTAGCGTTTTGCCGTCCTTTCTCTTTGCATCGAGGGTTTATAGTAATAATTTAGGCTATAATTTCACTCGAAAATTAGTATATTTTCTCCAAATTTTGGTGATTTTTCGCAATTTTGCCAAGGAACGGGATTAAAAACGAGTTCAACGCGGGTGGTTCGTTCTTCCCAAAACAGTCTTCATCTCCAAATTACTTTCGCCTGCCAGTTTTACTTCGATTCCGGGCGAAAGCGCACAGTGCCATCTCTTTTGAAATGGCTGTTTACTGGAAACTTTGTTGAGTCCCAAAAGTGCATCAAAACAGCTATGAATTATTTTGTGCACCCCTTTCTTTTTTTGACCTTGCTTTAATGAGCTCGGAATCCGAAAAAATCAAAAATCTATGGTGGCCTTCCTAAACTATGTAAAGTAATGCACGGAGCTTGTTTTGGATTTTTTTTGGATTATATTATATCAAGGTAAACAGTTAACATTACGTTTCACGTGACAATTTCTACAAAAAACCGATTTTTTCGTACTAGGCGGGCCAAAAAGTCTTGACATGTCTGCACAGTGCGCCGTCGTGCAAACAACTTGTCGCACCGCGACAAGCAAAATTCACGGTGCAATGTGACCCCGCACAGTGCAAAAAGATTGTTTTGAAAAGGGAAAACTAGGCATGGCTCCGGGCCGGGCTTTCCAAAATTTTCCGGCCCGGGCCGGGCCGACTAATTTCCCGGCCCGACCACGGGCTTCGATTTTCAGGCCCGGCCCGGCCCGGGCCGGCCCGGTTTTTTTGAAATCTGATTTTTGCCCGGAAAAAAGGGAAAAAATAAGCTTTTCGATAGAATTTTTCATTTTTTCGAACACAATGCTGATAGCGAACGTAAAGTGACCTTATTTACCACTCGCCCACATAAAAAAATGATTTTCAAGTCAAATTGAAAAACTTTTCAGAAATCCTAAAGTGCGACCTCATAGTTTTATACGCTGGCAAAAAGAGAAAAAAGAAAATTTTTCAAAAATACGCAATACGCTTGTAGGTTTTTTTAAATTCAATAAAAGATCTGTGATAAAATATTTTTGCTAAAATTTGGGTAACTATACGCAAAATTTTATATTTTTTTGTAACCATATGGTAAGACAATTTATGGCGACTTAGTAATTTATAAAAATAGTCAGGCGGCAACTGCACTATGTGTAGGTTTTGCAAAATTATTCTTTACATTTTGCGAAAATGTGCCATAATTTTCCCTTCATTTCTTGCTTTGTTTCTTTCCAGCCTAGTACAAAAATTTTCCGGGCCGAACCGGGCCGGGCTTTCCAAATTTTCCAAGCCCGGGCCCGGGCCGGGCTTGGAGATTTAGGCCCGGCCCGCAGGCCCGGGCCGGGCCGGGCCGGGCTGGCCCGGTTTGCAGCCATGCCTAGGGAAAACAACGCACAGTGCCGTCTTCATTCGCACCCCGCCAAATTTTTATCGCGCGACACCTTGTCGCCGAGTTCATGCGCCCGCACGGTGCAAAAACATGTCAAGACTTTTTGGCCCGCCTGGTAAGGAAATTCCGAAAGAAACAGAGAAAATACGCTTTTCTCTAACCGCTCTTGTCGTTTCGCATGCTCTCTCGTCATCGTTTAATATCTTGGCTCTCTTTCAAAAGAGCGAGCTAAAATTTTGAGAACTTTGTATATGGCTTAGAAAAACCTTATGTGCAAAATTAGAAAAAATTTTGAGTGTCACACTTCAACCCCAATCTTCCCTGTTGACTAAAGTAAGATCCGAAGCATGATTCTTCGACAAGTTAAGATACGAAATGAAAGGTAAAAGACTCCTCATTCTCTTCTACTATCCTCCAAATTTACAATTCCCCCCAGAAAGCAATCGTTTTTCCTCAATTTATATCCAATTTTCAATAATTTCGCACCTAATAAAATCCGATGATTTATCAAAAACCTAATCCCCGTATCAAAAAACGAGATCTCCATGGAAGATAAGGTTGGGCAGGGTGCAACAGACCTTTTACGCACAAAAGAACACATTTATCATCGTTCTTTGAAGCGCGTTTTTTTCGACAAAAAGGCAACTTTTCCATAATTTTGATAGGAACTTTCGAAGGGAAGCTATCATTTGCCGATCTCCTGTCACTTTATTTTTGAAATTTTAATTTTTTTTTTAAATTTAAATTTTACTAACTTTTTACCGTAAAAATTCGTATTGTCATCTAATCCACCTTAAATTTACCTTGCTCTAGAAACATAATTTCTAATCTCAATGCAAATCCAAAATAAATTAATGCCCAAAAACGACCGTAAAATTTACAATCGAACCGTTTCATCGTGTTTTCGAACATCCTTTTACTATAATTGTTTCTAATCCTTTCAGCTCGAGCAAAATGGCCAATTCTGGCGGTTCGGGGAACTTTATCAAGATGGAAATGGGGTAGGTCTTTGGTCCACGGTAACTGAAATTGGGTCGTTTGGAATTTAGGAGAAATTTGGATGCTCTTGGCCAAACTTTTGGGGGTTATGCGACCAAAATTATTTATTATATTATTTTAGTCATCAATTTTTTGATGATTTTTCAAATTTTTTTGGAGAATTTTGGCAAAACACGGGCTGAATTTGACTGCCTTTGATACTACTCGGAGTTTATAATAATAAAAGTTTAAAAATTTGGCAAATTTAATCAAAAAATAAATTGAGTAATGGTATAGTTTAGGCTAAAAATGAAATTTTTTAGCGCCGATATGATGTCAAACCCAAATTACATCCAAAAACCTCAACTCTACAATATGAGCGCTCCTCCAGACCCAATGCAGTACACACAAGCTCAAGCCACCTCGAGTAAGCAGTCATTTAAAAAATACAATTGATTTAGTTGAAAAATTAAAATTATTGAGTCATTTTATCCTAAAAAGCTTAAAAAGTCAACTTTAAAGTGTACAAATGTAGATTTCCAGGCCCATCCACCTCAACCAACCCCTATGCCAACAAATTTGTGATGCCGAAAGCCGCGACGAATAAGGAGTTTGTTGTGAACGCAAAGAATGAAAAGAAGTTGACGGCAGTTCCGAAAAAGTCCTCGCAATTGCCGGCCAATAATTCGGGGCCAATGGGAATTCGTCCGACAAGCGCCGATTCCTGCAATACGATCACTCAATACCTGATGAAGTTTAATGTAGTAAGTGGATATTTCGGAAGATTATTTTCTACAAACGAAAATATTATATGTAATTGAGGAATTTTTATGCTACAAATTTGACACTGTACGACTCAATCATAAGCGGGGTTATTGTATATTTTTCGTATAAAATGGCAACCAACATTTTTACAAAGCTCGGGCGCAGCTCACAAAAGTAGTTTTGCCAAAAAATGTTGCGAATTATTTTCGCACGTAAAATCGCTCTCCTTTCCGCTGTAAAACTCGAATTTTCAGAGTAAAGAAGAGGACTTTTCGAGGAAAGCCATCGAGAGTTTGATCAAGAAGCTCAAAGACAAGCGCGATGAATTGGAAGGATTCATCAACAACATTGCCGGGATGGGAGCCAACGTTGGGAGTTGTGTGACGATCCCGCGAACGTTGGATGGCCGACTTCAAGTGGCGGGTCGGAAGGGCTTCCCGCACGTTGTCTATTGCCGTATCTTCCGCTATCCCGACCTCCACAAGAACGAATTGAAGCACGTGGATTGCTGCACGTATGCGTTCGACTTGAAGAGCGAGCTGGTCTGCGTGAATCCCTATCACTACACTCGGATTGCGAATGCCGCATTGGGGACGCTCGATCTTTCGGCATTGAACATCAGCAACTTGAACGGGGAGAGCCGGCCGAGACCGGGGCCGGGCCGTCCGCCCGGCAGCTCGTATGGGCCGGCAACTGCCATGCAACAACGGATGAAACAGCCAGCTCAACAGCCACCTGCCACACCGTCGAATCAGTCGAATTACCCCACCAAAAATTATAGCCAATATCCGCAAACGCCGAGCTACCAACGAATGCCCATGGATAACAATTATCGTTCTCCCAATCAGTCGTCGGTCCAATACCCCGCCGGATACATGTCGCAGAGGATGGGAAACAGTGGAATGAAGAGCAATGTCAGCCCTAACGCCCCTTCGAGCAGTCTACATACCTCGCCGAATCAAAAAACAACTCCGTCTGGAGATCCGGGCTACAATTTGACTCAAGTATCGCCCTTAAAAAGTAGTAAGTTGAGGGTGAAAAGATAATTTCTTGACTGAAAACTAGTTCAGTTGACTTTTTGGCCGTTGAAAATTTGAATTTCGATTGAATCTAATATTAATTCTTCATATTTTAGATGTGATGCCCTCTCCGACCTTCACCATGACTCAATCAAACTACAACCCTTCCGCTCAGACCTCATACAACGCCGGGTATCCTCAAGTGAGCTCCAGTCAGATGCCAGGGCAATATTCAACCCAAGGCCAGTATTACCCTCATCAATCCTATAATTATCCCTATCCAAGTGACTCCAGTTCTGCACAAAGTCAAGGAGTCACTGGAGGTCAATCAATGGCGCAAGGCCAAGGATTGACTAGAAATTCTCAATCCGGAGGCCCATCAGGACAATCGGCAGCGCAGAAGCCTCAGGGGACACCAGTTACAACTCAAGGAATTGCCAGCCAAATCCCAGCAACTGGTCCGTCCATGACATCGACGACTCATCCTCGCCAAACTAGTCAACAATCCAACCAATCGTATAGCCAAATGACGAGTCAACTGCCTTCCCAGTCCATGCCCAGACCAGTGATGTCCAGTTATCCGATGAACCCGGCCGCCGCCACAATGCAATACCAAAGCCAGCAAGTGTCCTCGGCGCCCGGCTATCAGTCCGGCTACCCGTCGCAGGGCTATGGCCCGAGCCAAATGCAATCCCCCGTCGCCAACCTCCCACCCACCTATCCGCAGCCCAACTATTATCAGCAGTATTTGCAGAATGCGGATCCTTTGCTATATCAGGACGCGGCAAATTATACGCAGCAACAGCAAGCCGATGTGGCCTCGCCGTGTTCGTCGACTGGAGTTCCTCCGGCTCAGTCGAATGAGCCGCCCGAAAAGGAGAAAATGAAACATCCAAGTAAGCAATTGCTTTTTTGGACCTTATTTTAGATTAAAAATGATGAATTTGGTTAATTGAAAGCGTTAAAATTGTTTTGCAGTTGCTTTTTAATGGTGAAAATGAAGTAAATTTAATTTCAGTGGCCACTATCGACGAATTTGACTTGATTTTGCATGCAAAAATTGCGCAATTCCACGCGGAGGACCGGCGAAAGCTGCACGAAGCGCGGAGAATTCATCGTCAAAGGAAACCCCTCAGGGCAGTGAACTCGAACAACCCGGACGCCGAACTCTTCTACGAGCTTCCCCATCGCCGAGACCGCTTCACAGTGACGTTCGACCCTCAGGGCACCCAGTTCCAGAAGTTTAATTACATCAGCGGGAAGACCGCGTTCCTCCAGCCCGAGGCCAAAGAACAGATCTCCAAAAGCTACGGCCAGAGCTGGCTGAGTGTCACTTATGTCGAGTTCAACACTCCCTGTGGGGAGGTGTTCAACGCGCTGAACGAGTATCCGAATGTGATTGTGGATGGGAGTGTGAGGATCAACTCCAATGCAAGGTTCTCCCTGGGGTGCACCTCGAATGGAAATCGGACCGATCTGTCGGCGGACTGTCTGTAAGTTGAGGGGAATCCGAGGAAAGAGATTTGATGGGGCTAGTTTCCTCAGCCTATCTGGTAATTTCTAAATTTCAAATACACAGTATTTTTCACTTTATCTGATGTCCCAAGTTTCAGTGAGCGAATGCGCCGAGGAGTGAAGATAATGCAGAAGAACGAGGGCGATATTTGGCTGGCCTGCATGACTGGTCCAGTCTTCATCCAAAGCACATACCTGGACAACCTGACCGAGCGGCTGGTCGCTGATTGGCCTCACGAATTCGGGGTTGGATGTGTGGTGAAGGTGTTCGATCTGAACGAATATTACGACCGAATCAATCGATGGGCAGAACAACAAAGAGAAGAGGATGCCAGAGGCGACAATGAGTACAATGGACCGGGATCCGACTCGGAAGACGACGATTGCATCAAAAGGGTAAGAGATGGCAAGGATAATATATTTTGGTCGAAAAAAGATGAATTGAACATCGGAATAATGGAATTTTTATTTCAGAAACAGCGTCCGTTGGATGTGGACACACTTCGCGACTGGTTTACGGTCAAACTCTCGTTCTTCCATGGATTTGGATTCCCGTTCTTCAAACGGAAGGTCATCCAAGAATGCCCCTGCTGGATTGAATTACAGTCGCAAGCGTAAGTTTTGGAAAAGAATACTGCTAATTACAGTATGTTCTATCATCTATGCAAAAAACAGCTTGATATCTCTACATTCTCCTACAAAAATTAACTCTGATATTAACCATGCCATATTTTAGGGCCGCTGATCTCTTGGATGGAGTGCTCCGTGAACACGACAATTATATGCGTCAACAGGCAGCAATTGACAACCCATATGGTGCCTACCTCTCCGATTCTCCATCTACGAATTCCCTTTTCTCGGACAACGGCGATGATGATCGACTTCGGCTGAGCGCCGGCGGAGGTGTCCCCAATCTAGAGATTGGCCGAATGTATGATGGCCACAGTCTGGATCGACTGTAGATGGGGTCGGAATTGTTCAAACGTTCTTAGTCTTCAATACTCAGCAGAATTTTATAGAAAAATAGTTTTACACGCAATGATATTAGAGTATCTTCACCATCACCCATCTAGTATAAGGTACTATCAAATTTAAGCAAATTTAACCAAAAAACCATTGAATATCATAGCTAACAGGTTATTAACGAAGTTCTCGGTGTTATCTTACTTTTACAATTTACATTTTATATAGATTTACTCAACGTTGTTAATTTTTTCGAATTTCTAAAACTGAAGAATGGTTCAAATGACTGTTTGGAATTGAAAACCCTTATGCTTTCAGCTGAAAAAATGTTATACATCCTCGAATTAACCGTCTAACCTCATGATCTTATTTGAACTTATGGTCTTGCATATTGTCTATCAAAAATTAATATTAAAGATGTATTTGTGATGAATAAAGTAATTATTGAATCTTTATTGGAATATTCTGAGGTCTTCGAGGGGCAAGGTGCTGAGGTTCCCCATCGAATACGTTAAATTTGCGGATCCAGGAAGTGAATTCAAATAATTTAGGTTATTGAAAGTCTAAATTAATATCCAAAGTTTCCAAACTGTAAACCTGTATTCTATACCAGCTTTTACATCATCTACTAACCTTGTAAGTGTTGATGCAACACTGTTTTACCTCCTTTTCAGCCCAAAAAAAGATTATCTTTGGTCTCAAACAATTTATTCTGGCATGCCAAAAATTTTGGCATTGTGTTCCAACTTATTTTATTTTTGCTGCAATTTTTTATGAACTCTTGACTCATGTTTCATATACAAATAAATGGATGTATTCTTGATCGTTTTTACCCTTTATTTTCAGCTTTTCGAAATGAACAACCACACGGATCCCCCGATACCTCCAACTCCCCTAGTCCCAACGAGAAATGCCTTGAAGGCTGTCCTCATTCTCGGCTTGTTCTTTTCGACTTTTCTCGCCTCAATTGTAAGTTGATTTACGCTTTCTTTTCTTGAATTTAGGTTGAATTGTGGAAGAACCTGCATGAATAACATCCTCTTTTTTTTGTAAATTCATGAATTCTGACCTTGGTTTCTTTTGCAGTCAGCTCTAGTCCTCAAACGAGCCACCGCGTCGGCCAATTCGCCTCGAGCTCAGACGATCTTCTCCATTGTTTCATGTTTTGGTGGAGGGGTCTTCCTCGCCACTTGTTTGATGCATCTTCTTCCCGAATCCATTGAGCAAATCGCCAAAGGCCAAAATCAACTCAAACTCGAGCTCGATTTCCCTCTTCCGGAGTTTTGTATCAGCCTGGGGTTCATGTTTGTGATGTTTGTGGAGCAGGTAAGCTGTTTTTGGTTGTCTTGTTCTTGTTTTTAGGTTGAAATGAATAAAGTGGGGGATCGGAGAACCGGAGTGTAAATATTTTTTGAAACCACCATGAGGAAACGTTAGAAATAGAAAGGAAGGGAGACTTGACACATGAACAAGATGTGTTTCCTCATTGTTTTCAATTCTAGGCGGCCATATTTGCCCATGAACGGCAATGGATTGGAGGGCAATCTCTTCTAGCCCACGAAGATCATGAGGGAGACACTCGGCCGATTGTGGAAGAAGAGCGCCGTTCAGTCGCATCAAGTATAATATCGGATGATCATTTCGAGCATGAAACGCATTCGACTATGAGAGCGGCTTTATTGGTTATGGCCATCTCCCTTCACGCTGTATTCGAAGGATTGTCGGTGGGAATGATTCAGGAAGTGTCGGCATTACTTCAGGTAAAAGATTTTGAAAATGAATTTAAAGCCTTGAATTGAAACAATTTTACTTTTTTTTCAGATTTGCGGAGCTCTTCTCATTCACAAGGTCGTCATCGGCCTCTCGCTGGGTGTACGCCTCGTCCAAAGCAACATGAAGCCGTTTGGCATCGTCCTTTGCTGTATCATTTTCTCCGGACAGGTCGTTGTCGGAGGCTTTCTTGGCCTCGGAATCATGGATATCCTGCGAGGGGAGTCGATTGGCCTCACCAATTTTATCGGCGGCATTCTTCAGGTAAGTTTTGGGGGAGGAAAACGTCGTTCGGAGGACAAAAGATATATTAACAATATATTTAACAAGACCTGTTATAGAAGAGAGAAGAGAATTTCTTTCGGTCAAGTCCCCAATGATGTTATTATTATAAATAATTGTAATTCTAGGCTTTCGCCGCCGGCACCTTCCTCTACATCACTTGCTTCGAGATTCTCCCTCACGAACTGAACAAACCCGGCTATCGGCCGCTAAAGTTACTCTTCCTCTCCGCCGGATTTGCCTTGATCACCTTTTTCATCGCCTACTTCCCGGATGCGGATGATGGAAAATAGAATTTTTAATTGTTCACTCTCTAGTCTAACCTCATATTCTCAAATTTCATCGTATTTTTGGTTGTTTTTGTTTCGTTTTTTAAGATGTTTTTAAGATTTTTATATTCTACTAACTTTTTTACAGATTTCTTTGCTCACTTTTTTTCGAATGGGCATTTTTTGTTCGTGTTGTAACGGGTCTAAACTCACTCCAAAAACCCAGATTTACCCTTTGTAAGGCTGCTTTTTGTGCACTTCCAAAGTATTTCCTTGCCGATGTGATACACAACTGTGTCTTTTTACGTGTACTTCTTTCTTCTCTGTGCAATTTCATATCAATTTACAGTATTTTGATGGCCATAAAGTACCTTTTTCGAATTGAAATCTGTGGTTTGGCAAGTTTTTTATCGGTTTTCCGGCCGAAAAATACCTTCAGTAATATTTTGGAGTACCGTTTTTACTCTTAATACGATGATCCACATAGAAATGGACAGTGTACAGCACCTCACTTAACCTCGGAACACCAATTGGATTCCGCCGAGCTTGTCCAACCACTTTAACCATCCAAAACGGGTACAATTACTGGTCCAACCAGCGAAAACGCGGTTTACATTAACTTCCGGCATGTTTATCTTGATAATATTGATCTCCATTTTGTGTGCGGTCTTCGTTTTATACCAGTAAGTTGGGTTTTCTTTATTTTTGGGGGATTAGAGGGCGAAAATGGGATTGTTTTGGGGAAATTGTGGAGTTTGGAGAAAAACTTTGATGATAAATGGTAAAATACGAGTGTGCGACTGATTTTTATGGATGATTTGGGGGGTGTCATTTAATTTGAAGGACCCCTTGAGTCTAATTCCTCAATTTTTCAGCTATCTCAATAACTTTTTATCCATTTTCCTGGCCCGAATCCTGAAATGCGAGGAATGCCGGCTGTCGGAGATCCAACTCCGACGAATTGGACGGATAAAACTAAGATTCGGGGACTTTACCCTGGACCTGAGCGATGTGAAGCTGTCCTCGAGCTTCTGGAATCCAGAACTCACTAAACCTTTCTATGTTCAAATTGGAGACCTGCGAGTGGAAAAACGGTCAAAAGAAGGGTAAGGTTGCCGAGTTTTGGAGCTGTTGTGGGTTATTTATGTCAAATGGAGTCGGTCTTAATGTACTGTGTTTGTTTTGACATTATCTTGGCTTTAACTTGCTGTTTTGAGCGACTTTTTATGTTACACTTGATATTAATAAAAATTTTTTTATTTCAGCTCTCCCAAGAAGTCGAATGTTCCGGATGTAGCCTCGACAAACCAGTCCAGGTCCGCAGAGTCCCAGAAACTCTCCCGATTATGGCATTGGCTGCAATACTTTGGCTGTCAAGTTGGCTCCGCCCACTTTGCCCTTCTGGATGATCCCTCGGATCTGATGGTCCACTTCTCGGCGGAAAATCTGATATTGGAGACGTTCCGAGATCGCTCCGGCCTCCAATTGGAACTGCAATTTGTTTTGGCTCAGCTGAAACTGTTCAAAAGATCCAATCATAACCATGTTAGCTTAGCCGACATCCAATTAACTGGGCATTTGAGCGTCGATATAGCTGAAACGGAGGGAAGACTGAAGAAAATAGGCATATCAATGAAACAGCCGAAGATTAGCGTGTCTGACAGTAAGTTTTGAAGGATGAATGGGCCTAAACTTATATTAATTTTGGTGGTTTTTTATTGAAATTTGATGGTTTTAATTTTAATTTTTGCCTTTTCAGTACTCTTTGAGTATGTCCTCGAACATCCACAGATTTTCCAACGGAGTTCGGCCAAGAAATCGGGGGATTCAGCCCTCACAAGACTGCTTTCATCCCCTCCAAACATTGAACTTGATCTGACCGACTTTGTTTTTGAATTCCTGGCCGTTCAGACCCCGGAATCGATAAGGACTTTAAGCGTAAATCTGGCGAAGGTCACGGCCGAATTCTCGGCGGCTGATGGAAACGCGGTTGTGAAGTTCAACGACCTCCAAATCACGGATCTTGAAGCGTTCAGTCGATTTGAATGTCATCAGTTCTCATCGGTCCTGAAAAGTCATTCCAAAAGTATTGAGGAAGATGAAGGAGCGAATAAGAAGCCAACTACGGTGGAATTTAAGGCCACCAGACCGAGAATTGAGCTGTACAAGTAAGGGGGATATACTTTTGGTATTATTTTAGTATTTTTTTGCAATTTGAGGGTGGTTTTTGAAACTGAAGAGTCTGAAATGGCCTAAAATTGTAAAATACGAGTGATAAACAAAGTATCAGTCAAATAATCAGCGAAATTTTTTGGAAATTCGCAGTTTCTGACCTTATTTTAGTCATAGGTGGTCAAAATTTTTAAATCCGTGATTTCGACCATATTTCAGACACGACTTGGCATGGTGGATGGATTATTGTCGCAATCAACCTATTGATCAACTAATCTCAGTGTTCAAGAAGGAGAGACAACCAGTAGAAGAGAGTCGTAGCAAGGAATCGACTGAAAGGCCTTCGATCAACCTGAACTTGGAAATCAGCGAATTCCAATGCATTCTGAGGACGAGAAAGGGCGCCCTTTTGTCTGTGGCATCAGATTTGATCGTCTTTGCATCTGATTCGGTAGAGTTTTTTTATTCACTACAAATTTTTTTCATTTTTCGAAAAATTTTGGTGATTTCAAGTTTATGATTTAAAAAAATTTTCGTTTCAGACCTTCAGGAACGCAGAATTTGGAGTTGAATCGTTGTGGTGCCATCGCGGAACGGCCGCCGACTTCCCCACAAGACAGCCGGCCTTTGATCAACATCATTTCGGCACAGTTGTGGCCATGGGAGGTGGTCTAGCACAAATTCAACGGTCGTCCGAAAAGAAAATTCAAGTACATTGCCAACTGGACGAATGCCAATTCGAATGGGAGGAGTCGACAATGCGGCAGATTGTGGAATTCGCGAAATTATTTCGAAGAAAAGAGAATGTGGAGAATGAGGAGGATTTAGAGAAGAAGAAGGAATCGAAAATCGAAATTTTGATTCAAGTATCGGCCAAAAAGTAAGAGTTTTTTGATTGCAGTTTGAGTTTTAGGATCTGGGAAAAGAGTTAGTAGAATTTTGGAGCATAAAATTGACTGTAAATACATTTTTAAGACGATTTTTATATTTTAGGTTAGCTCTTTTCTTCACCGCCAAAAAGTCGGCCTTAATTGCCTTGTGGCTGGAAAGTCTGCGCCTCACAATTGCCGCCCCTGCCCTCAGAATTCACGCAACCGCCTCCAAATGCAAATTGGGAACTGCGCAATTGGACCCGAATTCCCATCGCTCAATACATTGCGAATGGTGGAAGAGCTCAGGAAGAAGTGGCGAACCGAAAGCCAAAAACCATGGCAATTGCGACAAAATTGCATTCAAATACCAGAAAGGCGGCTCATCACTCCCGTCGAAGTTCACTATCGAAGCGGAAGCTGATCTGGACTTGTGCTGGTCCACTTTGGGATATGCAGTGTTGTATGAGGTCATAAAGTAAGATTTTTGAATTTTAATGGGGAGTTGATGCAAAAATAGTACAAAATGAGTGTTATGAGAGTAACTGGGACTCAAGGGAGAGAGTAAAAGAGGCGTTGGTGGTATTAGCGGCATCGAGAAAGAGTTGACACAATTTTTGTGGAGTTGGGTCATGTCTTCCTCTATGCTGGGATTTGGTACGGTACTGATGTGTAATATTAAGTAGTGATTGTTGAGTCCCAGTTTAGGCTTGATCAGGGATTTTACGCTCGTTTTTATCCATGACAGCGTTTTCTTCGCCAAGTTGGAGTAAATCAATATTGTTTTAGTTGAAATATCCACTTTCCAGAAAATCTCGTGAGATGCTCCAAGCATTCAAGTCCTCAAACCCTCCAGAGCCAAGTCCGCCCATGGAGATTCGAATCAAATCAGAATACTCGGTTGAATTGGGCTTCGAACTGCCCAGAGAACATTTCATGAGATGGGTCGTCCCTTCATTGAACTTCCACCGAGCCAATGGAGATATTGCTGTAAATTCCCCAAATTTCATTATCGAATTGGATTCACAGATTATTTTGACAGTTGAGGTAGGATTTTGGAGATATTTTTTATTAAGATGTTATTGTTCGTTTTTGCAGGAGATATCGATCGAGAGACGCCAACTTAACGCAATAATGGACTTGGGACGTAAGGAATTCAAACAACTCGGTTTGAGGACAAATAAATGCTGGTCTTGGTCGGCCCAAGCCCTCCATATTCTGTTCCCTTATCAATTCGACTTTGCAAAAGTATTTGAAGAGGTTCTAAACGCCGTAAAATGGATGAAATTGCTCCACAATGTGCAAAAGAAACCATTCTCGGCGGATTCTCCGTTACCGTCGGACCTGAGGATATCTATAAAGGTAGTGCAATATATTTGATGATTGTTCGGTGAGCCTTGCAAGTCGAATTTTGGGTTGTCTTTAACTGGCATTGTGTGAATACTAAAATCGTTCAAGATGTTGCTTACCGTTATTTTTCGCTTCTTCTAATAAGCAAACGGTTGACTCAAATTGAGTGTCTTCCTCTTACGAAGGATGTTACTTTTTGCGCAAGGTATCTTTCAAACAGGACCGAGTGATCTCAAAAATGCATAAGTGATCATGAACCTAATTTCAATACGTGTTTACATGAGAAAACGGACCACAAAGTTATCCCAACCGCGAGAATAGACCCCTCAAAAGAAAGCGTTTGGGACAACTTTACGGTCCATTTTTTTCAACCGGCAAGGACTGGAAGCACTCATTGAAGTCAGACTCATGATCACTTATGCCACCTTTTTGAGATCCATTCGGTCCTGTTGCGAAAAAAGTTACTTTGCGTTGTGAGAGGAAGACTTGACTCAGTGTCGACTGTTCTCCTAGACTCGGAAATAGTCCAAAACACAGAGGAACTGGTGGATCTGATAGAGCAGGGAATTTATTGGCGTTATAGACTCCTTTTGAATCATATTTTCTTTAGGAAGCAACCCTCAAAATGGGCGATGACCCCTTTGAAATTAACCTGCAATTGATCTACGAAGTCCTGAAAGATGAGGTTGTGGAAAGAGAAAGACGTCGACAGATGCTCGATCAGAAGTTGGAGCAACTCATGAAGGAAAATCTGCTTCTATCCGATGCCAAAGTCGACGCCTTGTACCATTCTTTGACCAAAAAGGACGAGCAAATCTACTGCGAAAGGATAAATAAGGTCCAAAAACAACCAAAACGAAATCTAATGACTTGGAAAATCAAAGATTTGGAGCTGAAGGTAATTGGTTTTGCTATTGAAAAATACTGGGAGCTGTGGTGATGTTTAAATATATTTCTTTGCGATATTATTTTAGATGTTGTAGATGATTTTTATGTAGATTTTGAAGAAATAATAGATGTGAAATTAGCCTGATTCTTGTGTTTCAGGCTTTTGCGGACAAGAATCTGCATGGAAAACAAAATGTGATGAGACTGATGCGTCAATTCAACCCGGAGGCGCCGGTTCCCGAGAATTTCGAATTCTCGACCCTCTGGGCAAGATGCTTCGAATTCGACCTGGCCGAGTGGATCATGGAGTTCCGCGACTACCCATTACCCTACATGGAACTCAAGGACGCCCATTTCTGGGGCACCCTCTGCGGAGCCGAGCATTTGGCCGGCTTCAGATCCATGCGGGAAGCTACAGTAACCCTCCCCGAACCATGGGGCCAATTCAAAGTCCAACGGAATATGTGCCCACTGAAATTCTACTTTGATATTGAGAGCGGTGAGTTGATATTTTTGGGGGTTTCTATGGAGCTTTGAGAGTGTTCATGTTTTCGTGTCGGTACCAAATTTTTTTTTTTAATTTTAATGTTTTAGAAATCACCGATCTCCGCACAACCTATGGACCTTGTTGGGAGCCCTGCTTGTCGATGATCTCGCTGTGCTGGCGGTACATCAACGCCCCTTCCCGCGATCCGTCGCCTCCTTTGTCTTTTTGGGATAAAATACGGTTGTTGTTGCATGGACGATTTACCGCCCTGATGAAACGACTCTGCACTTCAATGTTGGCCTCTCCAGACCCTTATAATGACACGGAACTGGTGGAAATGTCATGGGAAAACTTTGAATTCGACTGGGTCACTGGTAAGTGTAATATAAAAAAGTCGTGTTTTAGGCTAAAAATAGGAAGATTGAGGGTTTAAACGGTTGAAATTGAAATAAACGGTAGTTTTGTGCATATGGGAAAAGATGTTACCTCACTTTTTCAAAATATGTTTACCTTATTTTTTAGGCCAATTTCGGGTCCACACAGATCTCGATGCCTACATCAGAACAGCCTCCAAATATGATGACAGCCGACTTCTCCACCTCCCAAACCTTAAACTGATGATCATGCTGGACTGGGCATGCCTCTCGGATCAACATGACCATCACAATGTAACGCCGATTGCTCCGAATAAGCTTCCGGATTACGTAACAATCGGTGGCCATGACTCCTATCGCGCCTTCCGCTCGGAACACGTCGACATTCAGCTCCAATTGGAGGCCGTTCAAAGCCCCGACCCCAGGAATTCCCCGCAAATATTACTTTATGCGAATACATTCAGGTGGTTGGACTTTATGAAGAACACATTGACTATGGTCAATCGGCCTGTAAAACGAGGAAAGGTCTTCAACGAACCTATTGTGAAACGACATCAACTCAGCAGGCATTTTCGGTCGGTGTTTTGGCGGTTTTATGCATAAAGGAAGACTTGACCCGGTTTGGGTCAAGTTTTTCTTCAATATGGGAAATGCTGTATAATGATCGGAATTTCAGAAATATCCATCTGAATGTGACCCTGCCTCGGTTTTTAATATCGTACTGGATGTCTTTCTCGTCCTCATTCGGATTCCGAATGATTTCCGAAGGCCTCCGCCTGACCTCTTCCTTGGTCATGAACTCGGCGCCAGCATCTCCGGAACAGATCAAACGTCGAAACCGAAGAGCAGTCAAGGCGAATCATGTATCGGTGCAACTGGAAAAGGCTCAGATCCATTTGTTTGGAGAAAAAAGTCAGCCCAGCCAAGACGATCGACTGACCGATGATCACGCGGATTCGTTCTTCATGGGCTTGTCGAGGCTGAATTATGTCAGAGAAAGCGAAACGGAACAGAGCAAGGTTTGTTTTTCATTTTTTATAAGGATTGGACACAGTTTTGTATCGAGAGAAAGACTTGACTCATGTTGTGTCAAGTGTTCCTCTTGTTATGAAATGGTTCGTAAAGTAATACCATGGTAAAAATACGGATGTAAGAAATAATTTTTGCAGCTAACGCCTCTTCCAAAGCATCGCCGGACCGCTTCCTTGACGGCAAAACTCCAAAATGCGGCCGGCCGAACCCCGGATCAGTCCAAGTCCAACACAAATCAAAACGAACAGAATGCCGACAAACCAGCTGTCCATCGACTTACAATACATGATTTGCGTGGAGCTTGGACCACCGAGAATCGAGACGCTTGCTTGGCCATTATGGATGGGGTTCAGAAGGCTTACTTATTGAGGAAAGTCCTCAGTAATGTCGCCATGAAGATGTTTAGTGTAAGTTTTTTTTGGTTTTGGTCATTGGTGACAGGTTTTGGGATGATTTGAAGCTGAGATTTTAAATTTTGAACGAATTGAAAGTTTTCGTGGCGAGACCGAATTTCGATTTTTTGAAGAATTCGGAATATTTAGTTGAATTTTAAAGTTAGAATAGAAATATTGGGCGTTTACATCTATGGAGGTTGAGTTTAGCCAATAAAATATTAATTTTTCAGTTTGATTCGCCTCAGCAAAATCAACAAACCAAACAACGTCAAGCCTTTGTTGAGAGAGTGATGGAGCGTCGAGAATCAAAATTGTAAGTTGTTAACTATGAAATTATTTAGTAATTTTATTTTGAGTTTGAATGTATGTGGTTATTTCGGACATAGAGAAACACTTGACTCAAAATTTTTTTTCTTCGGATTGATGATTTTTGTCGCATAATTTTGAAGAAAAAATTCAGATTTTATTGTAAAATACGATAGGAACTCGGAATACGTAATTTTTTCAGATCCGATATCAATTCCCCGGAGAAGGCACCAACAACTTCAGAGACCCTAGTGGAAGATGAATCCGAAGAGCTGCTGTGGAAACTGATCAATGAAGCCGAAACGAATCTAATGGCATACTCCGAGGACACTGTGGAACCGCCCACAAACTCGCTCCTTGGAGTTTCGCTGTGCGCCATGGATGATGTTGTTTTGAACAACTGGCAGGTGGATCTGCTCAACTCTCAAGTCGTTTTGAAGGGTGAGGACTGTTGAATTGGAGATTATGATTGGATTTGGGGGTTTTTGAATTTATTTTAGACCAAATTAGGAGTTTATTTTGACGAGGGAAACACTTGACTCAAAAAATTTAGATATTTCTTGGCATTTTTTAATCAGCGTTATTTGCTTTTGAAATGACCTTGATACTGTCCTGCGTCATGATTCAAGCCGGTTTTCATGGCTTTGAATAGTATAGGTATTTTTTGGGTCAAGTCTTCCTCTCTTTTTTCTGAAATTTATTTGAGCCAAATTGAAAGTTGTGTGTCTGAACACATGTTTAATTATGAATTTTAGGCCACGAAACGGACAGTTTCATCCTGTTATCAGCCTCCCGCGCCTCAATTACCCAACGGTATCATGTCCCGGTCTGGAGAAATTCCCAGCTTTTATTGAAGAGGTCGTATGCCTCGTTTTTGTCCGGAATGCAATACTTTGCACCGTTGACTATCCAGCAGAATCAGAAAATCGATGTTCCACTATATAAGAGGTTCCAATGGCTGACGAGGGAGATAATTGAAGAAAAGGACCCGAGGCAGCCCAATGACAAGATAAATAATTACTCGAGGAGTGGAGAAGCCGTTGGAGGAGTTGTCACTGGTGAGTTAATGGGGAGTTTGAGTTGTTGAAAAAGTTTTGGTTATTTTTTGGGAACGTTTGAAGGGTTTTTACATTAACAAGGGATCGGCAAATAGTTGCACCCTGCTTTCTTAACGAAACATATACCGTTTGAAAGAGCATTAAAAATAGTGTACAACACAAGAAAAATTAGCTGCCCAATATATGTTTGGGCAAAGTTATGGCCGTTTTATGATAAGGGTTATATGCGGCCAAAACGCCGGTTTCTTATATTACAGTAATCCTGGCGGCTTGAAATTGTCTCCATTTTCTTACTAGTATCCCGAAACGTCTATCACGGTCGTTTTATCGCTGTATCAATCCTTGGTTATGAGTTATTAGACATTATAATGTCGCATTACTGCCATTTACAAAAAATTGTAAATAAAACTAGGTTAATGGGAAAACTGGAGCAAAAAAACTTTGAAAATACATTTGTATGATCGTCGTGGCCATTTACAAACAAAAATCTCAAAACCAAAAATTTTTGATGTCCTAGCCTTACCGACGGTTAGGCCACTGTGTCAGCAATAGTGTTTGGCCGCTTTTGTAATTTTCTCTTCGTATTTTTTTCGAAAAAATTATATTTATAGGCCCTTGTAAATTGAATTATCGTCCAGTAATCATAATCGGTCAGGCTAAAGGCATGACACCCTTGTAATTATACGATAGGAATCCCCACTCTCATCACCATCAAATTTGTGGTGGTAGCAAAAAAAACCAAAAACTCGAAAAAATCCCGTAAAAATGTATTTTGACTGCGAAGGAACAAAAATTATTTTAAAATATCAACATACCATGGTTTTGTGGCATATAAGAGACGAAATGCAAAAAAGTTTGCAGCGCCCGGCTTCGAAACCAGGACCTGTTTCGCCGGAAGTGAGGTCACTACCACTCGGCCAACTGGACACAACTCTGTTGCCGTTCCAAGAGCTTATAAAGTGACGCAGAAAATAGGCTAAAATCTGTATTTTGGCCATAACTTTGCCCAAACATATATTGGGCAGCTAATTTTTTTTGCGCTGTGCACTATTTTTTATGCTCTTTTAAATGATATAGGTTTCGTTAAGAAAGCAGGGTGCAACTATTTGCCGATCCCTTGTAAGAGAAAGACTTGACCCATTCTGGGACAAGTCTCCCTCTCAGCGGAAATGACAGGATGAAAGCAAAAATGTACAGGGTGGGCCACTCGAAACTCCCAACCTCTTTTCAGGTATTTCTCCGCCAATAATGCACCAATTTCTATAAAATTTATATCAAATTGAAGCTGAGACACCCCATTTCTAGTCCACCAAATATGGCCCGTCTAACTTCACGTGGGCACCCGCATTGACCTTTTAAATTTTCATTCCAAATTTTGGAGCCCGAAATCGGTGAAACTTAGAAATTTTTTTGGAATGATTTTCAATTGAGTTTCTCGGACTTAGAAAATTTTTGGATTACCGGCAAGAAAAAAGTCGACAAATTCGCGGAAAAATTTTTAAAACATTAAAGTTTACGTCCGTACCGAGTGTGTTAAACCCATATTTCAACCAGGCGAGGTACCAATTTGGGCGAATGAGAACGAAAGCTGTTTTCTCGGGCAATCTAAGCCTGGAATGTTTCTATGCATCTTTGGGATGGATGTCGTCATGCATGTAGACTGTTTCGCCCATTTTTTAACATTTCGAAAAATTTCGAACAATTAAGCCTATCGCCCCAGAACACGAAAGCAACGCCTTGAAGAGTAATTTTGACTATTCCGTTGACTGCCATCATTTTTTCTGTTGCTTATAAGAGTTTTATTTAGTCAAAGGCGCGAACATTTTCCAATTCCAAGAAACTCAACTGGAAATCGTTCCAAAAATTTTCTAAGTTTCACCGATTTCGGGCTCCAAAATTTGGAATGAAAATGTAAAAGCTCAGTGCGGGTGCCTCCGTGAAGTTAGACGCGCCATATTTGGTGGACAAGAAATGGGGTGTCTCAGCTTCAATTTGATATAAATTTTATAGAAATTGGTGCATCATTGGCGGAGAAATACCTAAAAAGAGGTTGGGAGTTTCGAGTGGCCCACCCTGTATTATGGAAAAGGGTTTAGAGGTTGATTGGAGAAGAAATAATTGAATTTTTCGTTTGATTATAATTTTCTTCGCCTTTCCAGCTCCTCTCGAACGCCGTCAAGGAGAAGATGAAAGTGACTCGAATTCCCTTCATTCCACAGTTCAAATGCAACGAGTAGCATCGAGGTGCAGTTGTCAAATGTTCTTCTGTTATTATTCGGATCTCATCAACATGGAAAAGTTCGAAGATTTCGTTGTTCCGCAGATTACCGAGGAAAAAGAGGCCAAGTTTGGCGAAAGAAGGGAAGATGTCGATTGTTTCACATTGAAGGTAAGTTAAATTTGGTCTTAATTGTGCGTTAATACCGTTTCGAGCATTTGAGGTTACAAATTTTTTATTTTTGAATTTCCTAAAATACGAATTGGGTCAGAGAGAAACACTTGTCCCAAAACATTTTTTCTTCTTTGGATCGATTTTTTTGAAGAAATTGTGATGGGTTTGAGTGATTAGCGTAATATTACCACATTTTCAGCACAATATGCTGGAAGTCTGCACGAATTCCGACCAATATCAGGTGATCTTGGACATTGTGAACAACTTGGTCCTCTTCGTCGACCCCAAAAAGAAGACCGCGCAAGAGAAACGGCGAAGGTTGTGGTTCAAATTGGCTAAACTCACAAAGGCGGAGGTTGGCGACACGGTTCAGCACCTTCAAAACGATCTCCGAGAAGTCGTCGCTCATATCCGAGCTCTGGAACGACAAAATTTCTTCGCGCAACTTCAATCTGGACAAGTGGCAGATGCCAGGTGAGAATTAAAATTGTTTGGGGTTAGGGGGAGGGGCTGAAGTCCGTATTTGGCAAAAATAGGTGATTTGTGAATTGAGAGAAAGACTTGACCCATTTGATAAAAAAGTTTCGTTTTTATGGAAATTCTTGATGGATATGGTAAAATACGAAGTGTTTGTTTTGTTGGTCTTTTAAAAGCACGATTTTAACTGTCGTATTTTAGAAATTTTAGATTTTTTCTTGGGGGGAAGACTTGTCTCAAAATTCGGATGGCCAAATTTTTACATTATCTTGAACTTGGGGTAAAATACGGTTTTATTTTTGACTATTTAAACTTAATTTCCAGTTTCCAACAAATCAACGAAGAACGCCAGCGGCAGATCGAGAAGTTCAAACAACATCAGGTCACCCTCATCGACGAATTGGCCCTCACGATCTCGGTTTGCAAAGAAAAGTCGGTCGAAGAACAAACCGCATTCAATCGACGACTGAAGGCTCAAAACGAAGAGGTCGATGAGAATCGGCGATGGGATAACCCGGAGGGAAGTGAGATCGCCCGGCGGTTCGAGGTCTGCTTTGAAGATTGTATTTGGAGGCTGACCGAGGCTGATGGACAGATTTCAATCACTGAAGTGCAGATCAGAAACTTTTTGTAAGTGATTTGATGAATTTTGGACGAGAGAAACAGTTGACTCATATAGTGAATGTTTGGGTCAAGTGTTTCTCTTTGTAGAAAAAGGTGTTTTGAGTGGATTTAGAGAGTTCCAAGTAAAATGTGGTATGATAATGTGAAATACGTTTTTTTCTTTGAACTTTGGTGACTTATTTTGGCAAAAGTTTGGAAATGTCATCTAATTTTTTAGGTACAATCGAACCGCCAGAATCGACAACTCCGGCGAGCATTTACTCGAAATTGGCACTGTAAAAGTCCTTAATTTACTTCCGAATTCCAAATATCGAGAGACTTTGGCCCGTCTTCCCAATCCCAAGTCGAAATCGGATAGTCAGGACATTGATAAAACGCCGGCGATCCGCGTGATTTGCCGAGAACTCCCTCCCGTCGGTGGAATCAGCGTCAAAGAGCACTTCGAAGTGAACATTGTGCCCATGCAAGCGCAGATCACCTACAGGTTCTTCGAGAAAATGATGGCCTTCTTTTTCCCCGGAAGACAAATTGATAAAGAAGACCAAAATTTGGATGTGGAAGAGACAAATCATCCGCAACAGGTGAGCGTTCAACGGATTAGAGGGTAATTTTGTGATTTTTATGCGATTCGGGGTGATTTTTACCGAGGGAAACAGTTGACCCAAAATTGGGAGTTTGGGTCAAGTGTTTCTCTCAGTGGAAAAGTGATAAAATAAGGTGGAAATTATGTAGAATAGAGGTAATAGAGTCATTTTTGTACTAATATTGCTGTCAACACGGTAATTTGAACTGTTAATTAGTAGAAATTTGTTAAATTTCCCTCGATTTTCAGAGTTTCTCACTGGCCAAGCGCTTCCGTGGCGCTGTAAACAGCTCGTTCCGAGCATCTCGCCTAAATCTGGCATCCTCGACCGGCTCGGACCAACAGAAAGGACAGAATGGCGATGAGATCGACAAGATGAAAGAACGGGCGGAGAAAAACAACATGTTCGTGTATATCATCATCCCTCCCGTCCCCTTCATCGTCTCCTACAAAGGAAACAAAGAAAAGAACATCGAAGACATTGACCGATTCAATCTGACGTTCCCACTCTGCGAATATCACAACAAAAATTGGACCTGGCTGGACCTGTCCTTGGCCATCAAAAAGAGCTATCGGAACATTTTGGTCCAGCAATTCATGAAGCAGAAAATCCTCAGGAAATCACTACAGACCCAACCGGAACCCGTGGACGAGGAAGAGAAGAAACGAATCGTTTTGGGCACCACTGACGCGATCAATATCAAAAAGAAGCATAAAAAGTAATGTAAAAGTAGTCATATGGTTGTAGAAAATGTATATAGTCGGGGCTGGATGGTCTACAAGGCTATTTTAGGCGTATTTTAGATGAATGTTTGAGGAAATTTTCGAAAAAATTGAAAAAATTCAAAAAATTTTTTGTCAAGTATAATATAAATTGAACAATTTTTTTTTGTGTTAAAATTAGGTTTTTGAACTATTTCTGAGACGATAGTTTAATTTTGAGCCAAAAAACACATCCAGTCCACTAAAATCGAGATTATTGAACATCCAATGTACAGTAATAATAATATTAATAAAATATTTAAAATCAATTCCAAACATTATTCTTCATAGTCGCGATGAGAGAAGCAAGGCAGCACGAGCAGGACGACTGCGATCGCCAACACACAGGCGATCCCGAGGATCACCCAGAACAAAATTGTAAACTGGGGATCCTTGTCCTTGGGCAGCGGAATTACCGGGATTTGAGGGCCAATCGGAAGACTTGGCTGCAAAAATGGGCGTTAAAAAGAGTGAATTACTTTAAAGATGGAGTACAACATTTGAGATAACGTATCTTACCTTCACATTTGGGATTTTTTTGATGTTATAGGCTCAATTTGATCTTTGAGAAAAACTAGGCCAAAATAAATTTTCGATGGAAAAAAATAATCACAATTCGTATTTTGGAGGACTTCACGATCATCCAGGAACCATTTTGACATCAAAAATTCGATCATTAAATATTACACAAGACATTTTTGATCAAAAATTGCCTATTACAATATTTTTGCGCCTTTTTTTCTTTTTTATGCGAAATTTCTCTCTCGATCCGGGGCATCAAGGCAAATTTCGAATAAAAACCACCTGGTTCTGTACGGATACTTACAGTTTTGGCAAAAATTTTTCCAAAAATTTTCAAATTTTGCGTTCGAAATTAAAAAGTAATTGTAAAATTCGAGACTGTTGTTCAGACTTTCTTACCTGATTCTCCCCATTATTGGCTTCGGCTTCAACACTGGCCAATTTATTCAACCAAAAGTCGACGGCCTGCTCGTTGAAGGTCTCTCCAGGGTGGAGAAGGGGTCTGCGGACGATGGTCAGGTTATTCTCGCCACCAGTGGTCCGGAAAGCGGTCGAGAGATAATTCCGACCCTGGTGATTCACTGGAGACCAACCTAAAATTGGGAAAAATAATAAAAAATAGTGTTTTTTTTATTTTTGTCCTAAAAATCTTGACGACTTTTTCAAAGTGCGGCCTAAAACTCCAGGCGCCAAATTTGGCAAAAAATAAGTTAAAAAGTTGCGCTCCGACCTATCATTTGTGTCATCAAGAACTTTATGCAAAGAATTGGCTACAATTGTTCATCACAGCGCCCGCACTCGAACCCCCGACCTTCCGAGTGGGAGGCGAGCGCGCTTTCCTCTCGACTATTCAAACACTTGCCCGCTTTCTCTCCTTTTCTTTTCCTTCGAAACGAGAAAATAAATGCACGGTGCGAGAGGATTTATAGTAAAAATCGTCGAAATTGATCAAAATTTTGTGAAAAAGTACAGATTTTTTGGCTGAAATTGTAAAATACGGCACATTCCAAAGAAATGATTGATATGCGATTGAGGATAACCCACTCATTTCCCGGTAAAATTCATAACTTACCATCAAGAGGTGTATCACTGCCCAAAATAAAGTTCCTGAAGATCGCAGGGTAAAAATCATTCATCAGTTGGTCCTCATATTCGTTCTCGATGGTATGATTGCTCATTAGAGACCGGCGATGAAGACCCAACAGGTACATTAAGTCCGCTGCATGAAAATTTGCTCCGTCTTGGGTGAAAACGGAGAAAAACGATTGCCCGCCGACTTTCTGGTTCATTATGGCCAGCCTGAAATGTAAAACACGATCTAAAAAAACAGTGTAGAGTATTTACAATAAAAATTCTGCAAGAATTTCGTCAAAAATTATGTTGTATTTGACTGAAATGGCATCATAATCGATTTTTGCTTACATATACGCAATGGAATGGAATGCATCTTTGGCCATGGCTTCCGTATGTTCTGTAGTGTCTTTGTACTCTCGTACGCACTCAGCAACCGTCGCTTCTCTGATATAACCGAGCATCCGGCAGAATATTACGCATGCCTCGAGGATGGAGCCGTCCGAGAACGCGGACAGCGGCATCTCATTCTTGGTCACGGTAACAATCATTGGGATTGGCTGGAAATAGCGTAATTACATAGTAAAACCTTTAAAAATTCTTTAAAAACCCACTTTTTTATCAAGTATAATACAGCGATGACCTAAAAAAATATAAATCTTCTCACTTTCCAATCTCTAAACAACGCTGAGGTTGTGTTTGCGGGAAAAATGAAGTCGTCAGACTGTGGGAGGACTCTTTTGTAGAGGAAATTGGACTCCATCGAGGCTTGGACCAACTCTTGGAAAGGTAATTCCCTCAGGCATTGCAGACGATCGCGGATTTCCATGACTTTGCCATGGCGGATTGCACACTGAAAGGGTGTTTTACAACCGGTTATAACTTATTCTGCATGAATTCTTGCCAAAATCAGCAAAATTTAAAATTCAAAAAAATATGTCATCATGACATATTTTTTGGAAAAATTTTTCATCATGATAATTATCGAATTTCCATGTAATTTTGAACTCACATGTGAGCGATCCAAGCTCTGTTCGCTGAGCAATTGATTAAAATGAGGTCCCAAAGTTGGCATTGGGCTGCACAAAACGATCCGCTCAAAGGCCTTGTCCTCCACAGCCGGCGACACCATCAACAAACTCAAGATCCCCGCGCCGCTCATATGCCCAAATCCCGTAATTCTCTTGGTGTCCGCTCCGATTGCAGGTAATTCTCGTTGGACAAATCGAAGGGCCATTAGGAGGTCTGGAATTAGGCGAATTAATTAAAATTTACAAAATTTCCTTTGTTATTATACGGGGTGTTTCAAGAAATTCCCCGGAAAGTAATCGTCGATTTCTCGGCGCTCAGTCAAGATCTCCAAAAAAAATCTTTCGCATAATAAAGAAGAATATGGGCGGTTTTTTGCCTATTAAAATCATTTTCTCCGCCAACGCGGAAAGCAGTGTATTCGGCGGAGACCTTTGGACGCTTTTTTGGTTATCACACGAATTTTTAATGCTTTATTGCGACACTTAGGCATCCAGAAAGTCTTCAAATTTTTTGCACAATGGATAAAATGGCCGGCTACAATGCTATGCGATCCAATTAAGCAACTGCACGGTGCAATGCAGTCGCTGCAACGTCGATAAAGTCGGAGCGCACCGTGCGGATTTTCGAAACAGCATGGCAAAGAGAAATTAAAAAAAAAATATTCTGTTGTTTTCCAGTGAACCAAGTTGTTTCTCGATGGCTAAACGTTGTCACAAGGCTTGGCGACAAGATTTTTGAGGGTTTACGACACCTGCAGAGAATGCTTGCCAAACCATAGGAATTGTGTTGGGCTATTTCTTGTCCATAGCTGAGTTAAGATACGACGAGCAGCTGCCGTACCTTCAGTGAACGCTTGATAAACGCAAAAATCAGCAAACAATCCTCATTTCAACCATCAGAAACCATAAAAAAGCGTTTAAGATGGGTGTGATGACCAAAAAAGTGCCCAAAAGTCTCCGCCGAATACACTGCTTTCCGCGTTGGCGGAGAAAATGATTTTCATAGGCAAAAAACCGCCCATATTCTTCTTTATTATGCAAAAGAATTTTTTTGGATATCTTGACTGAGCGCCGAGAAATCGACGATTACTTTCCGGGGAATTTCTTGAAACACCCTGTACATTTTTAGGGCCAAAAAAGGATAGCATAACCCACCATAGACTCCTACATTATAGGGAGCATCATCGAATGGCCTTCCGAGATCCAGAAATCCCAAAATTCCGCGGCGAAACGCGGGCAAGACGAAGATGATTCCGTGGCTCGCGAACTTCTCAACCATATCCGTTTCATTGAATCTGGTGGCACTCAGATAGACGTTCGATCCTCCATAGACGTAAAACACCACGGGACATTTATTAGTAGCCTAAAATACGAGGAGAAATTTAGTTTTTGTGTAAAAAGATGGGTAAAATTTGATAATGACGTTACTATATAGGTGGAAAAAAAGCATTTCAAAACTCCTATCATTCTCAAAACACTTAGCAATCGAGTTCCAAACGATCTAGTGGCACATTTCCAGCGAGAGAAAGACTTGACCAAATTTGGGTCAAGTCTTCCCCTCGTTCGCAAACGCCTCATAATCAATAAAAAATCAGCTCGAATGCCTTACTGAGCTTTTCTATTGCTAAAACACATTGAATTCCTTACATTACATCTCGTATCGGCATAGACATTGATGTAAAGACAATCCTCATCCTGGCGATCATTGGCCCGCGGAATAATGGTTACATTCGGACTGCAAGATGACCGGTAATTGGTAGCATCGAACACTCCACTCCAAGACGTCTTCGAATGCGGAGATGAGAATCGGAGACCTGACAATGGAGGCTCGGCATAAGGAATTCCCTGAAATAACAAAAAATTGTTGGTTTGATGGGTAAAACAACAAAATTTCGGATGAATTAGTCTTTTAAAGGATGTTTCAAGTAATGCCAAATGGCTCACAAGGCTCTCCGACTCTTCAAACCGCCTTTGGCAACCTTTTTTTAAGTAAAAAATCACTATTTTTCAGAAAAAATTTGTGATTACATTCGTTGCTGATCACGTCGTATTTTACAATTTTGTTCCTACCAGAATCCTCCAATCTTACTCTAAACACATTCACAACTCCATATTCGGCCTGGACAGTTTCTCCTTTGACAAATCCACTGGGCAGTCGCACGGTGGCAAACTGTTTTTCCTCCTCTCCATTAACACTATTGAGCAAAAAAATTAACGCCCAAAATAACATTTAGCCGGTTTCGAGCTCCACTAGACTCTTTTTCATTCAAAGTTATTTCGAGTAAATTTATTGGAGGTCGTTTGGTTAAATGGACTTGCTCAAAAAATGCAAATCCCCTCCGGCGACAAATTCAAAACAAAACTTCCGAAGGCCAAAAATGGTAAAAAAATCGAGGAAATCGGATTTTTTTAGAGTCAGGGATCTCTCATTTGGCGGGTTTAGTTTGAGGAGTCTACTAACATAGAAGGATTGACTTTATTTTAGATATCAAGTGCGGGAAAGATGTTCTTGCCTCGGAATATGTTTACTGTTGTAAAAATTTTGTCTTTAAAAACCGAGATCCTTTAAAAATCGGCCTTTCAGGTCGTCTACAACGGCTTACTGCCCTTCGACGTCACCCTTTTGTGGTGAAAATCACAGTAATCAGAGTAAAGAATGTACGTCTTAAAAAAGTGATTGTGATTTTCCGATTCAACGTGCCGAACTACCTCAAAATCTCCAAGAAATTACTTCATTCACAATTTATTCGTAATAAAACCCAAGTTTATCTACATATCCATTCGTTTTCAAGTTAAATCTCCATCAAAATCATCCAATTGAGGCCAACTTCAAGGGTTGTGAGATGTGTTTTCATCGACGATTTAGATCGCCAAATGATGACCACGTCCAGCAGCTGATACAATGTTGAATCACTAAGCATAGAGGGATACTGCGGACACAAAACGATCTAAAAAATCCATAAACATTAAAAATGCATCAAAATCAAAAGGAATCAAACAGAATTCATCAAAAACTCACCAAAACGTGGCATTCATCCCAAACATTTTGTCCTTGCTCGTCCAGATATCCACAAAATTCGATGAAATTCTCCAAAATACCACAATGTTTCAAGAATTTTGAAAACAATAAATCGAATAAAATTGGAAGAAAAAAATCAAATTCACAAGGGAAGTACCCGAAGTGCGACGCTCAGATTTTTATAAAAATTGGCATAGATGGAGATCAGAATTTTCTTATTCGATTGCGAACATCCTAGCTCGCGCTTTGCAGAATCCGCCGAGAAAGAAGGGCCGGAATATCGAAAAAAATCTTCAAATGCCGACGAATTTCCCTGCAAATTCTCTTGATCTTGGCATTCCGTTCCAGGAGAAAAATATTTTTTCTCGCAAGAATTTTTTTCTTGATAATCTTCAACACTATTTTGTTGCTTTTATGTGGAATATTGTGTGTTATTTTCACTTTTTTACATTCTGGACATGATTCTAGCGCTATTAATTGGATTGTCGCCATCCGAGGGGTAAAATGTTTCGTCCTTTGACGAATTTGTAAAGTTTTTCCTCTGCAGATGGGCAAACCACTCTAATAATTGCTTTAAAGTCGTTTAGGAGACATGCAAACGTTCTACGGTCGTGTATGAACATAATCTTAAAGTAAGTGTTACAAAAACTTTATTATTTTTCAGTGAGCAAATTCTGAACAACAACAAGAGCGAATGTACACCATCGGAACACTGACGGAACACCTTGGGACCTTTACTTTGTTTTCTGAAATGGCATAAACTAAAAAATAGTGAAAAAATAAAATGTTTGTAACACTTACTTTAAGATTATGTTCATACACGACCGTAGAGCGTTTGCATGTCTCCTAAACGAATTTAAAGCAACTATTAGAGTGGTTTGCCCATCTGCAGAGGAAAAACTGTACAAATTCGTCAAAGGACGAAACATTTTACCCCTCGGATGGCGACAATCCAATTAATAGCGCTAGAATCATGTCCAGAATGTAAAAAAGTGAAAATAACACACAATATTCCACATAAAAGCAACAAAATAGTGTTGAAGATTATCAAGAAAAAAATTCTTGCGAGAAAAAATATTTTTCTCCTGGAACGGAATGCCAAGATCAAGAGAATTTGCAGGGAAATTCGTCGGCATTTGAAGATTTTTTTTCGATATTCCGGCCCTTCTTTCTCGGCGGATTCTGCAAAGCGCGAGCTAGGATGTTCGCAATCGAATAAGAAAATTCTGATCTCCATCTATGCCAATTTTTATAAAAATCTGAGCGTCGCACTTCGGGTACTTCCCTTGTCAGCCACGAATTTTCACAAAAAAAACCACAAAATTTGCATATTCGAAATTCACCAAATTTTCGTTTTCATTTTTCTCATTTACCGGTTACTCCTTCAAGGATCTGGTTTTGCTCCTCGCTAGATCAACATGTCAAGCATCAGCAGCGACACCTCCCGCCATTCCGGCGATGTCTCCGCCTTTACGGCGATGGCCCCAACTCCAACCGCTGCTGCCGTCCCGGCGGTTGGGGTTGGGGAACGGTCGACGTGTAAGTCCAGGGGATTTTGGGTTTTTTTCGGGGTTTTTATGGGGATTCTAAGCGGAGATTTCAAAGTTGAAATCTTGTCATCAAAGTCCCAGGAGATCCGTCATCATGAGGTAAATTCAAATTACCACAGCCATTTCGACATTCCTTTCGACATCTTTTGGCTTGTTTATAGCACCATCTTTGATCGAAAAAATCCTAAAATAATGATGTTGTAGTAGATGATGACACTGGATTTTTTGGGTATTTTGATGACGAAATTCCTGCTTTGAGACCCGCAGAATATTTTTAAGCCGATTTGAGATGATTTACTTTGAGCTTAGGGGCAGTAATATGCAAAAATATTAAAACTTCCCTTGGTCCTGATATCTGATGTCTACAACATAATTTTGGAGTTAAAGACTCAAAAAAAGGGCTCAAACCAGTTGGCTTTGAGCTCTAATTGCCTCATGTATTTGATCTGAAACTCAAGACTTCCTTATATTGGAAATTCATCAGAAAAATACTAAATTTTGACGATCCATTTTTGGCTGGTGGGTTTCTACCGTAAATCCCGCCAAAAATAAAAAAAACTAGGCCTAATGGCCTTGAAAATGCACCAGCAGGCCTCGGAGTGTAATATTCCAGGCGAATATGACTAAAAAGCTTTCTAAAGAAAGTAATTTCATGGCTGGTGGGGATAACTGTAAAGCCCGCCGGATATCCCTTTGTTATTTTGAAATACAGCCGAAATTGGCCTTGATATCATTTGTTACAACGCGATGGATCGATTTCCGCTAAATTTGAATCTTGGAAGCTTGTAAGTCTAATTTTTTGAGTTTTACAGTGTTTAGGACCAGAAACGCCGGTCATACAAAAATTGTGGGTGGAACTTGGGCATTTTTCGTCATTTTTTTGCCGTATTTTATACAAAATTCAGCAAAGCTCGAACCAAAAACGATCGGCCTTTCAAGCTTGAGCTTTTTTACACTCCCTTAATAAATTCTGACCGTATTTTTAATATAAATTTTAGTCCAAAACGAAAAAATAAATAAAAATTTACCCCACACCAAAATTTTCATGTCTCATGACCAAAATCCCAGTCCCGAAATCTTCAAAGATCTTACCGAAGCCTCCAAATGCAACATCAAGAGGATCCTTCTCATCAATGAGGTGTCAAATCGGATATTATTCATGATGATCAACTTTGACTGGACAATCCATACCGACGGAATCAACTCCAATTCATCCAAACAGGTTCTCATCGCTTCAGTCGCTCAAGAACAAGTCGAAGATGGATCAGTTCTGACAATTTTGGCAGTTCCAGCACTGTGTCCTCCAGGGAACCACCTAAAATTCTATCTTCTTATTATAAATGTCGTTTTCATACTGTATTTGTCATAAATTATCATTACACATAGTATTTTGGAATATTTTTGGAGCCAAGAATCCCCAAACAAATAATAAACTATTCACTTTCATGGCCAGAAATGGTCTTACATTTGTGTTTTAATCCAATTGCCATCCACTTCCATCTAATATGCTCCTTGGACCAGGTAAAGATTTTTTTGACTTCTTCCAGCTGTTTCAGATGTCGTAATTCCAAGATGAACATCTCGATGGGTCATGTTCTCCCAGCCACGTCCAGCGGTCCCGTTGGAGCCCTGAAACATCAGCCATTACAAATGGATATCCATATCTTTTTAAAATTGTAATTTATAAAATATTTGAATAAATACTTACATTACTTTATATTCTTTATATCCATTGACTTATTTTGACTTATAACCGGGGTTTCGTGTAAGACACCACTTAATGTCACGAGGAAGTACCTGGACCTTCTCATTTGGACCAATTTACAACTGTTGAAGAACGACATCTACTGGACCATGTCTCCGATGATTACTTACGGTCAGGTTCGCATTAGACAACTTCCAAGGGGTGGGGAGCTCGTCTCGTCCGTGGAGTAACGTTATTGATGGTGTTCTTGCTACCTGTCCTCGTTTTTATTGTCAGAATCTTGTTGAAAGACCTCTTGCTGTGTTCTGAGTGCTGTTCTCCTGGCGTACGTGATTTCTCGTCGTTCCGGCTCGTCGAATTTACGGTTTCGTGCCGCGTGGACTTTTTCAGAGACTTTAAACATCGGCTAGAACACCGTGTTCATCATCTTCGCCAAATCTCAACATCAAAAACCCATCAAACAGACTTACCGACTTGACCAACATCAGAACTCAGCGTCATTCGACTGGATTCTTTGGAGTTACCACCTTCAAACGACTTCAAACCGTTCGTAAAGAAAAGGGGAGGATCATCGACCACCCAAACATTCCATTCCATCAACATCTTCACCATCAAATTTGTTTTTACATCAGGACTCCATTTCCACCGAAATCTTCGCAATGTTTGCCTCGATTTTTGGAGTAACGAGCCTCAGCAATGATTTCCTTGGCCTGAAGATTATTCATGACATCAATGTCGTCTTGGAAATTATCGAACAATCAATGGATATCTGGAATGGAACATTAAAAAGACGGATACAAGGAAAAAACCGAAATTACAAAAACTTTTAGACGTTTTCGCCCAATTGACCCCTGGACTCACCTTATTTTAGCTCAATCCGAACGTCCGCACACCAAGCTGATCATCTTCTCTTCATGAATCCAATCCATTACCCGTTTTCCATGATCTTCACGTCGACATCGCCACAAATCATCCAAAGGTTGTCCATCCGCACCTAATCTTCTTCCATCGAGGAGCAATCATCATTTTGCTCCGGATCAGCGCCATCAATTTGCTCTTATCTCATTTTCTGGGGTCCTTTTGAAGGTTCTCCTTGTTCCACGTTGTCGTTTGATCCGATCTTCGGTTCATTCAGTGTTCTACAGCTTTCGAGCTGCTCTGCTGTCGATTTCCTGATCACCACTATAAATACGCCTTCCGGTCGCCATCAACAAAAAATCAGCTCGGGTTTCGTGTGGTTAATATGGTTTTCGTCGCTGCACTTCAAGCTGGATGGAATTTCGACATCACTCGACTGTTTTCTGGACAAATGGACAATTCTTCACAGGACTTTGAGTGAAATATGGAATTTTCGGTCACCCTGGCCTTCAGAATCAAAATTATGGATCTCCAGCATCAGGATCTGCACCTAAAAGCAAAAAAATACATAGGGAAAATAGAGAGAATAGGCTATGTTAGGGCCCTTAGCGATGGAGTTACCAGTTTTAACCATATTTTTTGAATTTTCGTCTAATTTTGGTGATTTCAGTGTCTCCAAACAACGTCGGCCAGGCCTCCGGCCACCGCTCGAGCCCAGCATCCGAGCGCCAAGCCCATTCCGCGCAGGCTGAACAACTGCCGGCGGTAATGGCCCCTCCTCTGGTTGGCCAGCACCCAACCGGCGTCCCAGAGGAGGGTAAAGAGGGGTCAAGCAGTACCACTGGCCCCTCGGGCTTCGGCCCAGAACCTGCCCCAACCGACCAGGCCGACCAGGCGGTTGAGGGCTCGATGGTGGACCTCTTGGACTTCTCGTCCACCTCAAGATTTGATGGCAGCTCCAGTACGAGTGAGGAGCACTCAACGCTCCACAGCGTCCCATCAATAATGTCCCTTGAAGCCTTCGATGAGAATGCAGCCTCTGAAGAGCCATTAGAAGATCAAAATGCCCGCATTCGATGGCAAAGAAACTTCTGGAAGGAGCAGTGCCGCATAATTTGGGAGCGGCAGGCCACATTGGAAAGAAAAGTTGAATTCTACCAAGAAGCCCTGAAAGAGGCGGAACTTGAGGCCAAGAAGGCCAAAGAAGCCGCCTCCGCCGCCATCAAAAAGGCCGAAGAAGAAAGGGCACTGAAGGAAGAGGCAGAGAAAGAAGTCTCCGAATTGCAAGCCCGCCATCGAGAACACCTTCGGACAGCAGTCGCCGACGGCCGGCCACCAAGGGCCGAAAGATCCAGGTCCAGAAGCCCGCTGATGACGACAGCGTGGTCAATAACGCCAACAACTGCGGACATCCTAAGGATTGACGTCACCCAGCCTCCAGTGACCCAACACTCGCCGCCACCTACAGAAGCACAAAATCACGAGGCTCCTGGGCCTTTACGAAGGATGCCAAACTGCAAAAGGCGTTGTTGCCTCCAGCCCTCAGTCGACCCTCAACGTCCTCGGCCCCACCGAAGGTCGAGGGAACTTCAAGGACTTGGCCCAGTGCTTCAAGAAGAGGACAATGGCCCAGAAGAACACCAACGTCCACGAAGGGAACGAAGACCTCCTTCACGGCTCATCGTGGACATGTCGAGCCGATCGTATCGGACTTCACAGGAGTCCAGGTTGCCTCGTAAGTCAATTTTTTCGATATCTTTACCATTTTTACCCAAAACGCCCTTCAAAAATTATCAATTTCGCATTTTTTCAAACGCTATATTTACTATCGCAATCTTAATCAATAACATCAAGATTTTTTCAGGTCGAAGGGCAGTAAATCCCTATTAAGTGGTCAGAAACCCAACTCGGCGCAGTCATTCATGCCTAATAACGATGCCTAATAACGTAAGTTTTTCGCAGCGTCCCCCCAATAATTCTAATCTTTTAGCAATTTGCCCAATTAAAACTTACGACAAGCAACCACGAGATCATGTGTCGTCCAAATGCACTCAAACCTTAGTTCGACCGGCTGGAACAAGAAAAATGTAAGTTTTTTGCAAAACTGTTTTTGCGAGCTGCGCCCGATATAAGAACAATTGCGTTTTGTTATACACTGTTGGATTTTGGGGGCATATTGTAGAAGAAAATCGTAGCATTCGCGGTAAAATGACTCGTAACGATCGATTTTTTCAGATGCCCAATTCGTGAACAGCCGGAGCACCCGGCCCCCCATTTCATCCGGGGGCCCTCTGGAATACTTGCGGGTGCTCGGTGAGATCAAATAATGTAAGAGTTTGGTGTTTGAAGAGTTTTTGATCTTAATTTAGACTAAAGCAATATAATTTAATTATTTTCAGATGAAGATCGATCCAAAGGGAAGAAAGGCACCCGAGCCCCCTGAATCAGCCCGGGGGGCCTTTGGAACAAATACAGGGTGCCATCTTCCCCTTGTTTTGGTCAATTTGCGGCCGAAATTAGGTAAGTTTTCGTGTTGTATTTACATTTTTTATCTTATTTTTTGCAGATCTCGTTCAAGCAAGACTGAACTGAGAGGGGGAGAGCACCCTAGCCCCCTGAATGAGCCCGGGGGGCTTCTGGATCGCAAAAGGGTGCTCTTCCCCGTTTGTGGTCGAAGCCGGAGCACCCCGGCCCCCCACTTGATCCGGGGGCCTTCTGGAAAATAAACGGGTGCTCGGCAGGACCACAAAATGTAAGATTTTGTTGTTTTTTAGAGTTTTTGATCTTAACCTAGAATAAAGTAATATAATTCCATTATATTTTCAGATGAAGACCGGTCCAAGGGAAGAAAGGCGCCCTGGCCCCCTGAATGAGCCCGGGGGGCCCTTGCAAGAATTAAAGGGTGCCATCTTCCCCTTGTTTGGTCAATTTGGGACGGAAATCAGGTAAGTTTTCGTGTTGAATTTATATTTTTCATTTTAGACCCTAGACGAAAGTAATGTAATATGAGTTATTTTCAGATGAAGTTTGATGCACTTCTTCCCGAGAAAAAAATTTTAAAGAATCAGAAAAAAATAAGAAAAGGGAAAAAAGAAAAAAAATAAAAAAAAGAAAAAAATATGCAAAGGCCAAAACAGAAAAGGCAAAAAAAAGAAGAGCCAAAAAAATAACAAAGGCCAAAAAAAAGAAAAAATATATTTTTTGAAAAAACGAGAAAAAAGCCAAAAGGCAAAAAGAAGTAAAAAAATTATAAAAATATTTGTACCTGAAATTCAAGTAAAAATTGTTTGAAAACATATTCGGCCAAGTCAGCAAACCCAACCAGTTGTTCCCAGCGGATGTCTACGACGAGATTATTGCCCCGGCCTGCCTCTACGCCCGAAAACACAACCTCTTCAGCTGACCAATGCCCTCGGAACCCATCCCGAGGTAAGTTTTACCATGGATAATATAAAATTTTTGACAAGGAAAGTACTTCTATGGCGTATGGAGTTACAGGTCGCGTCATATATCAAAAAATTCACAAAGTTTTTCTGATTCAAAACATATAAAAGTTAGCTGCCTTATCTTGGTTTGTAAAGGTGAAAAAATATTCAGAAGTTTTCTCGCAACACCACGCAAATGCGTTTTTGACAAAGTTTTTACCAAATCAAAAGCTTTTTTTAGCTAAAGTGAACCCTGGCATCTTGACAAACCTTAAAATATCAAATTTAATTAATACGACACCTTAATTAGTCGTTCCAATATAAAAAAGGGGAATTTGTGTGGTGTTGCGAGAAAACTTCTGAGGATTTTTTCGCCCTTACACACCAAAATTAGACACCTAACTTTTACATGTTCTGAATCAGAAAAACTTTGCGATTTTTTTGATATATGACTCGACCTGGAACTCTATACCCCATAGAAGTACTTTCCTCGTCAGAAATTTTAAAACTTTCGTAATAACGGAGAATTTTCTTGATCGGGGAAAGAGTTGACTCATCTTGGTCAAGTCTTCCTCTCTTGACGAAACACGAAATATTGCGTAGATTGAGTTTTTTGCAGGAGGAGCGGGCTGTGTTTTTACGTTGTTTTCAGTAAATTTTCTTACTTTTCAGAGATCCTCGCTCTTCAAGGCCCGCTACCGAAAGGATAAGAGAAAGAAAAAATGTAAAAAAAGTAAAAAAAAAATTTTTAAATGGCCAAAAAAAAGAAAAGCCAAAAAAATTGAAAGGCCAAAAAAGAAAAGGCAAAAAAAAGAAGAGCCAAAAAAATCAAAGGCCAAGAAAAAAATATACTAGTCGCGACATAAAGTCCTGAGAAATTTGCACAGTGCATTTTTGTTTTTCTTTCGTACGCGTCGCGGCAATTCCCCACTTTTGCACTAGCGACATGCACTTTCGCGCGAGCTTGCCATTTTTCTCGCGCGACATCCGCGACAAATGTGTCAGGACTTTATGGCGCGACTAGTATTTTTTGAAAAAAACAAGAAAAAAGCCAAAGAAAGGCAAAAAGAAGTAAAAAAATTTTATAAGTATATTTGTACCTGAAATTCAAGTAAACATTGTCTGAAACCATATTCGGCCAAGTCAGCAAACCCAATCAGTTGTTCCCAGCGGACGTCTACGACGAGATTATTGCCCCGGCCTGCCTCTACGCCCGAAAACACAAGTTCTTCAGCTGGCCAAAGCCCTCGGAATCATCCTAAGGTAAATTTTGCACATGGATAATATAAAATTTTTGAAAAATTTGAAAACTTTTCTCGTAATTACACTTGTAGTCATTCCAAAGATTACTGAAAGCCTTACTGAGCCGTCCGCTTTATTTCAGACCCAAGGATGACACCGATCCATCAGTAGTTCGTCTGCTCTACTGTGGTGTTGCAGTTTTTGCCCATCGCGGAGTCCTCCAAGCCCCTCGACAAAGAATTGGTCTATTTTAAGGATAAAATGGAAAAAGTAAGTTGTGGCATTCAGAAGAAGTAGATACGATTTTTGAAATCAGCACCATCGAAAACCTCCTCTTTCCTTTCTTTTAGCGGGCCTTTCCGTCCTTAGTGAGCTGTGGCTGATTTTTATTGAATTACTTCCAGAGACCTTCAAGCCCCAAGCTAACGGAAAAAAAACTAAAAAAATATTAAGAAAATGAAAAAAAAAGAAAAAGAAAAAAAAGAATAAGAAAAAAAAAGAAAAAATTGGTAAGAAAAAAGGAAAGAAAAAGGAAGGAAAAAAGAAAAAAAAAAGAAAAGAAGAAGCCTCATCGCTTCCACTCCCACCACTTCCATTACTCGCCCTCCTCTACCACTCCCACCACCCTCCTTTCCCTTTCCCTTTCCCTTTCCCTTTCCCTTTCCCTCCCACTCCCTCCCCTTCACCCAATCATCAAAGCCTGCTTTGGTGATTAAAGTAAGTTGTTTTTTCCCAATTGTAGGCCTTCATTTCTTGTTATAAGTCCAGATACTGCTCGTTCTATTTTTAATCTTATTTATTTTCATGGAAACCATCGAGAATCCTTTTCTTGGAGCCCTGGAGAACTTGAGAAAATCAATGGTACTCTGGAGGCTTGCGCTACGAAAAGAGAAAAGGTATGTCGATTGGGAGTGATAAATTAGGGAATCTAGGTCTAGAAGGGATACTGCGAGCATCTTAAGTGAATAAGAGTTTAGTTTTGTAAAGAAAGCCCGTCATCAGGATATATTTTTTGAAAGGTTACGGCATAGATGAGGGTTTCTAAACTGTGATTTCTACTGTATTGTGGACGGGTTACACTCAGGTTTAAAAGCTTTAATATATAGCTAGGTGCTGTTTTTGATTATTAGAAACACACATGAAGTTCTCGTCATGACGGGCAACTTAGGAGGTTACATTTCTTGTGATCTTTCGGAAGAATTTTAGATTTTTTATACTTTTTCGGGGGGTTTGAGGGAATTAAAAGATGTGAGATGCCGTAAAAAACGGTTTTATAAGAAGTAATGACTAGTTTTTGTCATTAGTAATGTGGTCATGACGGTATTGGGATTTTTTATTGCTCACGAGATGATTAACTTTCCTGTTTAATTTTTCGCGTTTAAAGCATTTTTCTTTCAGAAGTACGTTCAGAATTGCCTTATGGTTGAAGAGAAAGCTAGATTGAAAATGAAGAGCAAGTTGCTTGCCGAGCCCTGGAAACGGTCCATTCTTTGACGATGCACTGTGCAATTGTTTGGAGGTAGGCGAAACTTTGTTAAAAAAGGGGGTTTGGTTGATCGAGGGTTAGAAATTTTGAATTTTGGATTCGAAAGATGTAGATCGCTACATTCTTCGTCATGACGGATTTTATTATAGTATCCGACGCGTGGGAGTAGTCGTTTCTTTGTGAAGTTTTAATCTCTGTAGTGTAATATTTGATCCTTTTGAGGGGTAAGTGGTGATAAAAGGCACTTTTTACTCCAAGAAGTATACGATTTAGTGGTTTGTACTTGTTTGCGAAAGACTTTGGGGACTTTCATATTGTTCATAAGATAATCCAGTTCCGTTTTCAAATTTTTCCATTTGTAATGAATTTTTTTCAGGTTGCATCGTTTCTCTACTAACCACAATTCATCTAAGAAAGAAAAATTTTGAGTATTTGAAGCCAAGGATATGAAGAACAAAACCGTCATCGTTTAGGATGAAGAATGCCAGAAAATTAAAAGGCAGGTGGGTTATGGGTTATTAATATAAGACCTGTGCGTTAGTAATTCGAGTTGCCTTTGTCAAAATTTGTTGCAAATCCTGACTCGGAGCGTCCCCGTCAAGAATCACGGGAATCCTGCCTGTTGTCAAAAATCTTTTGGTCTCTCCCAGTCAAAGAGTTTTTGTCTACATGAACAGTCGAGAATCCCGCGATTCTTGCTGTTGACGTAAACGACTTTGACTGGATCCCCTGTTACAACAGTCAGGATTTCCGCGATTCTTGACTGTTGAAAGAAATGGACCCAGTCAGGAATCCCATCCGAGTCAGGATTTGCAACAAATTTTGATAAGGGCCCCTCGAAATATGTATTATAGGGTATTCTGATCAAAGATCAGGCGATTTAGTGTATAATTATGGGGTCACGACAATTTTTGCCCCTTTTGGTATGATCCATTACGTCAGGTGTCTGTTGAGTTGACGTTTCGGTCTTCAATATAATGTAAAATAAAAGGGATGAAGCAAGTTTAATTGCGATAGAAGGATGTGAATACTAATTTTAGAGGGATTTTAGTCTCTATGATGACAATTTTTTTGGGATCCCTGTATTGTTCATGAGATTGTTAACCTTATTTTTGAGTTTTTCGCCTTCTAATCTTTCTTTTCTTTCAGATTTCCTCAAGTCCCACAAGATTCAATCAGTCCAGGTCACTTCCCAGCCAATAAGAAGAATCTACAAATCTAATTTGATCTATTTGTTGTTGTTTTTTATTTGTTTGTTGTTTTGCTTGAAAAGGGAAGGGGAAATGGGAGAAAGGGGTCGTGTGAAGAAGGTAGGTGATCAGAGTTGATCCGAATGATTCTATAGGCAAATTTATGTCCAATTTTTTTATTCGGGCCCCGTACAGAGCATACATTTTATGTTTATATTGATGGTTTAGTCCGAAAGTGAGGGTACCTTGAATATCTATAGGTTTTGGCTGGGAAAAACGTTGAATTTTGCATCACGGTTTATCGCACGAATTACGTATACCGTGGGGACATTGGGAATTTTTGGCCTAGAGGATTGATTTTCTAGAAGGGTAGGATGTATACTAGGGGTGGGGATAACTCCAGCAAGGGCTGTTGGATTAGTGCTGTTTATCTTGTGCTCGGCCGTAAAAGCGCCATTTATGTCGATATTGTGCTGTTTGAGTTGTGTATCGATGCCGAAAATGGCGGATTCATCAGCGAAAACTGTTGGAATTGAGTCCCGGCCGCATACTAGCCCGTCTGGAAGGCCGCTGGGCCGGAGTCGGCGACACGTATTGAAACAAACAAACGTTTTCTTTGCACTGTGCGAGTTCTTCCTTTTTGCACCGTGCTATAAAAAGGCTTTTTTTGGGCTGTCGCTCGCTCGGCACCTCAGGCTCTAAAGCACGGAAAATTTTCGGGATGTCGCCGTATTTTTTCTCTTTCGATGATCAACTTTGCCTAATTTACGGCTGCCTTCAAACAAAATTTTCGGTTTTTGGGGGTTTTCACGATTTTTAGAAAAAATGAATTACAAATTCAATAGTCTTTTGAATGGTACAGCTCTTTTCAACCGAGTCTGATACCCTAATTTACCATGAGTTTCCATGAAAATAAGAGTACCAGTTTGTCGACGAGATTTTCGGTGCTATCAAGGATCCAACGATGGGTTAGTCGGACGATTTGTGACGAAATGGTTATTCGGCTACGAACGGGGCAAATTCGGAAGCTTTCTAAAGTTTAATCTGGGTGTGAGGGATACCCTGAATTCCTCTAGTGATTGGCTAGCAAAGACGTTAAATTTTGACTTATTGCGGGTTTATCAGCCAAATTACTGATACAACGGGGACATTACGCACTTTCGACCTAGATGTTGTAGTGGGGGAGGATGTATAGGTGGGGTTGGAAAGACAACTTTCGCTCCAGTAAAGAAAGTTGTCTTTGTTCTTGCTGTTTATCCTATGTTTGGCCGTAAAAGCGCCATCATTTCTGCCGGTGTTCTCCTGTTTGCATCATTTAAAAAGTGAGAAGTCAATCATTCACGGAGACTCCTTTAATTAACTCAGCCCTGAATGCATAACCAGGCTCCTATGTTCCGCTACTGCTCTGAATCGCCGAGAGTGGGAATGATCGACCCCGAAGGCTCCTTTGCAAGCCGCAGAATCTCCCCGTCGTTGGCGAAGGTCGATGCTGTTCAAACCCAGCTTTTAATAGAACCATTTCACGGCAATTACCACAAGAAAATTCAGCTGTTGCTGAATATTAAGCCATGAAGGCGTTGCTGTATAAAGGTAATTTAAAACGGAAAGAAAACTGCGTTGACTTGTGTTCTGCTTACTTGATTTTTTCTGTGATCTGGCGATCTTTTCGTCACAACTTCAATGGCCTATTCAATGATACAACTCCTCAAATAAATTAATGCTCTTTATGATGGCAATAATCTTGTCAGCTCACGTTACTTTAACATATTTCATTGATGACCAAGGATCCCCCTTCCAAACCGAACACTCTGATATTATACTAGGAGATGTCGGAGTAAATTGACAAGACCTATACCATTCGAAATGTAACAGAATGAAATTTTAGCACGGCAAGTTTCGCCTATTTCGGAGCAAAACTACTCCCGTACCGGGCCGAACACTATGATATTATACCAATAAAATGACCTGGGGACATGCCCTTAAAATCCAAACACTTCACCCGAGAAGGGCAGAGCGGACTCGTCTCCTCAGAGACTAGCAACCCCCCTTTCCCCAAGTTTTTGCAGGAGGAAGCGCACGTTTCCATGGACAGATCGGACGAGGAACCTCATCCGGATGGGGATGAAACTGTCCGAAACTTTGGGCATTTAGAAGTTATCGATGAAGAAGAGAACAAGCCCGGAGATGCTGCCACGGCGAATTTCTTGCGGATGATGACTCTGACGACGAGGAGGGTTTAGACGATTCGACGAAAGACTCCGAACTATCTCGGAGAACGGTTACAAGTTACCCCGCAGCAGATCACTGCCGCCCATTTGACCAAACTAAAGCAAATTACGGAGAGTCAAATTGAAGGCACAGTCAGCGATGTGGTGATCTCAGTGCCTCCGGCCTGGTCCAACGACCAACACTTGGCGTTGTTGGAGGCTGGCCAAATCGAGGGGTTGAATGTGCTGAAGGTTATGAATGAAAGTACCGCCGTTGGGATTGCCTATGGGATCTATAAAAAAGGAATCCTCCCACGCCCCGAGGAAAAGCCCAGACTCGTCGCCTTTGTGGATGTCGGACACTCCACCGTGTCCTACTTCTCATGGAGTTCAACGAACGTCAGGTTCGAGGCAAGGCCTCCACTTATGATGGTCATGTTGGAAGTCTCCACTTTGATAATGTAATCCGAGAACACTTCCGCAACGAATTCATGCATAAGGTAGGCTCTTTGGGACGTTTATGGTGGAGTTGGACGATTGGGGGAAACCGAAAAGTATTGTTTTTCTTCGATGAAAGTGTCGAAATTGGGAGAATCGAGGGTGCTGATTTCGAAAATGGCATTCATTTTTTTGATCTTTGCTTTTTTTCTTGCTTAGGTAGTACTGCAAAGTAGTAGTTTTTTGTTTTTTTTTCATAAATACTCGATTTGGGGGGTTTCGATGGTGCTGATTTTGAAAATCTTATTCACTTTTTCTGACTTGAAAGCAGCACCATCGAAACCCCCCAAATCGAGTATTCGTGAAAAAATTTAAAAAATTACTACTTCACAGTGCTACCTAAGCAAGGAAAAAAGTAAAGATCAAAAAATAATAAATGTCATTTTCAAAAAATTTCGACACCTGCATCGAAGAAAAACAATACTTTTCGGTTTCCCCAATCGTCTTTTTCCTTGTCCCAGTCCCGTTTATGGGCTGTACGAACTAGTTGAGATGCCATTTTCGAGATTTGATAGTAAAATTTGTATTGTTTTAGTACAAGATCGACGCCAAAACTAACCCGCGCGCCTGGCAGCGTCTGTTGGATGAAGCCGAGAAAATTAAAAAGCAAATGTCGGCCAATAGCACTGCGATCCCGCTGAACATTGAGCGCTTCATGAATGATGTGGATGTAAGCGCGAAATTGTCGCGGTAAGTTGGGGTCTAGTGCAATATAAAAAGTTAATTTTTGGATGTTTTATAGGTTTAAATCAGGTTTTAAACAGAAATGGAGGCAATTTGAAGGAAATTGCGATTGATTGGGAAATTTAGACCAAATTTAACCATGGATAATTTTTTTCCTTATTTTCCCTTCTTTAGAGCAGAATTCTAACAAATGACCGAGCCCTTGTTCCAGAGAATCCGAAATCTCCTCAGCGCTCTGCTCCAAGACTCCAGAATCTTTAGGAATATTGCCGAGGTCGAGCTGATTGGAGGCTCTTCCCAAATCTCGTTTGTGAAGCAAGTCGACCAACATCTCACCCAACAGATCTTCAAACGCAATGACGACTTCCCCAGCTTCAAGTCCCTCCCTCTGCACAGGGTGGAGCCCTTCACAATCGCAGCCCATTACGAAAATCCGCAGGAAATCCCGTACACCGAGCCCAAAATCGGGACCTGGGTCGTGAACGGCGAAGCTCGGAGTGTTCTTGAACGGAATTTTCGATGTTACGATGCTGATAGGAATCCAATCTGAAAATTAAGAGTTTTGGATATAGAATTGGATATTATTGCGAATAAATTGTGCATAGAGTAATCGTATTATTTGGTGCTCTTTCCGATGGTGTAACTCTTGTCGATTCGCTCCAAAATCTCTGATTATCAGATTTGTTAGCCTTCCCTTGGAGTCAAAGAAGGCGGCTTTGGAACAGAAGATGGTGTATATATGTCTTGTCAATTCACTCCTTCATCACTAACTCACTTTTTTTTAAAGCCGGTGTCTAGTATAATATCAAAAGCTGAAACTTGCCATGCTAAAATCTTAGGCGATTAGCTTTCGAATGGTGTATGTCTTGTCAATTCACTCCTTCATCACTAATTCACTTTTTTTTAAAACCGGTGTCTAGTACAATATCAGAGTGTTTCGCCCAGTGTGGGCGTAGTTTGATTCCAAAAATGCTGAAACTTGCCATGCTAAAATCTCAGGCGATTAGCTTTCGAATGGTGTATGTCTTGTCAATTCACTCCTTCATCACTAATTCACTTTTTTTAAAACCGGTGTCTAGTATAATATCAGAGTGTTTCGCCCAGTGTGGGCGTAGTTTGATTCCAAAAATGCTGAAACTGGCCATGCTAAAATCTCAGGCGATTAGCTTTCGAATGGCGTATGTCTTGTCAATTCACTCCGTCATCACTAATTCACTTTTTTTAAAACCGGTATCTAGTATAATATAAGAGTTTTTCGCCCAGTGTCGGCGTAATTAGATTGCAAAAGAGCTGAAACTTGCCATGCTAAAATCTCAGGCAATTAGCTTTCGAATGGTGTATGTCTTGTCAATTCACTCCTTCATCACTAATTCACTTTTTTTAAAACCGGTGTCTAGTATAATATCAGAGTTTTTGGCCTGGGGCGGGCGTAGTTTGATTCCAAAAATGCTGAAACTTGCCATGCTAAAATCTCAGGGGATTAGCTTTCGAATGGCGTATGTCTTGTCAATTCACTCCGTCATCACTAATTCACTTTTTTTAAAACCGGTATCTAGTATAATATCAGAGTTTTTCGCCCAGTGTCGGCGTAATTTGATTGCAAAAGAGCTAAAACTTGCCATGCTAAAATCTCAGGCAATAAGCTTTCGAATGGCGTATGTCTTGTCAATTCACTCCTTCATCACTAATTCACTTTTTTTAAAACCGGTGTCTAGTATAATATAAGAGTTTTTCGCCCAGTGTGGGCGTAGTTTGATTCCAAAAATGCTGAAACTTGCCATGCTAAAATCTCAGGCGATTAGCTTTCGAATGGCGTATGTCTTGTCAATTCACTCCGTCATCACTAATTCACTTTTTTTTAAAACCGGTATCTAGTATAATATCAGAGTTTTTCGCCCAGTGTCGGCGTAATTTGATTGCAAAAGAGCTAAAACTTGCCATGCTAAAATCTCAGGCAATAAGCTTTCGAATGGCGTATGTCTTGTCAATTCACTCCTTCATCACTAATTCACTTTTTTTTAAAACCGGTGTCTAGTATAATATAAGAGTTTTTCGCCCAGTGTGGGCGTAGTTTGATTCCAAAAATGCTGAAACTTGCCACGCTAAAACCTCAGGCGATTAGCTTTCGAATGGTGTATGTCTTGTCAATTCACTCCTTCATCACTAATTCACTTTTTTTTAAACCGGTGTCTAGTATAATATCAGAGTGTTTCGCCCAGTGTGGGCGTAGTTTGATTCCAAAAAAGCTGAAACTTGCCATGCTAAAATCTCAGGCGATTAGCTTTCGAATGGTGTATGTCTTGTCAATTCACTCCTTCATCACTAATTCACTTTTTTTTAAAACCGGTATCTAGTATAATATCAGAGTTTTTCGCCCAGTGTGGGCGTAGTTTGATTCCAAAAATGCTGAAACTTGCCATGCTAAAATCTCAGGCGATTAGCTTTCGAATGGCGTATGTCTTGTCAATTCACTCCTTCATCACTAATTCACTTTTTTTTAAAACCGGTGTCTAGTATAATATAAGAGTTTTTCGCCCAGTGTGGGCGTAGTTTGATTCCAAAAATGCTGAAACTTGCCATGCTAAAATCTCAGGCGATTAGCTTTCGAATGGCGTATGTCTTGTCAATTCACTCCGTCATCACTAATTCACTTTTTTTAAAACCGGTATCTAGTATAATATCAGAGTTTTTCGCCCAGTGTCGGCGTAATTTGATTGCAAAAGAGCTAAAACTTGCCATGCTAAAATCTCAGGCAATAAGCTTTCGAATGGCGTATGTCTTGTCAATTCACTCCTTCATCACTAATTCACTTTTTTTTAAAACCGGTGTCTAGTATAATATAAGAGTTTTTCGCCCAGTGTGGGCGTAGTTTGATTCCAAAAATGCTGAAACTTGCCACGCTAAAACCTCAGGCGATTAGCTTTCGAATGGTGTATGTCTTGTCAATTCACTCCTTCATCACTAATTCACTTTTTTTTAAAACCGGTGTCTAGTATAATATAAGAGTGTTTCGCCCAGTGTGGGCGTAGTTTGATTCCAAAAAAGCTGAAACTTGCCATGCTAAAATCTCAGGCGATTAGCTTTCGAATGGTGTATGTCTTGTCAATTCACTCCTTCATCACTAATTCACTTTTTTTAAAACCGGTGTCTAGTATAATATAAGAGTGTTTCGCCCAGTGTGGGCGTAGTTTGATTCCAAAAATGCTGAAACTTGCCACGCTAAAACCTCAGGCGATTAGCTTTCGAATGGTGTATGTCTTGTCAATTCACTCTGTCATCACTAATTCACTTTTTTTTAAAACCGGTGTCTAGTATAATATAAGAGTGTTTCGCCCAGTGTGGGCGTAGTTTGATTCCAAAAATGCTGAAACTTGCCACGCTAAAACCTCAGGCGATTAGCTTTCGAATGGTGTATGTCTTGTCAATTCACTCTGTCATCACTAATTCACTTTTTTTTAAAACCGGTGTCTAGTATAATATAAGAGTTTTTCGCCCAGTGTGGGCGTAGTTTGATTCCAAAAAAGCTGAAACTTGCCATGCTAAAATCTCAGGCGATTAGCTTTCGAATGGTGTATGTCTTGTCAATTCACTCCTTCATCACTAATTCACTTTTTTTAAAACCGGTGTCTAGTATAATATCAGAGTGTTTCGCCCAGTGTGGGCGTAGTTTGATTCCAAAAATGCTGAAACTTGCCACGCTAAAATCTCAGGCGATTAGCTTTCGAATGGTGTATGTCTTGTCAATTCACTCCTTCATCACTAATTCACTTTTTTTAAACCGGTGTCTATAATAGTATAATATCAGAGTGTTTCGCCCAGTGTCGGCGCAATTTGATTCCGAAAAAGCTGAAACTTGCCATGCTAAAATCTCAGGCGATTAGCTTTCGAATGGTGTATGTCTTGTCAATTCACTCCTTCATCACTAATTCACTTTTTTTTTAAACCGGTGTCTATAATAGTATAATATCAGAGTGTTTCGCCCAGTGTCGGCGTAGTTTGATTCCAAAAATGCTGAAACTTGCCACGCTAAAATCTCAGGCGATTAGCTTTCGAATGGTGTATGTGTTGTCAATTCACTCCTTCATCACTAATTCACTTTTTTTTTAAACCGGTGTCTATAATAGTATAATATCAGAGTGTTTCGCCCAGTGTCGGCGCAATTTGATTCCGAAAAAGCTGAAACTTGCCATGCTAAAATCTCAGGCGATTAGCTTTCGAATGGTGTATGTGTTGTCAATTCACTCCTTCATCACTAATTCACTTTTTTTTTAAACCGGTGTCTATAATAGTATAATATCAGAGTGTTTCGCCCAGTGTGGGCGTAGTTTGATTGCAAAAATGCTGAAACTTGCCACGCTAAAATCTCAGGCGATTAGCTTTCGAATGGTGTGTGTCTTGCCAATTCACTCCTTCATCACTAATTCACTTTTTTTTAAAACCGGTGTCTAGTATAATATCAGAGTGTTTCGCCCAGTGTGGGCGTAGTTTGATTCCAAAAATGCTGAAACTTGCCATGCTAAAATCTCAGGCGATTAGCTTTCGAATGGTGTATGTCTTGTCAATTCACTCCTTCATCACTAATTCACTTTTTTTTTAAACCGGTGTCTAGTATAATATCAGAGTGTTTCGCCCAGTGTGGGCGCAGTTTGATTCCAAAAATGCTGAAACTTGCCACGCTAAAATCTCAGGCGATTAGCTTTCGAATGGTGTGTGTCTTGTCAATTCACTCCTTCATCACTAATTCACTTTTTTTAAAACCGGTGTCTAGTATAATATCAGAGTGTTTCGCCCAGTGTGGGCGTAGTTTGATTCCAAAAATGCTGAAACTTGCCACGCTAAAATCTCAGGCGATTAGCTTTTGAATGGTGTATGTCTTGTCAATTCACTCCTTCATCACTAATTCACTTTTTTTTAAACCGGTGTCTAGTATAATATCAGAGTGTTTCGCCCAGTGTGGGCGCAGTTTGATTCCAAAAATGCTGAAACTTGCCACGCTAAAATCTCAGGCGATTAGCTTTCGAATGGTGTATGTCTTGTCAATTCACTCCTTCATCACTAATTCACTTTTTTTTAAAACCGGTGTCTAGTATAATATCAGAGTTTTTGGCCTGGGGCGGGCGTAGTTTGATTCCAAAAATGCTGAAACTTGCCATGCTAAAATCTCAGGCGATTAGCTTTCGAATGGTGTATGTCTTGTCAATTCACTCCTTCATCACTAATTCACTTTTTTTTAAAACCGGTGTCTAGTATAATATCAGAGTGTTTCGCCCAGTGTGGGCGTAGTTTGATTCCAAAAATGCTGAAACTTGCCATGCTAAAATCTCAGGCGATTAGCTTTCGAATGGTGTATGTCTTGTCAATTCACTCCTTCATCACTAATTCACTTTTTTTTAAACCGGTGTCTAGTATAATATCAGAGTGTTTCGCCCAGTGTGGGCGCAGTTTGATTCCAAAAATGCTGAAACTTGCCACGCTAAAATCTCAGGCGATTAGCTTTCGAATGGTGTGTGTCTTGTCAATTCACTCCTTCATCACTAATTCACTTTTTTT